TTTCTTCCGAAGGACCCGGAGCTACGCGGAGTGGTGACTTCTGGCAGGGTCAAGCTATTGCGCTGACTGTCACGCCCGCTTGACTTCGAATTAATCGAACTCCCTTTTGTTCCGCTGCGTCGAACCATGCGCGGAAGCTGGTTCTCACTCGTTGCGCCAAAAGTGAAACCGGCATTCTGATTACCACACTGTGCTGGTGCTGTCTCTGCTTTCACTTCTGTAGCAGTTGGGCTTGCATCGCCAAGATCTAGATTCTCTCCTTTCAAAATTGCCGTAACTGAACAGGTGCCACTTGCAGCTCCTTGGGTACTGCTCGACGTAGGGTGTTCTCGTAAATTTGTACTGCACAACAGGAGGCCTCCATCTTGCTCTCCCTGACCTCCACTTTGCAAGTATTCCGCTTCTTCTGTGTGGCTCCATATGAATATTGAAATTCTTTGTGGCACCTCCATATGAATATGGAACCAATTATAGCAATACTCTGTTTATTGTGAAGATCTATCCATACAACTATCCGATTCTGAGTTTGTTATGACGTCATTTCATTATCTCCTTGACGTCAGCCATAATTTTCAGAAGACTCTCAACATCTTCTAGATGACTGCTGTCCCTCTCCTCGATGGGCCCACACCAGCTGCCACCCACGACATCTTGAAGCTGAAGGTCTCCCCCAAAGTTTCCACGTTCCAGCAAGAACATTCTGAGATTACGTTTGTCCTTGTTCTGATTCTTGTTCTCCAGCAAATGAGATGGTCGGCCACCGCTTGGCTGGCTCCCATGGCTACTACGATTCGGATCTCCATCAGTCGCATCCACGCTACTAGAAGTCACACTGGCTTGCGAAGACCACAGCTGGTGCGAGGGAGTACCACTACCAGTGGACTGTGTATGCATGCTACTTCGGTTAGCGAACAAGTAGTGTTATGACGAATAGAAATTCAATCTTATGCAATATATAGAAAGCGTAAATCACGCTTGAGCTGTTTATTTCTTGGAAGTAGATCCCTGTTAGGCTTGCAATGCCTCCATGACATTGACATTTCCATTTCTCACTCTGCTCATAATCGACGGCGTTAAATCCGCAAGCATCGCTGAAAGACGCGTCCCCTGTGTCCCGGTCGATACTCGCGAACAAGCAGCACCAGTGCCCGTGTTCGTAGCACTCGTATCAGGCTGTTGTTTTTGATCCTGTACTTCTTGGTGTCCTTGTTCTCGTTCTTGATGGTCTTGGTGGGTAGCACTGCTTGAGGGGCAACTTACAGCAAATGAGGAGGAAGTGAGGGAATCCTTGTGGCCTATTGGCAATTTAAGTAGGCTAGTATGATCACCAGCGATAGAACAAGATGAGGCAGAGACACCTCCGTCAAGTCCAATAATTCCAGTTTGCTCCGCAGCGTATTGGAGTGCACTCTGAAGTCGTTTGGTTCCTGCGCGAGAAGCTGTGGTCCTACTAGTTGTCGGCCTCGGTGGAGCTGGAGTTCTACGAGTACATGAAGATCTGACAACTACATCTTGATGATGTTCCCCTGTTGTGCAACTAGAACCAGCAGCAGACTTTTTAGACTGAAGCCTGTCGCTGCTCTGTTGAAGATCGTCATCCGGAGAAGGAGAGGAAACAGTTTGTTGTTGAAGACGTTCAACCGGTGCCGGATCGTCATCGGGAGAAGGAGAGGAAACAGTTTCTTGTTGAAGACGTTCAACCAGTGCCGCGGCACCACCATGAACTTGAACTTGATTAGCTGCATGTTCTTTATTACCCGGTCGAGTCTTCGACCCACTACGTGGTGAGGCCCCACCTCTACTAGCAGTTGCGCCTTCACCACTCACATGTTCTGTTACCGCAGCACCTGAACCGCTCGTCGCAGTACATGCGGTATGCAACGGCTCTGGTCTCGTCCGAAAGGGTCCCGTGCCAGCACTGGAGCTCGATGCGACCCCATTTGACCCTCCGGAACCTGCCAGTAACAATCTCTCAGCAAGCGTCGAACGTCTAGATCCATCCCTTCCCGTTCCACTTCCACCTACTTGATGGTTGGGATTTCCTACTAGTGCTGCTGCTGTTGAAGTAGAGGACGTCAGAGAGACTGCTGCTCCTGCATTGCTCTTGCCCCCATTCTGTAACAAAGGAAGGGTACACGTTGCCGCGGCAGATGTAGTTGTCACAGCTCGTTGATGTTGCCTCCGAATGGCAGCAGGAACACGATCTCTGGTATTTCTGTGTTGAGAAGCGGCTTCTGCCAAATTCCCCTCGACATCGTCACGACCAACTCCTTTTTCCTCTTGTTGCGACGCTGAAGACGAAAAGGCAGATGCGGAGCTTTTTCTATGTGCCGTTAGCGCCCTTCCTGTAGCACGCACTGGTACTGTTCCGGGACTACTTGCAAATTTCCTCGTGAGATCGTCGACAGCAGACGGGGGCCTGGACGCACCTTCCACTCCTAGAAGTAAAAAAAGCAGCCGCCCTGCAAAAACTACAGTAGTCGTAGCAGGACGAAAGGTGAACGCGAGGAACAGGAGTTGTAACCGTGGTAATGTCCTCTGGCCAACTTTTGACATCTTCTTTCTAATGATTCTCTTGTTGTCAGTAGAACACGGCGTCTCCGCGACTTCAATGCGCGGCCAGTCGGAGTGGCGAGATCCTGCAGAAGTACCGGCGTCCACATAGATGGTTCTCTGTATTCGCACCAAACTTCGCTTATCGTCCAACCCGCTCATTTTCCCAGGTATCTTTCATCAGAAAGACCAAGTACAAGTAGTCCAACATTGTTGTGGCAGTGAGTAACGAGCACTTCCCAGAGCAGAGGGTCAAAGGAGAGTTGCACCCGTGCCACCAATTCGACTACAATGCGACGAGGACGTCGATTTTGGTTGAACGTCAACAAACACGAGGAGCATTATCCTCTTTGTTAATTTCTTAGCGTTACTGTGTCATACTGTTGGCGGAGCAGACCTAACGAGATTTTTCAAAGATGAAATGCTTATGCTTTTGGAAGATAGAAAACAGACTTGTTTCTCATAATAAAGTTCTTTAGCAATAGATCTAAAAAACTGGTGCTATGATTACTATTATGAACATCGAATGGAAAAGGGAAAAGACGAAAGAATACCTACTCTTTATGACTTAAAAAACGAAGAGGCATACTTTTACATAAAGTGAAATCAATGACAAATGTAGGGGACGAAAATAAACGCGTAAAAGCATCAACAAGATTGTGTCCTCGGTGGATGCGCTTTACAACAGTACACGATTACATTGGTGTGGACTGGAGTGAGCTCTTAGTTGTTGCATCGAAATGAGCAGAAGAGTGACATCTTCTAGTAACAACTCTCTTCTTCTTCATCTACATAGTCGTTGACATGAGTATAATCACTCCATGTGATCTACTCTCTTGTGATATTGTAGTTGCGTCGCAACAGATACAGGTATCGTGTAAACAGATCAACTCGTCTTCTCTATGGTCACGGCATAGGTTGATAACAATACTGAGAGTAGCTTCTCAGAAGCTTCAACTTCGAGCGACCTAAGATATAGTCGCATCGAGAATAAACTTTTCCCTTTTTGTAGCACGCATGCAAACATCGTGAAAGCGCTATGCTTAAGGCTTTGTCAATTTGGTACTTCGTGCACCTCATACATAGGTACCTAATCACAAACAAGCCTCGGGGAAGCAGACGTCATTGAAGTACACAACAAAGACACTTTTGCGTGTTCCGGCTGCAGACATCCTCTTAAGCCTACATTATCCTATATGCATAATCACCAGGCTGACCCAGAAGTCCCTCTAGATAGTGGCAGCTATCCGCGAGGAGTTTAAAGGCCGTGGAAATTTTTTATGTAGTTCAGAAATATATAGTTGTGAGCGTCATAGTACTTCAATGACGTCTGCTTCCCCGAGGCCGTTATCCACGTCCACAGCAAACAGACTTTTGCGTATTCCGGCTTCTAGCTTGGCCACACCATGAGGGACTTTGGCCGAATGTTGTGTCACCGTTCCGGCCTTCCGCGGGACCACAGTTAGCGTCTGCCCTCCAGTGAAAAAAACTAGAGCTCCGCCTTTGCAGCCTCCTTCGCAGAGGACTATCTGTACAGTGCCGGTCGCGTATGTTCCGTCGCAATGAAAGTCTATGCAGGCATCAGTAGGACTGCGCGTCATCCGCAGAGCAATTTTTCAGACATTAGGGTCTCCGCTAGTGCCGGGAATACCTGCCCATAAGCTTTTGACCGAAATTAATGCCTCTGCGCTCGCCAGCTTCTGAAAATGATCGTCCTTCAACACCAGCTTCATGTCGACTCGGCCGACCGCCGCATCCAGTGCCGTTCTGCTCCACATGTAGTCCTGAAAAGCGCACAGTTTCTCCATAATCGCTGGCGTCATGCTCGGACAACTGTCAGGGGTGTGGAACGTGCAGAACGACTCGGCACCGTGACGCTCCGCAGCCGCTTGCAGAAGGTCTGTGCTCGGCTTCGTCGCAGGTGCACGCTCCTCTTCCGAGAGCATCAGCCATCCGACGAGCGGGTCCGCCGTATCTTTGCCGCTGCTGAAAGTGCTAATCATGCCCCGCAAACGGAGAACCAGATGGAGCGTGTGTCCGTCCTCAATGTTGTAGTCTGCAAGTTTCATGGGATCCTCGACCTGGACTCCACGATAGATTAGGCGTTGCTGGTCTGGGCGAATTCCCTCCGAGTCCTGGGTCAGGAATCAGACTTAGTTTCGCCTAAAGCTACGCTACGAGGAAGATCAGGCAGTTGTGTCTCTAGAAGGCAGATGGTGATCTTCACGTTACGACATGGACTCCTCTTTGGTGACATTATGTACTTAATCGGTTGTGTGTCGGATAGGATGGCTGTCGTCAACATTGGCAAGCTCCTAGTCTTTTACATTTACTTTTCTTTTTTTCTCAGCACATCCAATTTCTATTTTATTGGGGCTGCATACGCATACCAAGAACAGTATCAAAAGCACGAGGCTTTTGGTCTGGGCAACGCCTTCTTTCTTGATCATTGGAAGCACATGCTGTTCTTAGGGCGTTTTGCACGTAGAAAGATGCAGTTGTTCAAAAGTCAAATGGCAGCTCATGATGTTGAGGAATGAGCATTCCACCAGGTCTTCCACATTAATGGTCCCTATAATTCACGCGACGGAATTAATCACATTAGTACATGTTTGGCACATAATGAATCAATTATAGAAAACCATGCTGGTCGTGGTCGTGGTCGTCACAGAGCCTCCATCTCGATTGAAAAAATACGCAACATTATACTGGAAGCAGAAGTGAGTCATCCTCATCGTCATCGAATTCTCCTTGTCGGCTTTGCATTATGGACATTTTTATATTTCCCACCTCCAAATCCAAAAAAAAAAGTAAAGGTAGTGACCGAAAACACATGACATATTTGTCCAAGGAAGCCCAATATTATGTATAATATGCGTGAAGAACGCTTAGAACAAGTAGAACAACAATTAGATACAACAGCTGAAAGTATGTGTATGACGATCAATAGATATACATACAGTTGGTCAACATTTCGTGGTTCTTAAAGTAAATTGCAATTTGTTTTTTTCAAGGCGTGTTGCTGAAGATGCGGATGAAGATCTATCTTCTCACAACGTTCATCTTCATGATGAAGTAGAATCTAGTACGTAATCTATCGATTTTTGTCAGTACAGCCAAAGCCCTTCGCCCTCTATGCCTTGCGGCGGCAACGCCCCAGTACTTCCACTCCTCAACGGAGTCAAGTAGTTTGGCTTTCTGCCACCTTTCTTGGGCGATTGCTGTTCTAGCCCTTTATTCAATCCTGCTGGATTCGCACCAAGCAAAAATCGTCCAATCACTACTAAGGCTCGCGTTACAGGATCACCCATGCCGTACTCGTCCACTTTGGCTTTTCGGACGCCACCAAGATCAGAATCGATTGGAAATTAGAAGAGCAGGGACAGGAGATGATGGAGATTGAAATTAAATATGATGAAGGTGGTCGTGAAGAAGAGTTAGAATATATAACTTGCTAGAAATAAATATTAGAATGCTTAGTCTCTAAGTAGAATTCGAAAAGAACAAAAATAAGTGGAGGCCGGACCGCGTGCGTTTCCCGAAGTCATAAAATAGATCTCCAAATAGTTCGGCTCTCAGTACTGCTTGAGCTTCCATCCACTTCTTTTCGATGACAGGCGCGTGCTTTGCCCAAGCATCTTTGTATCGATCCCGCCTTTTCTGCGCGTCAAAATACAGCCTCTCGTGCACTTGCATAGCATCCTCTGCGATCCTGGCCATAAGGTCTGCCGCAAGAGAATCGAAAGTCGCGTTTTCGGATCCTTTGCCTGTACGTTCAAGAAGTCAAAAAAAAGTCAAAGTTCAAGTCCAAAACTGCTCGTGCTACTTCATTTGAATCCACCAATTCAAATTCTTTGAAAGTAGTAGTTGTGTTCTTTATGGAGCTGAAGGAGTTTGACAGTAAAAGAGGAGATCATGGACGACGAAGATGATCTTGTCCTTGCCTCTTCTACTTCATTCTGGAAACTCCAACTCCTAAAAATCGATTCATCTTCTCTGCCTCTGCGATGTATCTATAATAAGGTCTGGTATCGTTGTTTTTTATCTCTCATTCTACCCTGAATACAAAGTAAGATAGTGATAGTCTTACCTGAAGTCAGCGCTTTCAGCAATTGCTTTTGCGTCTCTGCTAGTGTTCTTTCAGCTTGTTCCGCTCGTGCTCGCCAGTCAGCCTCACTTTGCCTCAGTGCCTCAATCGTCGACTTCAAATCTTCGATCTCCACGCGTTGTTGCCGTATCGTATTCTGCTGTGTTTCAACTTTCCCACGTAATTCCATCAATGCGGCTTTGCTGTTGTAGGGAATGATGAAGATGGAAGCTTTTAACTTTGGGAGAGTCAACGATGAAGAGAGTCAATGTTGATGTCGATGGTAGTTTTCAATTTCCTCGTAGTTTGTTAGAAGAGTAGGTATCTGTTAAACAGAAAAATGAAAAGGAAGAACAAGAGTCACAAGGACCACAAGGTCGTGCCTTATGTAGGCTAAGAAAAAATGAGCATAGATCTAGATGTGGATCATAAATTCAAATTTCAAAAAGACGTAGAAATACGCGTCATCTCCACTATCGGCCAGTCTCGCGAGGCGCTCCTGCTCTGCTTGTCTCTCTTTTGATTTTCGGACTTCCTCTTCAAGATCGTGAATGATCTTCTCCAGCTCTGTCAGTTTCGCACTAGACAGTGCATTGCCATTGGATTGCAGTTCTTGCGATTAGAGAGAGAATTCGAAAGGGTGGTTGTAGAGACCGAGGACGAGGTGAAAAAGTAAAAAAAGATGAAGAGAGGTTGGCGTTGATTGTTAAAGGTTGAGACATTTCATTTTTTAGTAGCTATCTCAATTAGAGAAGGCTTGTAAAAATGAAATGTTTCAACCCGTAAGATTGTTCAAATTGGATCTAGGATCTAAGTGACGACTGCATTCATCTCTCGTGCTCCCACTTGCTATCAGTTTCAGTATCAACCTTAGCTTATCATTTCCTCTAGCTGGGTTTTTTCCTGGTTCGTGGTTTCCAGCATTGACTCGTAGCGCACGACCAAAGCTTGCACTTCTGCTTCATGCTGTGACTTACAAGTCCTCAATTCCCACCTAGCTTTCTCGAGTTCCCTACTAACTTCCTCCAACCGGGTTTCTGCACTGGAAAGGGCGCGCCTGTACGAAGATCGACGATGAGAAAGTGAGAGTCTTCAGGATTCAATGCGATTTATATTGATGGAAGATTTATTTTTTTTTTGTATCGCGAGCGAGTTCCGGGAAGAACCTGCCTACATAGGTGCAGAAAGTGAAGCTGAATGAAGAGCAAGAGCGAGTTAGATAATTTCAACAAAAAAGTGCTGTGAGAGACTACTCCCAGCCGTAAAACAGTAGAAAGAGAAACGACAACTCGACAATCGCAAGTACTCCTTCGCCTCAAACGCAGCGCACTGGTCCTCTAGGGCGTCGATCCGCCTCTGCATTTCACCGCACTCGCCACATACCTTCGGTCCAGACTCCTTCTTTTCTCCGGTATCCAGAACTTTGGCTATCACCTCTTTGCGATTGACTGTGTCTCCAGCCCTATATTTCTTCTCAAGGCGGTCCGCAACATCGTTCACCTTCTCCTGCAAAATGAGCTCCAGAACTTCACGATAATGCGAGGGGAGCGACTGAAGAAACCGCATAATGGCAGTAAGAAGAAAACAAACAGCAGTAATAAGATGAGCCTAGGACTTTCCAAGATCAGTATTTCGAAGGAGTAAGAATGTACTAGAGAGGACTTCAGTCAGAACGCAGTAAGAAGAAAACTACATCAAACAGCATTCACGAAAAGATACCATCCCCGCATCAAAGAACATGCGCACGTCCTCGTCATTTAACGTGTCCAGCGACGCTGTTACGTTTCCATCAATTTCGCGTTTCGAGTTACGTTGCATCAACACTTCGGTCATGTATCGCTTTGTCTGGTCCATTCGTGTCTTCTCTGACAACTCCATACGAAGATTAGAGGTTGAGGACGGGGCGTCGTGGTTTTTTAGTGTAAGTAGTATCTTTCTATACATTTACATTCAGAGATAATGAAACAGATGGGGGTTTTACGTCTTCCCAGTCGACGGCAACAAGCCGATGCAAGAAGAAGAAAAGTTTTGTCAACATACGGCAAGCCGATGGATGCAAGAAGAACATAAGTTTTTGTGTCAGGAGTAGCTCTTGGATCTCGATCTGGAAAATTCGTTTCAAAACCATCGCTACGTCCGGCTCTCCTGATATCTTGCTCCCCAAAACGGGGTCCTTCACCTGTAGAGAGTTCACCCATGATTCAAAGCCGAGTTGCGTCCGCTTGTTCGGCGAATCCACTTCCTTCTTAGTTGAACCGACGCGACGCATTATCTCGTGTTTCTAGGACGTCCGTAGCACTACCTCCATGATATCTATCATCTAACAAATTTGCTACTGTACAACGGCACGACATGCAGTGAATCAAAGAACTGAAGACAAAGAACTCAAAGAGTGAAGGGGGCAAAAAGTCACAATATCATATGAATATTATCGTATTTTCATCTAGTCACGTTCGCCCTATTCCATCATGACAGATCTTCTGCTCTGGACCGATATCAGCACCGATGCAGAACGGAATTCAACCGATTCTGGCGACAATCGCTGACTCCGTCTAACAATCCTACTCACTCGGACCGACAGATCACTTAGACGCTGCAAAAAGACCGAAAACAGAGGGAGCGTGTTACAAATCTCGCGTAATCACAAGTCAAAGCCAAAGTCAAACGTCCTTGAACCGAAAAATAAGTACCGAGGTTGTAATTGTATGTATAGGCATGACAGATGCTGCCTAGCCTATCTGGTACAAGACACGACTTGTCGGCAAGGAGTTGAAGATGTCCTCGGTCTGTAGAAGAAGAGATGAGTTCCTGTCCTTGATGATGACAGTGAAATACCCAGTCCTCTAAATTCTAGCTACTAGACAGTGAATTCGTTCAGTTCCTTTTTGTTCCCATTTTTCTCGGAATTTTCCAATTCCCTTCGAAAAACCCGACTTGCTGTTGTATTGCTCTTCCTAGTAGACCTCGAACTAGGGTCCTCTGGTTCTGGAAGAGGCGCAGCTCCGGGAACTACCATAGTAGAAGTTCTAGTCGTTCTTGTCGCTCTACTAGAGTTCTCATGTTGAAGATTAACAACAAGATTCTCAGTCTTATTTGTGTTAGAAGTCTTCCGCTTCTGACCTTGTTGAGATCCAGTGCTCTCGCTAGCACCGGAACACATCGTCTTCGTCCGCCTGCTCTTCGGAGAACCACTTCCAGCACTACTTACAAGTGTGGTCTTTTTTCCTTCTGAAGTCGGTATCGATATCCTGATATTCTTCGCCATAGCATAATCGGGAGGAATTCGGGTTTCCCTTCCATCTGCGCTGCTTCTTCTAAAAGAGTGTCTAGACGAGCGTGATGATCGACGATCTTGTTCACCCTTCTTGGTCTGCCTTGATGAAGAACCGCGTTGATACGAAGATGATGATCGTTTTTCTTCTCGTCTTTGTCCAGCACTATTATCATTCGATCCCCCGGCGCTCCCACGTGCAGCAAGCATCAATGTCAGCCGTTCTTCTTCATGTTTTCGTGCGATGTCGAACTTGGTAGTCGCAAGCAAAAAGCACGTCATGCTAACGCTCACAAACGCCAAATGCGCAAAAACAGCCGCCAAGCCCAAATACCACGGCTCCTCGTCTAGGAGGGTGCCGTACTCACCGGTGAGGAACGGAAGGTGGGCTATCATTAGAGCCTCCCCCCATTTAATAATGAGGCTCACCTAGGTCTTTTCAAAGTCAGTATTTCTATGGAGTAAGTTTGTAAGAGGACGCCCATCAAGTCCCCGAAGCATCTGCATCCTGTTTCAGGTGGTTAATGAATAAATAATGTTAATCTTAATCCATCTTGAAAGTCATCCTGGCCTTGCTTTTCTCATAGAAAGGCACCAGGATCCGATCGATGCGTCTGGAGATGGAGCCTTAATATCAGCTTCGGCACAACGGAAAACATGTTCAAACCTGCCTGGGTCTTCAAAACAGCGTTCATGAGCATTGCCGAGATAGCATTCACCTTCAATGTTGTTGGAGAAGGAGGTACTACTAGAGGAGTTGTCGTGACGGGAGAAGTACTATTGTTCCTCCTGTTCGAACTTCCTCTCACAGGGGTACTAGACGGTTCTCCTTTCTCGATCCTGTAGAACGTGCGACAGGGGTAAAAACACCAGCAAATGGTGATCAGATAACCGATGTAGGCGAAGAAGAGCAGGCCGTACACGATCACGCTGAAAATGCCTATCGTCTTGACAAGCGCCACAGCGGGAACAGCCGTGTAGATCTCGATCGCTTCACCAAGATGCAGCTGCGAAGGAAACGCCTCTTTCAAGGCGGCAATGTGCTTCGGTCGTTTCGGCGGATTGTTTGTGTTGGCTTTTTATGAATGCGGCTACTGTATTACAGGTTCAGAGGGGAAAGTGTTTCTTTACGAATGGTTGTTTCAGACACAAAAAATGATTGATGCTCAAGAAATATCTATAGTACCTAACCAAGTTAAATTTGGCAGCAAGGTCTTCATATTCATAAGTGCATAAGTCATAAGAGTTACTTAAATTTCGCAACAAGATGCTCTTCATAAATTCATGTCTTGAGCGCCGGATGCGAAAATCCAGACAGGGGTGTGGCCAAAAGCAGCCACATGATGTCCACACTCAAGCGGTTCGGAGGCACCTTCGCAAACTGCGATCAACTCTTCGCCAATGTACCATTAAAACCCTCAAAAGATCAATTCACTTTTCCCCTTCATTTCTTCGGAATCCGAAGGAGGAAACCGAAGAAAATGACCCTTGGAAATGAATTGCGTCGAGCCTTAATACCAACCCCAAGCGCGGTCCGTTTCTGAAGGCTTCTCTATCACAACTTTTTCCTCTACTTTCACAGGCTTTTTGCTTGGAGGTGGAGTTGGTGAGCTTGGAGTTGGACTTGGAGGCGAAGATACAACAAGTTGTACTGAGGAAGATGAAGTAGAAGTTGCCATAGGTTCCTCAAGTACTTGCTGTTGTTTTTTGGGTTGTGCAACTTCTATCGGATGTTGAAGTTCATGCGATTGACTCTGTGGAACGATAACGTCTGCACTTACTGATGTGCCTACCGTTCCTAATGGGTCCTGTGCAGGCGCGCCGAAGGCTGCTGATGAAGATACCTGCTGTACAGCTTTGCTTGGACTTGCTGACACTACCTGGTCTACTTGCAGGAAGGTGAACATTCTATCTTGGTCCCTAAACGGTGCGCTGTAGTCCTCTTCTAAGTCAGTACTATCTTCTTCTTCAACACCAAGTTCATCTAGATCTTCTACTCCACGGACGGGTCGTCTTTCTTCGTTTCCGGCGCTGGGGGTTTCATGTTCTTCTAGGAAGGATGAAGATATTGGTAGATGGGTGATATCTCGGTGTTGCTCTTCTTGTATCTTCGGTACTGCTGCAGTACTATATTGATCACCTTCACCTCTGTACTGCCCACGGTCCTCACTGCTTACCGTTTCGCCACGAGACGATGGTGAAGTGGTAGTCGGTAGAAGAAAGAGGTCCGAGAATATTTTTTTGTAACTATCCCAGCTTGATTCTAATTTTTCCTCTACTGCATGATCGCTCCTCATCACGATGTCACCCGCCGGCTGAGACAGATCCCGTACTCTGTGAAAAGTCTTCGCCGCCTGTTCTAGTGTAGCGCTCAGTTGGAGCAAGCTTTTTCGAGCAAGCTTCTGTACATCTAGTTCTGCAGACTTAGTTGTGACCTTGTCCTTCGGGTGCTGTGGAGCGCCGGCTGAAGTAGAACTGCTGGAAGACGAGGTCGTGGATAAAAAAGAAGCAGCACTCCCGCTCGTGGTCCTTCCTTTGATGATAGTACCTGCTGAAGATGTCGTGCGAAGTTCGCGGATGGTACTGTGAAAGATGTCTGGTTTTTCATTCCGTACGTCGTGCATCTCGGGATCATCTCCCACAGCGACCCGCCAAACTTGGTCCCAGCTTCGACTTTGCTCTGGTGGTGGTGGAGTGGATGAAGTTGCTCGGGGTCTTGTGCTAGATGAAGGATTCACTTGTTGTTGTCCTCGGACAAGGTTCCCAACAGCAGCTCCTGAAACTACTTGCTGCGAGTTGGTGGATGCTCCTGAAACTACAGCGCCGAAAACTAGTCCACCCGCTTGAGCTTGTGCACCTGGTGCGTTTCCTGTCGACGTAGCTCCTGGTAATTGTAGCAGCTGCATCTGCGCATTTCCTCTCACTTCCTCTGTCTCCTTTCTAACGGCACCCCAGACGAGTTGGATTAGCGCACTGGCACTGCTTCGCACACCCACAGGTATCTGGGAGATGGCTGGAGGAATGTTAAGCGTAGTTGATGTTTGACCTCCACCCACTGCTGTTGTTGGTTGCGCGTTTGGTGCTCCGTCGTGTGCTTGCGGCTCATTTCTTTTAGAAAGAAGTGCTGGGAGTAAAAGATTAAAGAAGTGCAAGAGGAGTTCTGCTCAACAGGGTTCACAAGAAAGCTACAACTGGAGCTAGTCTACTCATAACTGAAACTGCATTCAAAAAACTCTTAACTTCCGCTTGTGGAGCTGCTGATACGGTTTCCGACCCCTCTTCCTCACCTGGCATCAGAAATGTCGAAACCATACACCCAAAATCAAAAGCCTCTGTATGTGGACGTGGAGCACCAGCAATAGTGAGTGTGAGATCATGTTCATGTTCTAGTGGACCTGCTTGTGGTTGTGGTCGTGCTTGTGCTGTAGCTGTAACTGGAGCTGCTGGAGGTACTTGTTGTGGTTGTGGTTGTCCCTGTTGCTGTTGACGTGTGACATCCAAGGTGGAAGATGAAGCGGCTTGTCCTCCAGGTCCAGAGAATGAAGAGTCTTGTTCAAGAAAGCTACTGTCCCCTTCGCGATCAAGCACAGTCCTCATGTGACATCGCAGCTTGATACTTTTGATGTCCTTCATTTTAGCCTCCCAGAAGTTTTCCAGTTGGTCGTTGTGTCCATGATCATCTCGCTGAAAAAGAGATGCAGCTAGGAGTGTTGGTAGAGATGAGGCGGCGGTCGTACTTCTAGACGAAGAAGTAGCTTGTCCAACTTGTTCTACTGTTGTCGAACTCGCATGAGCTTGGGTCTTATCAGTAAGAGAAGTTCTTGCTGTAGGATTTTCGCTAGAGGAACCTCCATCTGCATTGTCACTACCCTCCACTTCCTCAATGATGTTCGATCCTCCAGAGCGGCCGAGCTGCAGGACACTCGACGAAGCAGCCCCTTCATCTCTACTGCGTCTACTATGGCTATGGGAAACCCTCTTCCACTCATACTTCGGTGGTTCGAGCAACACTTTATACAAAGTGCCACCCATAATTCTCGCCATTCCGACACCCGGTTGTAGCACCTTGTTCTGAAGGAAGGAAAGGACTGCTCGAGGATTCAGGCTTCTTTTTGGGTGGAGATGATGTTCTTCTAATTGAAGATTCTTCGAAGAGGTAGATGAGGTCGAGAGGACAACACGATGTTCATCGTGTTTCTTTTTATTAGAACCAAGAGAAATCCATCTTGAGACGCATCCGAGGACCTTTCGCCCCTTGAAAACGGTCTCAGGATGCTTCTGAAAATGGGAGATTTCTTCTAGCCTTAATTTTGTTCTTGTGGGTGAAGTCTTCTATGAAGTCGTCGTCATCGCCCTCTCGACGTAACATTTTAGCTGATGAAGATGTTCTCCTCCTAGCATTTATTCCATTTTCTATTTCTACTTGCATGTTGTAGCTTTTGCTATTGCTTCTTCTACTACTTGGTAGAAGATACTCGTCCTCTTCGTCCATCTGCAGAAAGAGAGGCGCGCTCATTGGTACGACACGATCGTCACTGATGTCCATCTGCACTGTACTAGAACTACCAGCACTTCTACCTGGTTGTAAGACTGGACCTGGTCTTCCACCTGGCGTTGGAGCAGGGTTCGGAGCCGGCAGCTGTGGAACTACCGGCTGCGGCTGTTGCGGTCCGTTGTAAATGTGAATCGCTATTCCTGCTCCTGCATTCGATCCTTGAGGTGGCCCTTGAGGTTGCGCATTGCCTGTTGCTGGTGGAGGAGCAACAGGAAGATTTGGCGTCCTCGATTCCTGCTGTGGTGGAGCGCGAGGCTGCATGATGACTGGAGCATCAGGTGCCGCGGTCGGACTTGGATTCGGTGGATGACGATGATCGCCCTGAGATGGAGGTGAAGATGAAGCTGAACTTCTAGGAGGCACTACGGGACCTACTGGGCGATTCCCCGCTGGTACTTTTCTTTCCGGGGGCTGATCGTGATGGTCCTCGTTGATGTATCCACCTGAATCAGGGGAATCATTATCATCTTCGTTGTCCTTATGTTCTTCGCGTGCTGGTATCGTTGCATCCGGATCAGTGGAGGCGGCCAATGTCCGTTCGATTTCGTCTGCAAGATCACTCGGACGCAGGCTGACGTCGCTGTATCTGCGATCGAGATGATGAAGGTCATACTCGCTGCTACCACGAAGCCAATCGGCGTGGTCTCTTCCATCGAGATAAGGCTGGTCTTGTCCATTGGAGACCCGGCTGATCCTGTGTTGAACAGGAGGAACAACATTAGTTTGAGTCGAAGGAGCAGGTGAAGGAGAAGATGGTGTAGCTGCAGGACGATCTCCTTGCTCGTTCCCCTTCGAAGATGAAACCACTCCACCAGCCATGTTTCCTTGATCTCCATGACCGCCACCGCCAGTAGTTACCGATACCGAAGGAGGAACAATAGTAATCGTATCAGCGCCGACAGCTCCTCGTGGTACTTCTGTTGGCTTGGAAGCTGGGGGCAGAGGTTTGTCTGCTCCTACCAAATTCCGCCTTATCACAGGAGGACCCTGATATCCTGCCGGCGAAAGGGCTGCACGACCTGTAAGTTCTGGTTGGAAAGCAGCTGACAGCATTTCTGCTGCTTGTGCGTCATGCTGTTGCTTAAGGGCAGGTCCATGCAACCTCTCCCATTTCTGATACTGTCGCAGCCTTTCCTTCACATTGAAGGAGCGTTCTTTTGCAGCGTCAACTCCCTTGTCGTCGGTGTCAACGTGTGTGCATTAGAGTGAACATCAATTGCTCAGAAGAGATTGTTGGTGACTTCTCCCAACAGGTAAGTATCATTTAAGTATGGTGGCAATGGCAAGGCATGCAAGAACATGATGCCTACTACAACGAAATAGCGAAGCGTTCAACATCTAGTTGTGCATCATATGAAACTCGACGAGAGGTGAGAAAATTTAATCATCGTTCCTGCTCCAACTCCAACATAAGCAACATGATAATCTCCGGAGCCTCCCAAACGCTTGTCTTCAGCTGCCGCAGTATGTGCATCCTCTACTGTAGCCCAATTGTTTTCAGCGACCAGATGTTAGAAGTTGTGGTTTTTCACACTGACTGGTAGCACTTTATTCTTGAGCGCTAAGCGCTGCTTCTCCTAGAGAGAGGAGGGCTTCTTCGCAAACACAAGAAGTTTCCCCTGAGTGGGTGCTTCTACTAGAGGGGCAAGGGTGGATCACATGGCATAGTAGGTATTGGTCTATAGAACATCAAGGTCTCAGACACTATCACTAGTAGCAGAACCTCCCGTACTACTGGAACCCTTAACAATGCTTAAACTCCGGACTCACGTTTCGGATCGACACGGTGAAAAGGTATTCACCACGCTCCAAGCCTCTAAAGGTTCCCAGAGGCAATGCCGGAAACAAGTGCTCCGATAGCCACATTCCTGTTCCGAACGTTCTCGCAGTCAGGATGAACGACACCAGAAAGAAAAGGTAGTACCTGAAGTGGGTGTCCGAGAAAGAGATGATCATGGGGAAGGTTTCTTATTCTTTCTCAATGACAATTATCATGTCTGCATGAAACAAAATTTAAATCGATTATTAAGTATAATACAATCAACGATATGAACAGAATAAAGCAAGACACGACCACACCAATCGTCTTGGAAAAGATTGACATCAATGTCTAGGAAAAAAGAAAACCGTATCTGGTGTACTCGATTCTCCATCGAAGCATGTAGAAGTACCATATAGCAGCAAGCTTCTGGTTATGCTTGATGAGGGCTGCATCAACGCCATCTTCTATGAAGCGGAACTCCTCATCCATCCTTCTATCTTCTTCCTCCTCCTCATTCGCATAGGGGTGAGCATGAATTTGGCTGCCCACACTAGAAGATTCGTCTTCGTCAGCAACGTTGGTGACGGTTAGAGATTGATATTTACGCCATCGTCACTCACAGCAATTCTTCCTTAGCCTTTGCCCTTTCCTTCGCTTCTTCTGGCGCGCGATGCATAATTGTGGTAGTATAATGAAGATCTTCAAAATCTGTTTGTCATCATCTGAGAGATCACTAGTAGAAATTGAATTTGAACAGGACAGACAAAGCCGTAACCTGGCGTCACTGCTAGGAGTATGTTCGAAATCGTCATCACCTGGCAGAGGGTGCGAACCGCGTTCCTCCTGCTCTTGTTGCTTCAAGCTCATCCTTAGAGGTTGCCTTATGACAAAGTGTAAGTTTCTGCAGCACATCCACCTCATCCTTGACCTATTAATTTTCTACTTGAAGAAACGACAAGGATGTTGTTAGAAGTGAGGGATGCAAAAATGTCGTGGTAATAACCCGTAACATCAATTCCTGCGATCCCGTCTTGTAGTAATCCCGCATTCGATTTTCTCGTTTCTCCCTTTCTTCTCGACTTCTCAGTTTCGCTGCGTCTCGGAGCTTCCTGGCTTCATGGAACTCGTCGATACCAACGCGCGTGCCATTCGAGTCCGAGTCTCGTACTACTCCTGAAATTTGGCTGGACAGTTCACGTTCTCTTAGAGGAGGTCCCATTTTTCACCCTAATGATGCATCTTGAGAACGAGAAGCATCCTGTTCATTCGTATTATTCAAGAAGAGCCTGTCTCGGTCTCCTTCCTAGCTAGGATCATAAGAATCCCTGAAAACAGAGCTTCTCGCCTAGGATCATGACATCTCTGTCACGATTATTACGAAGATATGAGCCTTAACTCTCCATCATACACCGAACCGGACACCGACACAGTCATTTTAGCACGATCTACGAAGCGATCCACTGGAGCAGGCAGGTCAGCATCAGGCGTCTTTCTTGAAGGTGCATAAGAACCAGAAGATACCTTTTCAAGTTCTTCTTGTGCACGTTTAATAATAATACTCTTGTTCGAAGGTGACGGAGGACTGGAATTCGAATTTTTTGCAGCCGATGATGTGATCTTGTTCATCCCCTGTTCTTTGTTGCTACTTTTGCCACCTGTTGAAGAGGCAGAGTCGTCTTCTAGTTGTACAGAAGTTTCGCGATCTTCAGCAAATCTCACGCCATTAAAAACATTCGGGGGTTTGTCCTCCGTACCAGATCGAGTGGTCTGACGAGCATCTACAACATGTTCTTCAGAAATGCTGGCATCCCCAACAGCAATTATAGGTATAGGACTTGTTGCAGCACCTTCTGCCTTCTCTGCTTCGTCCCCCACTAGTACAGGAAGAGAAGGGGGTGTTGCCGCCTCCCCCTCTTCTTCGCCGCCGAAAAAGTCTCCACCGTCGCCTCCAAAATGAATCTCCTCACCCCCTTCCTCCAGCATGCCTGCATCTGCTGCACCAAAAGCGTTCATACGCAAGCTGCTCCTGGAAAACTGTTGCGGGGTAGAATCTGAATTCTGTTTGCGACGCTTAAAGGGAAGGAAGAAGGTAGACAGTGATCCTAGTAGAGAAGACACGACGAGTATTGGATTCTACTCACTGTTTTATTTGGTCACCTGTTGGGTTAATCGAAGATACTAGCAAGCTGTCGTAGAATTGAATCTTCCGACTCGCCACTTTAATCGAATGTCACCAACACTGATTCAAATGACCTCGTACGTACAGAGAGACATGTGACATAGCTGTAACTTCTATGTATTATACTTCGAATTATCTCTACTATAATTACAGGCTTAATAATGCTCGGCAGCGAAGGTCTCGCAGATGCAGACCCCGTCTTGCCACTTCGAGGACTTTGTTCGTCTACGTGGTCTAGTTGCCTATCTTGACTATCGATTGCCGGAAGTTGAGGAAGCTCCATAGCGGTAATGCGCTCGATGTCATCGTTTTCCTCAGCTGTAAGATTGATCAAGATTTTTGGACGAGCTGGAGTGTTGTCTTGTTTTCCTGGATCAACTAGGTTGGTGTGATCTTCAAACTCCGTCTCTGTTGCTGTTTCGCTGATGCTCACAGTTCCTTCAACTTCTGAGTGGAGAGCAGGCTGATCTTCTCCACCAGATCCGGAAACTACACCTCCCGAGTGCGCATCTTCCTCTCCTGGTGAGATGGTTCCTATTAGATAGAGAAATCCATCTCGCTCCCTCGCAGTAACATACAATATCAAGCAGGAGTAAGGGAAGATGGGGATCTATCATGGTGATACTGACGGATTGGGTAGTTATAGTTTCAAAGCAGGTAAAAACAAATTAAGAGGCTTAACACATCGTCATCTTCCCGCGCAGATGGGATCGACACACCAGAAGATGCTCCGTCACTCCCACCAGAAGCTTCCACCTCACTGCTTGGCTGTAACATTCCCCTTGCTAGTGGTAATTGGAGACCACCACTTCCGCCTCCGGCACCAAGGCCTTGAGATGGAGGAGCACTGGACATTTCGGATAGCGATAGTCAGTCACAACATACAAGAGCAGCTCTACGAGTGGACTTACGCTTTCGTAACAAGAAAAATGGGGGATGAATGATGAAAGTTAAAAAGAGGGTCTAGGATTCTGGCTTGTTTATTGAGTCTACTTAGGCAGTACAAATGAAACTCAAAGAAAAATAGAAAAGATGAATGGGTAACTGTGAAGATTAAATAGCTGCAGTGCCAGTGTGCCACAATAGTGAAAATCGAAATGGACAAAGCGAGACCGAAAGCGAAACCTGTTGCCATTTTAGCTTACCCACTTTTCATCGGCCATAATTTGCATTAACTGAGACCGATTGGTATTGGGAATCTGAAACTACGACTCCTGTTTCGGCTTACCGAATGCGCAACCGAAACCGACAACGAAGACGAATCAGACGAATGCTTTGTTCTCTCAACACAGAGTGTCTTCGTACAAGAGGTACCTAGAAGAGGAGAACCGAACCCAACAGTCGGCTCCGAACTCAGACCAGATAAAGTTAAAGAGTTGCCGAGATAAGAGTGAAGGCGATCCTGGTGACAGAAACCACGAACAGCAACAGATGCTGATTAAGAACAAGCACCATCAACAAGACGATGAACCAAGCCGAGCAACCAAGCTGCTTAATCAAGTGCAGTTAGCTGTCAGCTGAACTGACAAAAGTTACTTACACTACTAGAAGCACTTAGCTCCTGCGTGATCAGACTGCCAGTGCCCTGATTAAGATGCTTAGTCATCAAAAGTGTTATCTGCGTGATAGTAATTCCGAGTGCGTGTGGGAGTGCATGTGCTACGAGAGGAATTGGAATAACGATTCTCGTCTAGTGTCAGTGTCAGAACAAGTCGACTAAGTACACAAATTTTATGAATCCGAACCTCCTCCCCATCACTGTCCTACGACGATCCTAAAGAGAAGTTTCGAAGTGACTTTTGCACATCATTCCATGTCAGATTCTGGTCTGATGTTTCACCACTCGCAGCGTTCCAGCACCCCATTTTTTTCGGCGACTTGTTTTCTGCATTGTTGGTCTTTGCACCTACTACTTCGTCTCGGTCTATGTCGCTATTCCTTGCCTTTGATAATGGCCCCGCTCCACCTGGTTTACCGTCGCTACTTGAAAGTAGTCCAAGTAACTCTTTATACATTTGTTCAACCTGCGTTGGTGTTGCTAGTATTGTTACGGAATTTGATGATGATGTTCTTGAGGATGTCCTTTGCTTCCATGCATGCAAACTTGTCAGCGCATCCACCACTTCCCTCTCGATTGGCTTCGTCTGATCAGCTTCGACAGATCGGTCTTCATCGTCGTTTTGTTGAGTCTCATTCGTCAGAGCTGTTGGAGCCGCAGTACTAGTACTAGAAGATGTTTTGTTCTTTTCTTGTTGTTGTTTCTGCAGTTCAGCTGATATTTCAGCGTTTTCGTGCCAGTCGAGCAATTTCTTGTGAAACTCACCGTATTGAGATGCGTAGCGATACGCTAACAGTTGCTGTCCTTTCAGCGAGTGGCTCGGTAACTCTTCACTACTTTCTCTTGAATAGGAGTATGTTCTTCCGAACTTCAGCCACGTTTTTTCCGCTGCACCTCCCACTGCTAGTAAAGTGCTGTTGTATTTCGCTGCGACAAGCATGCGCATCAGTTCTCGGAAACTCCAACGATCCATGGTAATCGACCGGACGAAACTTCGACTCACGCCGAGCCCTCGATGAAGCCCAGCACACTGCAAGCACAGATAGATGCCGTGCGTCACACTTGCCCATGTCACGCTGGAGTCCGCTCGGCCGCAATCGGCACAGGCAGCCCCAAGGTGCTCATCTCCACCACATTCTATTGCCTGGATCATCTCAAAGATGCTCTGCAGTTGATTTCCAGTCGAATACTGGAAATTCAGAAGAGGTCTATGGACTTCAGGATCGAGGACTGGAGTCTTTTCTCTATTTTCCATCTCTTTCTGATGATCTAAAGCAGATGCCTCTTCCTCTTCATTCTCTTCTTCTTCAGAAACTGAACTATCTCCAGCCCAGGCAAGAATTGCCGTAACTCCACGTGCAGAAGAGGATTTTTTCATTGCAGATGAAGGGCCCCCTGGCGAAGCACATTCCTTGTTGTTTGGAAAAGCTGGTGAGCTACGCGATTTACCCTTCTTCTCTTTGATAGGTGGGTTGTTCTTGTTTTCCTGAGCAGAAGAAGGCTCGTCGGTGTCGCCAGAAGAGGCTCCGCTTTCCTCCCCTTCTAGCAACCCGACGCTACTGAGTAGAGCACCAAACTGATTGAGCGTTTTCTGTACTGCTTCTTCAACGAGTTGTTTTGCGCTGGACCTGGAAGCTGTTGAACTAAACGCGTCTGGGGAGGATGAATTAGATGGTTGAATAATGTAAATCTGAATGTTTGGTAACGGTTCAACATTCTCCTTTTGTAGTTAAATCGTCTCTCAGCTGCTCGCACCCTCTCATGTATTCGACGATCTAGATTTTCCACCAGCAATGTTCTGAAGACGAGAAGAAAGTCTCAAACTGAATCCCACAAAGGCCATAACCTTGCTGCTTTTTTCTCGCACTGTCTCGATCTCTTCCGCTGCTGTTCTCATATCCGTCCCGGCGAAGTTCAAAAAATCCACGCAACTTCGAAACAGCTGTCTTTTCTTCACATCAACACGACGCTCCAGTGCCTTTACGTCAGCCGCACGTCCAGTGTTCACAAATTCACGAGCTTCTTGAACCAAAGCCAGCAAAGTGCATTGCTCAATTTTTTCGTCAGTCTTTGCCAACAACTTCTGGCGATCTTCTGATATTTGCACCTCAAACTTCTGCCGCAAAAGCTGCTGTTGCAATCCACTTTGCGCTTGCTGATTTCTCAAAACCTGCTCCTCAGCATCGAAAAAGCTCAATTTCGTATCGATCTCTTCTAATCGTTTTAGCAGTTGCTTTTTCTCAGCCACCAAGCTCTGCTTGATGTCTTGAATCTCGGTTAGCTTGCTTTTGACGCCGTCAGACTGGCAACTCATATCGGCAGTGACTTCACTCCTCTTTTGCTCCAAATCAGCAAGGGCTTCGGCTAATCCCTTAACTGCTCCGTCCATGGTTGCCATATTAGTTGTGAGTCGATCTACTAATTTCCCGCTTTCGTTTGCGCCTTCGGCTACCATTTTCTGGCATTAGAGGAGGAATCCTGAGTAAGAGTATGACATCTACATGATCAATTTCATCTTCAACATGGATTATGATTTTGATTGTGATTCATCATCTTCATCCAAATTCATTAACAAATAGGTGAAGAAAGTGTAGTATGCATCAGAAACAGAAAAAGCCAAATCGTAATTCAAGCTACTGGCACGTTGCTGCAGCTTCAGCGTCATTACAAGCAAAAGCAGGAGTTGCTCCATCGCCGATACAAATGCGCTGAGTTGTTTCAGCCACTGTGCTTCATGCATCCTGCGTTGCAACAGCATTTTATGCGCTGATGGCTGACTGTTGTCGCGTGTCAATGCTACGACAGTCTCGTGTTCCTGCACAGCACTGCTTAGGATAGGCATAACGAGATCCCGAACGAGTAAAGCGAAGGTAGTATCATCCACGTCATAGTGCTTCTGTACGTCAAGATACTGGTTACTGCTTTGCTGGGTCTTGCTCTTGGTGTTAACAACTCCAGACGAACTCGAGGATTCTGCTAGTTGCAAAATTTGCAGAGACCCAGGACCTTGCAATTGGATAAGATCGCTATGATCTTCTGCTCCTTTGTTCTTGACGGAGGAAGACAACGAAGATCCGCCACCACTCGAAGTCGAGGACCCAACATTTTTAAACGTTGCTTCTAGTACAACACCGTTCTTCGTAGGTGAAGAAACATTCTTGTCTTAGAAGTGTAAGAGGGGTAAGAGAGGGGTAAGAAGAGGACTGCAGGGCCGATAAGAACTTATATAGATACATACTTCTTTCTAGTAGACTACTCCATCGCCTAGTAGACTACTCCATCGCCTAGTAGACTACTCCATCGCCTATAAATATACTTCTTAGTAGACTTACTAGTAGTAGTAGTACAACACAAGAAATATTTATACCTGACAAGAAATGTGCTTGTTTGTCTCTATCAAAGTTACTTACGGTAGGTCGAGTTGATATTGATTCATCTTGTTGACTCTGTTGAAATCTCTTTCCAGCCTTAACCATGCCCAGCACATATTTCGCCCAGTCGTTGTTCTAGGGCCTTCCCTTCTCGTTCTGCAAGAGGAGCATCGCGTCTCCTCAACAACGTCGGAATCCCGCCACCTAGGCCCACGATGTCTTGATCGCGATCTTTGAGCCAGCTCAAGACTTGTACAGCCTCCTTTGAGGTAAACAGAGCGTCCATCAGCAAGTCCATCACTCTGGTCTGTGCGGACTGGAATTGGAATAATGTCAACTCTAAAAATTGCCGCACCACCATCCGAAATTGCTGATTGTACTTGGACTCAACCTCGACAGACCGCAAAGCTGCACTTGAGTTAGCGTTTGCTGATGAGGACAATTGTAAGCGACCTCCTTGTGCTGTACTTAAAGATAATCCGCCCCTTGAGGTTTTGTTCTTTCGTTTCTCTTTCTTATCTTTTTCCTTCTTGGAAGTTGCGGTTGCACTGGATCGCGTAGAAACAGCACTAGAAGCGATAGGCATAGAGGACTCTCCTGGTGCCAGGGGTTGGTGCTGACTAAGCACGCTAGAGGCTGGTGTAGATTCCTCTCCTGGTGTAGCAGAGGTCGGGGTCACTGTAGCACTCGTACCTCCTCCACCTCCACTGAAAGTAGTTGAGGGGCCACCTCCACCACCTCCTCCGAAGACATCTTCATAAGCACCAGAAGATGAAGAAGGTTCTGAAGGACCCTGACACTGTCTTTGTTGTAACCCTGGGGACTTGATGATGTTCTTACTCGCGACAAGAACCGCGCTCCTGGGGGTAGATGGTGTAACATCATCCTCGCCGAAGACATTCTGCTCCGCTGATCGACCTACGGGAGCAAAGACACCAGCATGATCCGGTTTACTCTGTGTTCCGCTAGGCGTCGGATTTTCTTCCTCACTATTGAACACCGATGAAGGACCCGCACTCGAGGAACTGCAGCTGAATATAGAAGGCTCTTCGGGTGATCGTGACCCCGCACCCTCTTTGACATCGACAACGGGAGCAGAGTCGTGTGATTCCTTCTGGCCTACCACAATCCCAATATCGAGGCCACTGATATGGGAAAACAGGACTTCTACAGCTTGGCTCCGCAGTAGAATCTGCCGAAAAGAGTACACCTTTTTCGCACGAAACTTGTCCACTACAGGAAACGGCGTTGCATTCTTCGCATTGATACCACCTCCTCGACCGAGAAGAAACTGCTCCAAATGATCCGACGACACGACTGCTCCCTGTGCCAGTCCGATCCCTGCTGCATGGCTCACTGCGCTGGCCCCAACGTCTTCTGCTGGCCGGACCAAAAAAGTGATCCATTTCGCACATTAGCGCTGCGCCTAATTCGTCTCTGTGAGGATCCCTCATCGTCCTTAAATATCACTTGTAAAAAACGGAAGCGCAACAAGCGGGACTTCATCCATAGGGATGGAAATACAAATAAGTACATTTAGTGGAAGATGAAGCCTTAATCGAACAATGCCTGTGCTGCGCGCAAGTCCTGGTGTGGTGTGCGCGCTGCTTCGGCTACTAGCGCATGCTCCAAGTCCTGCGCAACCTGCGGATAGTCTCGAAAAGTAGTCGAAACTGCATTCATCGCTGCAGAGGTGGACGAAGTTAGGATCGACGAAGAAGTAGAGTTGCTTGCGGATGCACCAGCACCACCTGTGGAAGAGGACGCTGACGCTGTACCACTATAGTCACGACCCGGGTGATTCGACGAGCCTCCGCTTGGTGCTGTTGGGCCTCCAGGTCCCCCGCCACCACTTCCTGCATAGGACAAGGAGCCTCCACCGCCAGTCGTGTTAGTGTTGCTACCGAAAGAGAGTGAGCGCGAGTCATTCTTGGTGCCTCCGCGTTGTGACGAGGAGGATCCGCTTCCACCTAGGGCTGAGGCCAGCCAATCCATTTACTTCTTCTTTCACCTGACCAGCGAATTCATGATTTACAACTTCTTCTTTCTTCAGACTTATTCTAGATCTAGAACGTAGAACATTCAGACTTAGTTCTTTCAGGACATCAAGCAGTAGGTCTTAGTTACCTTTTTAATTGGAGCACGAGCAGTAGCAGGTTCTATTGTCATTTCCAACAGTGGTTGCGTGAAACGTAACACTCAAGATGATGATCCTTCTATTGGAAATTATGACCTCACTGAGATAATTGCGTGAGTTTTTTGCATTCAGAATGTTGGTCGCGCCGATGTTTCTGAGAGAAGCAATGCTACTGGATACCGCTCACTCTCAACGCTCTATTTTTCCAGAGAACAATGTGTTGAACAGACATAAGTACTTGATCTGTTGTGTACAACACGATCCGCTGTCAATTTTAGACTTCGAAAAAGCCTGCTATGTCGTTTTCCCGATGTGTTCGGTGCTGTTACTCATCACATGTGGTAAGATCATGGTCGCTAGGTTTGAGTCGGAGAGATCTTCTTGGTTTTGGGTTCTTGTCCGCTAGTTCATCTACTTGCGAGTACAAGAAGTAAATAGGGATATATAAAGTTCTTGTTTATCATCCTTCATGTTCAGCCCCCACCCTGTTTCACAGCTTTTGGGTCTCGTTTTCTTGCCAAAGCCTCCTCATAAAAAGCTTTCAGCGGTCGCTGCACTGGATCAATGAAAACGTGACCTTCTTCAAGAGCATAAGTTCTATCGCTGTCTGGCGCATCGCGGGCTCCACACTGGAGGAAATGACATAATGAAGCTGTAGAATGTGAAGGTCCTTCTTGAGGCCGTGCTGGTCGTGCGGGTACGTCTTGGGAGGTTTCATTATCTCCACCTCCAGTACTTCTACCATTCTGATCCAGATCCCCTTCAAAGATCAACACTTCAGAAGACTCCTGTTCCGAAGACTCATCTTCCGAATCTACTGCAGAACTTCTACTATCACCATTGGTACCAGCATCAAGATTCGAAGATAATATCGAAGTCCATGAAGAACCTCCAGGTCCAGTTCCAAAGAACCCTTTCCCCACAACAAAGCATTCTGGTGAGCTGACCCGGCTGGCGCGTGGTTTACAGACGTAGACGTTTCCAAACATCTTCCGCATCACACTCAAAACCTCCTTCTCCGTCTGGGGTCCTCTAAACAACTTTGCGATGAAATTTCCCCCAGGCCTCAGGATTCTCCGGCATACTTTCAAGCTCGAACCAATCAGCAAGTGCTGGATATACTCGTCAAAGTCGTGGATCAAACTCACGTCGGGCGCGCCATCCATAACGACCAAGTCCGCGAGTAGAGGATCAACGTTGCTCGATACTTTAGTACTCGGTAAAAAAATAGGACTACTAGAAGAAGTCGATGACGAACTAGAACTAGTAGAACTCGATCCCTCAACATGATCAGCACAACCTCCGTCAGCACAACCTGTAGCAAAGGAGTTTTCCACTCCCTTGGGTTTTGATCGACTTTGCCTTGATGTATAGCATTTCCGTAAGATCTCCAAGTGCGTCTCTGGTGCGGTGATATCTCCGTACACATACGATACGTTTTGTCTTGGCGCTATCTGTTCTAGGTTCATCGGCTGTAGATCGACAGCCACAACATGGTCAAAATGTTTCCCCAGAACCTGCGTCCAACTACCAGGCGCAGCACAGAGGTCGACGACTACAGTCGTCGTGTTCTTTTTCGAAGAAGAGCTGCTGTTGTTGAGGGTTGTTGATGAGGGTCGGGGTCGTGTTGCTGTCGTCGTATTCTTGGGTCCACCGTGTTGGGATAAAATGCCGCTAGCGGAAGAAAAAGAAGAGATGAGTCCTCTCGTGGCGGTCGCAAAACTTCTCGTTGCGTCTGAGACATCGACAATTTCTCTATCTTCGGCTTCTAATCTCGATCTCGTCCGACTCGTTGCGTCTGAGAGATCGACAATTTCTCTATCTTCCTCCATCAACCTCGTCACGCCTTCTCTGTGCTGATCTGGAGTTGATTCTGCAGTTTCAAACAACTGCACAGCATCGTTTACCTGCAACAGTTTGAACGCTGACCGCGCTCGAAGACCCTGCTCTTTCGCGAGCCGGTAATAAATATCGCGCTTATCCTTCGTTGTTCGGCCCATTTTGAGTTTGATGTCTATGGTGCCTATAATAATTTCATAGTACTAGTAGTACTAAGAACTCGAATAATCAAAGCATTGGCTTCATCTATCATGCTCTCTCCGCCTGAATCTGAAAACGAAAAGGAAAACATGAAGTACGAAAATTAGATGAGAAAGAGAATGAGTTGTAAGTGAAGATTATTTACACAATTCAAGTGAGCGGGATCAGATTTCCAAGGCATAAAGCGAGACATAAACTTCAAACGAGGCGCTTCTAACCAAGTTGATCTCTTCATCATATTCATCAACGCTGTTCAACAACTTCTTAATCTTTATCTCTAAAAATGATGTAGGGACGAGTGTAGATCTTTGACTACTTGATCATTGATCCTCGTGGTCGGTCTACAAGTACAGGCTGATCAGGTGAGATTGGTATCGTGATAGAGATCGCTGGAGCGGAGGTAGGGCGAGACAAACATGCAGGAAGACGACGCCCTGCGCAAAACGAGGGAGTAAAAGATTTTTATACTCATGAGCAAAATGCAAGCATATTCATCACATGTGATGTTCTTGATGATGCGTTCCCATTTACATCGATCTTGTTCATCTTGTTCTGTCACTGTTGCGGCGATGTCAAAAAAAAATCGATATATGTATGATGGTGAAGTGACAAAGGTCTTGAAAAAAGGGATGGCGGGAGTCTTTCTAATTTTGCGTAGGATGAAGATTCGGTGGGTATTTCACTATGGGCAAGGTTGGAATTCGTAAGTTGGGGTCAAGAACTGGCAAGAAAGGCAGGTAATATTGCAAGAATGTGACGTTGTGTTTGAGGGAGAGGAAGGAAAAGAAATAGGTTTGCAAGAAGTAGTAAATAAAAGTAGTCTACTGTAGTTAGTAAGTACTATAAGTGTAATGCAGGAACATGGGCATGGTAAGGGAAAAAGGTGTGACGGAAATCCTCCTCGAAGGAGGAACTAGAACTAGTAGTAAGAACGTGGATGCAATAAGGGGTAATATCCTCTTCCTCGAGGAATGAAAAAAGAAGGTAGTGATATAGGGCATTCTTGCGTGGACAATCTGTTGCTATCTCTTGTCCGACTCGCATTTCATGCTTCTCGAGTATATGGCGGTATTGGTAATGATATGATCGCTAGATTATCTTCTAAGTACTTGTTAGTTATTGAAGACGTTGAATATTAACTTGTTCGATGTACTACTGCTGACTAGCATCACACGTCAACGCATATCGTTCGTTTTTCCCTACATCGGGCGCCGAAGTAGAGCTAGTACTTACATCGTTTTCCCTACATCGTCGTGTGAGTGGTAGTACTTACATTGGTCCGGAATAAGATGAAATTCTAGCTGGGAAATGCAATTCATTACAAAACTCATAAAAAAAAATTTGCGTTCTGTAGCTTTCAACGTCAAGGCTGTAGATCTTCTTTAGATGTATTTGAGTGAGAATGAATGTCAACAAAAAAATATAAAGAAAAACATGTAGAAGCTGTGGTGGATTGGTACTAGTGCCTACTCAAAAAGAATACTATGTACTGAAAGAGAAAGTGCCCCGAACTTGATCCGAACTTGGGGGCGCAACTTTCTCCGAGGGGAAAAGCCTCCCCTAATGGCCCGTCGTTTTGGCAGTTTTGACAGGCCTCCCCTAATGGGAAGCCACGCATGGGAAGTTGTGGTGGATTAGTACTTCTAGTGCGTTGCTGATCACGTCCTCACCAAAGATGAATCATCATCATACTGCATCCCAAACGACTATACTCAGCCATCGGCGGGATGATACACTTCCTGCGGTTGTGAAGACGGCGGAGGAAGCGTTAAACCTACTTGAGGTGCCGTTGAGTCGTTCTTGGCTGATGTCCATCAAGAAGCCGGAATCCATGTCCACAGCCTTATTTCATTTCCATAAAAAAATTCATTACTAATCTTCTATGATGTTAATGTCTAAAAAATATGACCTCGTTTAGTTTCAGCTGCGGGGTAGAGAGCCTCTACGATGAACGGTTCCTCTAGTTGTATGTCAGAACTCTTTCATCCGTATTCGTGTCCCTAGTACTTCTTCTACTAGGCCGGCGCCGGACCGGAGGCGCCGGTGGGATAACAATATAATAAGGTGAGGACGGTCTACAGCGTAAACGTTTAGATAGGGGTAAGACATAGTTGTTCGTCTGGTCTACTTTTCTTCGACAGACTTTCTTAACAATGTCAGGCAATTTCCGATGGTTCACGCTCTCCCAGATATCATCATATTTGTTGCGAAGAAAAAGTGCTTTATTGGTATTCCAAGTACCATTCATGGTAAGAACAACAAGATATTGATTCATTGGCAATCTCTATAAATATGATCAATGTGACCATGTTGTACCAATCGTAGATTGACCATGTTGTAGTACAAAACAAGAAGTGGCAAGTCAAATATTCATCTAGAAGAAGGTGGCGGAGCATACTGCAGAGGCGGACTGTATTGCGGAGGCTTCCCGTATGACGAGGGTGTTCCGGTAGCACTACTTCCTGCAGACGGCGAGGAGGAGCACGACGGCCTAGACCCAAAGCTCTCGAAGGAACTGGCACCCGGCGACGCTGCGGACGATGACGGTAGAAAACTCTCTTTCGCGGGCGGCGGAGTTCGGGGTGGCGGTGTGTACCTCAAAGAGCTACTAGCACCTGAAGAGGGAGTTGACAAAGCTGCTGGGGTACTTCCGGAAACGGAGGGGCTGTCACCAACCTTCGAGGAAGGTGTCACGTGATGAGCTGGTGCAATGTTCAACGTTGTGGTCGCGGCCGACTGGATCGTTGTGATTGGCGTTGGAGGTGTGGCACTCCTCGTAGGGCCTGTCGATGAAAATGGAGACACGTCCACCCCACTTGTAGAAGCAATATCCGGAGATGACACCGTGTCAACATTCTCATTCTGAGAGGACGTCGTATTTTCTCCTTTTCGCGCAGTACCGGTGGAGTCTGCTGTCGAGGCAGAACCTGGACTACTAAACGCAGTAGCTGCTTCTCCTCCTGTAAAAATATGATGTTTCTGTGAAGATGCAGCCTCAAAATCACGATCAGTGCTTGAAGATGGTTGTTCTCTCGCTAGTACTGGAGTTCTCGTAGTAGCTGGCGGTGACAAGTAGTGTCGATCTGCCGACGAGGAAGAAGCTGAGGCTGACGGACGCTCGACTGCCGAGGAGCTACCGCCATCTTTTGCAGCTTTTTCTTCTACAATTTTTTGCTCCGTCTTGTGCGACTTTCCTTCAAAGTCCTGCTCCACCTCCTTCTGTGGAGTTACAACAACTTTCGGCTTGTAAATGACCTTGTTCCCCGTGGTTCTTGAAGCTCCGTAAGTTGTAGCATGATCGGTCGGCAATCGCGGAGGCTTATTACTCTCCCGTCGAGCAGTCGTTGAGGTGGCGCTCCTATTCCTTTTGATCTGTTTGGTTGATGATGAAGTCGCTCCTGGTGTAGATGTAGTTGCTCCTGACTCTAGCAAGCCACTTACTCCAATGTTATAATTGTGAGAAACTTTCTCACGTGACTGCACAGTGCTCGTCTCGTCTGTATTGGACTTGGAGGCAGTCTTGGTCGTACCTGATGCGCCTTGCTTTTGATCTTTTATCACAGCAACTACGTCCTCTTCGACAATTGGTTCACTTCGTCCTCCAAGAATAGTTCCGAACGAAATGATTGCTTTTTGTTTCTCATTCTCACCGCAGTAGTTTTCCTCGTTATCGTCTTCAAGCTGTCCTTCACCTTCCTCATCTTCCTCATTCAACACGAATTCGTTTAGGTCTGGATGCACACTAACGATTTCTTTGACCCAGTCCCGCAGAGCGCGACGCCACACCTCACACTGATATTTCCACTTGCGCCTTGGCATTGTGGCACTCGCATCGGGTGTTGGAATCTCCGCACCAGCTAAACTAGAGATGTAGCCCTGTGTTTTATAATTTGGATGTTGTACTTGCAACCATGATCTAACAAGGTGGAGTGCGAGGCGAGGTCGAGGTGGTGCTATTTCATTGACTCGATCTTTTGGTTCTACTTTGTACGTCAAACAAACTCGAGGAGCAACAAAAACATAAGAAAGGACATGATTGGCCCAAACATTAACATAAGAATGAAAATTATAAATATATCAACTTAGTTGTAGTTCATCAATCTTCATCATAGTACCCGAGTTTCTGCGGCATCTTTCACTAGCAGAAATTCCCGGTAGGGCCTGAACGCTTTCAGTTTCTCGATTTCCTCTTCGCGTCGCTTAATTACATCAACTCCTTCCTTCGGTGGGCGATGGTTATCTGGTAGGAGAGAGTGATTAATAATAAGGCGCACTATGATCATATCTTTTGCTGCAGTTGCCAGCGACGAAGCGCCGCGCGAAGCCTCACTATCTCTCGGAAATAGGAAGACGAAGAGCAGCTAACTCCATGACAGATGAGAACGAAGACGAAGATCAGACTCTATGCGGCATGACGAGGTGTCGGGCCATGCTGGCACAGCCCGACGGGGACCTAAAACCCACGGAAGAAAGCGAACCAAGTCCACGCTTAATTACATCAACTCCTTCCTGCGTCGTGTGGAGGTTGGGTTTTAGTATAAATCACTGATGTTCATCTATGTATGGTTCTGGTATTTGGTAACCTGAATTTGATCATAAGGGTTCTCTTCTTGTTTTCCCGTATGATCAAATTCAGGTTACCAAATACCGGAACCATTCAATCTAGCATTGGCAACAACTCTTGTTGAGCTTGAGGGAGATAAAAAAAGTACTGCTAGCCCGTCCAGTCCGTCTGGCTCCCAACACAGCAGGGTAGAAATGCTGATCATGATGAGCTCGGGGATCATGGTGCTGCGTAACAAGGTGCTGCTCACCATGATACGTGTCATGGTGACTGTCCGGTACGTGATAATCTCCATGACGGGAGTACTGGTCTCGATTATAATCGTCACCGTAAGGAGGACCTGACCCACCCTTCCAATTTTGGTCTCCTCGTTTCAGAGAATGTTGAGACTGCTGTTGAGGACTTTGATATCCGCGTTTCTGCCCGCCCCATTTTCCTCCGCGATGACCTGCTGCACGGCCACGACCATCATAACCGTTCTTTGAAGATGAGTCGTATGCTCCGACCTGTGAGGTATTTGAATGCTTCGACATCCGAGTGTGACGGGAGACGAAGTAGACAAAGATGACTCTAACTCTTCCTCTAGAAAATGAAAATAAAGAGCAACTACGAGCTTCAATAAGAAGCACACTCAAGAAGAGTTTGAGCTGCGTAGACACAAATATTACCTGTTGGTAGCCTTCTTCGGCGAAGTCGCGTTGGCTGTTGGACACACTCAAAGATCCTTCATGACCGCTGTACCTGAAAGAGTATGCAGAAGATGGAAATCCGGTGTGCAGTTCCAGATGCAGATGGTGATGAAGATAGGCATAGGAAAAAATAATCATTCCGACTTCTATGAAGCTGCAGGATCAACATTGAGTCAAAGCTAGTTCTGCATCCGATGGATATTAAAAGAATATTCTTATTCTTTTCCGAATTCCAGTAATTCATTGTACCAATTCGAAGTCGTAGAATGGTGCGACGCTTGCTGTCTACCTTTCTCCTGGTTGTAGGGACTAAAGTTCCGCGACGACGTATCCCGTGCAGGTGTTGAGGTCCGCTTGCTGTTGATGCAGACTTCGTGCTGAACCACTGCTGGAGGTGGAGGTGTCTTCGTAGTACTTCTATTTTGATGTTGAGGTGTCTTCGTAGTTGTACTATCTTGATGTTGATAACCACTTCCACTTCGATTGTATGCCCCCGTGGACTCCAGCACATCAACATCTTCGACTTCGTCAAGCTCATTCTGGTATGCTCGAACATGCTTGTCGACCTCCTTCGAGTTAGAAAGAGATAGATGAGAGAGATCTGGAAAATAAAGTCCCACATAAGTAGTACCCCTGAGGTCGACGTGGACGTGGTAGACTATCTGTAAAATAAAGTCCCCGATAGTGACCTGAGGTCGACGTGGACGTGGTAGACTATCTCTAGTTGGTTCCGCAGTTGTAATATGTTGGATAAATATAATGCAAGTATTCTTGAAAAAAACAAAACATACACTACATAGACCGCAGGTATAAACTTTTTTTTCTACTTATTAAGTACTAGTATTAGCCTTAACTAAAATGCTGGCTCCGTCGTTCGATTTGCGATGGTCCAACTTGTTTCCGCCACACCAATTCCTGGACGAAGTTCGACGACCGTCCAAAGCTCTTGTTTCCCCTCCCTTCAAGAGTTGTGTCGTCGTGCTGGTTGTGCCTCTGTTAATCCTGTTGCTGTTAATCAACAAAGACGAGGTACTTCTAGATTCCCCTGCTGCGGCGCCTGTAGTAGAGGGATCAGGAGTGCTAGTAGCATGTCGTTGGTCGTTGTGACACGCTGAGGCTTGGTTTCTACGCCCAAATGATCGGTGTGCAGCCAATTTGGGCGCCTCTTTGTTCCGCATCATACTGGCAAGTGTTGGAAATTCACCGCCGATTCCAGAGTTATTTGCGTTAGAGCAGCCATAAAGCGTCGAGCATGTGTGTATAAGTAGATACTAAACAATGAAATTCAGTGTGGAATTTCAACTTTGTTGATCATAGAATTAGCCTAGATGAGCGTAGGTACTAAAAGTAAAAATCATAAACAACAACTACACCATCGATAGTAGCCGACCAGCTGGAGTCTACTAGCATACGAACTTGCATTCACTTCTTTGCCTTAACGATTTGGGTAGATATTGCAGCACTGTTCTTCAGTGGTCGTCGTGCTGTAGTTGTAGTCATAGTTAAAGTTTCAGTTTCTGAAAGCTCGTGTCTTCCACCTGTTGCTGTTCCTCGTTTCTGCCCCCGACTTGAATTAGTTTTGCTACCGTCGTCTCCGTCTCGTTCACACTCATTTCGTCGAGATGAATACTGGTCTTGTACTCCCGGATGACGTTTTTGTTCTTGGTGTTCAGAATATTCTTCATTGAGAAGATGTTGATGGTGTATATTCTTGCTCTTTGTTGTTGACGACGCAGAAGAGTGGCGAGCACCATAGGTGGCCTGCTCGAAAGAACTTTTACTGCTGTAGTTAGCAGGCGATCTCCACTGCTGGTCATCCCCTATGCGAGAAAATTTAGAGCTGCAAAGAAGGAACAGGACGATCGTTGATACTACTTTAACTTGACGTGTTCTGGATACTCATAATGATGACTACGATAGCACCTCTCGAGGAGTAGCTTCTTGACAAGTTGTAATTAGTTCCTAGCCATAAAAAAACTGACAGACGAGTAAACTGTCGAAGTGTCACCACGCTGTGCCTGACGACCAAGGCTCTTCTCGCTGTACTTCTTGCTCCTTGAGGGTTGGCGGCGACCAGCATGGTAGTTGTAATCTTCGTAATTCTCTCGTTGATCGACACGGTAGTCCTGGTGGCTATCGTTGCCGTAATTCTTTTGATGATAGTTTGTTGACCTTGACGCTTTCGTAGTACTCGTGTAAATCTCGCCGTCGTCTCGCCGATGGCGCTGATCATGCTGATACCCATCTCCTTGTTCGTGGTTGTACGTACGCTGATGCTCGTTGTTGTATTTTTTCCGCCCGTGGTATTCACTACGATCAAAATCATGCTGCCCTTGTCCACCTGAAGAACAAGTGTGCCCTTCACGACGGGTGCCTTGGCGCGAGTAGCCTCGACTACTCCTCTCCTCTTGATAAGTGCGATCCTCGTCTTGTTTTCCCCGCACCGAGTACAATCTATCACCCTGGTCGCCAACACTTGCATAGGAGGCATGGTCTCTTCGGTCGTCCGAATGACGTGGATAGCGCTCAGTGTGTTGTTGATAGTGCTGGTGGATTCGACTCGGATGCAGTTCGGGATCGTATTTACCCTGCTCTGCGCCCGTGCTTGCTGCTCCGCTATGATCGCTGTTGTACTGCCGGCCTACTCCAAAGGAGGCACCATCCCCACCCTGACTGTAGTGTTGCTGTTGCTGATAGCCATAGCCTCCAGCTCCTCCTTTTTGATATTGATAGCCTCCTTTGTTCTTGTGGTCTTGTTGGCTACCTGGTAATTGCTGGTTGTTGTATCCCCGTCCCTGCTGTCCTGCATAACAAGACTCCGCTCTGAAGTTGAAGTCTTCTTCGTCGTGTTGCCGGGAATCCATTGTGCTGTTGCCGTAGTTTCCGTAGCTGTTGGCATGTTGCTGGTACTGTTCTTGGTTATTTCTCATTCGTTGCTGATGTCCACCGTTTTCAGGTTGCTGTAGTTCTTGTTGATATTGTTGACGACCTTCATCCAAAATAGCGCCGTTGCCGTAGTTATTGAATTGATAACTATTATAGCCTTGATCAAGGTCAAGCTGCTGATCTCCTCGGCGTGATCGCTGCTCTGAGAAGGGCGTCCACTTAGAGGTTGTCACGCCTTTTTGATAGGAGGATCCCTTACCTCCGCTACTCTTGCTCCTCATTCCTCCTCCAGGAGTAGAGTTCATCGCATTCATGCTTCCGCCATATTGGAGTTTCTGAGATGCGTACGAACTCATCGCGCCACTGCTCCCTCCGGTATATCCACCCTGAAAGTTATCAACATTTGCTCCATAGGATGAATGCTGAGAATGCCCCGACGTCGCATGGCCACTTAATGCGTTATTCATGATCATATTTGAAGACGACAATCCTGAACCAGCGTTATTCTCTGACGGCGTTTTTGACGTCATAGTCCTGTTTTCAGCTCCACACGAAACAAATGAAGCTGCAGTGTAATCGTTGTTATGCTGTCCATGAAGCGGTCCAGCACCGCCGGGTTGTCCACCTAGAACGTGCGAGTTCGATTGACAAGACGTACCACTAATTCTGGTTCCTCCATGTGCGTTGATCCCAGCACCATCATTTACGGATTGATGCTGACCTGCGACTTGACCCGCCCCACCAGGCCCGTCCAACAGCTGCAACAAAGATGCCGCGGGCTGCTTTTCATACGGAGTGGAGGAAATTCGACTCATACTCGTGTTCACCTTATCCTGCAATTGGTGCTCTCCGGCAGCAATCTCAGATTCGACCCAAGACGTGCATGTGCTGTGTTGTGTCGAACAAGAACCTCCTCCACCTCCAGCATGATGTTGATCCCCTAACAGCAGGTCCCCTCCACTAGCTAGATTGCCATGATGTTGATGTTGATCCCCTTCCCCTAAGCCTAACAGGTCCCCTCCACTAGCACTAGCTAGATTGCCTACGACCATGTTCATCATAGTACCTCCACCAACTGAAGACGAACTCAGGAGCTGTCCATGCTGTCCTACATCATGTGCTGGATTATTGATGTTGGGACCTCCAACTTCTGTACTTTGTCCAAGTGATCCAAGTCCTGCTCCGCCGGAGGCCGTCGGCATGTGAAAACTAGTACTCGCTGGCGTATTCAGGCTTGCGCAGGAGTTCAGCATACCGCTACCATCGAGACCGCCCATCAAATGCGGCGTGGAGCCGCAGCCTGGAGATGAATGGCAAGAATCAGACGCATTTGGATGAATTGTAGTTGTACCACCCAGAAGTTGTATAGATGTTGCGTAGGTGGCGGAGTGACTGCCTCCAATACCGATGTTGCTACCCTGAAGACCAGTAGAAGGAGAACAAGAGAGTCCAACTACACCTCCAGTGTTCCCACATTGCTGCTGAAAACTCGTGTTCGTGCTAGTACTGTCTTGCAATTGCAGAATGGAGCTCGCGTTGAATGGTTCGTGCATGTGATCCTCTACTAAAATGCCACTTGTATTGCTCAATGCCAACTCCGACTGGTCCAATTTACTCGCTGTACGAGCAGACACCCGGCCAGACATTGGTGCCCCTGGGCCATTATTCTGGCCTAACGCTAAGAAGTTTTTGTGGCCTAGATGAAACATCCCAGCACATGTAGTTCCTGGTGAGCAACCGAATCCACTTCTTCTAGACTCGTCCAACATGCCTGCTCCTCCCAACGAAGATGATCCACATCCGACATTTCCACCTAAGCCATGATTTAGATTTCCTACATTTCCTAGAGGATGAGGACCTCCTGTTCCCGGATTGCTCATCATATCAACCTGACCCGACCCGCCCATGCTCAAACGATGTCCTCCTGCTAGCATCATTTCCATCTGCATCTGCTGACCACCATTTCCATTAGCGACTGCGTTCATATTCATACCTCCTTGCAGGTCCAACTGTTGCTGATGTCCTTGGTTGATGCTCAGATCTAGTCGTCCTCCGGTAATATTAAGTTGTGCTCCGCCACCCCCTCCTCCTGAGAGAGTCCGCGCTAACAAGTTAATGTTGTGATCCACACTATTCGCATTGCTTTTGCTACTGTGAAAGCTGAATATGCTGCAACTGCTATCCGTTGTTTCAGCTCCTTGCTGTGCTGGAGTAGTATTAGAATGAAGTTGTTGTACTCCTGGTGATCCTGTAGTTCCTGTTGAAGATCCCGTTAACGGGTTGACACAAGTCCCTCCACCACTCGACCTGGCATGACTAGTGGTCGTGATGTTCACACCTCCTCCGATACCTATACCAGCAAGTTGAGAAGCACAAGCACCACCCATTGTTCCCATTCCACCAGTTCCATAAGTGGATGGAATGGTGGACGTGGATGGAACATTGCTGCTAGACCATTGCTTACAAGAGGAACGCGCAGTACTGCCACCCATGTTGTTGATGTTGCTACCGCCCAGAGCTGGAGGCAAACCTGCTGAGCAGCCACCGCCGATTGCCGGCATCAGAGAAGCGCCTGGAGGAGCATTGTTCATCCCCCCTGGAGGGCTGGAAGACGGAGTTGAGACAGTCCGGCTCCCAAGTTTGCTCCCACCTTGATCGAGAGCGCTCGAAGCGCGCGTTCCCGATTTTAAGCTCTTGGTTGACGTCGTGCTATGCAGAAGCAAAGGACTACCACCGGGCAAACTCGAGGATGGCGGATGAAACAAGGGAGGACCACAGGGGCTGCTGCGCGAGCATTAGAAGATGAACATTTTCTGATTCTGCTTGCTTCATGATGAGGAAAGCAGAAAAGTTCTATCAGCATCTAGTAGATAGTGAGACGTACTGGTGGGCATCTCCGGCACCTTGCAAATACTCAGTTCACAGTTATCAGAGAGAAGGAAAATGAGATAAGACACCACCACAAAGCACAAATAGGCAACAGATCAGACATCTTCTGACATCATAAGATAAGGTTTGCTGGTGCGCTTGCGACATTCCGCTACTGCTCGAAGAGCCAGAGGAAGGACCCAGCTGGATTCCTGAAGGCACACCTTGTTGCTGGTGTTGTAGAACGAATTGCTCCTTGGCGCCATCTGCAGACATTGGCTGTGTTGAACACGACCCTCCACCAATAATGCCGTTGCTCACGCAGCTGCTTTGTCGCCGTAGCATTTCCTCACAGAGGCCAAAGAGAATACTATTTTTCGGATTCGGGCATCCGCCTGAAGATCCACCTGCTCCTGGCTGGTGGTCTAATAGTGGCATGTTATTACCTACTCCGCCTCCAAAATTAGCTGCTTGAGAATTGGTTGGTCCTCCACTCCCAATTCCACCCTGTAGCTGTCCCGGTTGTTGCAGATTAGGATTAATACTTGCCATAGGATTACCTCCTATACTACTACCTCCATCAAGTTGCATCGACGTATCTAGGGACAGGGAATGCTCCAAAAGACTAGTATTGTTCTGCGAACCGGAAGATGGGATGTTTAAAGCCCCACCAGCGAAATTCGAACTGAACCTCTGAAGCGGAGTCGTCGCGGCACTGTTGAATAGCGGTGCAAACTGCGGATTACTTCCACCAGTCGTATTTGTTTGGTTGCCCATAGATGTTAGCGGTAGTGAGTGAATGTTTGCCAACCAAATTTTTACGATTTTTAAGTACCAAGGAATGAAATTAACATTATGAACCAGATCTGATCTCATTACCAAGGAATCATGCCAGATCTGATCTCATTACCCAGTATTTTAGTCTGTCTTTGTGAAGGAATAGAGAAGTTGCATCTTATCTTTTCACGAAGGATAAAAATTCAATCAGTACTAACCATAACAATCCATTGATTGGCACCGAGACACAGGAACTCCCTGATGATCTCACACGCTCATTTGCGTGTAACGATTGCGACGTCGACAACACCATCCGTTCTTGTGCAGAAGAACTTGAACTTGCAGGGCCACCGCTAGAAGGATTGTTCTGGTTCGTATTCACACAAGATGAACCGTGCTGCAGTAAGAGCACAGACTGTTCACTAGGTGGTCGTGTTTCCAAAAGGACACTGCTCGTATTGCACGAACCTGGCGTATTCATCAAGTTCAGGTTCTGCAAATCATCCATAGGAGGTATCTCCACTGAATCTGGATTCGTAATGCTCTGGAAGGAGAATGAGAGAGGCAGGACTACAGGGAAGTGGGGCGCTGATTCTGATGTAAGTAGTTTCAGTTTGACATTATGTGCAAGAGCTACCAGTTTTTTCAATCCTTCGTAGGTTCCGAAAAAAGTTTAGCAAATTCTGAGGGTGAGTATGACTGAGAGTGAGTATGACTCAGACAGTATGTAATATTCGCTCGTACTCCCAAACAAAGACGAGCTAAGTATAGAAAAACACAACGGCGTCATACATCAAAGTTTCTGCATGCCGCACCGTTGTCAAATTGTGCTGAAGGAGGCCGTAGCGCTAGTGCTGCATTGCCACCGAGAGTGCCGCATGTGCCCCCTTGACTTGAAGATATAGACAGGCCTCCTGCACCAGCAAAGTGTTGGTCTGTAGAAAGTGCTTCGCTAGTGCTCGCCGCAGACGCAGTCGTTACACCAGTATTTTTAAGGTGTATTTGCTCTGCTTGTTGTATTTGGACCTGAACTTGATTTTGTTCTGCCGCATTTAGTTGTCCACATTTAGTGGATAACCCGCCTCGTCCGTGTTGTTGACAACCAGTACTGCCCGGGGTCAACTTATTAGAACGGAGTCACATCGAAGGTGTTTTAATTTTCCTACCGTGCACCTGGAAACTAAGCGGCCACAGCCGGTGACACTACTACTCGTCCATTCAGATTGGTTCTGTTTCTAGGCAAACCAGAAACCACCTAAATAAAAAAAGCAAAAAAATTCTTAATGCTCAGAACATTCAGCGCTGAGGTCGAGCAGGTACTTCCAATAGCAGCCGATGCCAGAACTTGCGGATCCACGAAAGCATTACCCTCCTCATCATACGCGACTTGATTTAACGGAACAAAGACCCCAAAAACAAAGCCCTTCTGTTGCTCGGAGCCGCTAGACACTGTTAGAACAAACATGAGGGACGACCAGAGATGCAGATGCATAGTCATAGTGTGGAAAAGGAAGATAGGACTAGGTGAAGATGATAGGTGGACGTGGAGTAGGTCTTGTTACAACTCTAACTAATCAATATCAGAAGAAGAAATAGATGAATATGAAATAGGCAGAGCAACTGCATCAAGGAACTAACGCTGTTCTTGAGGTAAAAAAATCAAATAACGGGTAACGAAAAAAAAGGCAGCTCTCCATAAATGATTGTCCTGCTGATCTGCACGATCGTTCGGTGTCGATGCTGGGGGTGCTCCCGGCGAAATATAGGCGGTGGAGCCTACCCCTCCTTGATTTACTGTCAAATTTCGAGAGCAGTTGTTCACTTGATTTAGTGTCAAAATTTTGGAATCTCCTGTTGTCTCATCTGCAATTTGTGGCTGTGGTTCTTCTACTTCCCTTTTTGAATCTACAAGAATCCGTGGCTCAGACTCTTGTTCAAATGGGCTATCCACTGTAACTGGTGCATGGAATTCACAGCTTTTTTTCAAAGAAGCGTCTTGTTCATCGCCAACTTCGCCATGACTGCTCGAGGCCGATAGGGAATCTTTGATATTCAGCGACGATGTACTCGTACTGTTTTCAGGCTTATTTGTCTCCGGTGTCCTTGAGGCGGAAGTTCGGCAGAGATTTGATGGCGTTGTCGCGTATCTGTTGTCCACACTTCCAGCTGCATCAGAAGATCTAGTCGTAACAGCCTCTCGAAGGTCTCCTGACTGCGCAGTCGTGCTTGATGTTGTGCCGATAGTCTTCTCATCCACTAAAAGCCCGTTACCCAGCTTTGAACTGGATCCGCTTGCTCCTGACGACAATGACAAATTTTTCGTTTTAGTCTCCAACGCTCTCCCTCTGGGTCCTGTGGGTTCTCCTACCTCTACTTCATCTGGAATTATAGTAGGTTCCTCGTTGTCGCAGTCGCTGGGCAAAATGTCGCTGATACTGTCGTCGTTGTCGTCGTCGCCAATCTTGATATGTTGATCCTTGTGATCGTCGTGTTTGTCGTGAGCTAAACTCGTTTCATCTTCCCTAGAGATCGACTTAAATGGTATCCTAGGAACTACAGCTGCTCCAACAGCGGAAGAATCACCTCCATCACCTACTTCCACTTGCACTTCCTGTCCTCGTCTTCGAGGCCGTCTTTGTTGGTCACTCGATGTTCTTGATATCCGTTGCTTACCCGATCTGCGTTCTACCCGAGAACCGCTGGAAGACGATAGCCGTCACAATGAAGAGGAACATACCGTCACATTTTCAAAAAAGAGAAAACGAAGCCCCTATTTTTAACCCACCTATGACTATCACTATCATGTACTAATGAAATTCATTTCTTAGTAGAATTAGTTCAATGAATTGAATGAGTGTCTATCTATTAAATGAATGCATATCTTAGATATAACCCTGCGCCTTCATTCTTATAGATACATAGTATCTAAGTAAGTAGTACTAGTATTTGATGTAGTAAGACAGTAACAGTTGTATAGAGACTATCATCAAGCAGGAGCGACTTGTTCGTGGGCTCACAAAGGCAAATAGAATAAACAAAAGTTCACCAAAAGAAGGGAGTACAAGATGGAATTTCACTAGCACAGGTGAAAACGAGGGAGCTAAGTCGTACACCTAGTTTAACTGTGCGAGTGGTCCACTTAAGCGTTGTTCTATCAACAAAAATGGTCATCCTATTGGCATGACCAACCATATATTCACAACATGAACATATCTATAATATCACGAGGATTTTTTGCTACTTACATTTACTGAAAACAAAACACCTGTGCGTGTTGGGTTGAGTAAGACGAGCTAGATTTTTGCAACAATGCCCCTTTGGTTATGTCCTATATGGGCAGATAATGTGTTGCTGTTGACTATATCTATTATAATCTTTAGGAAAAATAAGTAAGTCCACAGCATCTCTTCAAGGTCACGCCCCAATCGATCAGAAACCGATGATAGATGAATTGTGGATAAGGAGGATCCTGGATTGTCATTCTTAGTTGTCAACATTCTCTTTCTCATACATTCTCTGGAGGAGGACGACTGCCGTAGAGCCGCGACGCGCCATCGGATAGCGTACGCTTCGGCAATACCATATCGATATCGATATCCTCCTACAACTTCCTAACAACTACTACCTTCACCTCCGACTCTGCTTGTGCTTCTTTTTCGTGTATTTTTAGTAGAGTACTATTGGTGGTAGTTGTACTTGATGTTGGTGTTGTTCTCTGCTGCATTAGGCTGACCACCCAAGACGTTTTTCTTGTTATATTCAAGAGCAAAAAACATAAACAAGAATTTTTACCTCTGAAGCCAAGTTGTCAGTCTTGTTACTTTTACTGTGGATGATAGATGACGAGTTGTAAGTTGTTAGTAGTAGAAGATGTTCTTGTAAGTGCTCAGTCCTTCTGCTTCTTCCGCTCGAACTGGTTTTTGGAAAGCATCCGCCTACCAAGAATGAGAACGACCGAACAAAGGACCACGCGCGATAGTTTTTACTAAAAGTGTGATCTTCTCCGGTTCTGTAAGTGTCGCTGTCCAGATGAAATGAAGCTATTTGTACCTCTACTTGTTCACAGTCATCTTTCAAAAAATTCAGATCGCACAAAGGATAGTGACGAGATGAGAACCTCCGAGCAAACACATCAGCGGGATCAGATGCAAAAAACAGACGTGCAATGATCAAGAACGGCGTGAATCTGATCGAAATCGAACAGAAGCGCATCATCTAGAAGTACTAGAACTAGTAGTACATCTCATGATGCCTGTGCTTTTTTCGTTTTCACGTCGTATTATACTTATAGACCCCCACAGTACCACGCGGACTTCTCTAGGGAAGACCGAGCTACTTTGCAAACTCACAAAATCTAGTTTTGATGACATCAACGTGATCACGAGCCTGCGGTTCGAAGTACCACGCCAGCTGATTATTTGGTCTTGCCCTGGGATCTGTTCGTGCCACTTCTCCTGTCAGTTATGTCGGTCTTGCATTCCTTGCTTCCGTTGAATTGCATTTTTTGAAGATGATTCCGTCGAAGGGGTTCCACTTCCAATGCGATCATAGACACTGATATCGTTGTTGAACACAAGTACGACCTCCATTTACAGGTCGTACGTAGGGTTGTCGACAAATGGAGATGATTAAAAATATAGTGCGTTTTTCTTTTGCTAATTTGGTAGTACGCAGCGCTGTGTGACGAAGGTCAATGGAAGTTTTCTTCATTTTTAACAACAGCAAGACATCGACATGCGCTTCTGCTGTCGTGTGTGGTATTGGTATTCGTATTGCTTGGGTCGAAAAAAAATACTAGAAAAGGTTGATGTTCCAATGTCAATGATCAACATTTGGATTGCTTTAATCTTCGTCGACGTCAGCCAGCATGAGCATGGTTGAGGTCAAAGTCAGATCAGAAGAACCTGGCTCCCTTCCTGTAGTTATCTCCTGACACCTCCTGCACGCTGCTGATTCGGTTTGGGTTTGATTTCTGATTCTTCAAGCCGGTGTAAAAAGACTTTGCGCTGTAAGTTCGGGTTGTTATGCTCATGTCCTTTTGACCAGTCATAACTACAAGCGTAAGCGAAAAGCTGTCCGTTTGGACTGAAGCCACTGGCTGTGATGGGACTACCCACAGAATTGAACTGCTTCAGTCGCTGTCTGTTGTCCTTGTCCCAGAAAGTGAAGACGCCTGATGAGGATGATTGTTGTACTACTTGTAGTTGTAGGAACTGGAAGGCCAAGACGATATGAAATAGTATTAGTACTATTTACTGAGTTCAAACAAACAGAAGTACTTCAGAAAGACTTTTAGAACAAATCGAAATTACTCACAAGCAGCACAGTCCCAGAGTAAGCACTACACTAGTATGATGCATTTGAATGGCTCTGGTATATGGTAACCGAATTTTGATCATAAGGAAAACAAAAAGAGAATCCTTATGATCCAATTCAGGTTACCAAATACCAGAACCATAAAGTATTGGTATCTATTCGAAAAACTGAAATAACCAAGTAAAAGCTGATAGATAAGAATAACCGAGATACTGAAGAACAAAGCGTAGCCTTTAAAAGCTACGTCCCGCATTTCAGTCAGCAACTCGGTTATTTCCAGTTTTCGATTGAGTATTCTTTAACTTTAGTAGATTAACGTCATATTAAAGGTAACCCTCTGGGCCAATAACTCTAAGATACCATCACTCCCTGATGTCGCAAATGTTCCGAAAGTTGGGTGAAAGGAGATCGAATTTACTGCATAGATCTCATCGTTGTTCCTATGACATTTGAAGGCGAAGTTTTTCGTCGTCTCGGTTACATACGCAATTGAGCATCTACCTTCGATAGACCCTACTGCGTAACCGCTCTTGTCTGGAAATGCGGAGACACGGATATTAGAGATTGAGATGGAGCAGGAAGAGTGAGTACTAGAGGACAAAAACGTAGTAGAGACGGGAAATTAAATATTCCATATCCATTCACATGATCTACTTTATCTAGTACAACTACCTACTTTTTACATGATCTACTTTATCTAGTACAACTACCTACTTACTTGATAGAAGATCCTGATGTTCTTTGTAGTTCATCTTCTGACTTTCTATTTTGTCACTGCAAGGAATAGACGTACTAGTACAGTCAGAAAGAACTCAATCATCTGTTGAATCTCAAACTTTCAAAACATTCAACAAAGTGGTCATAAACCTAGTCTGCATCTTCAGAGCTGTTTCTCCCTGTCGTACTGGATTTCGGTTGTTCGCAATTTGAGCTAAGTCATACGCAAGTAATCGACGATTCGCCGTTGCTGTGGTGGTTGTCAAAGGTTCTAAGGAGAGAAGGGCTTGCTTTACGAGCTTGCGCTTGGGCTATCTTAAGCATGATAGACGTCAGGGTTTAGTAATATGCCCCCAGGATATTCAAAAAAAAAAGGTACCAACGACGAGCAGTGGATATTGGAGATCCATGCTGTAGACTCGCTGATCTGCAGTGTCGAGACTCAAAGTCGGTTGGGGACTAGTTCCGCTCCAGAATTTTACGGTTTTATCCCAGCTTCCTGATATGACCATTTTCATCTCTTCACACCAAAACACTTCTTTCACTGGCGCTGCATGCTGCCCTATTATTTGCTCTTGCTGCGTCTGTCGTGATGACAATGGGTGTGGAGATGAAGATATGCTTACTATTATAAGCTTAGTTATGTTGGCCGCATAGGAGTAAAAGTTGTAGAGGTAGAAGTATAATATGTGGTTAGTACTTGTACTACTTGTACTGATGATCCAGTGACAGCAAGTACTTTTCTCTAACCTAATATATTTTATAATTTGCGTCTTCTCATCAACGAGAAGGAACAAAGACATAAACAATAAAAACAATATTACCTGCAAATTTCTCATTTTCACTTTGTTATCGCAGCCGCCACTGAACAGGATTGTGCCATCCTTGCTAAAGTTGCAACAGAGTACAGGCGCGTCATGCATGTACTGCACTATTGGTGTTACTTGCACTTGCATTTGCGCTCCACTCGCACCTGCCTGACATTTCACGTCGTAGACTCTTACCTGTCGTGAGGTGGCGGTAAAAAGTGTATTTAAGCCTTAGCTCGAAGAAGAAGAAAAAATTAATTAAAGACTTTGACTTGAATACCTATCAACTGACTGGGGTAATGCTTGGGAGGAATGTCAGAATTTGTAGTGATCCCCTTCTCCTTCCACCAGCATTCTGTGAAGTTGAACTTGAAGTTACTTGGTTGTCTACTAAAAAGTACCGATCTATCCCAGCTCCCTACTGCTAAATGATTGTGGCAACTCCAAGCCAGACAGGATATGCCATCGTCTGGCGGTTGTGGTACCTCTACATCATTATTGGGATTTGCAGGATTCACCTGCTGTTGAGGTTGGCCGAACATCTTCTTGGATATTTGTGGTGTGAGGGGGAGAAGGCGGAAGGGGCTGCTGTGCCTATCGTCGTGGATGGTAAAGGTATAGCGTGTAGAAGTTGTCGTTGTGATTTTTGTCGTGGTGGCAAAGTACGTCGCTTTTGCCTTCTATTCATTGACGTTGTAGGTATCGTTGGTGAGGACCGGCGTAGTGTAGCAGGTAAGCGCAAGAAGTTGTGCTTCAGGTACTAGATTGTTCTGCTTGTTCTAGAACTTTAGATGATAGCTGTAGTCCTTGGACGATTGTGATCGTGGAATTCGTCGATCTCGAAGAGGTATGTGGAGGTATCAGCGATCGTTCGGGTAAAACAAACAGCGGTCTGTTGTAGTTCCTTTTGCTTATACGGCGCTGTGGAAGATCGACTGGTCTACCGCTGCTGCTGCTGCTGGTGCTGTTCTTGTTCGCGTATAGGTCTGGTCAAACAACGGTCCTGGGCCACTCACAGAATTTTTCTTCTTCTACAGGATGCCCCAGACGTCGAAGGAACACCACGAAGAGTCTCTTGTAAGATTGCGTTGCGCTTGGCCCTTCTCCTGGAGAATGATCACGTAAAAAAATTGACCGTCAAACAGCCATCCACCAGAAAAAGACGAACCAACAGAGAGAACGTTGAGGTTGAGCTTGCGCCATACCTAGTTGATACTAGATCACAATCAGTCCATGTCCATCGAAGTTCAAAAAAATCAATAAATTACTTACACTTACTAGTAGTACAAGTTAATTGTCATCAAATATCTCTTCGTTGAAAAACCGACAAGTATTCATTGAAGTACTCATGGATTCCCATTGGCATCGATTCTCTGTCTTCAAAAAATGGCCCAACTATCATTTCATTAAAGCTACAAGAATCTTGCGAGAACTTCTTAGATAAAATGGTGGCATTTAATACTGATACAAACGCGAGCTCACGACATAATAATTGCAGAACACAGCAGACGCACAAGCACCAATCATGGATCATGATTCAACAAGTGGACGATTTCGATTCGTGAAAACCGAATCAAGCTGGTGCGCTGCGACGATGAATTGAAGATCGTCTTCCATCCATGATGATGATCGATGCTTTCTGCTTGAAATTCTGCCTCTGAGTGACGGCGAAGGAAGGCATGAGAAACGAATCAGCCCCCTGATGTTCAGAAATATGTAATTTGCCAGATCAACAAGTTTAGGAACCCGGATCACCAACAGATGAGGACATGATTTCACATTCAGTAGACTCAACATCATCTCAGCTTTGCAGTGGGAGGTGGAAGTGGCGATTTTATTCGAGGATGCATGCTCATCGTGGTCGTGCAGTAACAGAACAAGGACTCCACGACTAGTCCGCGAACGACGCGAAATGCGCGCAAGTGATCAGGAAGTCCATCCTTATCCTTCAAGCCTTGATAGTCCCAGGGTTCCGTTCTCAGAGCAGGTAAGGTATGATTGCAAGAGGTCCGCCTAGCAAGGAAAAAAACATGATCTTTAAGTGACCAGAAACATAAATACAGGATGATGAAAGTTGTCGAGTCCTTAAGTTCGACGTGGACGTTGTAAGTATTGGTACTATAAATGTTTGGATGAAGAGCATGGAGTTAGTTGTAATTGTAAAAATAATAGACTGAAACGTAGGTCTAGGTCTTCTGCGACACTTATTGCGAAAGGAGAGTATCGAGTATCCCCAGCAACGGTCGCAGCGTCTTTTGTTGCATATTGAGTTCGGAATTCACCTTTCCCCGAATCACTTCTAGCTCCCGCAACAGAAACGGATTTTTACTGTCGGTTAAGGATGCTGTGCCGGTTATGCTATTCGTTACAACTGCAGATGCGCTTGTTCCTGGAGCCGCGCCTGTTGTTGAGCTTGAGGTATTAAGGCTGCGACCTTTAGAAGAAGAACCTGAAGATGGACCAACTGAGCCATAGGAACCCGAGCTTCCACCTACGAGGCCACCTGCTGCAATCAGTCCCGCTTGTTCTTCGTTCGCTCTGCACAATTCCTCAAACAGGTTTGCGATTAGTTTGCGAAAGCAAACTGCTTCTCCCAGGTCGATCACTCTGCCAAGCCACTGCAACAAATCCAGCAATTCCTGGTCTGACAGGCCGCTCACTGCTTGTCTCGTCGCAGAGCGACTTTCCAGCTCGTCGAGGAAAGACAAAGCGTAGCTAAAAGAGCCACAAGATATGGCTTGCTGCAACGCCTTTCGGTACTGAAATTTTCTCAGGCTGTGCTCAACATGTGTGAGTTTTTGTTTTTTCGCTAGTCCGTTGACGACTTCGTCGCCAGCTTCTGGCTCGGCTGCCTGTCCACGCTTGTAGTACCGCGTTGTCAATGGCTGCCCAATTGCTGCTTTGTTCACAATCTTCTTCTTCTTTGTGATTTTCTGCGTAGAAATAGATCCATCTGGATTTCTTTTTGGTTTGAACTGCTTCCGCACAGTGAATCGTCCGTTCTGCTGTCCGACCGCAAGGAAATCGTCGCTGCCGCCAAAGCTGCACTTGCTAACCGCACTCTCATGTGCAAAAGCGTAGACATGACCGTAGGATCGCGCGTCCCAGACTCGGCACGTATGATCGAGCGAACCAGAGACGATGAAGTCGCCGCTTTCAGACACCGACACGTCCGTCAGCTCCTTGGTATGGTGGGACGACCCAAAGCAAGACAACAAACCTGTGGTAAAAGGAGGTATATTAGTTAGGTGGGTAAAAGAAGATATTGCGCGGTCAGGCTCGTCAGATCGAGATCAACATCTATAAAAATATCGATATAATCCTTATCCTATTTCTCAGATAAACATGCAAGCTCTTCCCTCCTATATGCATGGCACTACAAAAAAAAAGTTTCCAAGTTGTAACTGAATTGTTCATAATAGTTGTAGTACCGTCATTTCCTCCTTTCCTCACGTCCCAGACGCGGACGCTTGTTCCAGCAGCCGACACGAACATCGTGCTCCCTGGATACCATGCAACGGCCTCTACTGGATCCAGCACCATTTGTTTATGTACATCACTAGCTCCACTTGATGTGGTTCCAAAACTTCCAATACAGCCGTTGTAATGAGCTGCCGCACCAGGGGTAGAAATAGAACCTTCTACTCCTGTCCCTGATCCCGACTGATTCCTGCGATTGTCGATCCGAGAGTCCCAAAGTTTACAGACGCCTTCGGCGCCACCAGTGAGCCAGACGAAGGGCTGATCCGGACTCGGTGCAAGCGCTTTCACGAAATCCGCATGGGCATGGTTCCAAGTGAGTAAGTTAGCATTAGAGCTCGCGGAAATATCGTACAATCGCAAAGTTCGGTCCTTTCCACCAGAAAGAATCTGAGTCAAGCCCGAAGAAAAGCCGCAGCACAATGGCGCATTCGAGTGACCCTTCAGACGACGGAGAACGCTGTGGTTGTGGAGATAAAATTGGTTTTCATTTCTTTGATTTGGTTAATGATTTTTCAGAGAATGAAGAGTGCAAATGTAAAAGTCCCGTGCCCTTCTCTCATTCTAGAAGTAAAAGAAGTTCTCACCAACAACATTATGGTTCACACATAAGAAGCATTTTCTTCTAGATGTAATACATAGTAATCCGAATTCAATTTCCCTAATACAACTAGTTACTTCAACAATAAATTGAAAATGTTCTTGAATACCTTCCTTCCTCCCATTCTAGAACAGCCAGACTGCCGCCTGCTTCTCCTGCTACAAGCAATTTGCCGTCTGCTCGTACCGAGAGACAGGTCGCCAGATCTTTGAATTTGTTCACACTGTAAGCTGGTTCTGTCATCGCCTCTAGTGGAACACTGTTCACTGCACTGCTCGTCGCAGTTGCTCCTTTCCTCTTCTTTTTAGAAGCCGCTCCTCCCTTATTGTTGCTTGCTGCTTTATTCGCATTCCAGAAGCTGATTTTCGTTCCATGGGCCACTGCTAGTTGCGCTTTTTTGCCATAGGGTGTGTAAGCCAGTGCGACCACGGGTTCTCGCTCGGCGCACGTCAGGCCTTCGACTCGCGGACGGAAATTCTCGAATTGCTTGGTTCCAACGTGCTGCTGTGCAAAAGAGGAAGAACTCTCGGAGTCGAATTCCTGTCCTAATTGTCCAAAGGTTTGGACCGCGTCAGGGCGCGACAATTGTTGCAAACGCACAAACTCCATCTTCTAGATCTAGAAATAGAAAAGGAATTCTTTACCTCTATCACAGAACTAAGATAAAATACTTGGACTGACAAATCCGTAGACAATGACTGAAACAAATATCCAACAAGTACTAGTGGGATCTACAACTATCAGGCGTGCGACGCTAGTTGACGACAATGACGTACTCGAAATATGCTAGGGATTGCAAAGATTCGATGCACTAGCGCCATTCACAGTACCAGCACTACATCACGGAAATTGATCTCTGACTTCTCTATTCAATAAGAAATCGTTAGGATTGCAACGAATGCAAAAGCAAAGGCAAACAATGACGGAAGATGCATCGACACCTAAACTAGCTAAAGAGAAGTACGATCATCAGTTTGTTACTGTTACTGTTTGAGTCAACATGATAAAAAAACTTTTTTCATCTTGCCTTGTTTATTCTTGGACACTTCGATTCTTGTTCTAAACCCAATTCTAGTACTAGGGATCATCGCGTAAGTAGATTGCTGAAAAATGTGATGCATCTGATATGCCAGACAACTATATCTTCAACTGGTGGTGGCGTCTGGATCTGAAAGATCTTGTTTTGAAGTTTCAAGAAGTTTGAGGGGATCTCCCAATGTTTATGATCTTTGAGAACTTACTTCATAATGTCCATAATCTTTGATATTCGTCTTCCAAAATGAGAGGTGAACCTGAAACTAATCATAATTGATTCAAACGAGCGAGATCGACGTCGAGTGTGTCAGTCTTCTCGTGGGCAATAAAAGTGTGCATCTACATTGCTGATCTTGATATGTAATCGTGGTCGTATTTCTGAAGTAGTATTGCGATCTTTTGTTGATCCATGATTGTTAGTCAATGGTGACCAGGATCTTGATACCTCTCTAGGCCCACATCTTGCTTAGGTTAGGTTAGGTGGGGCCCCGCCAACAAAACTAGCAAGCTTCATTGGCTACTGAAGAGCCAAAAGACAATACGAAACCTTGCTTCTGTAAGATGAACTGTTGATTCATTTTTCAGTCTTCGACATCCAACACGAAGAGGTGCCTTGATGTAAGTACGTAGTCGTTGGTTCCACAGAAGAGAAAGTAAGACTGACATCAATATCAATAGCAATATCTTCGATATATTCATCCCTAAGTTTTTTTTTTTTAAGTTCGCTATACGCTCAAGTGCCAACATTGTCTGTATCTATTTCACCCAACAATACCCGCATATACATGTCAATTGTAATGTAGTTCCCATTTTGATTTTCCCATTTTCATTTACTAGTAGTTTTGTTACAGGTTTATATACTTATACGTCGACGTAATGATGTTGAATGATCCGTCCTAGATTGACACTCATGCTTCATCGCACATTAACAAAAACATGTAGTACAAAGAAATCTTCAACTTCATAGTCTGTGTCAGTGTCTGTGGCTGAAATTTTCGTTCATAATCATAGTTCATGGCTTATGATGTTGTAAATAATATCAATATCTGCCGATAAATATAACTACTTGATGATCATAAATCTACTCAAATCACTATACATAGAGATAGAAATGTTGTTCGTACTAGCGCCAAATACATACCTTTGAAAGCATACAATTCCATAGATCTACCAATTCATCATTTCTGTTCATCTCGTTCTCGTAATCATTTCTGGTCACGTTATCTGTTCAATACTTGAAAGAATATAAACTCGTTATCTATAAATACATTCAATTCATTTTTCTGTTCCCTTCTACTTTCCATCAGTAAGAAATAGCCGTAATGTCACCTTCACATCAACCATGTGCTGTGTTAAGTAGAGATGATACTTAGAAAATGAGCATTAACATTTGACAATTGACATAATGATTGCAGAGTCTAATCATACGACAATACGACATAGATATGGGGAAGCTCGGCTCTATACAAATTATGCGACTGATTTTGCACAATAAAAGCGAAATTTTCAGATTCGCTAGACTGCTATGACAAACAACGAAACATGGATAAGAAGAACAAGAGGAGCAAGAATGATAAGATAAACAAGGACAACATAGTGTTAGTGGCTACTTGGTATAAACTCGATGTAAAAATGACAAGGAACAACACGAAACAGGTTCCTTTTTCGTGTCATGCCATAACTCTTCGACTTTCTCTTTCCCAATCCTACCTGTACTACCTGCAAGCTCTACTTCCACTTCTTTGATGTGATGTATTAATCTTACTTAATACATCACTATCATAGATCAGGTTAGTAAGTCCTACAACGACAACCCCCGTTGGGGGTCATCGTATCAAACGCTGGCACCTTTCGGCCCATCATCAGCGACAGGCGACTCCTCCTCCTTGTCTGGGTTGCTTGCTGACGTGGAACCATACTGCTTGAACTTGTAGTTGACTGCCCCATAGAAGAGATATTGGTTGTTCTCGATCGCTGTGTTGAATGTTTTTGAGTAGTGAAGTTCAGTTTTGCGCAGAAGTGAAGTTGAGTTTTGGGTAGTGAAGTTGAGTTTTGTGTAGTGAAGTTTGGATAGTGGAGACCATGGATGCTCACGATGAAGATTTTGGAGAAGCATTATGAGTCACGTCTTTTTCTTCCTTCCACCAGCATTTTAAGTGTTGAAGCACGACGCCGATTGGATTCGAGCATCAAACAGTTTATGTCTACATAAGTTCACAAACGTACGCACCTGCATCATCAGACGCCACCGGAACTTGAGGAGCGTTCCTGCGAGCGCAGTAGCCTCTAAGCTTATTGCGCGCCTTGAAAATAGCAACACCACATGCCACAACTGTAACCGTGGAGACGCTCCCCCAGATAATCGCGTCGTGATACTTCTTTTGCCTGCGATTAGAGCTCCTAGACAAACACAAAGAATAGCTAGACCACAGAGAACCAATTATAGACAACATAGTAGAGGTGGTATTGGTAACTTTTTTTCAAATACATATAACCTCCCTAGTGATAAGTGTACAGGCCAACGCCTAAACCACTAAGCCAACTCCTTGCCGGGACTCGAAGCCTAGGTAGTTTGGTTGATAAGTGTACTTACCTACAGGCCAACGCCTATACCACTAAGCCAACTTGCCTGCACACTTCTTATCAATTACCATCATTTTCGAAAAAGGAAAGTGTAGGGTAAGCGCACTTCGGATATTTCCCTGGTGACTGTTGACTCCAATCACGTTTCTTTCGCACTCACATGAATAAGCAGTCACCACAGCCATGGAACCTCACGAGTTATTGAGCGAATATCAACCTGATACCCATGAGGATCAACTTCAGAATCAAATTATCATCAGAAACTAGAAAAACGACGTCCTTACAGAACCTAACTTGTTCTGGTTCTTGTATGATAATTTTTATACCCGATCCGTATTATCTTCAAAGTAGAAGAACGTCCTTAAAGTAATCTTGTGTAGGCTCATCATCTCGAGTCTCCTCCGCGTCTTTCTCGTCAGCTGCCGCGAAAAAGGATGTCTTAGAAAAATACACAAGCTGAATGATTGGGATAGACCTCCTACAGTGCGAAAGTAGCAAAATCGAATGATAGTGTAAAAAAGGTAAAAATAGACTCACGACGTCGTTTCTTCAACAAATTTAAGTTCAACAGCGTGGATTTCATGAGACGAGTAAGTAGGTGTAGGCTACAGTCATGGGTTGCTAAGTAACTAGTCTCGCAGAGATAAGTAGAGCCTAGAAAGAGGGTAGATGAAAATAGCCATAACATTCGCATTGGCGGAAGCATCGCCGTTTTCCACATGTGCTTGCGCTAAAGTGCGATTTTTGGTCGAGATTAAGTATCGGAAGAAGCAAACCCAAACTTCGTTTTTGTTCGTACATATTCAATTTCGATTTTTGCAGAAAATTGATCTTCCAACTAAAAAACAAAACTTGATCATTGAATCAAGGAAGAACAAGAACAAGCAGTGAAGGTCTATCATGTAAGAACCAGCGCTCATCGCGGAGTTGCTCATCATGCCAGTATTGGTCTTAGCGGTATCCATCTCCAGCGCCGAATTGCTCCCTTTTGAAAAAGAATTAATGCCGCCTCTGTTGTCCGCTACAACTCGACCTCAGTGTAAGTTTCGATTTGTTTCTCATAGGGAGAAATAGAAGATAGACCGAGGAAGACCAAAGGGCTGCTCATTCATTCATTCACTCATTCGAACCACGTAGCAACTCATCAAAAGCTGCGTGGTTCCGTGGCGACCCGAGTAGAGACGCGGCAGCTAAAAAGACCGACTGCTTCGGGCGTGCGCGTGAGTAACGCCTATGGCAGACTAAATAAGACCGAATCTCTTTTTTCTTTTCCCAACAACTTCCTTGACCTTCTTCCCCCATTATTTACTCCTTTAACTAGGCCTCTGTCTTTTCTTACGTAGTCCGACGGCCTTATGCTTCCAGCCTTCTGCTAATCTCTCGAGGGGTCCTCCTATTAATCAACGAGCCGAGCACTGTCCTCTTGTGCATTTGTGGCTTTGTCATTCTCTTTACAGCAAGCGAAGGAAACAGTCTAAGCCTAGAACAACTCCGAGCTCTCTGCTGCCGGGAGTTTGTTTGGATGTATTGATTTACATCAGACGTCCTTCATTTTTTGTCTGTTTCTTTTCCTATGGGTGGCGTTGAAAGCTGATTGTCCTACAAGTTGCGTTTGATTGAGAGTGGTTCTTAACTAAGATTTAAAATGAAAAAGTATTGAAATCAAGTTAGGCTAATACGCGCATTAGGGCTACTCCTGCCCATGAGGTGCATCTTCCAGTTAGAAAGATGGTGCTCGCTGCAGAGTTCTTATGTGTCTTGTCTCCACTGCACTCATGGGCGTCGACTCACTAGAGACAAGGAGAATAGCTGCACGTATGCGAAAGCCATAACGTTGAGGCCTTAGCATTCCGCTCCAGCCTCATGGAATCGCTGGCATATCAATCACCAGCCCAGTCTCTGTGTTCGTCTGGCAGTCATATTATCTCACTGCAGGCAGGCAAGTATGACAAAGAGCGTAGCTTATAAGGAGTCGCATGTGGCGCCGGACCGATATCAAGAGACCTAGATAAACCCTCTGAACCTGTTAGAATACTGAAAGCCTAGAGTAGAAAACTAGACCCGCGGGGGAGTCAAGTTGGGAACAGTATCTCCTTCGCCATACCTGCGCAGGCTGGAGCAAGTCCACTCAGTTTGATGATTATCATGCAGATCCAAAGCGTGCTCGTTCATGTCTATGGGCATCGAACTACTTGCAACGCTAGGGGCCTCGGTGCTGATGTTCTCGATCCCGATAGCATTCAACTCCCATGGTGATCATCCTGATGGCGATCCCCTTGGTGTGATCTTGTTGGCCTTCCTATATTGGTGCGATTCTGATCCTGTAACCATTTGGCTCACGATCTTGGTGGGCCTCTTGACTGAGATCCTTGAGCCGTTTCACGTTGTTGGTCTATCCACTATCATTCCGCCCATCCTGCATCCCCCCTCTCAATGACAACGATGAAGGCCTTTGCCCTCGTCTTGACACTGGATAGAGGGCACTGAGTCAGAAACGACAACGACAGCCAACGAGCCCAAGTCAACACCAAAAAGACGAAAGTAGCTCACTATGAGAAATGGCTACGGTCAACTGTGACAGCACCCGGCTGGCAATCGATGTAGAAGATTCCACTACGCGGACAAAAACCCCCGCAGGCACCTCGCTGCCCGCCCCCAGTGCGCTACCGATGACGCGGCGCACGGCAGGGGAAGACAGCACCGCTCTCCATAGGTTCCCGCAGTCCGCCCCTACGGCCTTGACCCTTGCCCCACTTTCCCCCCAAGGAAGCGACGCAGCAAGACAACGCACGGGCGTCGCGCTTCTTGTCGCTGAGCGAAATGCCAAGCGGTGTCTGGAACACCATCAAGGGCCTCCCCATTGGTTTGGCAAGAGGATCAGCGCGACTCAAGTGGGTCGGGCAGTAGCAGGCATCTTCTGCGTGATCCTTCCCCGCGTGAAAACGCGTCTGGAGATGCTTCGCCTTCTTGGTTGGTAGGGACGTCCCTGCCACGATGAGAGAAGACTGAACATGATCAAAGCGAACACAAGCCGAGGGCTGCCGGCGAAGCACCCTGGAAACATCTGCAAGGTAGTTCTTCGCTTTCTCTTTCGTCCAGTCTAGTTGCTTCTTCTCTTCTATGACTATGCCGATGCCCATGCCTCACTCGATGGCGATGGAGTGAGACTCATACTGAGAATGTTACTGTGACTCAGACTCTATCTCTAGCGCTTGCTCTAACTTATTTTGCTCTAACTCTATCTGTTTCCGTTAAGCCCAAGCCTTACGGATGCGGATGCCTATGCCTTAGCCCTATCCTTAACGCAAACGCCACAAACTCAAACAGACCCGCGAAGTTTGTTCCGTCTGGAAGAATGCGCACGAGGGTGCCTGCGTTTACAGCAGTGACCTCCTGGGCGAGTCCTTCTTGACAAACAATACCGAGTCAGATGAAGCACCAAAGCAACCCGATGCACTTGATGAAGAGCGCCATGGCATTTCGTTTCCACAGAAGCCGCCGAAGGCTTCCCCCCGTTGTTTGACGGTGGCGCAAATTGCGAATGGAGCTGCATATGTGACGGAGGTAATTTGTTTTGGAAACAAAACTGAAGTCGACGCTGAGTTCTCGCCCTGCTTCTGGTTCTCGTTCTGGTTCTGCTTCTCCTTGATAATGATAGTCCAGCTCTACTCTCTCCTTCGCAGTCCCGATCCTGAGCACAAACTCAATCACAGTCACCCTACCCCTCACCGAGACAAATCATTAAAACCATTTCGCAGATGAAAGCCGAGGACTTATATGCGCGCAGTAAGCATCTTGGACGACACGACGCGCTTCGTCCCAGCTTCCTTGAGGGTCTCGTCTACGATAGATTTCCCATCGTTGCCAAGGAAGAAGAGAAGAAGCTGAGCCGTCAGCTGCGCTCTATGGCGGAGCTGCTCAAGGCGGTGCAGTTGGGTGCCTACATCAACAAGGTCGCGACGGTTGGTCTCCAGATCGTGCAGAAGGAGAACGCTCCAAGTATTAGACTTTTTTACTTTCTTCTGGATCTGGTTTGGCTATTCTTTATCTCTTGCTCTTGTTGAGTGTTGACGCTGAAGCTGATGCTGATGCAACAAGTCGACGCTGAAGCTGATGCTGAGTGTTGAAGTTGATAGTGAGTTTGACGCTGAATGGTGCTAGACCTCGGCCTGGATCTGGCTGGGTACGCAATCTTCTCGCCCTCCATCTCCTCCAGCTGCTCCTCTGAAGATCGTGAAGGACATGCGTACTCGTCTCGTCTTCGATTCCGAGCACAAGTCCAAGGCTTTGCACGATTATCAGGGTGCCTGCATGGATATGAAGGCGGCGGATGAGGCTATTGAAGAGCTGAAGGCGAGGCTCCAAAAGCAGACTGAGGACTTTAAGGCGGAGACGAAAGCCCGCAAGGAGCGCTGGGACCGCGAAGACAAGGCCGAAAAGCCTTCCGAAGAGGCCACAAGCAAGGCGTTGTCGTTAAGGCCATTCCGATTCAGCTCGAGTCTCCAGCAACAGTCTGTCTTCTCTAGTCCTCACCCTTGTGGTGGAACTTGTCTGGGTTCGTTTTCTTGTGTCAGTGTCCCTACTCTTTCTTACGACTGCATCTACTTCAGCTTCTTCTTCTACATCTACTATGCGTCTACATCTACTTCCACAACTACTACATCTGCAAACTAGTGCAGATTTCTAATGATCCGCGTCGATGACGATGAGGGGTGTTGGCGTAAGAAGGTCGAGGAGTCCATCACGCGTGATCGCAAGCGCGCAGCCGAGAAGAAAGAAGCGGATGACGCGCACAAGGAGGCTGAGCGTCCGCGCAAAGGGATCGAGATGTCTGAGGGTGAGCAGGTTGCCAAGGTCTACGCGAAGGCCTTGAGGCGTAAGATCGCTGCTGCGGTCGATTGCTGCGTATGCGATGCGAGCTACTATTATGAAAATAAGCCCCACACTCACACTCACGCCCCAAGCCCCCATGGCCATGGCAGTCGTAATCTTATTTGCAGTCCAGTCGGAGTTTCAGTCTCGCCATCGCCATGCCTTCCTACGTCAGTCTTTAGTGTCAGCGTCAGTGTCAAAGCGATGCCTCTAAGTCCTCTTCTCGCGCGACAGCAAGGCGATGAGCCAGCGGCGCGAGGTGTCCACCAGTAGGGCCAACGTCGTGGCTGGTCGGTTGCCATGGACGGTGTCCAGCTTGTACGGTGTGCCCTTCCCAGAGTACCTGTCTGAGTTGCCGAAGTTGGAGCTGGAATGGAAATCGAACGACCAAGAAGCGAAGGACTACACTCCGCGCCCGCGTGAACTGGTCATAACTCTCCTTCGTTGCTTAGGGTGACGCTGTTGCTCAGTTTGGAGATGAAGCGGAAGACGTCGCTGCAGCTTGAGGCTGTAGCAGTAGCTGTAGGCCCGTTCTCGTTTCCTGAGAATGTGCTCGCGTTTCGAATTCGATCTCCAAACTTCCACTCTCTCCAGACCTTTCCGAGCTTTTGTTTGAAGTTCAAGCTGCCCTTCAAGAAGGACCTCGGTCCGGACCCGGAGGACCAGACGGACAATTCCCTCCAGGAAGGTGAGCCGAAGCCAGCCAAGAAGGTGCAGCTACCTATGTTGAGTGCAGAACTTTCTGCATGCTTCGGGGAGCCGGCGCCAGAGGTTGGAGCTAAAAACAAACGAGCAGCGGCATCCTCGTCTACCACCACGGCGAAGAACAGAAGGCGAAGGTCTCTCTTGGTGGAGCGTCTACCATGGGGAACGGTGCTGACTCCAAGAAGAAGGCCGCCGGCTCCAAGAAGCACTAGGCCTAGAATGGAAGCCATTTCCTTTGCCCGTAGAAGAAAAGCTAGGAAGGATACTTCTGAAGAATACACCTAGGCCTGCGACTTCTCCATAAGGCTGAAGAGTGTGCCTCTGTGTATCTCAAAGCACAAAAGAAGTTGCAGCACAATGCTGGAGAGCATTGACTTGGTTGAAGAGAGTAAGAAAAAGACGCTTTGCACCTGTAAAGATTTAAAGTTAGCTAACTATAGACCGAGGCCGTGCGATAGTGATTGTGAGAGTGAGAGGGAATTTGGATAATGAATATGAGTAACGACATGAGTAACAGGGAGCACTGAGTAGATTTTCAGCGCCATGCGTCGCCTCGTGTTGCTTTAAGTAGTTTGCTTATAACTGTCCTCACAGCAGCGCCTCACTCTCTCTCTATTTGTGTTCGTGGCTGTACCTGTCTCAGACTCAGCCTCTGGTCTCTGTCTCAGTGTCTATGTCGGTTCTAAATCTAAATAGTCTAAGTCTAGCGCTATTGACTGATCGCCACACACTTAACGGCCGACGCATCCCAAGCCTGCCGACTCATCTCATGCACGTAGTCGGGGTTTCCGTCTTAATGCTAGCGCTGGCCATGGCCTTCACCTTGGCATAGGTGTTGGACAGTGGTCGATGTGATTAGCAAGGGGCGACGTTGTTACAATTACTACTGCATAAGCATAGCATTAGTAATAGTATTCATATTAGTATACCTATAAGCGTTAACATATGTATAAGGGCATAGGCGTCCGCGCGTGTTTCCGTATACCTAGACCATGGATGGGTAGACATCTAAAGAAGCGCACGCATATCAAAACAATAGTCGCGGCCTCTGTGAATGTGAAAACGAAATGGCGTCGCCATCGTCATGCCCATGGCACTCTGTCCTCACAATTAAAGTGGACCAGGTTGCTCCACTTTCTCACTCTCTCGCACCCTCTTCCTCTTCGGAGGGAAGGCGATCACTAGGAGCCGCACATAGTATAGTAAGTTGCTCGCGTTTCTAGAAAAAGATATCCATGAGCTCGCGCATGCTTCTACTTGATACCTTTACCACCATCGCAGCCATGTCTCCCCCCCGCTCGCGTGAGCATAGAACTAGAGTCAGAGCCTAGAAGTAGCAAAGTCCTAACTTAGTTTCAATATGATGACTGACGAAAGTCAGAGCACAGGTGTAATTTAATTAGAAGACTTAGACGAAGTCGCTAGAGAATGAAAAAGAAGCACTGCGGTAGTGGTTATCATATGAATAATTAATGCGAACGATTCTAGTGGTGGCTGATGTTCATGCTGAAGCCCTGCCTTAACACGTACTGAAGTAGGACTTAAGCTTAAGCTCGCAAGTCTGGCCCGCTCCTACTGCAGCCACTTTTCGTTCCTCTAAAAATCCTGGCCCCCGATGTAGTTGCTGGCGCTGATGGTGATGCTGATGCAGTCGTAATTGTCACTGTGGTGAGCTTCTGCTTCATCGAGCGGCCCGCAACTCGTCTCATCTGCACAACAACAATGAACAGAAGCAGAATCTTCGTAAGCGCTCCCTGCTGATATAGATCGCGACGGAGATCGAGATGGTGAACTTATTTAAGGTCTTGCTTCTGTGACTCACTGAGTGCGATTGTGACTGTGTGCCCGATACAATGAGAGTGGACGCGTTCTGGTAAGAGTGAGGGCGACCAAGCTCCGAGGAAGAAGATGGCCAGCCACTGAAATTGAGAGTGTCCTGCTGGTTCTGTCCTTCACCTTGTGCGATGTCTGTTCCTCGTGTTGTTCTACTGCTGCCCCGTCTAGTTCTGCGCCTAATCTTAATCGCGCACAGCTGTGACTGAAACTGATACCGATGGCAGCAGCAGCCTCGCTCATTATAGTAGGAGTGGCGCGAGCCCAGTCCATGCGCACAGTGTTCCACTCCCCTTGGCAGCAGCTCACTGCTTGGTAGCGTCTCCACTAGGTAAATGCAAGAGCCTGGCTCTGGTAGTGTCTCTACTAGATACTAGCACAGGCGGAAACCCGGTAGCGTCGAAAGAGAATGAGTGGTGAGATGAGCGCCTTGAGCGGGAGAGGACGAGTCGAAAAAACGAGCGCCCGAAGGGTTGCGGCTCTCCCCCTAAGCGCAACTATTACTATTCGCGCTCCTCATGGGGTTTCGTAGAGAAAGCAAGAGCTCCGCTCGATGGTTTAAGTAGCTAGAGTCTTTAGCCACTCTATTTTTTTTGATTCGCCAAAAAATATACTCGATAGTAAGCGAGATAATCCGCCCGCCGCTCTGCAGATAATGTCGACTCCACGAGTTAGTTTGTCGTAGCCTTTCGGATCGGCGAAGAACTCGACGCTGCGCCTGAGCCTTTTCTTGGGCCTGTCCTTGAGGTGTTTCGAATGGTTGAGGAAAAGTCTCGAACAGGATCGATCAGCTCGGGGCCCTGTTTTCGTTCTAAATATAGTCGAAGGCTGTAGGAATTTTTTCGAATGGAGTCAATTCCTGAGCTGAGGCATTTTGTAACTTGTCTGCTCATATTTTGTCTTCTGAATAACTAACCAAATGGAAGTCATCCCCTAAAAGGATACCCGTGCACGGAAACCCATCAAGAGTGCCGACTGCTTCTGCTCTGCTCCCTTCTCTTCTATGAAACACTGAGGGCGTTCGCTCCTAATTGCAATGGCTGCGACAGCAGGTAGATCTTCAGCAACAAGCTCTGCCAGCGCTCTGCTCGTGCTTCCCTCTTGATATAAAGAGTAGCGCCACTCCTGTGAGTATTCCTGAGCGCTGGCCCTCTGAGCTCTGAGACATGCGCTGTTAATTTTCTCTAGTAACTTGGACACTCGTGTGCTTATCAGCACCACAGAAAGAAAGAGCCACTTGCTGAGCTGTTAGGAGTTCTGCTTTTATCTAGTTTGCTTGTTGCTGGTGTTGAGCGCTGCTGTGAGCTTTTAGAACCTTCCAGAGGGAGGGAAAGTGCGCACTTTGTTGGGTGGTTAGTCTCTACGTCATAGCTAACGCAATGCGCGTAATCTTGTGGACTTCCTGACAGTTGTTTTGGTCCTGAGTATTACCCCAACAGACTAGCCTCAACCATGGCTGCTAATAACTTGCTGAGGCCAAGTCGTCGCATCTTCTACCATTGAGGTCCTCAGGAATGGCATCAGCAGAGAGCCGTGGAGTTCTTGTGTCGGGCGTGGCTTCCCATGAGCCTCCGGCTGTTTTGTGCTGTTTGTACTTAATTAGTCGGCGCAGTCTTCTACTTAGCAAACTGCTGAGATAAGTGGTTAGTTCGTGGTAGAACAAAAGTGACGCGGCCTTCCTCTTCTCCTAAGTTCGGGCGAACTTGACTAATCCTGTGAGTCATTTTGTTCCCTGGCTGTGATTTGTAGCTTGGTGCGCGTTATTTTACCGGACTGCAAATCACTGCTATGAATTTGGATGCTCTTAAGTACAGAGCTAGACGCGACGCCCTGCATAGTCATGCCTAAGCCTATAGCTACTCTTGATTCGGCGCATGGACTGGGTGGCTCAGGTGTATTCCTTCACTGCTTTTTTTCTTGTGAGCTGTCAACTGTGCGCCCCTTCTCTTGCTGACACCTTTGGGCAGTAGCGTAGTTTTCATTTAATTCATGACGTGCATTCGCCTGCACTGAAGATCTTGCACGTGTTCGCTTACTACTACTGCAGTCGTCACGCATTGTATTCACGACGAGGGGCGGAAAGGTGTTGGACTGCTGTCTCCCTCTTGTTGCTACGTATTCGGTTCTCAATTTGGCAAGCTCCCCGGCAGTTGTGTGTTCTCATGGTTTTCTACTTCCTCGATGATGGAGGTGAGGTTTTCTACTGTTTGTTGGAATGGTCTTAATCCTACACGTTTTCAGCCTAAGCGACCTACTTATATAGCCCCACTTTAGGCCCAACCGCTCGCGGAGTTATTTACGATGATTGATTTGGATGAAGTAAGAAAAACGACTAGATCTAGACCTATCTTAGAATCTAAGCGGCCAGGTCTCTCTATTTGTTAGTCATAGGCAACAAGGACAAGGCCTTGAGCCAAAATGATTATATTATTTCTGAAAAAGAAGTATAAGGGCGCGAAGCCGAAGCGTAATCTTTTTCCCCAACAAATGGACGAGACAATAATCATTCGAACAAGAACAACAAGCTTCAGAAAAAATACCAGTTGCCTAGTAGCAATCTCTTCTATGCTCAACTTGTAGGCATCGCTTTAAAACTTTTCTCAACGAGAAAACTCATATTATACGTAAGTACCTCTAATCGAGCTGTCAAGAAAGGAACCGGAGACGTTGTCCTTGCGCTTCTTTTCGTTCTGCTCCACAATACTATCCGAGACAACCCTGGCAACGGCAGTCCGTTCAAGTGCTAAAGGAGACGACTCTAATTTCTCTACCGCTCTCGCACTCAGTTTATCGTCGCGTCTCGGGGGGATAAACGCAGTTGTTGCCGATTGGAGAGCTTTTCTTACCCATACAAAGTCCTTGAGCAAGACTGCTCCATTTCTAGCGAGTTTGTTGCGCTTCTCGAGAGTATAAGTAAGGGTCTTGGCTAGCCAAACCCTTTTACCACTAATGTTTTCCGTTGTTGCTAGTGGACCACTATCAATGTCGAAGTTGAAGACGGTGTTGTGAACCTTTGCACGAAAAGACGCTCTCATCGCCTTCACCTTATACACTGCTTGTGCTCCTGTTTCCTTTCCTACTTCGAAGTCGTACTGAGATTGAGATAGTATTCCGGCGTGTTTCATCACTTCTACCTCGAGTGTTAGAAGAATGGTCTCGCACATTATGCTGATGTCATTTGTTCCAGCAGAACTTGTTGTGCTTGTTCCACTGAGTGCGTTGCTGAGAGCTGTGGCGAGGTTCGACAAAAATGCATCTAATTGCGGAAATTGTGTCTTCAGCTCCTTCTTAGTATTGATTACGGCGATTTTTTGTTCTACTACCTTTACACGACGAGGACCAAAAATGCGGAACTCTTTCTCTGATCTGTCGTTGACTGCCGTTTTGATCCATCCCCAGGTGATCTTAAGCCGCGTCAAGATTTCTTGAAAGCGAAGCGATTTAACGGCTTCTACGACATCTGGATTCTCTGCCACCGCCGCCTTGAAGTTGTCTAGCGGGGTGGACTTCATGAGCTCTCGCGGGTCGACGCTGGAGACGACGCCCCGCAACATGCTCTTTAAGAAGCCCGGCATCTTGTTGGTCGTGGCAAGGTGAGCTTGGGGTTGTCACAGTTGTAGCAGGAAGTTGAGCTTGAAGCTGAGATGTTCAAGGATGACGCGATAAACTGAAGGGCTAGGCGGGTTTCTTGTAGTTGTGGTTCTGTGTGGGTGGTTGCAGAACAACAAGTTTGAAACTTCTACTAGTCAAAGATTATCTTCACACGAATGAAAAGTGGAGTCGGAGTTCCTTTTGATTTCTTCATCACCTACTCATATATATATAACTCAAGGCCTCTGGTGATAGATGGCGTTTTCATTACGATGATACCTTGTAGTTTGTGTCTTTTCTACCGATCCTAAAAAGGATTATCGAAGAGTCACGACAGAACGGCACATGGCGACAAGGAGGAACCACGTCTCGCTAGTAGGCGTTGATTCTCTAACCCTCGGCTGGCTACTCGTCGTCACTTTTTTTCTCTTCTTCAAGCGAGCTCTTGGTGTAATTGTCGAACAACCGTGTTTATGAGTATTTTTTTCGACGTTCTTATTCCCTCGCGTCTCTCCTAGGGGGCGATCTTCATCCTCTAATCCTTCGATTAGGGGATTATAGATGCACGACTTTTCAGTTTCGGATCGATCCAACTCCTTTACGAATAGTTCTGGTGGCACTAGAAGCACTACTCAAAAACCTAAGCGAGAGGTCCAACGATTCCAAATGTTCCGACCTCGACCGAGAATACCAATGTTGATGCAAGATCGAATCCACAACACAAAGTTTTTTCTCACTTTATCAAAGGCTAGTATTTTTACTTAAGTTCTAATGTTGGTTCTGCTTGGCTCGATGACTGAACAAGACCAACTGCACGCGAAGCGCAACGGGCACAAATTGACATTACATGCGAACACAATGTCGGGCAATCATAGGGAAAAGGACTCTATTCGTGTGAGTCTTCCATTTGAAGCTCGTCTGACTTCCAGGTCAGCGTCAGAATGTGGTTCGAATTATACTTCCATGGAGATCGACGTAGACCTCTGAATCTGATACACATAAAAAAAGTATCAGTATCTTCAGAACGTCAAGGAAATATGAGGCAGGTTCGCGGTCGTCGTCGTCATGGGCAAGCATACACCACAGAGTTCAGAAGTGGAGCGGGACTTCTTTCAAAGAAACGCTAGAATCAGAAAAAAACCAAAAATGCATTTTGACTTCAACCCTCTGACGACCTCTGCACACTCGAATGGGATGCTTCGGAAATATCGAGTCGACGGCTAACGGCGATGGTCATCGGGTGCTGCTCTCGTCCTGCATCGGTGTCGATTCGTCGAGCAGCGGCTTCTTCACGCGCTGAGTTCCTCACCGCACGCCCCGCTGCTGCTTCGCGCGCGCTCGCGCTTTGTGAAACGGCGAATGTCTGAACCCACGCCCACCACGGCTTACATAAGAATCATCTTCATTACATTTCAGAGCAATATTAAATTATGAAACTTGAAAAACGATCCCCAAACAACATTGAAAAATACCCTTTCAGGTCTTACCTTCAGGCTTACTCTGTAGCCCACCCTTGATCTTTTGCTATATCCAATAGGCCAGCAGCTGAAGCCCAACAAAGTCGCCATCTCGTGGAGCTGTTGCACCAGGTGGCGCAGCAGATCGGTCGACCAGATATTCGGATTCGCCAGTGGATATTTGCAAGGAGAGCGCGACGCTGTGAGCTGGTGGCCAATTGGTCTCGAAGGGTGGTAGCTGTAGGGTATGCTTGGTGAGTTTTGTTGTTGAAGAGGTATGCGGTAGGATCCTTCGTAGGTGACATTTAACAGATTGATTTATTCTATTCATCAAAAGCCGTGGTGGGTATCATCGTATTTTCTGTCTCACACGCTGCTGGGCCTGGGTCGCCTGCCTTCGCCTGCCGCGCGCAAAGGTCAAAAGAGTACCAGCTTCACGAAAGTCGTCTCGCGCGCCTGCTGGACGTAACGGAATCCGGGACCGGCATCCTGATGCTTCTCCGAGTACGTCGCTGCGGTTGCTGCTGGAAGCAAGGTGTCCTAAACTGGTGAGGGGCTAGAATCAAAAAGGATTTTTAGCATTTTTCTGATTCTAGCGTTGTTCCACTCTTTTTACAACTCGAGTCGTCTGGTGTTTTCATCACGATGACATCCTGTTTCGGTTTTTTGTATCAATCCTGACAACGATTATCGAGCAGGCACGACAGAACGGCACGGATAAACGAGGAGGGACGACTCTTCGTCTTCGCCGGGCACTGACTCTCTAACTCTCGTCGTCACTTTGTTTCCATCCTTCAAGCGAGGTATATTCGTATTGGTTTCCGTCGAACCATTCAGCTTTAGGTCGAACCATTCTTATAATGTTTTTGTCGGTGCTCATATTTCCTCGCTTCTTTCCTAGGCGATCTTCATCCTCTAAAATTCATTCGACTAGTGAATTATTGATGCACGACTTTTGAGTTTCGGACCGGTCTATTTCCTTCACGAATAGCGCTGGGGTCGTAAGTCTCAGGATGAAATCAATGCTTCTCTTGGCCCACATCTACTTGCTTCTGTAAGATGAACTGTTGACTCATTTTTCATTCTTCGAAACCCAACACGAAGAAGTACCTTGGTGTAAGTATGTTGTAGTACTAGTTGGTTCAACAGAAGAGAAAGACAACATCAATATCAATATCTTCGATAATACATGCATCCCTAACGTCGCTGTACACACTCACACGTACCAACATTTTTATCTATGTTTTTCCCACAACATCAGTACCCAAAAAGACGCGTTTACATGTCAATTGTCATCATGTAGTTCCCATACCCATGTAGTTCCCATTATTTTCATTTACTAGTAGTCGTTTTGTATCAATTAATTTGCTACAGTTTTATCAAATACGTGATGATCTTGATCCGTCCTAGCTAATTCGTCGCGCTTGTTGAAAATATTCGTTCATAATTATACATAGTCCATGAGGTTGTAAATAATCTCCGCCGTATAACTACTCGATGACCAGAACTCTACTCAAATCAATACACAAAGGAATGCTGTTCGTACTCACGACTGGCGCCAAAAATAAAAATTTATTTCTGTTCAACTCGTTCTCGTAATCCTTTCATCTGTTCATGTTATCTGTTCAATGATTGAATATATTTTGTTTCCGCCTTCTTTCTATAATCAGGAAGAAACAACCGCGATCATGTCACATCATTCAACTATGCGTGTATCAAACGAGATAACCATGCAAGCACATTCATCATCACTTAAAAGCAACAGTATTTCTTCCCATTTTACGCGTCCTGCTCGTTTGGCTCCGCCCCTGCGCCTCCGTAAAGTTAGATGATGGGTCGTGCTTGTTTATCTAAGTACCTATCCCTTATTCCACTAGGAGATAATCTTCACTTAAATAACCGGATAAGTACAACATCAGGTTCTGCCTACATGTAGAACAAGCAGCTGCTTCAAGTAGAACAAGTCAGTGCTGTGATCTAATCAGGCCAAAAAGTAAATACACGTACTAGGTATAGATAATAATGGGAAGATAATTTTTCTACGGCGAAGTAATCAAAGTGAAGATATAATTATAATTAAGGAGTTCAGTTGGAGTACCCTGAGAGGGAAAGCAAAAAAGTAGCCAGTGCGAGTGTGATGTGCATAAACGGCGGTCGCCCCATAGTCCTCCACGTTCAAAGTGTCCTTTGTCGTCGTCGTTGAGCTGCTCATGCGATTGCGAAACAACAACCGACGGCCAAATATGGCAGCAATAACAACTGCAAGAACGACAGCGCAAGCGCAGGAAATCTTAGAAGACAGCACAGCTTTGGCACTGTCATTGCTTGAATAAAAGCGGTGTGTCTATCAATTTTTCTTCAACAGCTAAATCTTGATTCTAGAGAAGACAGTATCTTCAATATTATCTTCGCAAGGAATAAAAAAAGTTTTACTCTTTTTTTTAACGATCGACGCGTATGCATATTATGCTTATACGATAGCCTTAATAATTTCGCGACCATCATGGGTATTAAGATGGGCAAGAGCTTCGCCACCAATAAAGCCGGTCTGCACAACGCCACCAGACACAGCTGAGCCTCAGGATGATCATGTTATCCGTTCTTCTATCAATGATGAGATACCATGATGTTATCCGTTCCTCTATCAATGATGAGATACCATGTCCATGAAACTATCCGCTCTAACTCTTCTATTAATGGTGGTGGAGCACGACCCAACTAAAAAAAAAAAAATAATGTTCATCTTGATCCAAATGGTGTGAAAAAGTAAGAGAAAGAGATAGCACTGACGTCTAAGTAGGAAGTACCTGACGCGCGATTAGGCTCCAAACGGTTTTCGGCTTCGGAAGTACCTGACGACGAATTAGGCTCCAAACGGTTTTCGGTTTCGGGACTGTCGATCATCTTGGCAACCTGCGAGCCGCGAAGGGAAAATGTGTACGAAGTTGCATCTTGAAGGCCGCCTTCCTGCTCGCATACTTCATGTTCATCTGGGGTTGGGGTATCTGTAGTTGTTAAGTAAGTATTCTTGTCTTCTACCACATCGCTTAAAACTTGAACAAGGTGTTTCGAAACGAAGGTCATCAACATGAAAATCATGAACTCGTGCTGCGGTGTCTCAATCCGTTAACAACTTAGAGTTAGACTCACTGACTTGCTTAAGTACCAGCTCCAGCAGCTCTAATATCCGTTGTGATACTTCCCGAGATAGAAGAAGTATCGGCTTGCAGCTGAGCGGAACGAAGTGTGTTCTCCATCACCTTGTTCGAGACATGGTCGTGAACCGCTCCTGTGGTATTTTTTCACAAGTGGCATTTTTTCAAAAGAGCTCACTTCCATGAAAATGATAACGCTAATGATAAAAATGCTGACAAAAATAATGATGAAGAATAACGATTAACGAACGACGTCATTCTCATTACTTCCATATTGATGTACCAATTCAAGGCCATTTCATCAATACTAGCAACTCTGCTTTATAAAAGTCAGAACATGCCATGACCTGAAACTGCCGTAGAACTACTTGCGGAAGCGGAACGAAAAATCTCCACGTCGGTTTGCTCTTGTGCTGGTATCAAACCGGCTGTTTTCGAGTTCGCAGGAGATACTTTGACCCCACCTTCCACACGGACATTGCCTATCATGATCACGTGATCGTAAAATTCATCAAGTGTTGAAGTTGATGAAGGGAAGACTGTGATGACAGTGACTGTTCATACTGATGATGAAAGAAAACGATTTAGATTCTCTGTTGATTCATAACTAAGGTTAGAGGTTGTGACATTGCATTCTTCAGATCATCCCTGACCATTTCCCTACTGGAAAAAAAGTCAAGGATGGTAGTGAAGGACGCAATGTGGTAACCCTTAATAAGATGACAATTTTTCAATTGCATGAATGTGAATCAAGAATAAGAAACTGAAACACAGATACACAGATCATCATTTCTAGTTCTACTTAGTAATAAATAATCAATCTTAATATTATAGTCTGCCAAGAAAACAAAAAACGCAACACCTTCGAGCTCGGTATCGTTATGATTCTTTTTAGTTTCAGACTATGACCACTAAACGTACTATGTATAGTTTCAAACTCAAGAACTTCATTTTCAAGCGAATTAAAAAAGTGAAAACCTGCATCTTTCTGCAATGTATCGAAGCTCCGGGTCTGCAAAAAGGACATGGTCCTTTCCTTTAATAAGTGAAAGGCGATATGATCATGAGACACTGTGAGCTTCGTCTCTGGTGACTGACGGACTGGTAGTAGTGGCTCTAACACGCTATAACCTGGGAGATCGTCTAGTAACCCTCTGCGTCCGCCGTCGCTGCCGTACCACATCGTCCAGTGCAGATTGTTCCACGCCCCTTCAATTAGAGATAGGTTTTGGGTGTTCGTGGGTTCTCCCGTAAATTCTATCGCTGTCCCCACCTAAGGGAGAGAGCCATAACAAACGGTAACAAAAGCACCTTTAACTACCTACCCATAATTCTAGTTGAACCTGCCCCAACAGCATCAGCGCGTCCACCTTGAAGTTCCATGTGTCGAGTGTCGCCCTATTGTCCCTAATCGAGTTCTTCTGGAACTCTCCTTCGAATGGCACGACTAGAACGGCGTCGATGTAGAAGTTGTATTTACCGGATGAAACGGTGTCCACGGGGCTTCTCCTCAGCATCACGGTAGGGGTCGCACTCTCTGCTCTTCTAAGCGTGAATTTGTCGATTTTACGTGTCGAACTCTCCATCTTCTGTTGTTCTTCATCGACTTTGAATGTTTTGCCCTTCAGATTGCCGTCGAGCGACTCCTTCATCAACCCAAAAACATCCTTTATCAACGCGTTCCCTTTGTCCTTGAAATCCTGTCTACATTTATTATTATTTTTATCTCTGTTTCCACAGAGCTCCCCCCACAATTCGTCAGTTGTACTACTAGTAGATGCCTCGTCGTGCAAGGAGTTCAAGAGCTCCTCTGGGGAACCTGCAACACGTATCTCCTTCGTTTTCGACTTTGACTGTTTTAGCTGCTTGGTGTCTATTGCGTACTTTTTGACTAGTAAGTAGAACAGTTCTTGGTAGTACTTGAGAAGGGCCTTGTTATTGTAAGTTCGTTCACGAACCGAATTCTCACCAATATCGTGAAAACCGTCGAAATGCTTTCCGAGTTCGTCTTCTATCGTGTTTGAGTAACTATTTCCAGCTATTACTTCTTTGATGGCAGCAAGAAAATTTTTTTCAGCGGCATCACTGAGTTGGGGTGTTGAATTTGAAGCGCCCATCTTTGCATCAGTCGATCGCAAATAAAATCCAAGCAACTACTTCTACGTAAAAATTTTACGCATTGATTTACGGAGAGGTAGAAGCAGAGGACGATGGATCTCCAAATCAATGTAATTAAGTCTAAGAAGATGATTTCCTGTTGGAAATGCGCTACTATTTGGTCGATGATCAGATATCATTCAACTGGAAGCTCGACCCTAATATTTGAAAGAATGTTCAGGGACGATGATCTTGTAGTTGATCATTGTTCTATTTTGTTCAACATCAAGAACGCTAACACTAAGTAGAGTTAGTATAGGTATACACTGAATACATACTAAGTATTAAGATACTTACTTACGACAGATCCAATATCGAGTCGTTTGTTCGCAGCATACAGACACATCTCAACAAATGATCATGATGCTTATCTTATTGCGCGTGTGTATAGAAAAGTCTGACGACCCGATCCTCGAGACCTACGATTCGCGCGTCGACTGAGTGGAGATGGACATCCGTCGCCTTCGTCTATTCTTATTCATCATCTAGTCTTTTTACAACTCGAGTCGTCTGGTGTTTTCATCACGATGACACCCTGTTTCGGTTTTTTGTATCTATCCTGACAACGATTATCGAGGAGGCACGACAGAACGGCACGGATAAACGAGGAGGGACGACTCTTCGTCTTCGCCAGGCACTGACTCTCTAACTCTCGTCTACTCGTCGTCACTTTGTTTCCATCCTTCATCTTCAAGGGAGGTAAGTACATTGAGTTTCGTCGAACCATTCAACAGGTCGAACCACTCTTAGTGTTTTTGTCGGTGTTCTTATTTCCTCGCTTCTCTCCTAGGCGATCTTCATCCTCTAGTAAAAATCATTCGACTAGTGGATCATTAATGCACGAATTTTCAGTTTCGGATCGCTCCATTTCCTTCACGAATAGTGCTGGTGGCACTAGAAGCACTACTCAAAAACCTAAGCGAGAGGTCCAACTAATCGAAACGTTCCGACCTCGTGTGATGGCAGCTCAAATCCACAACACAAAGTTTGTTCTCACTTTATCAAATTCAAAGGCTAGTGCTTTTACTTAATATGTAAGTTCTAATGATAGCTCTGTTTAGCTCGATGACTGTACAAGACCAACTGCACGAGAAGCACAACGAGAACAAATTGACATTACATGCGAACACAATGCCGGGCAATCATAGGAAAAAGGACTCTATTCGCGTGAGTCTTCCATTTCAAGCTCGTCTGACTTCTAGGTCAGCGTCAGAATGTGGCTCGAATTATAGCTCCATGAAGATCGACGTAAACGTCTGAATCTGATACACAAAAAAATATATCAGTATCTTCAGAACGTCAATAAAATATGAGGCAGGGTCGCGGTCGTCGTCGTTGTCGTCGTCATGGGCAAGCATACACCAGAACGGAATTCAGAAGTAGAGCGGGACTTCTTGTTCTTTCAAAGAAAAGTTTGCATCATATTCTTATATCCTCCCCCAACAATGCTGCAAAACCTCCCTCATCATTCTTCAGTTGCAATTAGACGTCGAGACACATGACCTATGGTATATATTATACAAGTTCAATTTGTTTCCTCCTACATGTCATATCATATGAGTTCCATTTGTTTCTTTGCTAAGAATTTATCAAACAGCCAGTGACTGACTGATTGATCGATTGAAAGATGGAATGAAGGAGAAAACTTAGATACCAAAGTGTTTGAGAATCACTCGAAGAGGACTGATCAATATTAAATTCCAATTCATCATGGTACGTAGTGGAACAAGTGAACTATCGATTATAGCCTTAATGTAAGATCGCAGCCTTCTTGTCGGTCCTTCTCTCTTTCGTTATGCCAGTAACTCCTTTGTCAACACTTGCACCACTTGTCTTTGCTTCTTTGGCAAGCAGTTTTTCTACCCGCCGCTTTGCTCTCGCCTCCTTCGCCCTCTCGAATTGTTCTCATTAGAAACCACTTCTCGTAGAAGTCGTGATAATCATATTTCATCTACCTCCTGTAGTTCAATTCGAAAAACACGTGCTACAACCACCTACAAGAGGACCTCCATTTTGAGATCCGCATCACAAGATGATCGACTACTTACATGATTGAGAGGACATGGTGCCAGTGTTGGTTTATAACATTTATTAAAATGGCCATAATCTCTAGCGCCAGCTGATATTCCCGCATACCCGAGACCTTTCCGTTTTTCTATGGGCGCTGGCGCATTCGCCTTGCGCCTCTTAATCACCTTGTGCTCATCCCTACTCGCACGCACTTCTCGCAATGTCTTCTTCAATTCCTGAGTATTGTTTGAAAACGAGAATACTCAGATTAATTGATTAAAGTTCTCATCTGAATCAATTTTCCTATCGTTTTCATCTTCAAGATTATCATTATTGACGAACATAATAAATATGAGCTACAATATATATTATCATTATCACAGAATAATTTATAAGCTTTTGTGGCGTGCATGGCATGGAGTGCATGAATCACATGGAGTAGCATGGAGTGGCAAGAATCTTGCCAGCCCCCACTTCTACTCCATGCACCCCATGCGTGAAAATTTTGCGGGGTGCCCTTCGGGCACCCCTTTGCCCGAGACTCGTCCGCTGCAGCCCTGTAAGTACTGCAACGATGAGACGATGGGGCGGTCGACTCGAGGACGAAGCACCACGCCCACACTGGCCGGCAGTCCGGGCTTGCTGCTACATAGATCGAGGCGCCCTGACACACATTGCTGCCCCTGGTGGTCGTTGCCAGGTACTTCGGTGCCCGGAAATTTTGGCAAAGGGCCCAGCAAGTCGCATCCTTGGGAGGTTCACTCCTTTTCCGGAGCAAGCCTTGCTACTGCTGCACCGCTCTAGGCAACCACACGGGGCTGACCCATGCAAAAAGTTGGAGAGGGGGGCTGTGTATGTGTGTCCCAGGGCTCAACCAGGGCGCAATACCCATCGTCCCCGACCTGGGAAGGCGAGGGGGGAACCTCTCAGCCCCGGCGGGTCCCCTTTTGGCGGGGTCTGCCGGGCTGAAGGGGCGCCTTTCCTGCATGTACCCCGCAGAACCGGAGGCCGGGGGGGCTCGTCGAAGGCAGGGCTCTCAAGCGGGAACGGCCTGAGGCTCACAGTGGCGTCCCCTACTGGGTCCGCAACCATAGAAAGCGGACAGGCGAGGGGGGAGGGCCTCTCAGTCCTGGGCCGCTTTTGCGTTGCGCCGCTGCTCCATCGATCGACAGGAGGTGAGCGGCTGATGGCAGAGGCTAGCGCGCCACCTCGTGCTCCATGCACTCCATCCGTGACACGCGGCGACCCCATGCACTCCATGCGTGGGAGTGGCGCAAGTGCTCCATGCTCTCCATGCCACTCCATGCACCATGCGTATATAATATCATGTGGCACTGACTTTCAATTTTTGTACCTTCTCAGCTTGTTTCTGTCGCTTCTCGGCTAGGTCTTTCAATGAGACCCTGTTGGTCTTATTCTTCCCCAATCGCTTCCTTTTCACCATTTTCAGGAAAGCCCAATCTTAGCTAGAAGAGACCAGGGAAAGAAACGAATAATACAAGTGGGTGGAGCTCAACTTTTTAAGTCAATGGACATCGAGTACGTAGTAGACGATGTTCTTCAATACGTGCCTGAAGAGAACAAGCTAAACTAGTGCTCAACTAATGAAAAGTACGGAAGTTGATAGCCATCAACGAAAATGCCTTAGCGATAAATAACACACCTGCAGCAGCAATTTTCTGATTCTGACAGGATAAGTGGGTACCATAGGTGTAGGAACTAAAGATGAAGAACCAGATTTGCGATCGACAAAATGTTTACCACCTGTGATTCGAGGATCCTTTGATCAATAACAAGATCCGCCTCTTTCTTCTGTCAGTTTAGAGGTGATCTGCTCTACTTCTTCACTTGATCTTCTTTCAAGATCAAGATCCAACTACATAAGTGCCCATTTTCCTCAAAACAAAGTGGATCTGCTCTTTTTTCCAGGATGTCCGTATGTAAGAAGATACCGTGTGACCCTGATCCACCTTGTTTCCTGATTCTCTTTGTGATCAACATCTTGACTGGAGTATTTCATGAGCCAGGGTCCCTGTGCCTGTCCGTCCGATGTACCCGCTCTCAAAGTTTCATCTACTAGTTCAAATCTTCTTGGTTGGACAAGATGATTGCAGATACTGCGCCTGCGGGCTCGTTTATTAAAATTATAGTTGAAGCAAGTCTGTACACGACACGGACACAGAAGGGTTATGATTAAAATGTTGGATCATAATGAGACATGTCCATCTTGTTCTTGTTGATAGGTCTACTTCAGCTATTCAATTTCAAGTCCGTCATACATAATTCTGGTTGTTGTCATTTCATCCATCCGGATTCGCAAAAAATCACATAAGTTAAAGTTATACTGCATATAAGTTAAAGTTATGACTTGCCCCACTGACGAAACGAAGTTAGACGATTCGCACTTGAAATCAAATCTTGTTCAAGGCTCTGTTGGCTCTGCGCCTCCTGACAAAATTTGTTTCAAGCGTCTGACATCCTCCAGGTCGGCGACGTCTTTTTCCGAAAGATCAAAATAGTACCGCTGCTGTTCCGCGGCGAAGTCACGCTTGCCTCTTGCGCACACTGTACCTCGCGCGTACAACATGATGGATTTCTGGCCGCGTTGGTGATTGGCGATATCGGCGATGAAGCCATAAGACATAAAAGTCGACATCGTCGCGCGCGTCAAAAGTGACATTGCGCATCTCCCAGACGAAAGTTGTGCGCACATCCCCATGTGCCTGCGGTCGAGTGCTCCAATCCCGTCGGGCGATACAGCTTGTGAAGCGCTGCAGCGGTCAGTGACTGGTGCAAATTATACGACTTGTAATTGCAGCTTTTCCTGGTTTCCCAAATAAAGTATGATCCCCACGCCGCAACTGATCGCCGTGGAAGAGTTTGTTCCAGCATTTGTTTCTGTAGTCTGTCCCACTCAGCGAAGCTCGTTGACGAAACGTCGCAGGTTTCGTCCAGATACGCGGAGATTGAATGCATTGAAGTAGACGATGCGTTGATGAGGCCCAGATCCTCACTCCTGCAAACACGCATCCTGTGGGCAGCAGCCACTCAAAAGCGAAGTCGTTACTGTGCATCAACCGTATGGAAGCGGAACGTCGCTGCGTGGTCCCGAAGGCGGCTGGCCACGAAAAGGCACTGCTCTCCGGTCGCTCTGTAGATGAGGTCAGGCCGCGAGGGGAAGCCCGCAGGTCTCCCGCCACTGACCGACCAATTGCGGTACTCTGCACAAGTTTCGATTCCCAAGTGTCGCACGAGATCGGCCCACTTCGAGTACGGCACGAATCGGCTACTCGCTTGGCCGCGCCCCACCGCGATCAGTGGAGACAAGCGGAACATTCTCTGCGCTGTGAACGCTTGATGTTGAAGTCGTTTCTAGCAGGCCACTGCCTCCATTTTGTTCATCACTTCGTGACGCTTGCGGTGCTCTACCTCTGGTCCTCATCACTGCCATAGTAGAAGCTAGTTCCGTGCCATTCCCTTTGCACTCAACAGTGTCAGTGCTTCCCAACAGAGCATAATTACTAGGTCTAAAAGAAAGGACATCCAATCCACCAATTAAAGGATCAAATAGTGTGAATACGTCGCAAACTAAAACAATAGTATTTTAACTTCCACTAACAATGAGCACTACAAATTGAAATTGTAGACGACTCTAAGAACTTGATGCTCATCTATAATGTAATCGTTGTTCATGCTCTTCACATCCACCCATGCTTGCATACCTACGAGCGTGCGCTGTTCGAACACACCATGACGCACCGGTCAACTCTCATCATGAGCAATACAATCTTTCGTTGTATCCCCGTGCAAACTCGCCTGTGTTCCATTCTGTCTCTTGTGTACTACGCATCTAAAAAGTTACTTGTAGTTGTAAGATTATGATGAAATAAAAGTAAAACAAACATTGTAGTCGTTCTCCAAATAGGCGAAGAACCTTCCTGTGCAATATTCGAGAAGTTAAAGTTACCGAAACCACAATAATCCATCCGCGAATGCTGGTACGGAGATTCTCCTCGTCATGCATGTCCCATATAATGATGAAAGGCATTCTTGCTGGTGGTAGCTTTTTACAAAAACTAAGACTCAGTGGGCTCGCTGATTAACAAATAAAAACAAGTCGTGGAACCGACCGAGCAGAGGGAAAGACTTCAAAGCTACTACATCATATTTCGTTGGATTTTGTTTACTTAAGTCTTCATCTATGCAAAACTGACTAAATGTAATTTCTTATTTGACGCAGCACGACCATCACAAGGAGAAGGTAAAGGAATCATCTATTTGAAATACTACTTAATCATCAGGTTTCGAAAATATCATGAATTAGAATGCTTATCATTATCTACCAATGCCATGTCACCAGTGCCAGTACTCCAGCTTCTTTTACATCATGTCGGCTACTCACTCGGTCACTCGACGAGCACTCATATAATATATATTATCGCCATCCGAATCGATTTCAGGCGTTAACGGTGATTTCGTTAGATTTATCGCCATGCGTCCCAAACTTCGGTTAAACGCTGCCATCCGCTGATACACGTCACTAGATCTACTAGCCGTGTGTTGGCCGAGGGTTAGAGGATGAAGGAACTTGAGAGAACTAGAACTACGTCTACGACTACGAAAAATCGATTATATAAATTTCAATGTTACTACTTACGCTTAGATTAGAGTAAGTACGAATAAAGAGCATCCTAATTTTTAGAAACATCCCTTTCTTCGCCCTTCGAATTCCGAAACCGAAGAATGTGAATGAAGATTCATCTCGTTAACAAAATAGGTTTCTGGAAAAAAACCCACTTGGTCTTAAGTTATCGCCTCCTGGAGCTTGCTTTTGCTTGTTTATCTCGGAAGCTGCACCACTCGCAGTACAACTACCGCCTTCACGCTCTCCACTCCTTCCGGTAGTTGTCTTCAACAACGTAGGGTCCACGAAGGTATCACCTTCCTCCCTACTAGTGTCCGCACCGTCGATGTCATTTACCACTTTCATCCAGCTTAACGTCCCTTCTGCTGTGGTGGTTTTCGGCACTCTAGTGGCAGTCCCGGTCCCACCAACACCATCCTCATGATCATGATGAGGATCAAGAACATAGTACTCATGGTCTTGTTCATGACCTAGCACCGCTACTTCATCGGTGAAAAACCGTCGTCGCGCTTTCAGTCCGGCGACCGACGCAGCAGCGGAAGTTCTTGATGCACTAGAAGATGAAGTGACTACACTTCGACTTCGCACGCCATATGTACTGGCTGACGTAGACGCTGCCCGTGAAGAAACCGAAGGTGTGCTTCCATCCCCACCAGTCAGAGGTCTTGAAGAACGAACACCAGTACAAGGCTCCTTCATTATCGTCCTATTCTGCGGACCAGCACTGTGGTCGTTGTTGTGCACACGACCACTCTTACTGGAATTGCTTCCGCTTCCCTTCGATTTGAGAGAGTTACTGGAGGTAGAGGCAGATAAAGTCATCCTTCCATCGTCTACGCAGCGCCCCCCGGGAGCTGCGTCAGTCGAGTGTTGTCTTGTTGTCGCAGAGGTGTGCAGTCTGGATCTCTCCCCTGGAGCTGGAGGTCCTGATTTTGTCGTGGCGCCAAAGGTATGGAGAAGCTGATCAACATTGCCACTTGTTCCTACTTCTTCTACACGACGGACTTCATCTTCTCTTCCATGACTCCTTTGGTCCACATTCGGTCCGACACCTAGATGTTGACCTAGGTCCTCATTACAGTCGCCGGCTCCACCTCTACTCCTTCGAATGTCCTCACGCGCCTGTGCTAGTGCTGACTCGATTAGCTGTTTTGGCGTCGGAACTTCCTCGCTAATCTCCTGTTTGCTGGTCTCATCGTCCCAGGAAGAGCGATACGCGCTAAGACGAGATGACAGGGAAACGCCGCCGCCTCCTGGTATCGGAAGAGGTGGAATAACTGGAACTGCTGATGTTGTTGCTGATTGCTTTTCCTCCAAAACAAGTGATGGCACTGTCGGAATTCCGGGTCCGGGTCCTGCTTGTGTATTATAATGCGTTGCGGACATCTGAACTGATAGACTATCGTGTAGTATCATCTGCTGTTGCCGCTGCTCTTCAGTAGAAAACGAAAAGTTCTCATTCTCCAGATCACCAGTCAGACATCCGCTAGAGCTGGAAGCTCTCAAGTCCTCTTGCAGTTGATCGCGAAAGGCATCACAAACACGACCCGTCCTATCGTACAAAAGCTGAATCGCTTCTGAATACTTCTCATGCTTTTTCCTCAGTTTTGCTGCTGATCTTAGAAGTGCAAGTTCAGTCGAACGAACAAATAAAATTGTAGTATGAAGAAGATTTGGAGGATCTCTGATGTGAAGTTGTTATACTTCACTTTCTGTCGTGGCACATCGTATGCTAGAGGGCTTGGGATTCAGTTTTTGCTCGAGGTCGAGACACATAAGATAATATCAAGATTATACACAGTTAGGGAATTTAGTTGTAAGTAGAAGCAGTACCAGGAGCCTTAATAACAAGTCTCGTTCTTCACTCGCTCGTTTCAACTCGTTGCGCAACGCAGCAAAGACTTCTTCATCAAGTCCTGGATTCACTGTTACATCGTCAGCTGGTGGATAAAGAACTGGAGTCGTGTAGCAGCCAGAAGGTGCTGTAGGAGGTGGAAACAAGTTACGACTGATCGAAGCAGATGTTGCAGTTGATGCTCTTGATCTTACAGCAGATGCAGGTGAAGAAAGAACTGTAGTCGTGTAGCAACCAGAAGGTGCAGAACTAGAACGACTATTATCTTTAGAGGTAGTTTCTCACTATCCACCCTGGTCGAGTGAGTTGCCCTTCATCTCCCCCCTTACTTTCCCCTTCAGCTCAGGGGGTACTTCACTCATCATAGTCCACAGGGATAGTGATAAACTACCCTTAATATCTGCATCAGCGATGTTAGAAGCTGCTGACGTAGCATTTCTCTGTCGCTGTCCATCTTCCAACTGCGCCAAATGCCTCTTCAGTGTATCTCGCTCGCGTGCTGCTGCATGCAATTCCTTTTCTACCCTTGTAACAGTCCCACGCGCCTCCTCCAGTGACTTCTGCAGCACCCTATTTTCTTCTCGGAGCCGTCTCCACAACGCTGCGTTGCTGGTACTTCCAAAAGGACTCAAAGCGCCACTTCGCGGAGTATTGGAGTGTCTGTTAGAGCTAGACCACGACGGAGATTAGCATCAAGACTAAGTGTTTCTTCTTGTTTTTCTACTAGACCTGAATTTCTATTTCAATCTAATTCGTATCTAAATTTATGTTGCAGTTTCAATTCTTATTCTTAAGTATTTCGTTGAACAAGGACCACTTTCACCTTAACTAAGTCATCCGCTTGCCGAGCCGCTGACAGCCGACTGCGGTGCTTCTGCAGCAAGCGCGCAAATCTTCGTCTAATATTCTCCAGTGAGCGCCGAGCGTAAATCTGCTGTCCATCCTTGTCCGGAAGCAGCTGCCGCGGACCCCTTCCTTTACAAGATGATGCAGGCACAGGTCCAGTTCCAGGATCTTCAGTTGCATTTTCACGACTAGAACTATTTTTAGAAGACAAAGATTTTCCTCCTACTATATTAGCTCGGGGTGCTATTTCTCCTGTTTCCTGTCCTGTTCCCGCTTCATCATCTCCGACATTGTCGACAAATACTTCTTCAAAATTATCAAAGAAGGGTTCGATGGCTGTCGGTTCTTCTGCTCGCATTTCATCCAGTAGACATATGAATTCTTCGTCGTCTAGCACGCAGTCTAATGCCCCGTCACTTACAGCACGACCTCGAGTCGTCCTCGTCCTAGGTCCAATGGGAGAGTCCAACAGTGCTTTCTTTGACTTTCGCGACTTCTTTGAAGAAGGTCTTTTGGATGCTATTTTTTGGTTCCTGGGTGAAGACGAGGTAACAGCATCGATAAAAAGGTAGGTACGTAAAGGTTGGATGCAGTCGAGAAATCAACTAAAACATCTTGACGCTTTAGATTTGTCGTGCAACAGTTCTTTCCCATGTAATACATGCATTTTATATCAAACTGATATTATGTAGACCGCTATAATCACGTGTGTACCTATGTAGCAAATAAGACTAGCTACCTGTCCGGCGACGAAAAAATCGTATTGCGTCCGTAGGTGCCACGTTCAACCGAACTTCTTCTAGATGACCTTCCTCCAGTTTGAGAAGACGAAGCGGAAGCACTAGCTCTCGCAGAAGCAGATGATGAAGAGCCTGAACTACAACTTCCACCTCCGAGTATAAGCGATCCGGATGCTGATCCTGAAACTGATTGATGCTTTCCCTCACCAGTCGAATGCGAATATGCTAGCGCCGACAAAGCCAGGCTCGCAGATGCTGACGCTGAAACGGTAGCCGAAACTGGAGAAGATGACACAGAGGAAGCAGTTACGCCACGAGGTCTGGCTGGTGCGAGGTCGAGGTTCCCTTCCGAAGCCTGAATTGGTTTGTCATTTCCATCTTGCCTGCACTTCTTGTTCTCGTAGTCAGCTTCCGAACACGAGATCTTCTTGTTGACATCGTTCGGCCGCCTTGATTTTCCTCTCGTACCCGACGAAGATGAAGAGAAACGGCGAGCTCCCACAACTCGTCCTGCAACACTGTCTTCTGTTCTTGGGGTGCTGTACACACCTGAAAGCTCAAATTCGTTCACTTTCTCCCCTGCAACCTTGCGAAAGAGAGTGCTAGGCCGAAACGTCCCACTTCTACCTCCTCTTCCACCAGATGTTGTTGAGGTACAACTATTGTCCCCTTCGGCGGCCGCGTGTTTCAGACATGTCGTAATAGAAGACGAAGGAAGTGGGAGTGTCAAATCAGGAATTCTGATGTTGTCGGAGGTAGACGATGATGTAGGAACATCTTCAGGTCCTTGAGGTTGGTCTCCTTCACAAGCCGCATTTTTTTCCTCCTGATGGAACTCATCCTTGTCCTTGTTGTGTTTTCCTGACAAGAGTTCAGTTGCTTCTTCAGCGTTGTCCGTATTTGAACTAGAAGTACCTGGTGCAGGACGAGCACTCTCATTTTGTAAATCATTTAAATGACGCGCATAATTCGTACAGGCTGTTGGCGAGCCACCTGGCCCTGGCGTCTGTTCTTCATTTTCTGAGTGCAACTGAACCTCACGAGGCTTCGTTTTCATCACGTCGAATCCTGGTCGCTGGCATTTTGATTCTCGTTCTCGTCCCACTTCTTCTGGTACTGCGACGTCATTATCTGTCGTGTCGTAGCCGTGGCCCGCGCCCGCCTGCGCCTCCGCTTGATTATTATAGAACAACAGCCGCTGCTGTGGATTTGACGAGGTAGAGGACGACGCTCTCTTGTTCTCTTGCTGCGCACTTCGCCCAAAAGGCTTTCCTTTCGGAACAACGCCATACGAACCGGGGTCATGGCCGTGTTGTCGTAAAATGCGCTCCAGAAAAACATCACCCATTTTTCTTAAACTTGTTTTAGTTTACTTAGTAGAGGGCGTGGGTGAGGGAATCAGAGGATGAAAGTACTAGAAGTTCCATAAGGCCAAGATTGAAGAGAGGATAAGAATACCAAGCCTGAACCAGGAGCGGGACCTTCAGCTTTGCTGGTACATACTACCTATTTTCTCTATTTTGTAATTTTGATTTCGAGGCTAACTCTCAGAAAGTCTATAAGTACTGTACTAGTCAATGAACGCGCGGAGGTCTTCTACAACTGGTCATGTTTTCCATTTTTTTCACCTTTCGATAGATACACTAATGTGCATTTTCTCTCGCAGAATCGCTCACAAGAGTTTTAGAAAGACATACCAGACGCTCTTCTAGAGGTATCAAAACAACCGTTTCGGTAACGAGCGTTTTCGTTCCGCTCATCTTACTTGTATCTCGTTTTTATCTTTGTGCTGCTCTGTTCCAGTTCCTATAAAAATGAAACATGCCTGCAAGAATAACATCGTCATCACAAGTAGAGGACACGTCACAACCGAACCGCCCGTATGCGTACGCGTGGTGGGTCATGCGAGGAGCCAAGCTGTATTTATAGTCGTGTAGACCTCCTCATCCGTTCTTCGAAAAAATGCGGATTTCGACGCGCCCCTTCAAATTCCGCGTCCGCGCTGTAGGCAAGGCCGGCGATGTTGCTGCAGAGAGCCAGGTGGGACCATGGTGTGTAGCTCTGAAAACGCAGCGGCCTGCCCACAAGGGATAAGAGAACGACGCAAAACGAGACGCAACCAAGTGGAGCGAGTCGCGACCAAATGGAACGGCTTTCCAAAATAGGGGATTTCAGGATATGCAAAGCGACAGCCAGTTATAGTCGTGTAGACCTCCTCATCCTAGTTGAATGGGATTATATGGTGTGCTGTCACATAACAGTCATATTTTGTCGTTTTGAGGGAAGATGCTCATCTTATTGTTTGTGATCTTGTTTACCTCAACGCAAAGATATTTACTAGGAAATGTGTCTGATAGCGAGGGCAGTGGAGGCACCCCTCCCACTTGTTGCTGCTGTGCCGCGGACGACTCCACTTTGTCTTTCGTCTTGGCGCAGGTGAAAGTAAGTAAGCTTGGTCAAATGTCCACATCAATATGAAGATGAAACCAAAAAAAATCATTATCGACGTCGACCACTAGATCTTAGCATGATAGATGGGCCAAAATAAAGCTCCTCGCAAACGCAACAACATCATGTTGTCCTTTCTCACTGCTACTAGTCATCTTTAACCAGTTAGTTTTCCATTATCTTCCCCTCCTTGCACCTCCGGACCTAGCTTCGTCAAATCTGCACATATTTCTTTGACTTTTGCCTCACTTGCTTTTGCTCCACAGCCTGAAACTACCTGTGCCAGCTTTCCCGCGAAGTCGTAGCTCAGTTTCACACTTTGGTCGAAGAGGAAGTTCCCTACTCCTACTAAAATTCGATACACTGCTTCGCCATCCTCGGGTTTTGCAGCACCTCCCAAGGGTCCAGAAAGGTAGAATGCGAACAAATCCAGCAATTCTGATCGACCCTTGAGATCCTTACGGTCGACGAAAACCATACTAAGGTTCATCAGGCATGGGAGGTTAGAAGATGGGGGGATGGGAGATAAGAACGATGGAGGGGAGGAGAAGCCGACTTCGATAATTTCCTTGTCGAACTTTTTAGTATCTCGTCATCCATGTATTTCTACTCAGTGTCAGTCAACAGTCTGACTCAGTTGTAAAAACAAATAAAGTTCAAAATAAACTAAGAAGACAGTAATTGTTGTAAGCCTTAATAGCAAGCGAGAGCTTCACCAGCTTATGCATCGCATCCCCGTCGCATCCTTGCGCTATTTCGTGCAGACCCTCGATGAGAAAACCACGCTTGTCGAACAAAACGGATCGCGCCGTAAACGACGCAAAGACGTTCGCCAACCACCTAGCGCAGGATATACCTGTAAGTGGAGACGATAGAGGAGGTAGCTGAAGCTGAGGTCACCTTGATAGATACTGAGTGGAACGTCACCTGCTGAGGCTGAAGACTTGGAAATGAGGGTCAGTAGAAATAAGGAGGGAGTCAGAGTCAGTCGAGTAGAGAGATATAATTAAGGGAATCGCCGCAGACGCAGCTACTACTGTCATTTTTTTCCAGATGAAAGGTTCAAACATAATATCTCAACCCCTCACTAACCCTTCCTAGCCCGCGTTTGATTAAAGGGAAGAAAGAGCCAAAAGATATCCCTAACTTGATTAAGTACCTAATGGCGTCTTCAAGTTCTTCTTGAGCAGCTTTAAGACGAAGCTGATATAGCTGTAGCCACGGTCGGTTCCTTTGAAGATATCTGCACTGCCAGGATGTAACAGAAACAGTCGCCAAACATCTACTACTGGAAATAGCTTTTCTTCTGGCCAACTACCACATTTTTTCCATATCAGATCCCGCTCGATAGGCCTGAAATCTTTCGATGCTCGGGCTGTGGTAGTGGTAGGTGGGGAAGGATATCTTCTAGATGGGAGAAGTCGTGGGGATTGAAACGGAAAGAGAACCAATCAATGTTAATGATTTTGAATAGTCGAATTATATAGGATCATTAGGAATAGGAATGCATTGACATTGTATTATGAAGAGAACAACATGAACAAGTAGGTAATCAATCTTGCTCTTCTTCTTTCAACGAATCAAAACTTCTCTTCGATTTCGAAACCTCCGTAGTGGGAAAAGAAGTAGTTTTTGTACTTGTCTAACTGTTTTAGTACATCCCAATTTCTTAATTGCTTCTTCGAAGTGTTGAATATCGATTGTGTCCATCTTCATTTCTGTATTCCCATCTTCAAATTCCGCATTGAACTCGAGTATTTTCGCTTGCGCTGCTTCGAGCTTGCCTTGGTCGAAATATTGTGCCTGGTCTACAGGAAAATGCTTCATTTTCGGCCTCGATGGCGCACTAGAGGAGGTAGACGAGCCAGTTGTGCCACCATTTTGAGCGGGTGTGTGCCCGTTGCCAGCACGCTGCTCAAGCGTTGGCTGTGTAGTTGTAGGGGAGAATGTAGAAGGAGTTGTGCAAGTGCAAGTGTGAAACAGTATAACAAGAGATGGATGTGAGCTAGTGATGTTAGTTTTCCTCTATTTGCAGGAAGATCACGATGATGATGGGCTAAAAGCGACTTGCTCGTGGCAGCAGAAGTCTAGTACGATCAAATACAAATACCGCTCTATTTGCTCCCCCCGCCGAGCCCGTCTGCTGCCGCAAGAACTGGGTTATCTGCTCCAGCATACTTTTGTGAATTCCTTCTCTTGCGCAAACTTAGAGCTATCCAGAATTGTCCCTCTCCCAACTACATCCCTGAAGAGTACCGCAGTGAAATCCTCTCTCATACTTTTCAACCTACCTAGTGAGGGCCAACATAGATGCACTACCTACATAAATGCACTACCAACATAAATGCACTACCAACATAGATGCACTACCTAGTGAGGTCCATAACAAAACTTCTCACCCGTCACCAGTTGATTATCGCCTTCGTTGTATGGGAGTTTCGCCGTACGACCACCCTCGCCCACTTCCACGTCGAAAACGTAGTCGTACTCGCCAGCGGGAAAAAACTGATCTCCCTCATAGGCTGTCCGCGGTCTCCCTGTAACTTCACCTATCAAATCCCACTCGCGTCCGTTCCACGAGTACGCGTTTATCGTCGATCCCGTTTTAAACATTTTGATCTCACCGTTCTTTTTACCTCTAGTCTTTGGCATATCTGAGACGTCTGCTACGTCTTTGTCTTTAGAGGTTGTGGGCATGAAAATGGTGTAGTAAAATCAAGAAGACCAGCGTCTTCGACGCGGACGAAGTAGAAGTAACTGTAGTTATTTCGGCTGGACATAGGCGGGATTGTCAAGAACTTCTTCTGCTAGAGATACTGCAACTGCTTGTTCAGAATCACAATTTATAAGTGTCTTCTGCATAATGAGTGAAACTCCAGCTGCACCCTGCTTGCTGGCCTCTGCTGCCGCGGACACTGCTTCTGAGGACATTTTGGCTCGCAGTTCCTCTGTAGCAAAGCGATCAGACTCAGTGGTCCACACTCGAACGACGCCATCGGCACAAGCGGTAGCAACATCACCATTGGCCAAACTTGAGACAGCCCAAATCGTATTTGCATGTAAAATCGATTGCAACGGTGCCGCAGCAGTGTTATCGAGGTTCCATACTTTCAGCTGTGGTTGAAGACGTGCTCGTGTGGTTTGCATAATAGTAAAACTAACATCTTCAAAAAATACAAGTAGCTCACGACGAGAAATTCATTCTTATCATGCTCATCACAGGCGTCTAGGATATGAATATCTGAATCAAACCTACTTTCCTACCATTCGATCGTCCGCTCCGCTAAACAGTTTGTTCGGGAAGTCGCTACTGGTTTGATTTCCTGAAGCGAGGCAGATGTCGAAAACAAAACTCTCGTGTCCCTGCAACTGCGTCATTTCCAGTCCGTCTAAACTCCAGAACTTTATCATCGCGTCGTTGCTACAACTCGATATATGAAAGGTGTAAGTAAGTACGTGCAGAAGGACAAGGAACCGCTTGAGAATCTAGCATAAGGCCACATACATGTGTAACGCACGCATTGACAAAAATGCCTTTTTCCCTTCTCAATCTCAATCAGAGAGTGTAAGAAAGTAGTTGTACGTAGCCATAAATCAAGCAGGTCGCCGTCGGGTTGTACAGTATTTTCCTCACGATATCCGTGTGTCCCTCCAATGTCCGGATGAGGGATCCATCAGATTTCCAGATCTTTATCGTCGCTTCTTGACTGCCTGTTGCGATCTCACCAGTTGGCAACAAACAAAGCGTAATTGCATGTGTTCCCGCGTCAATCTTGCGTACTTGTGCCCCAGTCTGGGTATGCCAGATGCGCAAGGTGCCATCCCAGGAACCTGAAGACGAGAGCAAGGGGAAGTAAATAGATGAAGATGGAATCTGCTTCTAGGCGTAGGTTCTTCACAAAGAATAAGAATATCTTCTATGTTGTAACTATTATAGTTGAAGTGAAAAGCTACATAGGAAGAGGCATCAAAAGGATTAAGTAATTTAAATCTTTACTTTCAACATCATCATTTTTCTTTACCGCTAAACAATTCTTCCCCTCTTTCCGCTAAGCTACAGACAGCTCCCTCGTGACCGAAGAATTGCAATTGTCGCAGCCCATCGTATCCCATTTTGAAGATCGTTTTTTCCTTACCTCCAGAGTAGAAGTACTCATCTCCAACACCATCGCATAACGAGTAGACGAAGTCTGAATGGTGGTGTAAGCGTTTTTCCAAGTCGAAGTGCTTCAGCTTTTTGGTTCCCTCGTCATAAACCGCCTTCCACATACAGACGAGGGCATCGACGCCACCGGTGAGAATTAGAAAGGCCCTAGAAGTAAAGTACAAGGACAACGAGAATTAGGAATTCATAATTTGCAACGAAGATCAGCTCCTACCATTTCCGAAAGGGAAACGACAGTCCCCTATCCTAGAAGTTTTAGTGAGTGCCGCGACGAGTGTACTAGAACTAGACAACTATAATCAACTTTGTCTCACTTCTCTGGAGAAAATTCTATATTATCCATCGACTCATGATCAAAGCTCGACTTCCACTCACATAACAGAATGTTTCCATTCTTGAGCGTGGTCATGCACCGCACGGCCTTCTCGTGGCCATGCAGCTCCTGAGCAAGTTCGAGTTCAGTGTTCATTCTTTTTGACTATTTCGATTTCGATTTCGTCCGACACAAAAGCAAGTTGAAAGTCACAACGCCAACGACTACGACTAGTAGTACATTATACATGCAACAAAAATGGTACTCGCAACTCTGATGTTGTATTCAGCGAAAACTTGAACAACAACAAAGATGGATAGAATGAATCCTGAAAATTTTTGTTCTGTTTAACAAAGCCTCGTCTAGTTTCACAACTTGCTCACCTTACACCTTGTTATTGTTAAGTCCTGCTTTTCTTAGAATTCTTTGCCAAATGTACACTAGTACAGTTCTCCACGACTTCCATTCAGGATGTAGTAGGGTTCTTGTATTTTACATAGATGTTTTTAGGCAGCATTTTCATTCTGAAAACTGCCATGATGACCTGTCAATCCGAATGAGTTAGGCATGTTGGTTGTACTCAGAGAGACTAGGATCTTCGTCGCAGCCTGGTGATGGTATTAATAGCCAGTGGCCGCAGCATGACAAATACAACCGACTCCGACTTTGACGTGATCGCGGTCCTAATACCATTTGATTGAAGCACGAGATTGAGAGTGCATCAGTGTCGCCCTCAGTCTATCACTTTCCCTCAGCAAAAATGCTTCCTCCTAATTTCATGAGAACGTCGGAGATTCATCCACCCGGTTTTCTGCAGCCACGGGGTTGCGCTTTTCAAAGCACTGTCAGGGTGCCGATAATCGCAAAATTTTCACAAACATATCTTGAGTGAGAAGCGAAAAGTCATGTGCAGATATGAGACGGGATTCGGGATTCGTGGGTGGAATAAGTACATTTGGGTAATAAATCGTGCTTCCTTAGCACACCTGCTGTCGCTATCCCCCAACGTCTTCTCCTGATGAACCCGGGCCCTTATTTTGTTGTTCCTGTTCCGGTTTAGTCCCTATAATTGGTGCATTTCCAGTATTTCCTAGTGCATTTCCAGTGCTGGCTCCTGCGATGTCCCACTCTTCTGGTGGAAAGAGCCGATTCAGTACTTTCCTCAACTTCTCTTTGTTGTGCACCTCAAATTCTAGTTCCCGCGCATAGCTGTCTGAGAGCCCATGCAGGACTAGCGCTCTGCTCTGGCCTGCTCGGTTTATTGTTGGAAATAGAAGCACGCGGATGGCATCCCTCATCCTGGTTTGAGCTATGGTAGGAAACAACACTTGCAGTTGGTCGTATTTTTGCACTGTTACCATGGTGGAAGAAGTGGAACTAGAGGTGGAAGATCCAGTCTTTCCTTTGTTCCCCTGTCCTGCTGGTGTAGCTGCTGAAGACTGAAGTGCTGTCTGCTTGTCTTTCATCCCCCCGCCATTAGCTTCATTACTATCTTCTGCCTGACCAGAAGTAGACTCAGACATGCTGACTTTCGCCTTTTTCAGAGCAGGTAGCTGTTCCACTTGTCCTTCGCTTTTCTCTGCTGTACGAGGATTCGGTATTCTCGCTTGCACAGCCACACTGCTTTTCCTCTCGACGACACCGCTAAGCACAGCCACCAAATACACACTGGCCGCACAACAGGCTCGCATGTCACTCCATGCAGATCTCGCCAAAGTTCGGTCTAAAAAGGTTTCACCTCCACCACGCAAGGTGTCCTCTAGGAAATGACGCAAACAACGCAACACGTCCTCCGCTTCATCGCGGGTAGCGAGCCCAAGAGACGCAGAAAATTGCGGGATCAACTCGCGCGGGTCAGAGGACGATATCCTAGAGGAAGCCCTGGCACTAAGCTGCGCGGCTCCGGTTGGAGATTAGAGTGTACAACGAGGAAGTCAAATAAATCTCAGTAGAGCAAATACAGTAAAATGTATGAAGTCGAATTCGTGCATGCACATTCAAGTGCAAGCTATAATCAATGATGATGGCATGTACGCAACAGATTTCAACGCTGGTTGTAGAAACTAACATCATTTCAAAAGTTTTAGTTACATTCTTTCAAAAGAGTGAACCTACAGGAGCGAGCAACATCAGTCATAACTCGCATTGCTGCCCTTCGATGATCCGCTGCCAGCTAGAGATACGGACTGTGTGAGCTCAGTTGAGAGCGCTGGCGCCAGGTTTTCTAGTCGACGATAAGCTGCCGCCACGTCTTTCATCGTCACCTGAAAACTCCAATCACCCAGTTGCTGTAGAACTTGCCCAAACGAAACGGCCTCCCCAAGGCGACATTGGGCAACGCAGAGAACCAGTATGAAATCCGCATGCTGGAACCCTTTCGACCGGAAATGCGACACGAAATATTAGAAGTGTAGTTGTATCTAATATCACTTGTGAATTATAAAAAAGTTGAATGTCACGATTCTTATACGACGAAGAGGTTTACCCGCCATCTGCATCTTCTACGCGAGGATATCATGAGAGTAGAAAGTACGACGAGGTTGAAATGAACTTCACTTCTAGATCATTTCGAAAACGGTTTTATGTCCTTAACTAGATGCATTGTCGCTGTAGAGGTATTTCGTTATCTGCATACACTGATCCAGCGTCCGTTCATCCCGCTTCAAGGCCCCAACCACGAACTTCTTCAACTGCGAGAAGATCTTCGCTAGAGAACCCTCTCCTAACTCTGGTGCCACACTGGAACAAGTATTAGAGGATCGCAGCTACGCACAAGCACAACTTCTCTATAACGCGAACTTGTACTTCCGACTTAGAGCTAGAACATCCAGGCAGTTCTAGTTCAACTTCATCTGCAAGAAATAGTAAACCTACAACTTGTACTTCTACTTCCGCAAACATTCAATCATAACTGGAACCGCCACTCCTTGCTGAACATGTTTCGCTGCTACTGCTTGTGATGCGTTGTAGAGCGCTTTCGCCATTGCCGTCCCGGTTTTTCCTATCATCCCAGTTGCAAGCGTTTGCCCCTCTTGATTCAAATAGGGGTTGGTCTTCACCCTCTCAGCACGTTCCAGTTTGTCCGGTTCATCCTTGAACTTTCTCCATTCTGCTTGATCGGTCACTAGCCGGTTTCGCAGGAGCAAACCACAACTACGGCAGGGATTAGAAGTATTTCTAACACCAAGAATGAGGTCAGTTGTCACTACTTCTTTGGTTGTTTACTTATATCCACGACCCGGACCCTTCCGTTCCCTTTAGAAGCTTTAGAGGTTGATATAAATTCAATAGTTGGAAAACCATACGGGCGGTATCTTTCTTATTCTTACTAGGATACGAATGGTCTGTCAAATATTTTTTGAAATTTTGATTTTGCCATAAAAGGAACTACGCCCTCGATGTAGTCAATCACGATGTCGTCGCTTCCACAGAAAGGGCAAGAACTGAACAGAGCTGCTTCCGACATTTTTCAGTTTCTTTGGCAGACGAGTCATGGATGTTGTGGATGATGAACTACAAGAAGTAAAGTCAGTTGTGCCATCTTTTCTACATGACATGATCAAGCATATTAATCAGCACATTCTCTACTCGAAAATAATTTTCTGTAGCGCTAGTGCAACCGGAGGACATCTTTTTTCCCACAGAACGATCGCTGAACTGAACTTCCAGGGGCAGACTACTTTTATTCACGCTGATGGGATGGGATCCATTTCACTATAAAAATAATGCCTTGCAGTTTTATTGTAGTTACTCAGGAACGTATACCGAATGCGAAAGGGATAATACTGGCAATGCAGATCGTCGTCCTCTACATGGTGATACAGATCGCGCGCTCTGCTGATATGGCAAGTCAAAGCCTCGGAGACCGATCTTGCTTGTGATTGTCCTTCGCCGGGCATGCCAACCTAGAATTAGATACACAAGAATCCCAAACAGTGACCTAGATCTTATTATCATTTCTTGACTACCGCCAACCAGAGCGATGTGAAGACTTCCTCAGAACATTCCTTTGTTTTCTTAGGCGGGCTTTCAGAATTCGGAGGTGGACCACGTGGAGGATGTAGTGTGATATAATTCGATGTACAGTTGCTGTTCAGAAGAAGTTGATTCTCGTTGTAGTCGGTATCTTTTTGTGCTTATTCTCGACATCTACCTTTCGTTCCCATTCGAAAAGGTAGATGTTGTCGAGAATGGGACATTTTTTAATAAACAAAGTGATAGAAAACTACTATAAAAAATAAAATAAATAAGTAGTTGTATATGTAGAGTACTATCGGTCATGTGTTTGAAGACCGTTTAACCCCTGATTTTGATGACAAGGGTGTATGACGGACTGCCCGATCCTTACCCATTTTTGCTAATCAATCGATGTGGAACACTCTAATTTTTTTCCAACAAATCACAATCTCTATCTCTCTCATACGCACAACAAAAAGAAAATTTGAATCACCACAAAGCAAATATGTTACCTGTCTACACAAAATACGAACTCCAGGTGAATTATCGAGATCAAATGCGTATGCGATTTTGTTGTGAATGATCTAACAAGTCCTTGCTTGCTCATATCTACTTCTCGGAATGTTTCTCCATAGAGTCATCTATGGTACCTTCATTTGCGTAGCTGGTCACTTCAGCGAGTGCGAAGAAACATTCTTCTAGCGGCCAGTCATGCGATGCCAAGTATCCCGCAAACTGGTCTTCATTTCATCTAGCGCTGTCGGACACGTAAATCGCGTCTGGTCCTCTTTCGGGCATTGCCTGCCATCTTGCGTTTGCCCTTGCTTAGACGATGCTCCTGTCCTGAAAACCTCAACAAAAATATGTTACTCTCCTCAGGGTACTTTCTTGACATTGTCATGAAGATGAAAATAAGTGCGCAGTACGAAACATCTTCACCTCCTTATCTGGAAAATTCAAAAATCCCAATTGACCAAGATCTTCAGATAAAAATCGTTGTCGTTGACTCAATAAATTACAATCGACTAGATCAGTCAGATGCTGATGATCTCTGGCTAGGAAGAATTTCTTTCTCGCCTGCTAGTGCCATCTTAGACAGTCTTACCTAGAGGTACTTACAAAGTAGTGTGGGACAGGAGAGAAACGCACATCCTGATACCGAGAAAGAGTCAAAGCCAGAAACAGCTTTATCGAGGGTCATGTCTGCGTCATCTGACATTATAGTCATAACCAGTAAATCTAAATAAGTAGTTGGACGAAGCCTAGCATATCGAAAATCTCGCTTCCAGTAGAGCTGGAGGTCGTATGACAGAAAAAAAGCTACTCCTCCTCAATATTCACAACCTCGCTGATGCCAGCCTTGGCTGCCCTTTGGACGCTGGCTCGAACAGACGGAGGGTCCCAGCTGTCGACCGCAGCAGGTAAGTGCAGTGTCTGAAACTAGCTAGTTAAAGATTAATAGACATTCTGACAGGCCCACGAAGGACCTAGGCTTTAGGGTGAGGGAGAGGTTGCGGGAGCGGGGAAGCGCAGGGGCAACGAGCAGAAGATGCGGCAAAATCTTGTCTGGATGACATTTCTGGCCTCAGTATCACGTGGGGGCAAGTGGTGAACGAGCCTAGGGGGGCTGGAGGGTGTTTGGGCCTGTCAATCTAGTGTTATCTCAACTAGCTACTTTAAGACGCTGCACTTACCCACCGCTGTCCGAAGCTGGGAATCCTCCACCAGGTACGCCGAGGATCCGATGAGCTGGCTCAGAGTGAGCGCAAACGAGGTTGCGATTTTTGAGTAGGAGTAGGAGTAGCTCCTTTTGTGTCATAGGTCGTTACGTGCATTTATTACGATACCACCAGTAGCAGTGTCACTAGCAGTTGTATATTCGGTTTCATATTATATCTTGAGCCCGTCTCACAGCAGATCCCCGCCAAAAAGGATTCGTAGTCGTTAATTGCCTTTAAGCAACCTTTGTGCGCTGAGTTGCAGAAGCCCGCATCGCTTTCCATGCTGAAGAAGGTAACGCAACCGTTCATGAGCGTCTTCTCCGAATAGTTTTGCACCTCCGTGAATTGGAAACAAGGGTCAAGAAACAAACCGGAAGACTGCAAACAATAATCGCATTCACAAGACGCAGTGGTCTTCTAGATCTAGTTCTATGTCTATCCAATACCAAGAGGACTAGTTTAATATCATGAGGTTAAGGTTGAGGGTCCACCACTCCGGGACCAGACCGCACCGGCTGGGACGAATAGGGTTCTAGTAGACCCACTTATATCATCTACTTATAGTTATACCTCTGTTTAAAATAAATATCATGTACTTATATCATCTTTATATCAAATATGTTGTCTCGGTTTCAGGAAATTCTAATTCAATAAAGGGCCATGAATATGAATATATAAGTAATCATGCAAACTCTTAAACAAAATTATGTCCATCTCAGCTCAAGTAAAGGAGTCGAAGTAGACACACTGGATGTACATGCGTCGTACAGTTGTTGCCTTAATTGTACTTTTTCTTGGCGTATTCAAGTGGCTGTTTTTTTTTATGGCGATTGCAGAAGCACGCGAGTGTCTCGTTGTCGAGGATATTCGCCCAGCTATCCTTTCCGATAATACTCTCGACACTTTCAACAGTGTCAGCACTCTCCTCACAAGCTTCATAATGAAAGTGGTTTCTTCAGAACAAACGTGATTCCTATCTTCCTCGACACGCTTCTTTGTCAACAAGATCTGATCCATACATCAACATCTCTGATCTGTCTAATTTATCAATATTAATTGCCGAAGGTCATGGTCAACGATTCTGTTAGAATATATCTTTAGTGTCATATTGCAAGAACTTGTTGTTTCGGCTTCTAGTCAGCTCTTTTGAATAAAAAAATTGCGCGTTAGTAGCAGTAGATAATTCTCTGAGGAGAAAGGAAATTCTTCTATCTGTCCACCTCTGGGTCCGGTATATAGATGGATCAGATGAAAGCAGCATGATCATCATAATGTTTCCTGTCTTTGTTGAGTGGGTTGGTCCCATACTGCTTCAGACAAGCGGTTCTTTTTGCATCTTTGACATTCTGGAGCGTTATTTTCGTGGATCGCGTGAAGAGATGCTTGCACTTCACTTTCTGCCCTTTGAGATTGATGTTGTTGTTGAAGATGAGATGTTTGTTCTTCTGGTTCCTGAAGAAGATTACATAACTCATTGTGTTGTTGATCGATGCTATTCATTTTCATATTACTCCTGGCATTGTGTTGAGGCTTCCGCGCGACTTTGTCGAAAAACAGTAACATCATCCGACTTGTCACTAGTTGTATAGTAGATCCCACTTTGATGTTGATTGTATGTGGCAAGCGACATTCCTACTACTTCTCCCTTGAGGAGGAAGTCACTCGCATAGTAGAATAGGACAGGATAGGATAAGTAGGATAGTGTGCCTCCACTTCTCCGCCACACAAGGTGACTGCTGTTCCGTACTCTATGTATCCATAAACATACTGAAGATTTAGATTATCTACATCATATGCATACTCATCCTATCATCCCTTTGAGTGACAGAGCTCCAATTCGAGTTCGAAGAAAAAGAACTACTAACGACCATAAAAATTCTAACGACCAGAATAAGTATAATCAAAATTACACCTTCGTATTGCACCATAGCGGTTCCCGGATATCGAAATGCAGTCGAAACTACAGGTTTGGCGCGGACTGCCTGCTCAGGAGAAGCGGAGATGATCGCTGGCTCAGCTGCTCGTGGTGACATTACTTAAAGAGAGAGTCAATCATTTTTCTCCGTCGCTGATTGGTCGGCTCAGTTTGTCGCTTTGTCTTCTTCTTGAAATGCAGAAGAATCCACGCTGGGCTCAGGAGACTGAACGCGAAACAATGATTGACTACCCTTAAATGACCGGCGCATCAGGTGAAAGATGTGAATGAGGATCATAAGATCCTAACGAGGACCAGGGACTAGGAGGATCAAAGCGCCATGTATCACCACTCGACGACCCAGAGGACGTGGGGCTTCCCGAGAATGGCGACGCTTCCCCACCTGCAACGGGTCACGTCATTTATCAGTTATGTATCAAGTACTAAAAAGCACCAGCGCATCAAAGTTCTTTCACGAAATCATGATCCAGAATGACTCCCTTGTTCTTGCAACTTCGGTATTGCTGTAAACTACAGCTCTCTACTGTTCCGCCAGAACTACGACAACAAAAGAAGCATCATTCAACAACATGACGAGCATACTTATGTTGATAGTGTCAATTCATATACTTAATACCACTACTCGGAGTCACGGTGCTCATGGCCGAATGGCCTCCCATCGATTTCTGGCTGCCATCCGAGCTTGCAATAGAGGATGACAACGGCGAAGAGGGAGCAAGACTAGTAGTGCTTTCCGTTGTTCTTTAGAGGATGTGAGGTCTCGTCGTTCTCGAGAAGCAATCGATTCAACATTTGTTAATATTGTTTCTACTTGTTCTTGTTCGGTTTTTACCGTTACTTAGTATCTAAAAAAACTTATAACATATTATAAGTGCTTACTCTACTGCTTCAATCATCGTCCTCCTACTTCTACAAATACTGCTGTTCCTCTTCGTTCTCCTCCCTACTAATACTTTCAGACACTGATTCTAGTCCTAGAAAGAAGAAAGAAGCCGAAGAAATACAGGGATCCTCGAGGAAATACAGGGATCTTCAGAAGTTGAAGACAATTCAAATGAAAACAAAGCATGATTTGCCTTAAGTTCTCTTCTCCAAAAACTTCTTGTTGCCAAGTCCTTCCGCAAAATGCAACGAGCTCAACTTAGAGTTCTTTGAGTTTCCTAAGGTACTTTTCGCCAGGCTGAAGAAGACGAAGATGATGATAATATAATGATGATGAAGATCTTCGAGTTCAACCAGACTTCTATCCTACAGTTCAATATTTATACGGACTCGAGGATCCTATCCTACAGGAATCCATGGTAAAAAAAGCCGACTTGTTTTTGAATCCGATTTATGTAACAATCAATAAATGGCATGTGTTTAATATGTTGTCAAGAAGCTAGCCTTAAGTAATCCGAGAAGAGCCGCTCTGAAGCGACGCCTGCGTCGTCCTTTCGGCAAGACTCGTGTCGCGTAGGTGTTCACACGACCCTTCTGCATCTTATTGCTAAGACGAAGAAGTTCCACTCAGTACTCAAGCGCTACCTCGCACAACCATATGTCTTTCCTGTATCTTGTTGTCGGTGTCCTTCTTGATAGCTGTCACACTGCAGGTCGGAGAAAATAAAACTCTAATCTAGGAGATGAAGATCAGGATCACGGTAGGGATGACATTTGACATAGTTGATGATTTACATATTATTTATACATTTACGACTCAAGGAAACACATTATCAGACTGTTTTATCCAGCACGAGATGCATATTACATCAAAAGCGGACGCGGATTGCGTATGATGAAACAGTTTATAAAGTTGTGCAGCAGCAGAGGACGCCAGCCACGGGGAGCGAGAGTAGTTCGCTTCAAGTTGCAATCAGTCCAAGCAGAGGGCCAGCATAGGCACCGAAGATACAACCTGTAAGTAGTTGGATCCCATCACAGCACACATCAGATGAGTACAAGTACCGATGGAAGATGTTCATGTCGCTAATCGTAAGAATCGTGATCTTATTCGCCACCGGTTGTTGATTCCTACATGTACATACTGTCACTTACCGATACCATTACCAATACCGAAATTTGATTTCTAACAACCGATGCGTGCAACCGCAAATGATGTTGACCCTGCAGTTACAGAACTTACTATTGACTGCTCGAATACTGACTTCCGACCCTGCGCCAACAATGATCAAAAATCATCGGCGTCATTCTAGACGTAAGATCATCGCAGCAATCGTGGTCAAGAACAAGCCCGAAGACAGGCACATCAGAAACAGAATATCAAATTTATCATATGAATCATAACGAAGCCTACTTGTTAAAGTTAAACTCAGGAAGTTTATGCGACATGTGCATGAACATCTTTGTCCTTCTGTATTTTTGGTTGAAGTCTTTATGAAGTACATTTTCATCGCCGTGACACCATCGCTATCTATTTTGAATTCAACATGCTTTCCTTACGAGGACAGAGACAACGGGTGCATTGAAAAAACAGCTACTAGTCTTGGCCACCGGTTCCGGCTTTTTCCCCAACATTAGTGCACATAGACCCCTCCAAAGGTTCGTAGGGAAAGGTTTGTCCCCAAAAGCCGGGGAATCGAAACTCGTGAATAATCGGTGTTTTTAGCCATCGATTTTCGGTTTCCAGCCTACGACGCGCTCGCTCCCTCCGAACCTTCATCAGGAATTGGCAAGTTTAGAGCGCTAGAAGATGTAGACATTCTTCGGTACTTGAAATGAATATCATGGATTGATGTTTGGGCATGAGTTTTTGACCTTCTTCTTCAGAAGCGCATCGCTATTCAAATAGAAATATCCTTTTCTAAGCAGATGTCCACAAAGATTTTGACCAGTATTAGCAAATCTACCATAATATTTGTCCAGAAAGTAGAAGAGCCGACGACGGCGAACGGCAAAGGAAGTCCTCCTGTTCTGTGGCGCAAACAACGTACGCGAGCCAGAAAAAAGGCCACCTCGAGATGGAACAAGAGTCGCGCCGCACGAACCAGGAGGTGCGCCAGACGATATTGTTGATGAGGAAGAGAAGTCGTTGTCTACTCCCGCCTCGGGCGTAGCCTGACCAAGAGAAGTAGTAGATGTCAACAGAATGCTGGGTGGTCGTAACCTTTGACTTGTGGATGCGCTAGCGGTGGCAATCCTCATAATTAGTCTGGAAGTAGAGGAGCTGGAGGGCCAATGAGTGGCAACGCTTCCAAGTGCAGAATGAAAGGAAGCACGGGTGGTCTCGAACAACATCATGTTCATGTTCAAGTTCATGGTGGCATATTTATGGAATTTTTAGAAATGACCACCTAAAGTCGTCTCTCAGCAGTGGGAAATTCTCTCTCGACAGAGACAGTGTGTTCTTCTTAACATGAACGAGTAGCGCTAGGCTTAGACGCAGGACTCTAGCTCGACAATATGAAGCGAACTGTCTAGGAAATAAGACAGGGGTCGTTGTCACTCAGGACGACACCCAATACGAGTGATTCATCAGAAGCAAGAACAGGAAGTCTCTCTCACGATCACTTGTCGGCTTCGCTTTCTACATCCTGAAGCAATTCTGTCATCAGCTAGTCCAACAAACACGTGAATTCTTGCGAGTAGTTGACGTCAGACAGTCATGCAACTGTCCTTGTCATTGTGATGTTGTAGCAAAAGGTTGAATCCTATCTTCATCTTGTTCTGTCGTCCTTTTATAGTTCTCCTTCTCGCATGGTACTCCGACCTCATAATTTGAAAGAAAAGTTGATGACGTCGTGGTCGTTAAGAATGGGGAAAAGGGTACGAAGTCCACCTAAAAAAAACGTCCGGGGTAGCGAGCAACAGGGAGGGTGAGGGCAATGACATTAGAATTAATAATGTTTCCCTCTACAACCTCCTTCACCAACGGCAATCTTCGATCCACCGTAAAGCACCTGAGCAACAACACAGTAGAGCTCACTTACTGCTCGACTAGCAGGTCTCAAATTCAAATGCTTCTTGCTCACGTGGTCTGGTCCTAGTGAAGATTTATTAGCATTTAGTGACAAGAAGTCTGAACCTGGTGTACCCGAATTTTTACGACTAGTACGCAAGACCCTGAATATGCTTTCGCCCAGTTCAACTGCGCGCCCAACGGCCATCGAATTTTCTTCATTAGGGCAGTAGATGACCTCTTCCCTGAGAAACCTCTGCAAAGATAATGCAGTAGAATCCTGTTGCTCTCCAGAATGATCATCCATCGGAACTTGTTTTGATGACTCTGCTTCTGCTATCTCTAGAAGCTGCTGGCCAAAATCGATACAGTTGGCACCAAAAGAAGCGACCTTGGGGAAATTTTCAGGCTGCAGAGGTAAGGACGAGGCTACTCCAGACGATCCACCTGGTGGTAACACATGACCAAGGGCAGGAACTAAAGCTCCATTCGCACCGCGGACGTAACGAAATGGATTTTCGTCGATAGTTCTTCTAGATGACCCGAGAGGGCGACTTTCGTCAGGGCTCCAACTCGGACTCCTCTCGTCTCTATCGTTGTGTGGACTTCCGGTTGCGCCGCCATCACGAGGACTTCCAGAGGCAGACGTAGTTTCTTCCTCACTCGCTTCTCCACAAAGTGCGTCTAGGAACGCACTTTCAGCTCTCGTTTCGCCTCTTCTATTCAGCAATTTGGGTTTCGGAGTCGGCGGCAACAGCAGTCCATCTCCCTGTAGCATCCTACGGAGAACCTCCAAATCCACGATGTACTCGGGACAATCCTCAATCGCACCGTTTAAGTGGAAAGTGTACGTCAAGCCGAACGCGCTGTCGTCAACTATAGTACGAGTGTTCTTCCGGTTGCCACCTTGAGGCATCGTGTTGCTGCTGCAGGATGAGCTCTTGTGTTTATTCCGTCGATAATCTCCCCATTTGCTCCATTCCTTTTCGGACATTTTGATCCGCACATAGTCGCTGAGAACAAACTCGTTTGCGCCCCTCACATGATTAGGATTGCCAGCTGTCGAGCAGGAAGACGAATAAGAGGAAGATGTTGAAGGAGTATCAAATGCAGCACTCATCGACTGCATCATCAGCATCATATCATCCTCTTTCTTAGAAGAACTGGGAAACTTCTTGCTAGTATGCGACATGCTCTGATGTTCTTGTTGACCTTTACTATTACCCTTGCATCCCTTCTTTCCTGCTCCTTTGATACCTCCTCCGCTAAGGTGGTGCTGTCCCATCTGTACCGTCGCAGCATCAGAGTGGCCTCCACCCTTCTGATGTTCTTGACTAAGCGTCATCTTCTCGTGCAGTCTATGGCTGTCTAGGGTAGTTCCGATGAAAAGCGAACCCTCGGGCCTCGCGCAGTCCCGCACTAAGCGACAGAAGTTGGACGCGTCGCTATGACTCCCAAACGCGTAATGCAAAGCCATCTGACAAGTCACTATGTCAAAGAAATCCAACCCATTGTGACCCAATTGCGTATGCGTCCCCGTGTCTTCCCCATTGTGATCCAATGCACACAGCGTATGCGTAGCCGTTTGTTCTTCATGCTGATCTTGTTGTAACATTTGATGACCCTGACTGTGAGCTCCTGCACTTGCAATATGATGTTCATCACCACTGCAACGCGTGTGGTTTGCTGCAACGTTGGAGAGACTGCTGCCATTTACAACACCGGAGGTAAACTCGCCTGGCACCCAAGTCGGAGAAGAAGTAGTTCTTGATGAGGGCATGGTCGTCGTCGAGGAATACATCAAATTCGAAGATGAACGACCAAGCCCAAGACTTGACACGTCTACATCTGACTCCCCCTGTAATCCTTTCAGGATATCTTGCTTGGCCTGCAACACCACAGCCTTACACTTTTCGTAATTGGTGAAATCAGCAACGTAAAAATGTGCCTGGAAGGTGTGCCCGTGTAAAAATGTGTCTCGCCCTCTAGTTTCTTGCCAACGGTCGCGCGCTGCTTTGACGGAACCAGGGGAATTGTCTAAACCAATGTAGATAAATCTCAAGGGGGGAGGTCGCGGAACTGAACTAGGAACTTCATCTGAACTATCTTGATCTTGAAAGTACTGTGCCGAAGCGATCCACTTATTCAGGTCGCCGCCGCGTCCACAGGCCAAGTCCAAGATGAAAACAGGTCGAGTCTTCCATTGTGTCGCTTTTACCGCGTGTGCTCTTGCTGAAGATGGAATATAATTGTGGTCGTTGCTCACTGTTTTCCGTCGCTTCTTGTTCTGAGCCATAACAAGCTCTACTGCTCTTTCTAGTTGGTCGTCCGCCTGATCATGCACTACCCCTAGCAGCCCTTCGTTGTTGTCCTCTATTGTTTCCTCGTCCTCCAGCACATCAACTTCCCTCCAAAAATGTCCCTCTTCACTACACCTTCGCTTCGCCACGAACTCTGTCGCGATCAAGACCAACGACGTCTTGACCCAATTGTTGAAAGCGAAATGAGCGTTTTCATTATCCCTGAGGTTTTTCCGGTTCTGATGACCAGCGTAACTGCCTGCTGCGTAATCGTAATGACTGGAGACCTCCTGGTGAAGAGGACGTCGGTTATGATCATCTACTCCAACTCCACACTTAGCATAAGTATTGTATTTGCGACCGGGTCGTAGCTGTTGACCTCCCACCATTTTCTCTTCAACTATAGATCTTATGTTAAAAAAGGCCTATGGAGGTTATGCTCGCTTCTAGCAGGTAAGCAGGAGCTCTAAACGAGTACGAACTTGTTCTACATTGTGCTACACTCAAGAACGTGACTGTATTTTTTTGTAAAACGCTGTAATAGCAATTACTGTACATTTTCTAGTCAATCATGGGTCAAGTAAGGACGAAGCCATCCCCTGTAAAAACATCGCACTGATTTGTTTGTTTCTGATAGTCAAAGTTCATTAAACAAGCAATCGGATTTTGTATTTGTTGGTGGTTTTGTGATCACTACTTAGTGTACTTGGCCTTGAGTTCAGAGCTCTCAACTCAACAGTCTTTGACCAAAGCGCGCTACCGCCTGACCAATAAGCTTTGAAGCAGAGAACTCAGTGCTGGAATCGCCTGACCAATGAATAAACATGGGATCTTTCTCCTGTAAGACCAGATCAGTTTATTTCAAGACCATTTCATTCTTTGACCTGCTTTCGTAATGCTGGCGCATTTATATACTTGACCTGCTGTGCTCACATACACAATATACTTGACCTGCTGTTGAAAGAGCATCATTACTGTTTTGAGGATCTTGTTTGGATCTTCAAATGCACATCTCGCCCTTGATTGCACCGATAATATGGAAACAGCCAGCGAAATCTAATTCGATACGAGGCGGCACTTCGAAAAGATAGTACTCTTGTACTTGTTCTATTCATCTTTGACCGTTTGGAGTTTCGCAGACTAAAAAGCGTCATACTGTGTATGTCTTTCACTCTGGATTTCCGCACTTTGAAGAAGCAACAGCACGCAGTAGTTCTACAGTCTATGCAACATGTTGTCTTTGACTGTGATAGAGCTCATATTGAAGATCTTCTATGCATGCAGTATACAGAGGGCACCTCGTAGCGCTCCTCGTTCTGGTGTGCATTTTTCATCCTCATGTAAGAAAGAAAATAAACATATCATGTATCATGTTCTATGAAGGTGGAGAAAAAGATAGTGCTTACACAAATCGGTACCTTCAGAAAAAAAACAACTGCGCTATCCAAGCCGCTAAGATAATCGTTGGCAGAAGTAGAGAATATGTATTGGTTCCCATGATCTTCACTTTGCGAGCCGTTGCACCCGACGACGCTACCTCACTCAACCGTTCACCTAATACTGGCGCTAAGACTGACGCTGTTCCGTTACTTCGAGTAGCACTTGCAAATAAATCCGAGACATTCCGAATAAGCACTGGCACAAGTCCACAGGCACGATCAAAGTTTCCATAAGCGGGCACACAATTCTGTGCTGTATCATTGACTCCCAAAACTTCTCGCCAAATCTCGCGGACTCCAGTGTAGGGTCGTAAAAATTTCTCAGAACCAGTCTCTTCAATGGTATTTGATGAACCAGCAACATCTACACTTGTTGACTGATGTTGAGATTGAGCACTACTTTGTCCCTGCTGACTCGGACCCTAATATTTGAAAGAATGTTCAGGGACGATGATCTTGTAGTTGATCATTGTTCTATTTTGTTCAACATCAAGAACGTTAACACTAACTAGAGTCAGTATAGGTATACATTTAATACATAGTAAGTATCAAGATACTTACTTACAACAGATCCAATATCGAGTCGTTTGTTCGCAGCATACAGACACACTCAATTCAATGGGCGACTGCGGCAGCATACAGACACATCTCAACAAAGCTCATGGCGATGGTGCTCGTGAAAACGGTGTTAATGAAAATGATCATGATGCTTATCTTATGGTGCGTGTGTATAGAAAAGTCTGACGACCGGATCCTCGAGGCCTACGATTCACGCGTCGACTGAGTGGAGATGGACATCCGTCGCCTTCATCTATCTTTATTCATCATCTAGTCTTTTTACAACTCGAGTCGTCTGGTGTTTTCATCACGATGACATCCTGTTTCGGTTTTTTGTATCTATCCTGACAACGATTATCGAGGAGGCACGACAGAACGGCACGGATAAACGAGGAGGGACGACTCTTCGTCTTCACCAGGCACTGACTCTCTAACTCTCGTCTACTCGTCGTCACTTTATTTCCATCCTTCATCTTCAAGGGAGGTAAGTACATTGGGTTTCGTCGAACCATTCAGCTTTAGGAGGTCGAACCATTTTTATAATGTTTTTGTCGGTGCTCATATTTCCTCGCTTCTCTCCTAGGCGATCTTCATCCTCTGAAATTCATTCGACTAGTGAATTATTGATACACGACTTTTCAGTTTCGGACCGGTCTATTTCCTTCACGAATAGCGCTGGGGTCGTAAGTCTCAGGATGAAATCAATGCTTCTCTTGGCCCACATCTACTTGCTTCTGTAAGATGAACTGTTGATTCATTTTTCATTCTTCGAAACCCAACACGAAGAAGTACCTTGGTGTAAGTATGTTGTAGTACTAGTTGGTTCAACAGAAGAGAAAGACAACATCAATATCAATATCTTCGATAATACATGCATCCCTAACGTCGCTGTACACACTCACACGCACCAACATTTTTATCTATGTTTTTCCCACAACATCAGTACCCAAAGAGACGCATTTACATGTCAATTATCATCATGTAGTTCCCATACCCATGTAGTTCCCAATATTTTCATTTACTAGTAGTCGTTTCGTATCAATTTGCTACAGTTTTATCAAATACGTAATGATCTTGATCCGTCCTAGCTAATTCATCGCGCTTGAAAATATTCGTTCATAATTATACATAGTCCATGAGGTTGTAAATAATCTCCGCCGTATAACTACTCGATGACCAGAACTCTACTCAAATCAATACACAAAGGAATGCTGTTCGTACTCACGACTGGCGCCAAAAATAAAAATTTATTTCTGTTCAACTCGTTCTCGTAATCCTTTCATCTGTTCATGTTATCTGTTCAATGATTGAATGTAAACTCAGTATCTATATAATACATTGAATTTATTTTGTTTCCGCCTTCTTTCTATAATAGAGCAGTTTATAAGGGTTCCAGGTCTGGAATGGCATGGATCGAATGGCACGAATGGCACGGATGGCGGGGGCGCAATCCGTGACCGCGATCGACCTCGCCATTCGTCCCATTCGTGGACCAAATAGACCTTCGAGAGCGGGGCGCCCTTCGGGCGCCCTGCGTTCCGACGCGTTGCTCTCCCCACTGGGTTGCCACTTCCTGCTCGATGCTCTACGCCGACCGCCAAGAACCGCGCGGGCGCGGGGCGCCCTTCGGGCGCCAAGCCCTGCACTCAGCCAAACGCACATCCCTCACACAGTTCCACTAGGTGCCAAGGCTGCCCCCCCGCTACGGGCGGGGCGCCATGCTTCGGCGCCACCTCTTCCCTTCTTCGTCGTCACGATGTGGCTTCTCTCATGGGCGGAATCACGTGCATGCGACCGATATACTCGGCAAGCGAATGAGACCAGGGGCACCAGCTGGCGGAACCCTGTCAACCTGTGCCATTCGTGCCATTCGTGACGCATTTGGGGTCTGTTGGGGTGTGCCATTCATGCCATTCGTCCCATGCACCATTCGTGCTATAAACTGCCCTACTATAATCAGGAAGAAACAACCGCGATCATGTCACATCATTCAATTATGCGTGTATCAAACGAGATAACCATGCAAGCACATTCATCATCACTTAAAAACAACAGTATTTCTTCCCATTCTACGCGTCCTGCTCGTTTGGCTCCGCCCCTGCGCCTCCGTAAAATTAGATGATGGGTCGTGCTTGCTTAGTTATCTAAGTACTTATCCCTTATTCCACTTGGAGATAATCTTCACTTAAATAACCGGATAAGTACAACATCAGGTTTTGCCTACACGTAGAACAAGCAGCTGCTTCAAGTAGAACAAGTCAGTGCTGTGATCTAATCAGGCCAAAAAGTAAATACACGTACTAGGCATAGATAATAATAGGAAGATAATTTTTCTACGGCGAAGTAATCAAAGTGAAGATATAATTATAATCAAGGAGTTCAGTTGGAGTACCCTGAGAGGGAAAGCAAAAAAGTAGCCAGTGCGAGTGTGATGTGCATAAACGGCGGTCGCCCCATAGTCCTCCACGTTCAAAGTGTCCTTTGTCGTCGTCGTTGAGCTGCTCATGCGATTGCGAAACAACAACCGACGGCCAAATATGGCAGCAATAACAACTGCAAGAACGACAGCGCAAGCGCAGGAAATCTTAGAAGACAGCACAGCTTTGGCACTGTCATTGCTTGAATGACAGCGGTGTGTCTATCAATTTTTCTTCAACAGCTAAATCTTGACTCTAGAGAAGACAGTATCTTCAATATTATCTTCGCAAGGAATCAAAAAAGTTTTACTCTTATTTTTAACAATCGACGCGGATGCATATTATGCTTATACGATAGCCTTAATAATTTCGCGACCATCATGGGTATTAAGATGGGCAAGATCTTCGCCACCAATAAAGCCGGTCTGCACAACGCCACCAGACACTGCTGAGCCTGAGGATGGTCATGTTATCCGTTCTCCTATCAATGACGAGATACCATGATGTTATCCGTTCCTCTATCAATGATGAGATACCATGTCCATGAAGCTATCCGTTCTAACTCTTCTATTAATGGTGGTGGAGCACGACCTACCTAGAAAAAAAAACATTATGTTCATCTTGATCCAACTGGTGTGAAAAAGTAAGAGAAAGAGATAGCACTGACCTCTAAGTAGGAAGTACCTGACGCGCGATTAGCCTCCAAACGGTTTTCGGCTTCGGAAGTACCTGACGACGAATTAGGCTCCAAACGGTTTTCGGTTTCGGGACTGTCGATCATATTGGCAACCTGCGAGCCGCGAAGGGCAAATGTGTACGAAGTTGCATCTTGAAGGCCGCCCTCCTGCTCGCATACTTCATGTTCATCTGGGGTTGGGGTATCTGTAGTTGTTAAATAAGTATTCTTGTCTTCTACCACATCGCTTAAAACTTGAACAAGGTGTTTCGAAACGAAGGTCATCAACATGAAAGTCATGAACTCCTGCTGCGGTGTCTCAATCCGTTAACTTAGAGTTAGACTCAATGACTTGCATAAGTACCAGCTCCAGCAGCTCGAATATCCGTTGTGATACTTCCCGAGATAGAAGAAGTATCGGCTTGCAGCTGAGCGGAACGAAGTGTGTTCTCCATCACCTTGTTCGAGACATGGTCGTGAACCGCTCCTGTGGTATTTTTTCACAAGTGGCATTTTTTCAAAAGAGCTCACTTCCATGAAAATGATAACGCTAATGATAAAAATGCTGACAAAAATAATGATGAAGAATAACGATTAACGAACGACGTCATTACTTCCATATTGCTGTACCAATTCAACAAGGTCACTTCATCACTACTATTCCTAGCAACTCTGCTTTATAAAAGTCAGAAAATACCATGACCTGAAACTGCCGTAGAACTACTTGCGGAAGCGGAACCAAAAGTCTCCACGTCGGTTTGCTCTTCTGCTGGTATCAAACCGGCTGTTTTCGAGTTCGCAGGAGATACTTTGACCCCCCCTTCCACACGGTGGACATTACCTATCATGATCACGTGATCGTAAAATTCATCAAATGTTGACGTTGATGAAGGGGAGACTGTGATGACAGTGACTGTTGCTACTGATGATGAAAGAAAATGACTTAGATTCTCTGTTGATTCATAACTAAGGTTAGAGGTTGCGACATTGCATTCTTCAGATCATCCCTGACCCTTTCCCTACTGGAAAAAAAGTCAAGGATGGTAGTGAAGGATGCAATGTGGTAACCCTTAATAAGATGACAATTTTTCAATTTCATGGATCAAGAATAAGAAACTGAAACACAGACACACAGATCATTTCTAGTGCTTACTAGTAATAGTCAATCGTATAATATTATAGTCTGCCAAAACAGAAAACGCAACACCTTCGAGCTCGGTATCGCTATGATTCTTCTTAGTTTCAGACTATGACCACTGAGCGCACTATGTATAATTTCAAAGTCAAGAACTTCATTTTCAAGCGAATTAAAAAAGTGAAAACCTGCATCTTTCAGAAATGTCTCGAAGCTCCGGGTCTGCAAAAATGACGACCGCTCTGCAAAGGTGAGATGAGACACTGTGAGCTGGGATTCTCGTAGTGGTGGCTGTACCACGTTTATAGAAAGATAAGGACCCAAAAGGAAGTTCTGGACAATTTCTTAGGATCCGTAGATATTCTCTAGACGCACCGGGATGCAACATCGTAATTTCTCTCCAATACGGTATTCCTCTCACTCCTCTTGATCACTCTTTTCGTCTTACTGTTACGAACAGGAGCACTTGCTCATTCTCACTTCACACACCGCCCCAACACTATTGAAACGCACTTTCTTCAGGCGCAACATCTGACAACATATTTTCCATAGACGCCGGCGCGACTTCTTTTACACATCAAGCGCAACAGTGTCAAGCTGGGACGTCATGCGCCGCACAGTGTTCTCGTTCACCCAAATGCATGCTCGTGACGCAGTAGAGGCTTTAACGCTCTCCCTGGCCTCCTCTGGTCCTGGTGGCTACCACCAGGCGCGCGCGCTATGTACGAGCATGAAGCGGACGAAGGTGGGCCCCTGTGCCTCTACTTCTACTCAGGGACGAGCTACGCCCTATGAGTCGAGTGCTACACTTTTCCCCATCACGCCGCCGCGAGTCAGAGTCGCAGCTACTGAGTCCTAAACCAATGAAATAGACCAGGGTAGCTCTCGCGTTGTTTCTTAATCTCATCACTACATACTGAGACCCAGCCGCGACCACTATCCTGCGCAGGGACAAGGCAAGGACTTCGACCCCAAATATATCCCAACCTACTCAGTGCCCAAAGCCAAGCCAGTGACAGCTCGACGCTTTTCTATCTTTAGAGATTCGCTATCTTCTGGCGATTGCGTCAGGCTGTTGCAATCGCTGTCGGTAACGCTCTTAGTGACGCGGCCACACCAATGGGAATCGCGCTAGTATCTGGAGACGCGTCCAACTACACCGCCTCACATAGCGCCCCACACACCCAGACCTACTCGCACTCCACACGCTAAGAATGTGGCCCGACTTCCGTCAGCATGTAGCCCAAGAGCTCAGGCAGCCCTAGAGCTACGGCTCTAAACTGAACTAGAGCCACGGCCTTACACGAGCCGGGCTCTCTTCTGAAGAACCGAGAAAGTGGAGGCAAGGCGCAAGGGCTAGACTAGGCCAACCTCTTCTACCACTCCCTCCATGCTCGTGGGCCGCGCCCTCTTGTTCTCCATCTCCAATGGCACAAAAAGAAAAACCTTGCGGCTTCGCCTATTCGCATACCTAATCCCAAACCTATACACTCAGCCACCAGACTACCCTTCGAGCGCGACTGCGAGCGAGTGGGAGTGCGTGCGCAAATGCAAGCACCCCTGCAGGTGCGCGCCATACTATGGCCACCGCGCTACGCACTCCCACCGCGAGCCGAGTCAGACAATGCCGCTGGCGCTTTTCATGTTGCTGGATGCTGATTGAGCCTGGAGTAGAGACGACGGCAGATGCTCGAGCTGTTGGCCTTTGTGGTAGTAGTTGCGGCTGTGGGTGTGGGTCTGGGGCTGGGTGCGGTTGAGCTACTGCCAAGAGCGAAGCCATGACGTTGATAGCCCTGCTAGCTCCTACGCGATGCCTCTCCCTCTGGCGCCCAATCTTTCCACTTCCAGCCCTTTTCTCTATTTCTCCTGCGCAAAGGAGTGAAAAAATCAAAGCAAACGGCAACAGCTACAGCTTACTCATTGGCCGCGACGCTAATGCTAATAAATGGCGCAGCTATTTCTATAGTTACACTTACGCGCAGACTTAGGCCCATTAATGGCACCACCGTGAGGCGATTAGCGCCACGGTAAGAGTGAACGAGTAAGAAATGGCATCGCATGGGCGTGAGTGAGAGTGTGGACCTGAATGCTTGAGCTTGCACGAGATCAGGACGCCAGCGCCACTAAGTCTAACTCTGCGCCTAACTACAACACGCGGGCGAAGCTGTTGCTTGTCATCACTGCCGGCGATTCCTAGCGGCAGCGCCTTGCGCAGAAGCCGGCAACACTGGCCCCCGCTCAGCTTCTTCCTACACCATCGCCACGCACGTCCCTACCCTTATACTTCTAAACCTGGCTGAGGCTACCACCACAGTGATGGCGTTTGAGTTTGGAGCTTCATAAGGAAAGCAATTACAACACTCAGCGACGCCAGCCGAGGCCTAATGGCCTGACTGCAAGCATGGCCACTCCTACTCCCTCGCAGTCTCTACTATTGCTTACTCTACAGCTGCGAGAGACAGAGGGACTACTACTACCTCCCCTACAGCTCTACAGCTGCGAGAAGCAAGGAGACTTTACTCTACAGCTGCGAGAGACAGAGAGGCTACTACTGCTCACTCTACAGCTGAGACAGACAGAGGGGCCCCTCCTGCTTACTCTACAGCTACGAGAGACAGAGCGAGAGCCTACTCGTGCTTACTCTACAGCTGCGACAAAGAGAGAGAGAGGACCGCGCGGGCGAGGGGCCGCCAGCTCCTCCGAGGGCTCCCCGGGGTCTCATCGGTCTCCCCGCTGGCACTGTCTGGCGCAGCGCGGTCCCTATGTTTTTCCCCCTGGGTATGGGGCGGCGACCAGCCTGGCGGCCACCTTCCTGGCAGTCGACTCCCCTCCAAGATTCGAGCCAGTCAGAGACCCTCCGGAGCGGAGTGGAAGCACTTGCCCACTGAGCCAATCTGGCAAGTTAGTAACAAGCACGCGAGCAGCTCGCTTCTAAATCTAATAGCTGCTCCCTGACCCTGGCCCTGACCTGGCACCTACTAGCTATCTCGCTGAAGTTCAACGAACCTCAGCGCGCCCGCGTGGACATGCTTCTACAAGTAAGCCGCCCCCCTCTCCAGGCTCCCCGCCTGATTCGGTTTCATGAAGTGAAAAGAAATCAAAACCAGAAGAAGACCATCGACCCCGGCCAACATCAAGATCAACTACCACAAAGACAGGCGCCAGCGTCTAAGCCTATAAGCGTGCTACATTCTAAAAGCGACAGCCTAAGCATGCAAGTGAGGGCAGCAACGCCTACGACAGCACCAAAGACGCAGAAGCAGGCCACGCGCCTACCCGTGCCCCTCCTGCTATCAGCGGGCACCGTCTTCCGAGCTCTGACGCCGACCCAGAACCGACACCGACCACACGCACAGCGAGCGACACGCTTACGGGGATCAAGGTCATCAACCTAAACGGTTAAACGCCTTCACCATCACGATCGCCATCGTCTTCATCTCAGGACTTCAGGCAGCTGCGCCCCGAATTCATCACATACACACTCACCAACCAAAAATAAGCCCAGCGCGTCTCTCTCTGTAATAACGCTGCCGAACTTACTCGAAACACCCGAAACGAACAGACCCCCATCGCCTAGAGGCCTCGGATGGTGCTGCCTGCTACTGCTAGTGCTACCGCGCGCCTTATAATAACCAAACAAAACGACCGAGGGAGGAGGCTCCTGGAGTAGCGCTCTCTTTATCACTAGAGCAGAACGGCTGGCACGGTTTTGCGTTTACTTTCAAACTCAAAGCCAGCTACGCCTTCGACGCATACTGTCACGAAAAGAATGAAGGGGCTTCTTTGCTCCTAACTAAGTTTATGACAGCCGCACTCCCACACTCACGCTCTCCTGAAGATGCGGCGGAGCCCGGAGTCTCGTCGAACAGTCTACCCTAACACTGCTACCGCTGCCCATAGTACTGCCGTGAGGCTTATACTATAACTATCTACATAATAAGCCAAGGCTTCCCCTCAATGCTGAGCAGGAGTGGGCTTACGGCTTTAGATGTACGCAAATCATGGCAAAGATGTACGGGCGAGATGTATACGTCTGAGATATATATCTCGAGATATATACCCTGCACGCAAATCACGGGAAAGGCGTACCCTTGAGATGTGCCTACAGTAGGTTTCCAAAATTCTACTTTTTTGAGATGTACGGAAATCATGGGAAAGGTGTACAGGCTAGGCGTATACATCTCGCGCCGTAAAAGTGCCACGCTTTTGAGTACAGCTTTCCCGTGGTTCTGCTCCTGCTAAGGCTTTCGGCAGTACCTCAAAACCCTGAACCAACAGCACAGGCCAGGGACTGCGCTGCATGGACAAAAAACGAAGAGCAAAGCGCCTCAGCCTGATGCTAGTCATCTCATGAAGGGAATCCGCTGCGTCTGCGTATGTGCTACAATAAGGGCACACATGCAAGCAAAGAAATGCAAACAGAGGCAAGCACCCAGCAGCTACACGCTGAGCAAGTTAGCTTCTGCTTGCTTTTTGGGTAAGGCGCCTGAGCTGGCTCAAAGGGTCAGACCTTTCAAGCAGGTCAAAAGTAGACAGCGACTGCATAAAAGTGCGCGCTTTGGATACGGGGCGTGGAGCTGACTCAAAGGGTGGGGCCGCTCAGCTCAAGCAGGTCAAAAGTAGACAGCAACCCCATAAGGCTGCGCCTTTTGCATAAGAAGTCTGAGCTGGCTCAAACTCAAAGGCTGGGACCTTTCAAGCACCTCAAAAGTGGACAGCAATCCGACCGATAAAGTTGCGCTTTAAGGCTAAGGAGTCTGAGCGGGCTCAAAGGGTGGGACCTTTCAAGCAGGTCCAAAGTAGGCAGCAACTTCATAAAGTTGCGCGCTTTGGATAAGGCGCCTGAGCTGGCTCAAAAGGTGAGACCTTTCAAGCAAGCCAAAAGTAGAAAGCAATCCCATAAAGCTGCGCCTTTTGGGTAAGGAGTCCGAGCGGCGTCAAAGGGTGAGACCTTTCAAGCAGCTCAAACGCAGACAGCAGCGGCATAGCGTTGCGCTTTTTGGATAACAAGTCTGAGCTACGTCAAAGGGTGACACCTTTCGCGCAGCTCGAAAGCAGGCAGCAGCTGCAAAGATTTGCGCTGTTTCTTTGGGTAAGGAGTCTGAGCTGGGTCAAAGGGTGGGACCTTTCAAGCAGGTCAAAAATAGACAGGAACAGGCTTCCGGGGGTGTCCGTAATCACGTCCGCCCGCCCTATGCAGTAGCAACCGGCGCCGATCTTCACGAGCTGCTTCGACGATGCTTCTCCTGACTAGTAGACACAGCCAGCCAGATCTTGCGCGCCATATAGTTCGGGCGGATCTTCATCTTCGAGGAGATCGCCTCCAATATTTGCGACCGAAGACAGAAGATAGTCCTTGGACTTCCTCTCCGTCACCAAATCGCCGCCGATGAAGCACCCGATTGGAGGCCGTGCCTTGGACTGCGACACTTTTCACGAACATCTTCAGACTGGCCACCCGGAGCGACCTGCTCCAAGTCGTCAGAGGAGAAGCCAGCCAACACTTGAACGAACCTCGCCAGCTGAGCTGCAGCGAACCGAACCACGCCCAAGACTTTGGCTGTACTTCCTTGCTTTTTCGTGCGTCCAACAGTGTAAGCAAGTGGCGAATCTAGTTGATGCCAACTAGACCGAGCAAGAGAATGAATCTCGAAAGAGATCAGACGAAGCGCTCCCGAAGTGGAACGATGAGGAAGCACCTTCGCGGGGGCGGGGCAAACAAAACCGACGAAGTTCGCCGGTTTGTTTTCTTATTGCGTGGAGCTACTTGCTTAGAAGGTTCAGAAATCATTCGAAGAAACCGACGGCACCCTATCCATCGCCAAGCCTGGGCCTCTCGCTCTTGTTTCGTCGTTGCACGACTTCAGAAAAACCTACGAGGCAGCTCCTGCCTTAGCTGCTTTTCTTTCGCTTTCCCTTGCTTCCTTCTTCTTACTTCGTTCAAAAACAGCCACAAAATACGCACAGACTTCAACAATCAAACTGACAGGGAACGACGCTACTGCCCTACTTCTATCTTTCAGGTTCTTCCTGACGGTTCATTCAAAGACTCTCGCGACCACATGGCTGAAAACTTATCCAAAAACATATCCAAAACTGATTGGCCCGCTTTCTAGCATCGGCAGACACTCCTAAACAGAGCGCGCCAGGTAGCCAATTCCTTCCCTGCGCTTTTGTCAAGCCTGGGGATATGTCGCGAGCGCGTCTTCGATAAACGCACGCACCGCCAAAGCCGAACAAGTCGCGCGATGTCGGCTCACCGCGGTCCGCACGTGATCCGCGTCCATGGTGAGTGCGAGGAAGTAAGGGATAAAGATTAACGCGAAGGAGAAAGCGAAGGCGGCGCATGTCAGTCTCTGCGTCAGCAGTTATACGCTCAAGGTGATGGACAGAATCAGAGAAGACCAGGCTGGCTCAAGCTTTCGCGCTCACATCCACAGGCGCAGCCTTTGCCCTTGGCTTGGTATGTGTTGCTATTCATGTTTTTGCGTTTGTTTTTGTTATGCTTACTTAGTCTCAAGCTTATGGCAATGACTTTGGGAGGGCTTTCCTGGGAGTGTAAGCGCAGGCCTAAGCCTAGACTCTAGTGGCACTGCTAACCTTAAGACTACTAGCGCGCCACGCTCTTGCTCTTAGCATACTCTAACTCTTGCAGGTGTCTATGAGTATAATGCGAGTACCCCTATGAAAAGCAACGGCGAGCAGTGTCAGGCAAGTCGGCCGAAAGAATTGCGATCGATACCCTGGCGCCGACCTCAGACCCAAAGCAAAACAACAACAACAGCAAGAACATGAACAGCAACAGCAAAAGACGACCGCCTTCTTCCTCTACACGAGCACGACGAAGACGATAGCACGGCCACGAGAGTGATACTGATCCAGAACCAGACGGCGACGAGCTGGCAGACATAGCCATAGACAAGCACTGAAGTGGGCAAAGAGAGCAACAAAGTGAAAGACTGAAGGACGGCGCTGGACAACGAGGGGCGTGGCGCGACGGTGACGAAGTCGGGATGTATTCGCGCCTGTGCTTCTACATTCTACGCTACTCCTACAAGTGCAGCAGAGTCTGAAGTGTCAAATATGGCATGCATGATATGAACAAGGAGAAAGATTAAAGTAAGCGCATGCACCTTGGGAGCTTGCAGCGGTGCGCGTCGCAGAATCGCTCTCGTGCCGTTATCAACTGCAGTCAAGCCAAGCAATGCAGCAGCTGCCGTAACTCAGGAAGTAGTTCTACAAAGGTGCAAGGCGATCATATGACTCACCTTGTACTTGAAGTAGCTACGTCTTTTCTATTCCTATCTGAGGGTTCCAAGGAGATATGTAACTCCCCCAAGATATTCTCAGGAGCTTCCTTTTGTGTATTGTGTCCTTTCATAAACACTTCATAATCTGAGAGCCCTTCCTGTTTGGGCCACGTCATGGGGTGCAGATAGTCCCACGACCCTTTTAGCCGAACCTCCCCCAACAGCATCAGCGCGTCCACCTCGAAGTAGTTCCATGTGTCGATTCTGCCCCTAATCGGGTTCTTCTGGTACTCTCCTTCGAATGGTACGACTAGAACGGCGCCGAGGTCGAAGTAGTTAAATCCGGCAACTTGTTGGCGGAACACGCGGCCTCTCCTCAACATCACGAAAGGGGTCGCACTCTTTGATCTTCGAAGCGTAAACTTGTCGACTTGATGTCTCGTCCGCAGATGTTGTTCGCCTTCGGGTTCAATGCTCTGCACATGGTCGTCGTTCCCCTTCAACGACCCAAAAACATCATTTATCAACGCGTTCCCTTCGCTCTTGAAATACTCTCTACATCCATTTAGATTTTCTTCTACTTCTCCACACAGCTTCTTCCACAACTTCTTTGTAGTTGTACTTGTTCCATTGTCAGTTGTGCTACTAGAAGATGCCTCGCCCTGCAAGGAGTTCAAGAGCTGCTCTGGGGAACCTTCAACACGTATCTCCTTCGTTTCCGACATTGACTGCTGTAGCTGCTTGGTGTCTGATGTGTACTTTTTGACTAGTAAGTAGAACAGTTCTTGGTAGTACTTGAGAAGGTGCTCGCTTTTGTAATTTCGTCCACGAGCCGAATCTTTCCCAATTTCGGCAAAACCGTCGAAATACTGCTGGAGTTTGCGTTGTATCGTGTCTGAGTATCGTTTTATTATTTCACTTTTGATGGCAGCAAGAAACTTTTTTTCAGCGTCATTACTGAGTGGTTTTGAGTCTCGATTCCCCATCTTTGCATCAGTCGATCGCAAATAAAATCCAAGCAACTACTAAGTAGAAACTTTACGCATTTACGGAGAGGTAGAAGCAGAGGACGATGGATCTCCAAATCAATGTACTTAAATCTAAGAGGATGATGACCTGTTGGAAATGCGCTACTACTTGATCGATGATCAGATATCATTCAACTGGAAGCTCGACCCTAATATTTGAAAGAATGTTCAGGGACGATGATCTTGTAGTTGATCTTGATCATTGTTCTATTTTGTTCAACATCAAGAACGCTAACACTAACTAGAGTTAGTATGGGTATTATACATTTAATACATAGTAAGAATTAAGATACTTACTTACAACAGATCCAATATCGAGTCGTTTGTTCGCAGCATACAGACACATCTCAACAAAGCTCATGGCGATGGTGCTCGTGAAGACGGTGTTGATGAAAATGATCACGATGCTTATCTTATGGTGCGTGTGTATAGAAAAGTCTGACGACCCGATCCTCGAGGCCTACGATTCGCGCGTCGACTGAGTGGAGATGGACATCCGTCGCCTTCATCTATTTTTATTCATCATCTAGTCTTTTTACAACTCGAGTCGTATGGTGTTTTCATCACGATGACCATGACATCCTGTTTCGGTTTTTTGTATCTATCCTGACAACGATTATCGAGGAGGCACGACAGAACGGCACGGATAAACGAGGAGGGACGACTCTTCGTCTTCACCAGGCACTGACCCTCTAACTCTCGTCTACTCGTCGTCACTTTGTTTCCATCCTTCATCTTCAAGGGAGGTAAGTACATTGGGTTTCGTCGAACCATTCAGCTTTAGGTCGAACCACTCTTAATGTTTTTGTCGGTGTTCTTATTTCCTCGCTTCTCTCCTAGGCGATCTTCATCCTCTAGTAAAAATCATTCGACTAGTGGATTATTAATTCACGAATTTTCAGTTTCGGATCGGTCCATTTCCTTCACGAATAGTGCTGGTGGCACTAGAAGCACTACTCAAAAACCTAAGCGAGAGGTCCAACTAATCGAAATGTTCCGACCTCGTGTGATGGCAGCTCAAATCCACAACACAAAGTTTGTTCTCACTTTATCAAAGGCTAGCATTTTTACTTAAGTTCTAATGATAGTTCTGTTTAGCTCGATGACTGAACAAGACCAAGCGCACGAGAAGCACAACGAGAACAAATTGACATTACATGCGAACACAATGTCGGGCAATCATAGGGAAAAGGACTCTATTCGTGTGAGTCTTACATTTGAAGTTCGTCTAACTTCTAGGTCAGCGTCAGAATGTGGCTCGAATTATAGTTCCATGAAGATCGACGTAGACGTCTGAATCTGACACACATGTTCTATGAAGGTGGAGAAAAAGATAGTGCTTACACAAATCGGTACCTTCAGAAAAAAAACAACTGCGCTATCCAAGCCGCTAAGATAATCGTTGGCAGAGGTAGAGAATATGTATTGGTTCCCATGATCTTCACTTTGCGAGCCGTTGCACCCGACGACGCTACCTCACTCAACCGTTCACCTAATACTGGCGCTAAGACTGACGCTGTTCCGTTACTTCGAGTAGCACTTGCAAATAAATCCGAGGCATTCCGAATAAGCACTGGCACAAGTCCACAGGCACGATCAAAGTTTCCATAAGCGGGCACACAATTCTGTGCTGTATCATTGACTCCCAAAACTTCTCGCCAAATCTCGCGGACTCCAGTGTAGGGTCGTAAAAATTCCTCAGAACCAGTCTCTTCAATGGTATTTGATGAACCAGCAACATCTGCACTTGTTGACTGATGTCGAGATTGAGCACTACTTTGTCCCTGCTGACTCCCACGTATCAGGTTCGTCGCAGACGGATCGAACATTAAATCGGGAACTTGCTCAAAGAACGGACGATCATCTCCGCTCTGAAGTTCACCGCTAATATAAGCACTTCGTATTGCTCCTGGCTTGGTCGTGTCGCTTTCTTCGCAGACTAACGTAGTACTCTTTGGCGTATGCAAATAGAGATGGATACACATTTCCTCACCATCTCGGAAACCTAATTTGACACCTTCTCCACCTTCGCTTGAACTTGTTCTTAATAAAGGTCGACCCTCAGTGGTCACTGACTCTGAACGGGAGGGGCCCAATACTTACCCCTCTACTTGTTTTCCCTTTGTTTTCCCCTGTTCTCGAAGGGGGGTCCTGTTCGATCTCCGTGACCAACCCCAATGACCAATGAAACTTGAGCCTTAATATTCCATCCAAGAATGCTCTAGTGTCCCACACACACGCCGCTTGGATGATATCTCCGCTCTCGATATCGACGACAGGTGCTAAATTTTCCAAACCGGAAATGATTGGCAATCCGTCTTTACCATCCACGGAGCTGCCGCCGTTTGACGAGGTACTGCTACCAGTGGTCGCAGAAGTAGTTGTGGAAGAATTCTGCATATTGAGCATACTTGTTGTAGTCCTTGACAACAATAAAGTTCCTCCTTTTCCGCGATGACTCAGATATGCTTGATCGTTGAAGTTGAAATGACGCTGAGAATGCAAATCTGTCCAACTCTGCGACCTCCTCTTCCACAACCGAGCATGCATCTCGGACATCAGGTAAGGGTATGAAAGACGAAAATCAATTCGAATTCATTGCGGGATTGTAGAGCATAAGCATATTTGCGTGAGCGAGAGAAAGTGAGAAACAGCTGCGAGTAGTGACTGCTGGTGCTGCTATATGAAAAAATACAATAGAAGATCGTGTTTTTGACAAGTAGATCAAGTAAAGAGGTACAACTAGAAGTCCTATTCTGATTTCCAGGAGCCATAAATGTCCATGATAATTGATAAAGCGTAGGTGGTAAGGACACGTGTTATTGATCGACGTGGTGTTTCGTCCAACATCAAAATCTATTTCACACGAGAGTTTAACACGGCACGTTTTCGACAAGAAGTAGCGTCCTTTGCCTTTGCCTATTTTCAGTGCAGGTTCATTTTTTACCAGAAAAGGCGAAGCCATCCCCATGTCCTCGTAGGTCGGCCTAGTGGAGGCTGACGCAGAAGAATAAGTGGAACTTGACACGACACTAGTATTAGCAACAGAAGCGAACTCCAACTCCCCATAGGTCAGCTGAAATCCATCCCCTACAGTCCTCCTCGCCTCGGTTTGATTATCTTCTAACGCTATGGCTGTTGTAAGATTCTTACCGCTAACTTCACCCGCAAGCTTCGCATCAGAGGCTGAAACGACGTAATGCGTATTGACATACAGTGCTTCGCACTCTGAGAGACTAACTCCTGCATCAAAAGTCGACTTCAATCCAGGTCCGCCAGGTGTAAAACTTGCAACGGTTCGTGACCAGGTAAGTTAGAGATACTGCAGTCGCATCCTTGGACAAGGCACACACAGATGTCCTCTGGCATGCTATATCTTCCTTACTCAGGAGACAAAAACTAGAAGCCAGAGGCAAGCAGGAGAACGTCAAGGATGCCTGTGCGGTAGTGGTCATAAGTAAAACGATACGGCGCACCGGAATATCGGACGCGAGACGGTCCCGCACTGTCTCCTTCAATGGACAAAAACAATGCAGATTTGGATTTGCTAGCATCTTCTTTGCTCCCATCCGCAGACGCAATCTCAAACCTCAAATATCCCGAAAGCGGCGTTGGCGATATTACCACGTCGATATTGTTTATGTTCTGGCTTTTTGCTTCCATGTATGCTGTCTCATTGAGCAAAAGTGTCACATCTAGTTGCGGATGACGGTCTCGATTGCACATCACATCCATGTGATGTAAATTTTTTGGGCGATCAAATAAAATTTTCATATCACGGGCCCAAATTGAACTGTGGCTTTGCGAATGATCATCTTGAGCTTTTGTAGCTTTACGGGCCTCGAGAGCGGCCCTGTATTCCGGATGGTACAACAAATAATCCCACAAATTCGCTCCGATACTTGTGAGAGGAACCGGAATAGACTCAGCTCCTATCGATGTATTCGTCGATCTATTCGTCCTATTGCCAAAGAAGCTTCCGTCAACTTGAACGATTCCAGCATCCAGCGCCGTTGATAATAAGCTCTTTAACGTGTTTTGATACCCAACAGTAAGAGGCTTGAAGTTCACGCCATAGTTGAGGTAAGCAGTGTACTCCCCGACTCTTCGTCGAATAGCGGATGAAAAGCTTTCGTCGAATAGCGGATAATCCGGAATTTGGAACTGAAGGACCTTAGTCGTTGCACTTCTTGGATCTAGAAGACTTGCGGTACTGTTGCTGTTATTATTAAAGCTCAGAATTCATTGGCCACTGACTCTGAACGGAAGCGACCCCCCTTCAAAGCTCTCCCCTTTCCCTTCGTTTTCCCCTGTTCTACTCTCAAGGGGTCGCCTCTTCGATCTCAGTGACCAACCCCAGTGACCATTGCAAGTTGAGCCTTAATATTAAGACTTGCGTTCGGATTACTGGCACTGTTCGTGGCACTAGTGCTGTTTAAGTTCATTGTCTCTGTGCCAGCACCGTTGTTGAGAGTCGTTTTGGGGTTCAACCGATTGTCCAAAGTGCCATCTTTCTCTACCAAAAAAGCGGAACAGTTGAAGTTGACAAGTCGCTGGTCATGATCACTAGCAGAGGGTACAGACGAGGTAAATTAGATGATGATATACCCAGTCAGTTTGACGGGTATGCAATTTTCCTTCAATTTTATATATTTTTCCTCCTCATCTCCCGCTTCCGAATCAATATCAGGTAAGTTCATAAGTACACAAAAGATGATTGATAGTTTCGTTCAAAAAACAAAAACACACGATAAGCTTTGCACAAGGCGGGCTTAGTTCAAATTCTCAATTATGAATCATCGAAATCAGCCTTAAGCAAAGCCCGGATGTGAGAGTGCTCCTTTCGTAGAAAACGGTAAAGCCAGTAAGTCATTGTGGAGACCAGGATCAAAACGAGCAGCCGGACTTCCCGACATCTTCACTAGTGCGGGAACCGGTACAAGTCGAGCAGAGGCATCAGATGAATTCTGATACTCACCCGATGAAGTGCCTCCTTGTTGACTTTGCCATCCTACAACTACTTGTGTCGTAGTTAGGGCACGACCAACATGGTCATCGAGAAAGTTCTCATCTTTTCCAGTTAGATGAAGTGGGGAAGCATACTAACTTCAATTTCACCAATCTTGTTCGTCTTTCGTTCTCATAATTTTAACTCCTTGACAACGAATCTGCTTACTTAGAAAGATGCTTAGAAATAAGATGATAGCGAGAAGCTCGACAAAGTGAAGAACAAGTTTCTGAATGGAGGAAATTCCCACTTGAGAAGAATCAATGTTTTAACCTTCCCTCGTTCTCCAGCAGCACCACAAACATTAGAAAACCTAGCCATAACCACAAACAACAGGGGTCGCCCAATTCTAAACCGTTTGAGTACCCATCCCCATCACTGTCCAGTTCGCAGAGGGCTTGGGTCCAACGCAATTTCCCAATCCGCAAAAAATCCGAACCAAACTGGTTTAAAACAAACGGCCGATTTCGCTCTTCCTCTCGTGGAGGAGGAAGATGTTGTCCTTGTCCTTGTGCTTGTTGATTCGATAGATAAATTAGAAACAGTTTTTTACGAGGTTAGAACTTCTAGAAGCAGTTTTCACGAAGTACTATCCGTTGTTAGAAATTTCGGGAATCCCGCGAAGTAACATGATCATTGATGCATGATGATATCAAAAAAACTGATACAACTTTCTTAGCTTACGTGCTTTCAGGTATTGTTCAGAAAAAGGTTTACTTAATCGTAAAATACACGGCAGATCATCATGACGTCTTCCTAATAGAACATTCTTAATAGAACATGTTCCCCGACTCTGCCCAGCAGTTGTTGGACTCCTGCCATCTCGTTCGCTGCTAAAGGATAGCTGCACGCCATATGTCCCACTGGATCACAGGACCCCATACCGTCTCCTGATCCCAAACCGACCTGGTCTCCATTGGGAATTCGCCTTTGATAACTTGGAAACGCGCTGCATAGAGGTCCAAGAAGCACCAGAACCATTTTCAAGCGACTCCTCCTCATGAACACATCGGGAACGGTGTTAGCACCATATGACCGAAGGCTCCTTTTAGGCTGTCTGTCGTGTCGATTTAGCAGCAACATCTGCTTCCTTCTTCAGATACTGAGACAACAACTGCAGCAATACGTATATCTCGACGTCGTGAATCACTGCGAAGATTCCAGCGATCGCTCTCGTAAGAGTCCATGCGAAGATTACGGCGATCACGTCTCCGCTTCAACAGCGGCATTGCCATCGCCATGCATCCGAGCAATAGAAAAAACGTCAATATTTTTCGAATTCCTCTGCTGCGGCTGCTCGACTTTCGTCATGCGTTTGCCCGTGTTGAAATGTTCGTCAGCTGAGCGACGACAGCACTGCATGACAGGGGGCATTTCCTCATCGCGGACCTGTCTTGCTGTGTCATCATGCGATATTGTCGGATATCCAACACACCTTTGCTTGCACACCACACCTTCAGTGGTCAATAAAAGCCTTAATATTTTTTCAGTCACCACTGATGGTGATGAATCACTGTAACTGAGAAAAAAATAAGACCGCACACGAACAACCAATATGAATCCACAAGTTGTTTATGATCTACGTCGGTAGGGATCTTCTAGCCTGGAACAAAGCAAAGAATGACCACTAGACAGCAACTTTGTCTATACGTCGCACGGGAAGTGGGATTCAAAATGTTTGGGGAGCGGGTATACACAAAAACTCATGTAGTTTTCTGATTCCGTTACGACAATCGCCACAAAAATTTAAGGCTCTGATTGGCTAGCGCTTGCACATCACGCATGCGTATATTATGCAATAAACTCGAGCGATAAACTTTGTTTTAGTTTTTGGCACTACAAAATTAAGTTTATAAGATCATGTTAAACGATACCCTCCAAGTTTCTCAGCTCGTCAAATTACTGTGATTCAGATAGTCGTGCGGAGTAAGATATTAGTAGTACCTTCATCAAGTGTTAACACTCACAGACTCACTTTTCTAGCCTTGTAGCAGTAGAGCGCTTACTCCTACGCATGACCTTTGAACACTTCCTAGAAGGATACGCATCAATTTCATAATCCACGTTGTGCGCCACATCAGGTGGCCTCCAGAAATTGTGTCGTAGTCATATTTGGCGACGCTATTATAATGTTGGTCGAATAATTAAGCAGCTTATACTTATTAGTATTGATGTATATTAATATTTTGTTGTTAAGCTAATCTTCTATTTTTCTTCTCTCATTTTTTCTTGAATACTTACTCAGAACCTGCTGAATTTCAATACTGTTGATATCAGTTGAGCTGCGGATCTCTTCAAAGTGGACTCCTTTGTGTCTCGTTTTCTACGAAAATAAACTCAAAGTGATTCTGCCTGGTCTATAAAAAGTAACAATACGGGATCCTTGCTTAGGTAACTTGCTATTGCGATGGATTTTCTTTAGTTTCTATAATTTCATTCGGGTCATTTCATTTCATATGGTGGCTTGGTGGTTCGGAAAACATTGGTGAACTTGAATTTTGATTTTCTTGCATGATAGATAACTTTCAGTAAGCCAGTAAGATACCAGGTGTCGTCTTCATATGTAAGTAGCTATCACGAAGTTCACGTTTTGCTCATGTATTTTTGACTTGAGATGCAAAGCCAGAATACCAATAGGTACGAAATTTTTTTTGGTATGTGACACATGCAACATTTTATTGTTGATATGTATGGGTACCCGACGAACTTTCAACGCCTGATGTCAAGAACATGATCATTTTCCTATAATGACTGATCGTCATGGAACTCACGTATTAAGAAAAATCTATCTCGAGTAATAACTTAAGAAAGTAGTCTCGTACACATGACAAGACTCCTCTACGGCTGCGCAGATGCTTATGTTGCTTTTGGTCCACACTCCAACTGGAAACACTCCGAGTGTAGGAGTTTCTTCTTGCATTCACCCGTCTGCCAAGGAGTACTGTTTGCGCCATCGTAGTAAAGGCATTCGGCGCCCTCCTCTAGCCATGGTAACGCTGCGCGCTCCTTCTCAGGAACCCATCGAATATTAGAGCAATTAAAATAGATTGTCTTACTCAAGTATCACAAGTAGAGACTTTGTCTTTGTGCAACGCATATGTCTCTAACAACAGCGCCTTTACGGTTAGTACGTCTTCTTCTCTCTTAACTCTAAAAGCATTGGAAAGATGCAGCTCAAACAATCAGTAAGAAATATATTTTTCTGCCTACTTCTTGTATGATTCCATTGGAAACATCAACTACTTTTCCTCCTGACAGACTACAACTGATCCGGACACCATTCAATGAAAGTCGTTTCTATTGACTTTCGAATTTTTGTTTTTCTGTATGTAGGATAAGAATCTATGTACAAAGAGGAAGAGCAGTATGACGATGCAACGACACGAAAACGGTCACATTTACTTTCACAACATACAGAGAGGATAACTGTTGTAAAAATGTCGACGCGGACGCCTCTAGTACTACCTCGACCTCTAATAGTATCATATCAATCATGAAATAGATTCGATTGTAGGCAGGAACGGGAGGATCTTCAGCTTCAGTGGGATCGGACTAGATCATGTGATAATTTGAAGAAGAACTCTATAATTGATACAATTGTTGCTGGCCTTAATCCAAAGGGTTTCCTCGTTGTTGTTGAAGATTTCCTTCACTTCCTCCCAAGCGCCCTCCTTTGTTTCGTCGAAACACGTAGTTCCCAGGTTGTTTCCATCCTTTTCTACTATCGGTATCCGAAGCTTCGGTGGGATGCTCTTGACCTCGCCTTCCGCGGGTTTGTAGTTGGCGGCGTTCTTCACCAGTGGTTTCCACACAAAGGAATCCATCGTTAAATGTCCGGCCGCATCATTTTTTACGTACTTAAAGTACCCCTTTTCCGCTTTACAGGGATCTGGTGATGGTAAGATTGAGAAACCGTGGTAGTCGTGGTTCATTCATTGAAGTTAAGACATTATCATTATCTCCTTCACTGTAGTAATGATAATGAATGTTAGCAATAATTATTGGAAAACAAGTCTAATTCATCTTTACGAACCTTCGTCCGCGCCGAAGGCGTTTGCAATGTTAATGCTCTCTCCTTCTTCTGGTTTGCACACGAGCTCCTTACACGTCGCACCAGTTTCATCTGGCTCCCCTACTAGTTGGAAGCTCTGCTCTGTGCATTTGCCCTCCCTTGATACCCACTGGCCCGTTGCTTCTGGTTCTGCTTCTGCGGCTTGCCACATTTCGTAATGGCAGGGATTGCCCGCCTGCACCCATGGTAGCGGTGCGGTTTGGTCGCTGGGAGTCCATTCAAGATTAGAGACGGAGCATTCATCACTTTCCGATTCATTTCCTTGAATACAATTCAAATCGGATTCGCCGAGCCTTCCTTTCTTTATATATGATCCAGGGCGCAGGGCGACGGCACACCCCCCCGGGGGGTACCGTGCAGCCCCCGGCCCCTTTTTAAGGCGTCTGCCGGGGGTGGAAGGCCTCAAAAGAGGGCCAAGCGACCTCCCTCCTCCGAACCCCTCCAGCTGCCTGGTTGTTCCCTCCAGGCCTCCGACGTAGGTGGGAGGCTTCGAAAGGGGCCCAAGGGACCGCCTGCGCCCCCGTCCAGGTGCCTGCCGGTGACCTAAGTAAGCGCCTCCGATATGCTTCGCCGCCGCAGCAGTGCGCCAGTTTTGGAAGGCCTCCGAAGGCGGCAAAAGGCGAGGGGCTGGACCCCCTGAGCCGTGCAGCCTGTACCCTCCGGGCCCTTGGTCATCGGCTTGCTTGCTCTTGCGACCGTGGCCTTTTACCCCGGAGACCTCCCACCTGCGAGGGCCAGCAGAGGCCAGGAGGTCCATGCGGGACACGCTGAGAGGCGCAAGGGGAGGCCCGCGCCAAGTTTTGACGCCTTTCACAACTAGAAACCGCGAAAATCAGCGCGGAAAAGCGCGCGCGCGCGCCACCACAGACCACACCACAGGGAGGGGCACCGTGCAGCCCTGAAACATATTTATATAAGTGTTGGCGTTGGTGTTCCCCCTTTCCTTATAACTTAGAAATAGCCAAAAGGGGCCGACATATCTAAAACATTCTCTTTGTCTAGATATGCACCTAGTATTAGGGGTGTCTCCCTGGGATTAATGGCGAACGCGAAGGTGGTTGTAGTATTGCTATTTGTAGGAAATTAATTTCGGAACTCGTAGGTGGGAATCAATAAAATCATGTTTGCCTCAACTCCTCTCAGTCATGGCTTTATTTCAGCGAAATTTATGCGTATTCTGAATTTTTCTTCCACTAGCTCATTATCTTCGAAAATCCTAAATGGATACGAATACGGTATCTAACAAATAATTGTATCAACTTTGTATCAACTTTGTATCAACTTCTTGTTGAAACAGCGTATACACATGAAGATGACCACTAAAACCAACGTTGTGATTGCTGTTATTCGTATCCGCCTTAATCTCGATCGTTTCATCTTCGGGTTCGGCAGCCACCCACTTGCCATTTTGCGCAGTTTCAGCGAAACAGGGCGAATCCCCACGCGAAACTATCTTCTGCTCCGTCTTGACGGTGTCAAGTGCCTCCTTTGCTAGATCCGATGGCGCTTTCCCAGTCTCTCTCTTTGCTGTGGTTCCGAACACGAATTAGAAGGTGCAGAAATCCATCACCAGAGGCATTTCGGTCCCCGCTTTCGTTCTCTTCAAAGATGTTCTAGACGATGGATTTCTGAATGAGAATGCCTTAAACGAAGAAGGGGTCACTTCCACTCGCTTTTGTACGCAGATATTTGACTTCACTCCCCTTGCAGAAATCTGGTGATGGGAGGATGAATGAGATACACGAGCTATTTGCTTAGTGATAGTGTAATCAAAGTTGAGCTCGACATGATGCCACGTGGGGGATCATCATCAATGCACCTCAAATGGTCTTCGTTAACCATCGGCAAGGTGAGACAGTTCCTGACAAGATTCCGAAGAATGGCGCGAGGAAGCGCGAGCCTAAACAGGACATGATGCAACATGTATAGAAGATTGATACTGTTCATTCAAAAACGTCTTGCAAGAGGACCTAAAAAGGTCTTTTAGATGACTTCTCAAATGAAGACAAAAAGGAGTCGAACCGCTGAGATCCGGATCCTGTGTATCTTCAGGAGGCACTAATTTCGCCGGTTGCGGTTGATCTGGTTTGGTTATCATATTTCTCAAATTTCACGAATGCACTCCTGTTGTGGTTACGATCAAAAATGAAGAATGACAACATCAATATCAATCAAGAATAACACTGTATCTTATTGGACGGATCAAAAATCTGAAGATAAAACGTCGTAAGGGTAAGAAATAAAAGAACTATGAGGGTTCAGGTTCACAAGTACTTCGCGCACTCCCGTTTGCTGTCCCAGCACCAGAGTCATCCTCACCAAGGCAGCCAAGTCGCATATTGCCCAGACAACCTGGTGCCTTAGTTTCGCTTTCGCTTTCGAGAAACGTCAAATTAGAAGTCGTGGATGTGTACTTGTTGAAGATCGAAAAGGTGTGAGTATCATAGTGCTTCCGTACAAGAAGAGTGTCTCATAAGCATCCTGGTGTACTTGTTACAATTCGAATGTTGACGAAACCAAAGTTCAAGTTGTACTTTTCCTACTTGTTATGCATCTAACAACCCTCTTCATCTCTAAAACAGAAGTTTGGATCTCACCATCACGCTGCAGCACAAAGAGAACGCCCCGAAGAAGATGAAGACGCTCAAGCTCAATTCATGTGACAAAGTCAAAGTACTTATTTGACTCTTCGTAATCGACTGCTTCGAGGGGCTCGTCGGTGGCGTTTGTGATGCTGTTCTCGCATGTCTCTTCTTCGTGTTACTATTACTCCTGTGAAGCAGAAGGTAATGACGATTAGGCCAAATGATAAATGACCTCAAAAATGAGGATGAAGGGGAGGGAACAACATGACGATGAAAATAGAAGAAGATGAAGAAGATGTTGACATTGAGAGCGATGACAGACGGGCCAACGATAACAGAAGGTCAAAGTCAGAAAAAAGTACATTTGTCCCCCGGCTGCAATTTGCATGTCATCGGATGTCATCCCATCTGTCGCGCTTGTATCTTCTTGAGCTTGTTGGTGTTCCCGTTCTATTAGATGCTACTTCTGAACATGCTTCAACATCTTGTTAAGGGACAGTTCATATTCACGACCGTCCAAGCAAGTAGGATGATGGGCCTACTACCAATGAGTCTGCAGTAGATGGAAAATCAGGGAAAGGGCGAGTGCCTGAGCCAGACCTACGTACCTCTATCTACAGCCTCTACCTCCGATGATGGGAATGTTAGTAAGTATTTATACATAGGGTACTAAGCATCTTCTCCCAAAGAAATCCTTAAGAGTCTTCCTTAAGCGCCTTCCTTAGAAGGAAACTACAAAAAGTTAAAATCTAGCTTTTCCTTAAGGAACAAAGATGCTCCTCAAGGAGGCTCCTTGAGGGGTGCTTGTAATAGAGTTAGGCTAATAATAGGCCCTCCCTTAAGGGCCGCCGCCACGTGCTAACTTATCATCTACAACCTCGTCTACCTCCGACGATGGGAACACATTAGAGGACAAGAAGGGCAGCCTTAACTCTAGTCTCGCCAGTCTATGAGAGCCGCGAAACGAAAACGCTTCATTAGCCTGTTCGCGTCCAAAAGCGCCTCCACAGAGGGCTGTAGTCGTAGAAACTACAAAGGTAGAGCGCTGCAAGGACTTGGAGCGTCCTCGCGTCATCTTGTTGCTCAGGTCTCTTATATTTCGAGTTTTTGAAGTCCAACACGATCTTAAAGTAGATTGATCTTCTTGTTATTGAGACTCAACAGTAGTTGTTGTGGTAGAAATTCGCACAGGTACATTACCAGAACAGCAGTATGCTTAAGAGTCGTGAATCGTCATGAAATTGTTGAAAACTGACACACCACATCAGGTGGATGTGCCTGCAGCTTTTACTCATCATCCAACGAGAGGAGAAGATTATTGCAGCCCTTCTTTCTAACTAAGTACGAATCGAGATCGAAATTGATCATACTTATGGTAAACACAGCAGTCAGCAGGACGAGCCTTTGTTTTGACCGTCGACAGGGTAAGTACTGCGAACGAGGGGGGCGCGCGGTAGTCTGGAGAGAAGCGACCGAAACAGTTCGAAAGACATACGAGACAAGCGAGAGTAATAGGTACTATCATACCTCTCTGCTGGTTCACTACAACCGACTACTGTTTTACCGACAATGCATTTCAACCTTCGTACTGATGAGCCTGCTTGATGACTCCTGTAAGACCGATGCAGCCTTTTCACACAGTGTCATCTGGACTTCTTTGTACTATAATAAGACGAGACCGACACCGACAGTCACTACAGGCGTCCACAATATTAACTTCTGCAAGAATGAGCCTGTGCGCCACGTCTACAGCAGGTTTCTTCATCAGCCATCGAGACACGAAAGCGAACCTGCACGCTGCGTGCAACTTCAGCTTACGTTTTTGTATTCCCAGGAAACTTCATCATGTGATGCCATCAATCCACTGCTTACGGTGATATCCTGACCACAGCAATTGTCAACATGATTTGTCCAGCATCTGCTGGAACCGGGTAAGGCGAAGCATCTGGTTTCATTTTATGCTATCGAATCACCTGTACACGAAAATGCTGATGCAAATCTCATAACTCTTTCACCACACAAAACTGTTCAAACTAAAGAAAAAGAGAAATGGGAAGGAGAGGGTCATTATTTGAGCGGAGCTCATGCATGGCTAGGCCCTTAATACAAGCGGAAAAATGTGCAAGGACTTCTTCTTTCTCTATGTAGTTGTAGTACTCTGCTGTGCCATCTTTATCTACTAGCTTCTCTTCACTTTCAGTAGATACAAATCATCTACTTCTACATCCTACCCACCGCATCCAGCATTGCCCATGCTATATTCTCAAATAGAAATAGATTGTATTCATCTACAACAACCCTTGTTTCTGGTGGTAGAAGATGCGATCCCCATCCGATTTCCTAAAGTATGCCTATACAATTTCATGCCACGATTGCGAACATGATCATGTGGATATGTTCTTGGTAGAAAGAGATTCTGAGGTAACTTCATTTTATATTTTCAGATGTAGCTCATACAACAACATACACGTCAACATAATAGAAGTTGGTCCCCTTCCTCAAAAAATTGAATCTGCGTGGGGAGCTGGCACCTCCAAGAATCACAAATCATTACCATCCCACACGAGGGTATTTCTGAGGTCCACAGGACTTTGTGTTACATAAGGGTTAAGGCTCTAGCTCGATAAGGGAGTGGTAACGATGAGGACAAATTATAGAGGTTCAGAGGAATGGGAATCTCTATCTAACTATAATTGCAAATAGCCTAGATTTTTACTCAAGTCGATGCCCCTGACCTGAGAAAGGTTCGATCTGTCCTGGAATCGGGGCCGTGCCTCGGGTTGGGGATTCAGGGGATTAGAGCTCAACACAAAACACCCAGACCCATCTTTGTTTTCTTCAACAACTCATCTGTGTATTAACACGTTGACGTTTGTCTGTTTCTATTTCTTTTTCAGATGAGCTCCGCATTAAACAAAGATGGATTGATGCAGCCAAGTAAAGCAGCCATAATATGATAGCTCTCTCGTGTTCACCAGCGACTCATCCAACAGAAACCTTGGAAGCACGTCGCTCACACCCTGTGCAATTTTCTCCGAACATGACCATAAAACGTACGCGAAATAGGTAAACCTGAAATAGATGTTGTGGAAATAGATGTTGTGGAAAAAGACAGTGTTCTTTGACGAGTGATCAATAGGTAGTTTCTACTTCGAGGAGGAAGTAGGAGATTAGAGGTTTTCGTTCAGTACGATTGTGATTGATGGGGATTAGAAGTAAGGTCATCTTCTCCTCGTCCTGCTTCTTTATCTATCATGCTAAACTATATAATTCATGAGTACATGTAAAACTCAAAGCCGACACTCGCTGCCAGAACTGCTTTCAAATTCGAGCAGTTCACCTCCGGAAACTCTTCGCACAATGTCGGTAACTGGGTTATTGTGGTCAGTCGTAAGAAATTTCGATTATGTACGATGATGAAGCTCAAGTTCGTTGCGAGAATACGGTTTGCTCACCCTAGGGGGCAGACACTCAAAGAATAATAGGTCGTTGTGCTAGATATTACTAGGAGGGTGAAAGTGAAGAAGGAGTAAACTTCAACCGTTTCTCATCTGCTGTTGAGACACAGACACGGCTCTGACTAGCTACTGCTACAAGTACAAGAAAGCCTCTGAAAACAAAAACAAAATATACCAGTATCTCTTATAAGAAAAGTACCCTCAAAAGCGACAGCAATATGACGCAGCAGTAGCTGATCGTATACATGAGGGCGTAGCGTACTTGCGTCGCTTGTCGAGTTACAATTCCCGCATACCCGCGACTCCCGAAAAGCAGGCCGACCATTCGATACATCAGACCCAATTCAAGGAGGAACTGACCTGAACACGTGCCTTATTTATGTTGATTGATTGATTGATATGCCTGACAAGAGGTTGTTGTAGGAGAACTATTTGTTCTTCATCTCCTTTTACTTCTTCTTCATCTTCCTTTGCATTTTTTCTCATGTTGAAGAACATCGACATCCACATAACCTACAACAACCATACGTGTTATTTTTGAACTAGGAGGTACTGCTGCAACAACAACTACACGTTCTTCATGTCTGCTCTATAGAAAGTTATATGCTGTAGTACTTATCGGCTTCAGCTGAGGCCTTGCTCCTTCTGTGCTTTTCCCGTGGTCGCTCGCGGCTGCCGCATTACTGCCCATATTGGCGATCATCCCCACCATAGCCACGATACCCGTAAACGAGTAGTAGAAACAGAGGAGTTAGAGGAGCAAGCTCTGTTGAAGAGATGAGTTATCGGACACGAACGAATTTTCTTACAGAAAAAGAAAAGAAAACGAACGCAAGTTCGTTCGTGTAAAAATCGAGCTCGTTTTTCTTGAGTTCGCTGAGGGCCATCGCGTCACTTGGGACTCGTCTGTCTTTGTAGTTTTTTATAGTGAGTGCTTGACAAAAACGAACAAGACTAAAACAAAAAAATCTGTCTAATCTTAAATTGCGCTCGCTGCCTGATACACTCCAACGCAGCCGCAGCACACCCGTTCAGCCGGTAGACATAGCATCTTCTCTTGGTCCGTCACACAACACCTTAGACGTACTCGTACACACAACACCTTAGACGTATTAGAACTTCGACATGACGAAGAAGATTGATGATAATACTAATGACAGACGATTCAAAATATAAAACAACGTCTAAGGTAGTGGATATTTTAATACGCTTCCCCACAACCAGCTTCGCCTAGGCTGCTCCACAACCAGAACAGCACTACGATCTTGTGCGTATGGGAGTCATATTGCTCGTTTCGATCTTCGTAACTACGAATCTATCTGATAGATCGAAATGATCAATAGATAGAACCGTAAAGATGGATCTATAATCATCAACTCAAATTCCTTGTTCAATCATCTGAAAAGATCAAAATGGCTTGCTTTTTCGACATAATTTTTGAATACAAGTAAAAACTAACTAAAAAGCTAGCTACAGCGAAACTGTAGGGTTTGATGGTAGGGGGGCTTATCAGATGAAAGTGGAGTATATATCTGATGTTTTTTTTTGTCTTTTTTATGTTATGACGCTAGCTGAGTCATAGATGAAGCTCTCCAATGGACCATTCTTCTACCAAGAACTCTTGCTCTCGTAAACTATAGACCTCATCTCGAAGCACTGCTCTCAGATCTCATCGTACGCGGCTCTCTCCTACTTATAGAAGAAATCTTCTTGCTCTGTGCAAGAAGAGGAACACAATTATACTACCTTTCAGCTGCTGAAGGCAGAGGTTTCCTAGCATGATCGAGGACGTCTCTGGAGAGTATAACAGCACCTGTGGCACATACTTCGGCCCACCAAGCAGCATTTTGATGGGGATGCAACAGCTGCAGTCGAAATTCTATGAAACTCAACATGGAAATCACAAAGAAGTACATAACGCAGCAAATGCATCACATGTTGGAGACGAAGGCGACAATGACGACAAAATTAAAAGACAACTGATGCGGTGAAGACTATCAAGTTTCTTATACGAATTCGATTTGTGGATACCTTCCATGTAGCTGATTCTTCATTACATGCTCGTACAAGAGGTACATGCTGTCAGCTGTTGCTGTTGCTGAAGATAAAAAGGGATAAGAAGATGATGGATAAGAATAAAAAGGAAAATGTAAATTAACAAACGCCACACAGAGCAAAGCAGAGGCACGCTAGCACTTGCAGCACGAATTACGCGATAGCGCTAGCTGCGTTTGTGTTGAATTATAGACTATTGGCCATTCGCATCCTCAACTGTGCGATTAGAGCTCCATAACTGGCTTCTTCCTCTTCATACCGCCTGGCTTCACTTCCGATGCAGATGCTGTACCGCCTGCGGTATCTGGTTCCGTTCCCGATGATGCAGGTGCAACAAGGATTAGAGCTGCTTTGTAAATTTAAGTATTTTCATTTTGTTCTACCCAAAAATTATCGAAGATACATTTTTTGAATTCGCCTGGATCTGTAAATCAACGTGTGGGGTCGTGAAACTGAAATTGAGCGAGCAAACTAAGATCCATCGCCTTAAAGATCCAACCCCACTCGTTCCAGCTCCTTTCCCTGCGACTGCACTCGCTGTTGAGGCTGCAGGTGATACCGCATTGCCAATCCGCTTGAAAAGTGAGCGTATCCGGCCTTTGATGTCCTCCTTTGCCCGCCACAAACTATTGAAAAAGCGTTCTTTCAATCCCCACGCGGACCCCGTCCACGCCTCTGGCGGACAATACTGTCCTCTACTTTTTATCGCATCCGTGGTCGCTGCTCGTAGATTAGAAGAAGTCCTTCCCTCAATCTTCATCATAGATCTCGAACTACTGGTGCTCTTGAAAATAATAGATTGCCTTGCACGCAAATAGATGCCACCCTCAATAAATGTCAATCAATCAATCAATCAAGGAGCGAAGCGCGGTAGCCCAAGACGTGCGGGCGTGTTTTTTTTCTTGTCCGCCTCGTGAAAAACATGGGAATCTGTAAAATCATGACAAGAGTATGCCCGCTTTCGCGAAATCATATTCTATTTCTCAACAAATCCTTAACTGTAGCTATATCATCCGCAGTTGATGATGTCGCTGCCTCCGAGGCTGCTGCTTCGGACGTTTTTGCCGTTTCACTCGAAGTGGCGGTGGCCGTGACCGCAACCGACGGCACATTATGACAATACCTCGAGCATTAGAGTAGATCATGATGATGTTGAAGTTGATGATTTCATTGCTACTTACATTTTCATATTGACAACCTCGGGAAGATTAGCTGAAGAGATGTGCTGTAATTATTTGTTCGTTGGAGTATATATTCCTCACGACATTCAACATGGATTTTTTGAGCTTAGTGCTCGTCTTGAAACATGAGTGGAAGGTGTTCATCTGCGTCTGCGAATCTCATTAATCATGACCCTTAGTAACTTCCATTAATTATGACCCTTACTAACTTAGCCATAAGTATAGTATGCACCGTACACGCCCGCCGCAACGAGGCCGACCGCGCCCCCCATCCCCATGTTCTGCCATAGTGCTCCTAAGGCCAAAAACCAAAAATAAGGACACAACGTCATTTTGCTACAACGACAATGAATGACGAAGACGATCTACTGCTGCATTTGCACCAGCTGTTTTTCTTTTTGTCCTATTTTCTCGAATAACAAAGTCAGTCGACCATTACTATTTGTTGCAAGTGTAAAAAAATGGAAACTGTGGTTCTGGAATTAGTAAGATGCATAGTTGTCCTATACCAGAAAATTCTTGAAAACAGGGATATCTGTAAAATTATGACAAGCAAGCAAGCCTCAACTTTTAAAGAGTTAGATTTAATTGATAGGCTTTTTGTAGATATTAGAGGCATCCGTTGATTATACTGATACATCACATTTACTCCAAGCAATGGACAACGACAAGAACTATCCTGTTGCCCTTCGCCTTCTTGTGAAAAAACTGATATTTCGACAGTGGAAGCGAAGAGTGATATTACGATTCCCGTAGATGCCGTCGAGAGTTGTTGGACTAAAAAGCATCCCGAAGAAAGTCCTGAGCAGGTGATTGCATGCGGTTTCCTTATCCTTCCCCCCTGCACAGTGAAAAAGTCATATAACACTTTGGTGCAGGAGTGACACCTAAGCAAATCTTGAGATACATTCATCTCGCTTTTGAGATAGATACAAAAACGCTGGCCTCACACTCTCTGACCACCTCTCCCAGTTACTGATGTTATCAGTGAACACCCTACTTGTGACTTAGTTATGGAATAAAAGCCGTCCCTCTACAGCAAAATGTCGGTGCTCTCGCTGGATTGGAAGACCATCTGTGAAATCCATGCATAAATGCAGCACTTTAATTCAGTCGGGCATAAGCCGTCTATGCACTTTTCATACCCTGCTAATGCATTGTATCTATTCATCTTGATCTTCTACTTCTTCTTATCCAAAATACTGGTACAGCAGCTACAGCTTTTACGTATTCAAATAGGTATAGTTGTTCCCAACACAAGTTATCATGAAGTTACACAGTTACTCCTGATGAGGCGTGGTTTCTAGAACACGATTTCCTTATACCAACACTCGTTTGTTATTGGGTGTCTTCGGTGGACTCGCTGCTATCACTGCTGCGTTCTTCAGTGGCGAAATCTGTGCCAGGTCCGCGGTTTTTGGTCTTGTGCTGCATTAGAGGGCTGGTGTGGCTAGCAAAAGTAAGAACTTGTGAGAAGCTTCGACTTGCGTATGATGACGCTGAAAATAATCGAGCAGCTCGACTTCGACATGACGAAGAAGATTAATGATAATACCAATGACTGACAGACTATTTAAAATAAAAAATCATGTTCTAGCCATAATTGTTCGTCGGTGCCACCAGAGGACGGATTCGCAAGAATGCGCAGTCGGTATCCGTGAACTCCACTTGTGCAGCAAAGGTTTTGGCAAGATTTTCTTCTTTCTCCTTCATCAATTTCTTCGCCCTCTCTTGCTTCCGCTCGATACGCTTCAATGCATCCTCATACAAGCGTCGGAACACTTTGCGACATAAGTAGGCGTTCAAACCTGGTCGGGTGGAGAAGTTGGGAAGTGTGGTAGTAGTTAAAAATGGTCACAATGTTGATGTTGACACCGAGCAGGGTGCATTGACTGTAAACAGGAGAATCATGCACCGACTAAAGACTACTCAACCGAAGACCTACATCAAAACTATATCGCGAAAGACTTCTACTATAGAAGAGTCAGCATAAAGTATATCACCCATCATAACGATAACCTGGATCATGCCGACCAACCTACGTACTTACAAGAAAAAGTACCACTATCATTAACGAGCTTCCCGACTTCCTGTCCTATGCCTCGGTCGTTGGCCATACTCTTCATGCGCTCTAACGCTTCTTGGACGTCCGTCAAATGTTTCGACACGGCCATGTTCTCCGCCAATAGTCGCTGTATCTGACTGTTTTGAGTGCGAACACGCTCCGTCAAGCCTTTTGGTATTAGAAGAGTGAGGAGGTAGTGGTGGTGGGAGTTAATGAATTCAGTTTCGTACTACTAGTAGAAAGACGTGAGGAGGTAGTGGTAGTGGTAGTTAATGAGTTCAGTTTCGTACTACTAGTAGACAGACTTTCGCTGGTGTATATCTGAAAGGCAGACTGAGCTTGGACTCCGAACCAGCTTCGAGAGGTTGCAAATCGAAACAATTTGCACTGCTTGCACAAGTACTTATAATCAACACAAAAATGGGTCATCTTATGGTACGAAAGTAAGGCAAGATGGGAACTACTTTAAGGGCTTCTGCTTTTATTCTTGAGTTTACTCCCTTATTTCAAGTTTACGAGTACTAGTAGACAGACCTTCGCTTCTCTGCATAAGATGATCTCCGCATTCTGCTCCTCCTTATCGAGCAACAAGTGCAGCTGCTCACCACCACCCAATTGGGCTATGCGCTCTGCAAACTCACGAACTTGTTGCTCCATCTTGCGCGTCTTGATGTTTTTGTTGTTGTTGTTTCAATTACTAGATTAAGGTATATATAGTCCTTTGTTATGAATGAATGAATGAATGTGCCTAACAAGAGGTATGTGCCTAAGAACTCGTCTTTTTTACCTAGCACGAGGTGTTGTCTAAAACCTAATTAGGATATATAGTCCTTTGTTACTTTGCTGTATCTGTATGATCGGGATATATGCTACAATTACAAGAAGAGTCTACCATGAGATGAAGTATTCTTCTGAAGTCTGATTTTAATTCAGAAAACGAGAGCGTAAGCGTGGTCTTCTACTAGGTAGTATGCAATCACCAGGGGCCGACTAATATTGTTCACCCAAGAAGGTAGTTCTCAGGTAGCTCAAGCGAATCCAAGGACCGAGTTTCATCCAAACCGATACACACAGTTCTATCTTCATCATCGCACCGACTTACGGTTCAAGTTCAAGTTGAAGGGCCTCACTCATGCCAGATTGCTAGGTTACCGAGAACTTCCAGTGATAGAACGGCTAAGGGCAACCGACGATGAGGGAGCCGCTTGACAGAAAAACTCTGACTAAGCAGGACTAGAACTGAGGCTCCCGATTACGTGAAACACTTGCTTTGACCGAGAGGCATATCACTAAAATCAGGGCGGACGACGCAACTCCAGTTCGCAGTGTAGTCTGTCGCTTAAACCTGTATTGCTTGGTACAATTGCAGCAGCTCGGCAGGTAAGGGGGCCTGTAGTGCCATCTGGATCTCTCGTCTAGGTAGTAGCTAGTGCAACCACATTATAGTTGATGTGCAACGAATTAGTAGCAGTAGAACTAGTACTAGTTCCTTTTGAAAACAAATTGTACATTTTTATTGCAACCGTGATATGCACAAAGGGTGAAATTTGTGTAATTCTAGTTGCTACCTATTACAAGTTCTGTTACAAGTTCTGATACATTATTCCTTTCGCATGGATCAGCGTCAAAGAAACGACGAGCGACTAGATTACAGAGTAAAAATAGTTGTTAGTGTTCAAATATAATTATTCTAACTCGTATGTATAACAGAAGATAAGCGACAAATGAAAATCAGCTGATTTTTGAGTGACTCAACATATTAACGTATAGTTAGTACTAGAAGCTGAGTCAGTATTTTCAAAACAACTCTCTAAATTGGTACTAGTTCTGAATAAGTTATTCATCTGGTGCATTATTATGTCATACAAATAAATATCGTTTGTTTTTTGTACTCGTCGGAAGTTACAGTTAGCTCAGTGGAATCATAAATTCGTTGGATGTTTTCATCCCAATATCATTGGGATTTCTATTCAGAATGTAAATTTTGAACAACTGTTGAACGTAGTAATTCTTTCTCGATCAGCAGAGAATTGCATAATAAAATGAAAACTGAAATAATGTCGATTCCTCAATCATGAAGATCATTCAGTTTCAGATCTTTACAACAACGAACATAATCAACGACCAACGACGAACTTGTTATAAGGGTACTAACTTGTCATCTTTGAAGTAAAATATTGATAACCAAACACCTAGTTTTTCTTTTGTTAGCATGGCGCGATATTTATATTTTGTTGATAATGATAATATTACCTGAGAATAGAAGTAAGAAACGCAAAATTCTCCATTTTGTCATTACGTGTGTCTGTCACTAGCAATGGCGATAAGAAAAAGGGCGAGCCGCACTCCTTGTCACCAGGGCAGAAGAAGGAGAACGATCATACTGAGGCGAAGTTGTTGTTGTCGTCGCAGTTAAATCCAACGGAAGTTGCAACGCTAGAACTGGAGCAAACATGGTAAAGTCCGTCCCGACCCATTTGTGCACGTACAGCAACGAACACAACAACTACAAAAACCTCCACCTCCACCATCTTCACCAATCCACATTCTACTGCACTTGCACCTCTGCGGGGGCCGTTGAGCCCATAGCTTGACCAGGATCCTCGTCCCCGAGGTCTGGCATAGACTGTACACGACCGAAATCGGTGTTGAAAATCTTCCGCTTGAAAATTTTTCGCATAGTATCCTCGACTCTTTTCGAGTCGTAGTTGGACCTTTGGATGGAAAGGAATGGTTTTTGTTGCTTGCGAGAAGGAAAGATTATCAACGTCGAGGAGTTGGTCTGATAAGCGGGAGATGCTGTTTGAGATGAAGAGTTCTTGGAAGTAACCTCGTTGTTCAAATAAAATTTATCATCTTCAGGAGGTCGTAATTGTAGAAGTACTTATCATCAGGAGGTAATTGTAGTACTTGATTTTCATGGTCGTGATGAGGCTCTTGACTTCGTCCTTCGCTCTCGCGACCTCCGCACCTGTCGTTCTCCGCAGATTCCACAAGAAATTCCTCTCGTGATGAAGCATCTCGATCTTGTCGTCTTTTCGCCGGACCTGGTGGGTGGGAGTAGATGGTTGCATATGTAGTCGGGAAGGGTATCATGGGTGTGTGTGTGTGTGTGAGAGTCAGAAGAGAAACTTTTAATAGAGATGTGGAGGCGTTCATCTGCGTCTCGCGAGGTAGTTTTTGTACAAGACAGAAAACGGGAAGAACCAGCTTGCATTCGGGGTCATTGAGGCAAGGTATCATGATAAGCGAAGAGGAGTCATCGAAAATCGAGAAAAGTTGTAGTACCGTCTCTGCCGTGTCTTCCCGCTTCTGATCCTCCTTTCGCCTCTGGCGAATAACATTGATTTCCTTATTCTTCTCTTTCAATGCATCCAGCTCCGCCTTGAACTCGAGATATCTGAGATTGGGTGGAGCGAGAGTTCATACATGGCGATTCTGAAAGTCTTTCTTACGAAGCAACAGTCTATCCTATCCAGCACGTAAAAATCGACGTCAAGATAAAGGAAGTGCAATATTCATTTGATATCAAACAACGTCAGGGAAGTGCAATATTCATTTGATACTAGTAGACAGTAACAACAGCATGGCACGACATAAGAAAAAACCGTAGTACCTTTCTTTCTTCATTTCGTGCAGCATCATTCTATGTTCCACTTCGTTCTGGTGTTCGATGATGGAATTTCTCTTCTCCTCCGCTTTTCTATCTGCCTCATCCATAATAGCCTTCCTCTTCATCATCACCTGGAATCCACGTCTGGCTCCTTCCTCCTGCTGTAACAGTCTCAAATTGTTCAAGCGGTCCTCACGCGCTTGCTCATGCGCCTGCTTCGCCATGAAGACTGCGAGTCTGTTTGGAGGTGGAAACGTAATCGTAAAGTTAGTAGAGGAGGAGAAGTAGAGAAGTAGGAAAAGTAGAATAAGTAGTAGTAGAAGATGGAAATGAATTTGAATTTTTTATTGTAGAAATGCAACGACTGTGGTTGAAGAAGCAATACTGGTACATGAGAACAGAGAGGTACGGCAGAAACTTATCAAGTACAGAGGACGAAGAGGTGAAACAGGACGAGGTATAGTACTTGTCCCCATTTCGACCGGCAAGATTCGCTTTTGAGAGTGATATCCTCTCCTCTTTAGATTTCCTCCTCTCTGCCATCTGCCTCTCAGCTTCCTTCTTCTGCAAAACTCGGATTTGCTTCCTCCTCTCATCATTCGTTCGCATTGCCTCTAACTGGGCTTGCTGCTGGAGCCACGCCTGTTGTCAGAGGGAAGATTGGTCGAGAAGAAGTAACGGAAGTGGAAGAGGAGTTGGTGCGATGAAGAAGGGATCAGCGTTCTTAAGATTTTGAGGACCGACTGCTGCTGAAGTTGAAAAAGTTGATCGTGATTCGAAAATGTAAAACAAAGGAAGCACGGAACAACTACAATGCTACCCGTAACAAGCAGTTAAACTCTACTAGCATAAACGAGGACAAGGGTAGTCAGGAAAGGTTTTGTGAAAGTGACTCGTCTGCTACAAGTAAATAAAATGAATCCAATTTCAAGCAAAAGTAGAACACACTCATATTACCGCCCGTCTCCTAGCAGCCTTATCCTCCTCAAGTTTCTTCTTTGCTGCCTGGTCAGCTAAAGACCTAGCATGCTGCTCTTTTCGCCTCTGCTCCGCTAATTCCTTCTCCTTCTCCAATTCGAGCTGCTGTCGTTCAAATTCCTCTTTCGCTATTTGCTGCTCTAATCTGGCAGGAAGTAGGAAGTAACGTCGTAGGTTTTATCGAAGGAGTTAGAAATTATATTGAAAAGAGTCTATTTTGATAATCAGTTGTTCCTGTTGCCTAGAACGACGAAAGTCAAAGTACTCTAGTGGTCCACGTTGCACATGCTGATTATTACAGTTTATCAACTTCAAAGTCGAAAAACTCACCAAAAAATGTTAAACAAACATGTGTTGAATACTTTTGTTGCGCTTTCATTTCGGCCATCTTCTGTTCCTCCTTCATGCGTTTCTCCTCGTTCTTCCTCCGCATTCTCTCCGCCGCCTCTTTATTGCCCATCTGCTCATCCGCCTCCTCCGCTTGCATAAACTGATCCGCTTTTTCCAGCATTCTGTTGAGAAGTGTATACATAGTTTACTTATGGGATCATCTGACATCCTGATCATGTTCTTGATATGCGAAGAGAAAACAAAACAATTTCAAATTAAAAGTAACTACTTTGTCGTATGTAGCTGGTGCGCCAGGCAGTTCTGCAGCCATTGCAACTGCAAATGCTGCGCATGTTGCAATTTTGACCTTTCTTGCTTCACACAATCTGACTGCATTGCCGATAAAACACCTGGTGGTGAGGAGAGGAAAAAATAAAAGAAAACGTGAAGAGAGGTTACATATACATTGTGATTGCTCCCTTCACCAGGTAATTACCAAAAAGGAATATCATTACGAATAAGGTCGTTGTTCGAAAACTTCATCAGTACACAGCAACACAAAAGACAAATCATACCAGTCGAAACGCCTTTCGCTCGGCTTAGTTCTGCAAGCGTAAAACCGGTGTTGGAATGGTTCCTCTCTCGTCCCTCCTCCTCTAATATTATCTCCCTTTGCCTTCGACATGCTGCTAACAAATCCTGCCGTTTGGCTTCAAAAAAATCGTACCTGGGAGTTTGCGATAGGAAGCGAAGTGGTGATCCATTGATAGCAGAGACGATCGTAAGCTTGAGTAACAAGCTATCCTAGAAGCTAAAAATCAGAGTAAAACTTGTTGTATGTGACAAGAACTACAGAGTACAAGAAAAATGTGATCAACGACACGAACATATCTTTAACCAAAAAATAACCCATGCTTACCTGAGTTTCACCAGTCTTGGTTCGAGACCATTTTCTGTGAACGCTTCTATTGGTTTGTAAATCAAATCTTGTGCGGCCACACCCTCTTGGCTGCATGCTTGCAAACTTCGTGGACTATCGATGACAGCCTTTGTATCATGCTCCAAAAAATCCACGAGGGATACTTTGCCTTTACCTGAAGGAAATGGCGTAGTTGTTGGTTTCCAAGCTATACGAAGTGAAAGTATGAATGGTTCCGGTATAATTGGGTAGCCTGAATTTGATTACAAGGGTTCTCTTTTTGTTTTCCTTTATGATCAAATTCAGGCCATACCAAAGACCGGAAGGAGCATTCATATTTTCACTTCGTATAGATTGGAAACCAACAACTACACCATTTCCTTCAGGTTGTTGGTTTCCAATCTATACGAAGTAGAAATACAACATCATTTCTTTCACTTTTATCAAGCTAAAGTAAAAGTAATCAGATCGATAGAGTGGCAATCATTATGTTCGATGTTACAGGTGACGAAACCGTAGGATATCATGTTTGTAGAAGAGAAAGTGATCAGTACTGGCGGCAACCGCCACTACGCCTTCCGCCATCTTGTCACGGTCCGATCGACAAGAACCCAAGAACTAGTATTATTGCATTTCAGTGTTGAGGCTCTCGTACTCGTATCAGTGCCGATGAGATTTCCACGGCTCCTCAACGGTTGTACTTGCGACAAAGAAGTAGACTCGATAGACTTGGAGATGGAGTTGGAGAGTCTTCTGGGAGAAGGTTCTCGTTTCTCTATCTTTGCTATAGTGATGCTCCTACCAGGACACTAACAACTGTTCTCGTTATGTCCTAATTCTCCGAGATGATGGCGATGATGATGATGATGATGATGATCACGCTTAATACTCAGGGAAGTCTACTACGTGTGGTAGTACTCACTTGGAGGTAGCTGCTAACGCTAGTATTGGCGGGTGGGAACCCAGTCTGCATCCAACAAGCGATCGCCTCCTCTTCTAGCGAAACACGCGGTCAAACAAGGCTGATGCAACAGAGGATGAATATATCTTCGGTCGGCGTCCTCGTCTTCGAGGTCGCCCTAGTGTTCGCCCACTAGCGCTGTTCGCCCACTACCGACCTGTGTATCACCCGAGTCAGCGTGTGCTACCAGCGTAAAAATGGAGGAAACATGTTCATGAGAATAAGAAGGTTCTCTTTCAAAAACAGTCGGATGATGAGATCTGCTCCTTTCTCCAATTCCAATAGGCCTGCAGCTGAGAGTGGTCACTCTACTTAGTATTATACTATAATAAAAAACTCTACTTAGTATTATACTATAAGCTGGTATACTATACTTAACAAAAGATGGACCACGAAACGACTGGCGCATGAAGTAACTTCTAATGACTCACGTCTACCCCATCAAACCACGGGCCGCCTCCTGCAAAAGCAAAATAAGAAACACAAGGTTTTTTGAGAAATATAGTTGAACTCATTCGTCGAGGAGTCTGTACATTTCGAACTCACCCTGTTGTTACCTATTTTAAAGAATTTATTAGGAACACGTATCTCTATGAAACTGTCTTATCGGGCTCCGAACGCAATAGCTAGTGGAGGTTTGAACAAGTTGTCTTGGTAGTACTGGTGAACGAAAGAGTCTGGTCTCTGCCGATGTTGCACACTCGCTAGTGGTACCGATATTATCTTAAACTCACGACGGACTCCCTCGAATAATCAACATGAACATGCTCTCTATTTCTTCATCTAAGTCCTTCTTGTCCTCCTCTTGTCCTCCCAAACAATCGACTTTCATCCGAATTGTCATCTTTTCACACGAGGAACGATTTTAGTTTCATTTTCTAGAACAGCTCTTGTTCTTCTCGCCTTGGCGCAACAGCGACTCCGTCCGCTGTCTTGTATCCCTCAGACTTCTCGCCTTGGCGCACGCGCAAAGGCAAACAAGTACAAGAATAATCATAATGTAACAAATTTTTGTCAACTGAAATAAACGAAAAACCAGTGATGGCACCCATATTATCATGCTTGTACAACTGCATAACTACGATCAGATTCACTCTTGGAAGTACTTAGAAAGAATAGAGAATCTAGGCGCCTTTGGTCGTTGTTGCTATAGCTTCTCTTCTTATTTCCTTGTGGCTAGTCCTTCATGCTGTCTTCCACTTGTCTGATACTTGCGAGTCGTATCGTGCCCCTTGTGGTGGCCAGAAACATTTTCTGAAATTTCCAAATCCAATTCCAAATGTATGTTTCTCTTGAATTCTAGTTCACCTACCCCCTCCACCACCAGCCGCACTCCCGGCCGCTTTTTCCGCCATCGGAAAAAGTTTCGACTGCAATAGCGTGATGTGTTTCACCAATTCATTATTCCTCATCTCCAGTTCTATGATGCGTCTATCCTTCGATTCACATCGGTCGCACCATATGTCGTAACACTCGAAGCACCCAGGCTGACCACACACTTCACCTTTTCTTAGAGGAAGAATGAAGAAGATCTGACCACACAGTTCACCTTTTCTTAGAGGACGAATAAAGAAGATCTTCTCTACATCTTAATGTAGTACTTTGCACAGCAAGCAGAGGCTTGAGATTCTTTGAGTTGATAGCCGTAACTTTGGTACGAACTTGAACCCTGACGGCGGTATCATCAGGGTGTGCGCGCGAGGCTTCATTATCGTAGAGGACGCAGAAGATGATGTCATCTTGAAGATCTTCGCTTATATATCTTTTTCTTGGATATCAACAAATAAACTGGTAAATGAGCCATAGTCGCCGTTTTGTTTTTTTCTCTCTCATTCTCCCTTGTCATCGCTCTGCTACGCTTCTATGAGTCAAGAAGTGCCAGAGCGTGGTTTTATATTTTTAGTTTCATCATTCGACAGCAGTGAAACTCGCAGGTCTCGCTGATTTAGATTTCATCCTCCATTTTGCCATACTAGCTTGTAGCATTCATCGTTTTTTTTTGAATTTTGAAGCAAAAGACACGGTGAACACTGCGTAGCAGCATATAATGGATCAACTTTTCTTGAGTTTCACATGATTCATTGTAGCACTCAACTCAGCATGTTAAAAAAAAATTGATTCAAAACCTTCTCACGCGTTCTTAGCAGTAATTAGAGGTAGCCTTTCCCGAGTCGAGTGAGTTGCCCTTTTCCCCCTGTTTTTTCCCCTTTAAATCCAGGGGCATCCCACTCAGCATAGTCCACATGGGATAGTGATAAACTACCCTTAAAATGAATCAGCATGTAAATCTCTGTCCACGACCTTTGAGAACCAGGTCAGGAATTCAACTCTATCCATCATCTTCAGGTTCAGCTTTGAAAAGTTAGTAGTTACTGTTAATACCCTATGCAAAAAAATCATGGTAATCAGGTAGTCATCATCACTGCGTCTCGAGTAGCAATTCTGTACTACCAGCGGGATGAAATATTGCAATCAATCATCGTTCATTAGGTTAGGTTAGGTTGGGGTCTACCATCCGATGTGGCAGACTTCGACGGCTACTGAAGCGCCTAGCAACAATGGTATCTAGATCAGAAAAACCTACTCTATCGTTCAGTAAATCCCTATGCTAAACCGATCACCGCCGCTGAAGGACCGTGTACACCGATACGTCAACGTTCATTCAACCGAGACAGCCTAGCGCTGAAGGAACGTTCATTATTTCGATACGTCAACGTTGGTAACACTTTCCAAAGCTTCCGGGTTCTTGGAGTCATTGATGAGCTTGCCGCATTTCCCACAAGCACAAGGGCTGCACAGAATGCAAGAGGAGAGGACAACATGATCGAAGACAAACAGAAACTTTTCTGCTGCTCATAAATCACTCTCGCTCCTCAAAAAATACATTTTTACATACTTTCTGATAAAAAAAACACACGGTGGCCGGAACACAAACGTCCTCAGGAAACTTCTATTATTTCGGTATGGCCTCAGTAAACTAACTGCTATTATTTCGGTACGTCCTCAATAAACTGCGTCTTGACCTTTCATGGCGCTTCTATGCAAATGCAATTCATTTAATCATTTTTGGAAGTTGCTACTCATTTGGTTATATATAACATCAACCTTCTCATTGCTTTCACAGTTCCAAAGATGAAGATCTTAGACATCATATATAATTTGTTGCCTACTTCATCCTCATCGAAAAAGAACACTCATCTTCATTTACAACTAACTCTTCCAACATCATGAGGGTGATAACGGCGCTGGCGCAGGAAGATAGTCGTAGTCCCTAAGTATAATCATTCATAAGTAATTTGAATATCGCAGAGGCAGATTCGTCACCTTGGTCTATTCATTCTAGGAGATTAGCGTGGATAGGTCTCAACATTCATTGTCCGAGACCGAGGCACGCATCACTGTTAGAAATCGTTGTAAACATAAGGCACAAGAGATTATTAAAGCTCGGTCAATTATAATCTTCTGGTGCTCCTTCTAGAATCGCTGATAATGCGTCCACAGATCTTCGTACGATATGTCTGGAACGTCCGGCAGTGGGTCTGCCAGGACGCTCTCAGCAGCTTCGGCAAACGCGGTGACCGCCGCACTGGTACCCTGTTGGAGAGCATTTACAACTTCAGTCGCCGCACGTTTGGCTTTTCGAGTCGTATCCGCAACTTTCGCTTGCATTCGCTCAAAGATGGGCTGCGCAATTCTCTCCAGGACGACGTCGATGAAGTGCGCGAGCGAAGGCTGAATCCAGGACATGCAGCCAAACTGTTGCGCAGCGTCCACCCTGTCCTTCGATCGAATGAAGGCAGTGAAGAGGCCGTCCACCAGGTGAAAGCCCTTCATGAAACGGAAAAGACCCAGTGGCACCTCGAGGTCATCCACGTACTTCTGCACAACGCTCAACGTCTCCAGCATCGCCCGGCGAAAGTATTCCGCGACCTGCCGTTTCAAGTGAAGCAGGTCTCTTGGGCCGACAACCGAAGCAGCTGCGGCACGCACAGCGGCGTTATTTAACAAGGATGCGTCATTCTCATTTCCCTGTTGCTGTTGTTGTAGTCCTCTCGCGATATTGAACTCCGTTGCAAACTCTCGTAGAAAGCGGGCAATCTTGTGAAAAGCCATAAGAAATTTGACTCCGGAAATACCCGCACGCTGCAGTGTCGCGACAGGTGACAGGATTGCTTGCAACACTGGCTGCACCACCCGCTGCACCAGTTCACTTCCAAGGACGTCAGAGCTGAGTCCTGCAGCTCCACTCCCAGCAGCTGCTCCAAAGCTACCATGGTTGAAGCGCTCCTTGAGAGCCTCTGTAAATTCTCTTTCGATCTTCGTGGCACGCAATTCACTCCGCAGCTGTCCCTCTTGCTCATGATCATGATCCACTTGTTCGGAAGGGCGCTGTCGCCTTTTCACAGGAAAAAGCTCAAGCATTAGCTTTGTGTCACGAGTTAACGTTGCTACCACGAAAATGACGAAGGCCTCTAAGATACTCTTATCCTTGTCGTAGACACTCCCGAAATCGATTAGTGTCATTAATGCTTCCACCTCGTCTCTAGAAGAACTTCGAAAGGACAGCATGACATTTCCTGCGTGCATATCAGCATGAAAAAAGCTTTTACCAGGAACGGTCAGCGCGTGTGTGGCCCACAGCCGCACGAGATCGTGTAGACCTCTTGCAGCGGCGCAAACCTCTTTCCCATAGGCCTCGTAGATGAGACCGTCCCTCTCAACATCGTTCCGACGACCAAGCGTCCACGCAGCGTAGCTCGGTCCCGATGCGTGACGAAGGACAGGCGCGGTGCTGCTCTCCACGTCTGGGTCTGTTCCGACGGGGAAGGCCTTTAGCACATCCGCGATTCGCGCCACTTTGAAATCCGCAAAGCTGTCCGCTGCGCTGAGCCACGCTGAGAATGGTTCACCAGGAGCGACCGTAGTCGCGAACGCGGCCTTTCCAAAAAGGGCTATCGGCTTGATCGCGGTTACACGGTCAAAGCCCTGCTGTCCGTGATACCATTTCCACCCTTTCAGCGTGTTCTGCATCTCGTTTTCCAATGAGAGTTCCTCGCTGACACCCGCCACGAGCATATTCTCGATCATATGGGAGCACTCCTCTTGGTCCATGAGTGGCCGCAACCGGCGCATTTCGTCGTCATACTTTTCCTGCAGGAAGCGCCGCTGCACCTTCAACCACACTCGGCGATGTGGCGGCACTTCTGTCGCTGTGGTCCTTCCTGCTCCTTCCATGCCATCCTCAGGACGGTCTTGATGTTGGTGTCGTGGTTCTTCAGAAAGAGGAACAGGACCGTGGCCCTCCTGCCCAGGAGGAATTCTTGGAAAAATATCGTTGGGAAAAATCTCGTGCGCAAGATGGCCCTGTCCCATGGTGGCTGCTGCGTTCGCGTGGCTCGACACAAAAAAGCTCACACCAACAAGATCTCTGCTGGAAAGATCATCCATCGGTAAATTGCCCCAGACATCACTCACACTCCGTTCCGTCACCTCGAACAAGAGTCCAACACCAGCATACTCCGCGTCTATGATCTCTTTACTATCGACAACACGTTGATCGAACCATCCCACAGCCGTGCGGATAAGCATCCCTTGTGTCTCACTGCTACGCGGGTCAAGACTACGATACAGGACCATGCTCGTCGTCACATCATCTTCATTCGTACTAGAAGTGGTCGTGGTAGCAGAAGACCCTATTTGCTTCATCTCCACTCGAACTAAGAATTCTTCGTAAACCCCGTCAGAACCTGAAAGTAGTGAAAGAGTAATCGATCGAAAAACTGAAGTAACGGAGTACAGTGATCTAAAAGTGTTGCTGTAACTTAGCACCATCCTTGAATTTCCTTGCTTACTTCAAGATATAGAGTAAGTGGAGCTGTCTGCTAGGCCAGAAACAAAAACAAAATAACATCTCTTCAGGAACGCTTGTTCGTCTTCCAGCCTATTCAATCAAGTACCTTCATCAACATCATCATCATCATCGTCACCCGCCTGTTCCTGGTGTTGCAGTGGTGTAGTACTCGAGTGCGAGAGCGGACGCAAAAGGCGAAAATTTTCCAGCGGCTGAAGCTGTGCCCACGTGTCCCTCAAAGTCATGGGTCTCACAGCTACGAGCATCTGTTGCGACAATTCCCGAAGATTATCGCTTTCAACGCTTTCAGCACCCATTTGCAGAAATTTCTGAGCAATAGGTCCCGCTTCCATAAGAGCTGCAGCGGCAGCGCGTACCTCCGCCAAGAGAGCCGCGTGGCTTGTCAACGAAGCGCCGGACGAAGCGTCCATCACAGGAGCTGACAAGTACGCTGCGAGCATGCGCATTTTGAGGAGCTCCCCAGCGTCCTCTATGTAGTTGGCGAAAAAAGCAAGGATCACGCTCCTCAACTTCTCGGGCGCGTCGCTCTTCCCGACGTCCTGCAGCAAATGCAGAATGCCCCCGCCGCTGCCAATGGCTGACATCTTCATGGCCATCACCTCGCGCCGCATCACCATCTGCACGCGGTCCAACGCCTCTCCCATTTGCTCCGCGTCCGCACCCACCACGGCAGCTCGAAATTCTCGAGACATGTTGTGGCCAAAGGAAATGGCACTTGTCAACCACGACCCACGACCTCCGCTCCCAACAAAAGATGATGAATGCCGGGCTTGGGCTTCATCTTCAGTTGATGTTGAATCATCATGATCATCTAAAAAATAGCGTTGCAACACTCGTTCGAAGAATCCTCCAGCACTCGAATCTCCCGAAGCCCGCCCAAGCGCGTCCGGGGGCATGACGAAATCGGCAGCGCGAAAAGGGAGTTCCCAGGACAAAGCAACGTCTCCGAGAATTCCGAGGACGTGCTTCAGTGCGACGTTGGACAGTTCCTGAACGCTCAACCCTTTGACTAAAGGACTTAGACCATACCGATATTCATCCTGAACAGCATCTTTGGCGTGTTTTTCACTTTAAAAGGGGGTCAAAGATGCCTCTTGAGATGAATTATGGTAAGCCGTAAGCCATCCCATTCCGGGAATTCATGCTCCACTACCTTGTGAAAGCGGCCAGCGTAGCACTCCTTCCATGGGACCCCTTTCAGCAAACGGGTCGGAGCAAAGTAAAGCGCGTAGTCATACCAAAAATCGTCGAAGGAGATCATGGACAGCAAGGCGTTCGCGACGAAGCGCCGCAACGGTGAAGGGAACCGTCGGTCACCGGCGCATCTCACTTCCAAACGCTTGCGCCTCTTTCGCAGTGCTTCAGCCTTACGGGAGACACGCTGGGACCACAAGCTTTCATCTTGTTCACCAGGCTCTTCTTGGGCGGGCTGCCCTCCCGTCCGACCCCGAGTTGGAGGTACAAACGCTGCCAAAACGCAACCCCCATCGAGAAGAAGCGGCAACACGAGAAGTCGCATGACCATTTTTTTACACCTCAATGTGGTCTTATTTGGCAAAGCCATCTTTTTCATGTCAATACGAAAAGATTTTGGACTTGTTTTTAATCAAATATAATTCAGAAGTTCTGCTTTCCTGCTAGTCCTACAATAATATAAAAAATTGCAATACGATCTTTTCCACAAGAATCAACAGATCAAGAACGAGGGAAAAGTCCTTTTCAAACTAATTAATAACCCACTATGCATGAAGTGGAAAAAAAATCACTATGCAAGCGATGTTGCTGTACCAGCTGCTCTAGGTCCTTCGTACTTAATAAATAATATCGAAGATCTTTCCCATTGACCCCACAGTAGTCTGCTAATCTGGTAGAATAGAAAGGCTTAGGCTGGCTTCGTTCAGATGACAAAAAGTATGTGTTTGGATCAGAGTACTATATTGTCCACAGGAGGTCCGCCATAGTTGTAACAAGGAAGAGGTAATCACTAAAAAGAGACGAGCTTTTCTGCGTTCAGTGACAATGTAGTCTCTCTTTAAACCTAATTTTTAGGCGAGTGCTGGTGAAGAGCCTATTTCTTTCAAATTTTAGAGATCTAGAGGATTCTCTGGCCCTCTTTTGTTGCCGATCTTTTCCACACGATGATGACAAGTTGAAAGAGCTTTGTACTCGAGATCGATGATGACAAGCTTTGTACTCGAGATCGATGATCTTCTTGTTAGTTTGAAATTGAAATCAAGAAAAATTCGAAGAATATTAGTTGTACATCTAATTGCGCGCTTCCTAGAAACAAGCTTGTTTAAGTTTTTTGGCATGTATCTATAAATTGGCTCGTTACATGTTTTACTTGGAACGAAAAAAATTCATTTCCGCACATACCAAGTTGTCAAGAAGTCCTGCTCACAGTCAGTCAGTGAGAGAGCGTGCCAGTAAAAAAAGTAAAAAATTTAAGACAAACAATTCTTACGTGAAAGTTAGTCACATGTTGTCGCATTTGTTGCGACGACTACTGAATGTCACGGCGTATCCTACTTTGTAAAAAGCATTTCCAATCCTAATGAGGCGTGGCGTTTTCAAAGAAAAATACATAGAATCAGTATACCTTCCTTCAAGCATTTCTAATACTAATCCGTGTTTCCATCAAATTCAAATACAGAACTTCATCTGAACTACAGGTTAAACTCGTACCAATACCAATTTGAGTTGAAATTCAAAATCCACTTTTGTGGTGTCTTTAATCCTGCGGCGTTTGTGGCCTTCTGTCTCGGGTTCAAAATGCCCCCCAGAAATGCGCTATAAATCCTGCACATCGTCTAAGCGAAGAACAACCATCTCCCGACTGAAAAGTCTTCCGGTCTCGCCGCTCCTTTCCTGCTTCGCTTTCGAATTAGCTATACATAGTGGCAGTAGCACGTCCTCGACAATCTTCACATTATCTCCATCCTCTTCCTCACGGCGAAATCGAAGTTTCTGATGTGCGGCAGGTCGTGGCTTCGGCATCGAGTTGATTTCGCAAACTACATTATAAATATGGCAAAAGAATCTTCTCCGTGTAAGCCGAAGAAACCTCTAAAGAACTTATTCCAGGAGCCGGTCGTGGAGGTTGTTGGATAATGAAACCCGCAGGTTGCTGTACTGGAGATTGTTGTTGTTCAAAGTCGTCCCTCTTGCTGTGTTCCTCTTCTGCAAGACCAGGATGAGCCTCGACGAGAAACGACACAAGCACATCCGAAGCAGCAATCACACCGCTGTCAGCGTCCTCCTGCTCGTCGGATTTCTCTGAACTACCCTCGTGTTGTGGCAACTCCGGAGACACCTTCAAAACCCATTCATTTTTTCCTTCGCGTTTTTTTCCGTCGCGTTTCCTTTCAAAGAGCGCAGTAATGTTGTAAACAACGTCATTTGGATCTTCTCCATGGTCAGCTACGTCTTTATCTTCTCCTGTGTAGTTTTCTCCCAAGCGGGAGTGGGCAAAAAAACTTCAGGACTCGAGCGAATCTTTTTCCCAACAAAGCGCATGTGCACCTGAGATCAACCTTCATATTCTTGGATGAAGGTCGGGGACGCGACACATCCTCCTCCTTCCCGTTCAATTCAGCGACGGGAGAGCTACTTAGTGATGCCGCCCACAGCAAGATCTGCCGCAACTTCGGGTCGCTTTCCTGAATCTGGGCTACAAAAAATGACTTCATAGCCAACAGAGTGCAACTCTGTTACGATCTCGATTGGCGGTTGTACAGGTTCTGGGTCGTAGTCATCTGCTTTGGAGTATATTCTCTTCAAAGGCACCAACTTATTCTCCTCGTCAAGTGCGATATTCTTGAGCCATGAACTTGGGCCTGTGGAATTCCAAAAAAATCCAAGACCTTACGTAGTCTTAGAGCTCAAAACAATCCATTTCTACCCTTCATTCCTTCAGAATTCCAAGAGGAAAACAGAACGAAATGACCCTCGAAAATCATTTGTATCAAGGCAACGATCGATGTGTTTTCGTAGGCAAGCTCAGCTTTTTCACCTTTCCGAAAGGCCTCGTACCGTTTTTTTGCAAGAGCCATGGGATGGGTGGCAGGCCTATATTTTGAGCCATCCTTTTCAGTTTCGGGTTCAATGTACTTGCGGCTACGGCGGTGAACCCATGCAGCCGGAGACTCGATTCATATTCTTATTCCCCGGCCCAGAACGACGGCTCGTTTACCGGCGACCTGCAGCGCACATAATTGGTATAAAAAGGCCATTAAAGAGTCGTCGAAACCGAAACAAGAAGGCACTGCGCCTGTGTCTGATTCATCCATGTCCCATGGATCATCTTTTTGATTGATCCATCCTTGTACTAGGTTCAAGAAAAAACTCGACTCCACCGAAGTATCATTTCCCTCATCCGGTTCCACCACGATCCTCTGAAGGAAAAAAACCACCTATCTTCCCATCGCTGCTCTCATGTTGGTGACACATTTTCTATTGCACTTCTTGTGCTCGCGTCTCATTCATCAGGAAATGCGAAGACAATGGGCGGTCAAGCGGAAACGTGCGACTCACTCGCATAGATTAGAGGCGGATTTTACTCAATCATCTCGGTCCCCTCATCTCGGGGGCCCCTTTTTCACCCTCGTCGCAAAAATTCATGGGAATAATTATCAAAAGGCAAAAGGGAGGTTGTACCAAGATGCTGAGAAGGATGGAATAAATGGATAAAAGCTGACCATAAATAGATGTGGACTTGCGTCTTCTTCGAGGCCTTATCCTCAGCGTGATGGTACCGGCAGCGGTTTGCCAACTCAAACACTCATACTAGTCCAGGGCGGTCGCAATCCGCGATTAGCTGGTAGATAAGAGATCTTCGCTCTTCTTTCTTCCAGGACGGTCGCAATCCGCGATTAGCTGGTAGATAAGAGATCTTCGCTTCCAGGACGGTCGCAATCCGCGATTAGCTGGTAGATAAGAGATCATGTCATGTCATGGTACCTCTTGTGTAGCTATTAGCGTCTACTTACGAGGCCAACCAGTAATGTAGTAACTCCCTAACATTGAATGCCTCTGCCAATGCGGGATTCCCCAGTCTTTGGTTGCTGCAAAGAAGCTTTCACTTTTGGATCTGGTGAAGAAAGAGAAGCTGCTTCTACGTGCGCGCCTTCTCCTGGTAGAGGTATCGGGAATGCATGATCTCACAGATCAACTTCTAGGTCCCTTTTCCTTGGAGAAGCGTAGCCACAGGCTGTGGGAAAGAGTAAAGCACAACTACTAGTATTTATATGAAGACGAGTAGTAGATTTGGTAGTAAAAAACTGTTGTAGATTAGGCATTATAAACGAAGTGAATTTTAACGAGGACGAGAACAGGTGTAAGAGCAAAAGCAATAGCTTGGTTGGTGACCATGATGGTCAACCACATGATAGCCATCGCTGTCCTCTTTTTATTCAGCGCTGGCATCATCATCTTCTTGGAGTTGGAGCTTAGAAAGAACTATCGAACAAACAAAATTTTGATGTTGGATATGAAATTACAAATCTTCTGATGTATTAGATAATCTTTATGTTGTTGTTTTTGATTGGATAGAAAAAGATTAGGAACGTAGCAGGAACTCGAAGACTGCTAGCAGAATTCGTTTCCGCACGCCCAAGGAAGGTTTAATGACGAAGCTAGACCTACTTAGTATCAAACTTAAGAAATATAAAACGCTCTTTGAGTTCTCATTCTCATTACTAGTAGACTTTTAGTACAAGCTACAATGTACAAGTCAGGTGTCTTTTCTCTCTCGATACTTCTACTCCAGTGAAGTAGAAGAAGCTATTTTATCATTATCTTCTTGGCGATTATATTAATCCATCTGTTGGAAGCAAAATTTTCGAGATCTTCATAGCTCCTCTTGTTGCCGATATCTTACTGATCTTTCTAGTTTCTCTTCTTGCAGTTGCAAGGATCTACTTCTTTGCTCTTAGTTAGATCGGATCTGTACTTGTCTCTCTCTCTTCAACGAACAACCGAGTTTGAGTTTTTTTTTGGAATATAACTTGCTTCTAAATAGAAATGAAAATGAGGTTACTGTGATTTTGATCCAATGTAAAGGGAGACTGTCAATATCATGGGACTGTGTTATAAGGTCATGATCGGAGGGAAAATTTCTAGGGGGCGAGAAGGATTGTTGGGATTTCGTTTGAGCAAGAGGAAGGGAGTTTGCGTGTCAAAGGGCAAAGTCTTCCAAGTTGGACCACGACCAATCCTCGTCTAGGTATAATTATTTCCCTTCCCGAAATTGTTTTTGAGCTCTTCCGTTCGCTTTTCGGTTGCTTCCGAATTCCCTTCTATTCGAGATTTTGGCTATCCCCGTTCCAAACTGTATCGCACGTTTATCCAAGTTCGCGCATAGTTTCAGCTCTAATCTATTCCTAGCAAAGCTACGCAGAATCTGCTTGTCTGGTAACAACACCTTCTCCGCATGCCCGGCTAGAAAGTCGACAACCTCTTTTCCGAGAAAGGGGTGACGGGACTCTAAGCCCCAGTCAGAAATGACACGATCGTCACGACCCAAGTTACGCTGCCAGAACCTCTCCAGGTCTATCAGCATCTCTGCGAACATCCTGCTCTGTCTAGGTCTTCTATGCGACGAGCAATGCGAATCGGTTTTGTCATCACCTGTACCTCCCTGCCCAACAAGATACTTGGAAACATGCCTTGCGTATCCAGCTAGAAGCTCGTCTGCTCCGTGACCGACAAGGACGACCCTGATTCGAGACCGAGTCCTACCATTGATGTCGTCGTGACCAGGAGCAGCAGGAAGTGGAAGATGATTATCCTCATTGTACTTGTAGTTTTGATATAGTGAAGGATCGATCACGCTAGAAGAAGATGCATTGTCCATCTGGTGCGGTGTTGTTTCTTCACCCTGTTGTGGTGCCTGTCCGAAGAATATGTTATTCTCCATCCACCATGGACTTTGATGTTCCCCTGCTGCACCTGAAGAAAGACCACTCCAGTGTGCTTCCTCCAGTTCTATAGTTTTCCACAGTTGCTCTTTACGTTTGTTCTCCCCAGGTCTTTTTTCAGAGGGCAGTAAATTTGCAGCTTGTGCAAAAAGCGTTTCCCAATGCGGAAAGGTATCATCTAAACAGAAAACTCGAGCAGGACCAGATGAAGTAGGAAAACCTTCGGACGATGAACTTGATTCAGGATCCAGCCGTATTCGTTCATCCTGGTGTTCCACAAGATTACAACTAGAACAACTATTGCTATAATTCGAACTAGATGATACTGCCTCGGCTGCTTTCCACAAACATAGGCCAATATTGTAGTCCATATGAGACTGGTGCCCTCGTCCAAGCACTAGGTGAAGGTGGTCTACTTCACTCTGCACGTTTCCCAAACCCAAATTTTTGTTCCTCTTGACATGGTCTTCGTCGTTTTCCGGGTCTACTACTTTTTTATCGTGTGCTTCTAGTCCCACGGAAGGAACTCCAACTCCCACCTTCTCTTCAGGATCTACCAAGAGCAATTCAAACGTGCCAGGAGGAAACCTTTCCTTTAGTTCCCGATAACTCAGCAATGCCGTGACCCGATCCGGCGATTTGTGTGGCTCATAGGACACATTTACCAACTGTACTACAGGTTCTTGCTGTTGTTTCAACTTATTTTCAGAATGGAAATGATCGTCCTCACGAGGATTCTTCCGCAACATTTCTTCTGCAGCCAAAGCCGCGAGTACTGTCGAATCCAAACCACCACTGAAGAAAACCGCTATTTTCTTCTGAAAAGCAACCCGCTTGCGAACGGCGGCCCGCAAAGCATCCCCGAATAAGTCTATCTCATTTCTTTGCTTGATGTCTTCTGCAACTGTGGCGTTTCCAAGTAGTGGTGGATCTTCATGCTTCTCGTCATGCGGATTCTCTTGTTTATCCAGGAAGGTTGTAGCTGTTTCTGGCGTTTCTAGTCTGGTTACCACGTGCGTTCCACCACGTCTTCTCGGTGGTGTTGTACAGCTACAGGCCAGTTCTCCAGTGTAGTTATCTTGAGCTTCTCCTGGCAAATCCACAAGCCACCGCAGCCTTTTGATCAGTCTCCCGAAAAGATGCCACCCGTTTTCGGTTGCTTTCGATGCCTGTCGTTCTGTAGAGGACTCTCCAGACTGATTGTGGCTGTTGTCGATACCTCGTGGACCGGCTTCATCTTGCTGCGCCAATGCTTTGCTCAGTCCCTCATCTTCGCACAAAAAGAGTCCTCCAGATCCGGGTATTCTCCGGAATACCACGGGCACACCGCAAGGTAGTTCTGCATAGTACTGCTTTTTCTGTAGGTGATCGTTCTCATTCATGGTTGTTCTAGCAGCACCCCTTGAGTTTGAGGACTCTGCTGATGCCATTTTCTCCATACTTCGATCTTCGACTTCGTCTGGCACTACACTGGTCACAGTGATAGTGGAAAAAAGGCTTGGTGCGCTTCCTCGTTCAGCAAGTACACAAAGGCTACGCCGACCAATGCTATCGCGCATGCAGAAAAGCCTTTGACGCACAGGACACCAGTGCAGGAAAGCAAAAGGACCCTCAATACAACGCAGAACCTTCGTGAGAGCGGTATCGAAGTGGTTGCCGGAGTCAATCGAGGTTGTCTCGAAAGAATCATGTCCTCCGCTCTTTCCACGTATTCCTTCTATCCCCCCCAGTGTCTCCATTCGTCTTTGAAGCCATGTGGTGTCTGAGATCGCGTTGGACGCGAGTAACGCGTCGTCATTGTCCCTGGCTCCACTTTCGCCGGGAAGACCAAAAACTTCCCCATTCCAAGCGAAGTACGCTCCACTCTGCAAGCCTACTGGTTGTTCACTCGCTCTAGGTCCACGAAGATGCAACACAGAGCCCAGGAGAACACTCCCATGCGAATCTAAAGCTACCTCATTTGACAAGTCAGGCCCTCGTCGCGCGAGCAGGGAACGCAATCGCTGTAACAAATTCCCATGGAGGGGTGGCGTCCTCGTCTGGTGGTGCACATCAACGCTATGACCATGCTGACATTCCTCCCGATGTGTCGCATCTTCTTGTCGAACATCGTTGGCTCCGCCGGCCACTAGTACCGCCCCGATGCCGCACATGGTTAGAGATACTTGTACCTACTTACGTAAGTCCATGAGTCCACGAATCTAATTCAGCCCTGATCAATACTTACACACTCAACAGCAGCAAAACGAAGGCATTCAAAACCATGAAAAACTGAGAAAGACCGCTGTGGATGGAAGAGTCAAATAGAAGATGGAAAGAATTATAGTAGGGTAGCATACAACTCATATACATAGTATTGTAAAGCAAATCCGCACTCCTTCTCATCGTGCGGGTTGTCGCCATGATCTCCTCCACGTCGTACTAGGATCAAAAAGCTTCTGGATCACGACCACTGGACTGCATGATCGTTGCAAGAGTGGGTAGGTTCGAGATCCTTGATCTTTTTGGTTGATGATCTCACTTGATCTGGAGAACTAGAAGATCTACTCATCCTGCATTACTACAACGCGGAGCCATCTTTATCATGTGGTGTTTAGCTACATTTAGAACTCTCCGTAAAAGTTTTCCCCCAATCAATCGAACGGCAAGCGCATCAGTTGCTCAATGCTCGTCGAAGAAGAAGAGAACTTTTCCCCAGATCATCGTACACACTTCTAGTAAAAATCTCAAAGAACAATTCTAGAGCGCTGTCACTGACAGTTAACATAGACACTTGGAAAAACTGCCCTTCCTCTGTTACAGCACCAAGACCTCACATCCTGGTAACGCTACGGCATAGTCTTGGTGGTAATGCGCAATTTCAATTTCGAATATCGCACATGATGTCCCCCATCTGACATTGGTGGCTCCTTCATGTTCATGCCATCTCTACTGTCATACGGGATCGGAATGGAACCCAGTGGCCGACACCTCACCATATTAGCCTAGTAATAATCATTGTGTGTTATCGGCCGTCTCATTCCGTCCGTATCCTCTCGGAATTCACGTAGAAATTGCTTCCCAATATCCTTGGCGGCCAACCACTGCCTCGTTTGACTTGATTCCCTTGCGAAGTAGATCTTCCGGATCAGCTCGAAGATTCCACTATCTTCCATCTCTTTGGCGGCTTCGGGAACGGCCTTTGCCACGTTTCGCAGAGTGAATAAGACAGTGGTCACGACGGACGCGTTGTCCTGATTTTTGCCGTGTTTGAATGTTGTTGATCGACCGCGTACGACTGATCGATGAGGTGAACAACTGATGTATCAAAAGATGAACCAAGTAGTTATACTCCGTGAGTGGGCTCACTTCTGACTGAGATCAGGATGAAACGCTGAAAAGTTTGAGATAGCCAGTACCTGATAGTCTTGCAAGACTAGCAGTCCCATCGCTGCTATACGCATCGGATCAGCGTTCAGCGTTGCACAAATCTGCGGTTTTCTGAGCGTCAGATTACTGAAAAGCCCAAATGCTTGCTCTACTTAGAGCTCACCCCAGTCCATCCTGAAGATCATCCTGAGACATTTTCCCCTTGGAAAAGCCGACTTGAGGATGCTTCACGAGATGGATTAGGCGAAGCCTTAATCTACCACTCCAGTATTCTGGGTATACTTGCGCAACACAAGCATCGCTGTCTTGGTTATGCCTGCGTCGTCGCTCGTAAACAATTCCTTCATGTGATCCGAAAAAGCAAACTGTCGAAGCACGAACAGGCATGCTCGCACGATGGATTCGTGACCGAAGAGGGATTAGAAGCGAAGACAAATATGTTGATTGAGTGATTCTAAGGAATTTATCCTTGCAAGAACTGTTGCGCCTCTAACAAAACTACTACACCTAGCAAAACTACTGCATCTGCCAACACCTTGCTCCTACCACGTCAAGCATGATTGTAGTTTGTACTAATATTGTCCAAACTCATAAGAAAGTGTATCTTTTATCAGCGGTAGCACGTTGTCTTCAAAGACGAACTTGTGGATTCGTTCTTGGTGACACCCGACCTCCTTCATCAGCAAGAGGACACCCTCCAGCCAACACCACTGCTCGCCCGGGAGGTTAGAGGGGAACCAGCTACTGAAGAGTACCTCCGCACAACAAAAATTCAACCGACTTCAATAGAACGTTTTCTGTTTCTTTCGGAAAGTAGAAGTACTACATGAAGATGATAAATATCGAGAATACAAAAGTACCTACAACTACATGAAGACAAATATCGAGAATACATCAAAAACATCAGTTTATTCCTCGCCAGCCTTAATGAACGGCGAGGATGTGTCTGCTGCTTCTGGGCCAGCCTTAGCCGACTCTCCCGCACCAGATTCCTCGTCTCCTTCCGCCTCGCCATCTGCTTATTTCTTAGAGAGGGTAGGTACGTAGGTTTTCCACGAGCAGAAGTGATGTAAGAAGTTTCATCGACTTAAAATGACAACAAACACTTTCCACATGAAGATAGCATAGTCAGCGTGAAGATCATGAAAAAACTAGAACTGTTGGAGTGAGTCAACTTCAAGTATCAACCTTTATCAGCATAAGCATCAGTGTTTAGGCCTTAACTTTATCAGCATCAGAATCGATTTCAGCAGAAGCAGCATTTGCTCCATCGTCTATCCGTTTTTTCAGACTGCGAAAAGACCGCACGATAATCTCACGAATCCTGGGAAACCGCTCACGATCACAAACATGACTTAGATGAATCATGGGAACTATTCGCATTCCTCTTTTTGTCCGCTTCCAAACACATAACAAAGGAACTCTCGTCTTCTCTAGAAATCAAGGTAGATTCTAGAATTATAACCGTGATTCGATCCACTAGACTGACATAAGAAGCAATCTAACTTTTAAGTAATCTGATCTATTGTAGATTGATACTAGCCGTAAGTAATCTCGATTTTCTACTGCTGACGGGACCATCGACTCGCCGCCTCGCGCATCGTCGTCCGTGACTATACTCCTAAGAGCCCAAATTGCTTCCATTTGGACTCTTGAGTCATCTGGAAACCGTTCCAAGACATCTAGAAGCAGATCTACACCCTTACCTGCTTTATCAGTGCTTTTTGCCGGTGATTAGAAGAGGGATATTAAGAATAAGGTTAAGGAAGTATTTACTACTTATTTATATAATTGTGGTGGAGCCGACCTAACTAGAAAAAAGACAGACCAGACTACTTAGTTATCTAATTGTAATTATTCCGTTCTTAATTTGATATGGAGTGGCTGGTTATTCTTGACCTAGTTTTTTCACAACAGAAGAAGAACCTAGACGTAGCACACCACTCCTCGCTGGAGGTGAAATTGCAGGCTATGAGATTTATTCAAAAAGTCCTCACGTAAATTGTTGGCACGCTAGGGTCCAAGCAGTCCGTCTCTGCAAGCTTTTCTGCATTGAATTTCCCTTTAATCTTGGCAGCAAGCTGTATTTGGTTAAGATGCGACTTGTTCATGTTCATGTCGTTTTGTTCCACCGAAAAGCAAATTTAAGAGATCACATTGATGTAGATGTACTCCATTTGCAGCTCGTTGTCGTAGTTGCTTCGTAATTTTTCATACATTTTTATTCCTATGTACAACGATTTACTGGAGTTCGAGTTCTCATCAGCTGCTGTGACAGTACCTTCTTGTTTCCATCGTTTCCAGCACAGAGAGACTTGAGGGCTGAGCAGCCGGCAGCGACACACATCTGCAACATGCGTTCCCTGTCGGTCGTGGAATCTGTTATCTCCTCAAAACACCGCTCCACGAAATGCACGACCTCTTCGACGGCCCCTTCTTCCCGCAGCGCACCTCTGTTCAAATTGCTCTTTGCACACACTCCTTTGAGGGATAAGCAAAAAGCACTCATCATACGACGATAAGTGAGGTCCAAGGAGGAGTCGGGCGTGAATTTCAACTTCTTCCCTTTTGGCTCCTGATAATCGTCCTGCTCACCACCTAATGAAATCGAACAAAAAATGAGGCATCAAAATGAGACGCATAAAAAAGAATGTAAGTGCATCATGTAATGTCGTCAGCTGTACAACTAATGCCATTCATTGTTATCCGCATGTATGAATTCAAAGAATACAATATTAAAGAAGAAAAACTACTAACCTTATTGCTCACAAAGTAGATGTAGGTCATCAAGTAAAACTCAAAGAGTCCTGAGGATACCTTCAGTTTTCGCCTCAGCTGCACCTTCTCCTCCATCTGCATCTACTTCCTGGAGTTTGCGGAAACACTCGGTCTCCTCTGGGGTCCACTCGGCCTCAGGATGATAGAACTGGGGTTCCCTAAGAACCTCGCACATACTCGTAATACCGTCAAAATCGCATAAGGGAACATTAGAGAGGTTGAGGTTGTATGTTGAGAAGTGTCAGTAATTGAAAAGCGAGATCATTTTCCTACTTAGCTAAAGCGTGCGATTCATAATTTTGCATTCAGTGAGTCTCAAATGCTAAATAGGAGAAGCAGTGAACGAACCATCCATAATCTCCCTCTCGCTTTTATCCTTGAACGCTAGTCGTCCGATACTGTGAAAACAGGCTGCAATTCCGAGCAAATCCTTTTCTCGCTTCAAATCCGCAAGAGCATCGAGAAGCGCCATCATGTCCATCCCGTCAAGCTCCAATCCCAACTTGTTAATCTCTGGTGCGCGCAGAAAGGAATCATAGGGCCCTCCGGATGATGCTGTTATAGATGACGGTTCCTTGGCTGCAGTAGCTGAGGAGCTAGAAACTGCCGCGGTCGGCGAAGTGGGGACTATGAGGGTCGGCATTTTCTCTGTCTTCTTCTAATGTCGTGCAACTCTATATAGGGTCACGGATGGTAGTTTACAGTAAACGCAGTAATGCTAGTAGGAAAGTAGGACTATTGTATGTTGTCTAGCTAGAGGCGTTGGCTTCTATGACGGATAATCATAATGCTGTACTTACTTTTTCAAATTTATCCCTTTTTTGAAAATCATTCGCTTTTTCGTCCACCAGAATCAGCATGTCCTTTTAGAAGGATAGTGTTCTTTTTTACCTCTCTACACTCTTGATCAATAGCGCGCCATTTTGCCGCCTCTTTCTACATCTCAATGGAGAGAATTACATCCATGTCATGTCCTGGTGCCTCTTGCATAGCATTTTGTATCTATGTATGAGGCCGTTCAGTGAAGTAGTATCTTCTGAGAAGCAACCTACTTACAAAGAAGACCCACGCAATCAGGCCAACACATTTAGCGCCGAGATGAGCATACCGTTGTTCTCAGTAGATGCTCCTCCAATATTCAACAACATTTTTACCAATCAATTTGTCCCACCTTTTTGGTAAGGGAATCAATATCGTTGTCGGTCCTGTTGAAAGAAACCCATAAATTTGTAGTAGCGTAAAAAAAATTCCATTTGTAGTAGCGTAAACGCGGCCACCCTGAGACACCCTTACATGTAGTTCTTTCAACCAATCATCATTTGTCTACGATCTTTGTTGACCAACACCAACGAACTGCTGAAAAGATATAATGTCACACAGTAATTGAATTCAGAAATAACCGAGCAGGAAATTTGTCGTAGCTTTCTAATTCATTGCTAATTGATTTGCACTTGCGTAGGCGTACTAGTCATGCATATTGCGAATAATCTTCCCTTCACGTTCACCGTTATCAATTTGTAGCTAGGTAGAAAAACAAATAAGTAAAAAAATCCAAGGAAGTGTCTTAACGCCAAGATCATTAATAAACAAAAACATCCACTTCCACGTGATGACCATACAATCAATCTAGGAGATTCTTCAATCTAGGAGATTCTTTTAACTCCGCTAGTTTTGTCCAGGAATAATTGCGTCAGCGAGTCGTTCTTCTGACAAATCGGACGCAACACCTCGACTGCGTTGTAACAGAGTTCCCTCTTCTGCTTCTGCTTCCCGATCTTCGGAACCTGGAAAACAAATTGTAGTTATTTCATATTTGTAGGATGCATGCAAATTCTTGAGTTGATGTTTCTTACTTTATAGACGAGGTGGAGAGAAGAGTCGTGCGTTGATGATGGAGCAGAAGCAGATAAGCTAACGCTAATCCTACGACGAGTACGCCACGTATATCACGAATCACGATCGTACTTACCATCCGGATGATCGGCGTTTCGTCCAGCATAGACAGTAGGTTCTCGATCCCCTTAATCGTCAAACTAGTTTTCCAAACAGCCTCCTGAACCTTGAAGCTCACGCCGCAATTTTTTCCACGCTTGTAAATTTCACCCAAAATCTCTTTAACTTCGTTCGTCGTTAAGGCTCTGTTGATGTTGTTTGGTAAGAAGAAACTAGGTCTTCGATGGTCTTGGATGGATCTACCACTCCATTCAAAAACGAACATCTTAGATTCAAATTTCAAAGTAATCTACATCTATTATAATGACCACTCCATTCAAAAACGAACAAATTCAAATTTCAAAGTAATCTACATCTATTAATGACCACTCCATTCAAAAACTTAAATTCAAATTTCAAAGTAATCTACATCTATTCCTACATTTTTCTTACAAGAGGGATTTTCCGTAGAAGATTTAGACTGTTGTAAATACTTATACCTTTTGCACGCAGTTTCTGTCTTTGTCTTTGTCGTCACCGCTTTCTTGCTTTGACAGAACGGGTTATGCAGTTTTTCCCCTTTGCTAGTGTTCTCCAGCAGAGCGTTTTTTACAGCATTTTGCGACTGTGTCAGCACTTCCTCTTCCATCAAGGTAGTTCGTCTGCTGACTGGACTTCTCATCGCTGTGGAGGGAGACGAAGAAGATGCAAATGTCGTTTGTTCTACTTGAGAAGATGCAGCGCCAGCAGCTGCTGCTGCCGTTGCGTCGAAAGCGTCCATGAGTTTGTCCACGAGTTGTTTTTGTTTCGCCTGAGTGTTCTTCGTTGAGGACCCGCCATACAACTCGACGCTTGTGACGTCTTCAAGGCCAGCATTTGCCCCAGATGATCCAGTTGCTGTGCCTGAACCACTAGAAGCGCCAACATTCTTTTTACCTGCTTTGCGATCTGCCGCGCGTTTTGCTTTGGAACAGTAGTCGGGATTGCGGCTATGCACAGTCACTCCTTCATCATTCACATCGGACACGGTGACGCAGAAGCAGAGTAAAACCATTTGGAGCATAGTCGGAAGTGCTCTTACTCGCGGTGCGATGTCGTCAAGAACTCCGACACTCTGTTTCACGACAGACGTGACAATATCCATCCCCACAACGAAGTCAGTCTTATCCTTCATCAGACTGCTAAAAGAAGTTTTACTAGATGAAGCTGCTCCTCCTTCCTGTATCGGTGCAAGGACGAAGCTTGATGAAGGGTTTTTGCTCTTTATTGTTGAACTACTTGAAGCAGAAGACGAAGAAGATGCGGATGTCGTGCAACAAGTTGAAGCTTCAGACAGAGAGGGCGAGGCCGATCCAGAAGATGACACATGCTTCACATCAGAACGTGATGTTCGTGGAGACGCCATACTAGGAATAGCATCCTTACTATTACTTCGCGCATCTTCTCGTGCTTTCAGCTCCTCAAGTGCCCTAGCACTCAGTTCTAATGCTTTCCTGCAGTCTCCATTGTTGGACTTTGAGGCGCGTTCGGCCAAGAAGTCGAGAGTAGAGGGGCCAAAAATTGCCGCTGGATCTCTGATGATCTGATTTGAAGGCGCTTCTGCGAGAGAGCTGATGCTCGCAATGCTGGCTCGATTGTTCATGCTCGGCTTCGATCCAAGACTCGACCTACTATTGGGTGCAAGCGCTGCCTGTCCGATTCGCCCAAGGATGATCGCTTTCATTTCCTCTGTACTGTAAGGTCGAAACACCAACTCTTCCACGTGGTCAATGCCGTTATGGAGTGTTCGTTGCTGATCCAATAACCCAATCGAATTGGCTATGCCGATCACCGTCAGAGGACCATGTTTCGACAAGCGAAATAGACGCGCAAATGTATCATCAGAGCCACGTTTTCGCTTGCAGAAAAGGTCTATCTCGTCCAAAACAAGGACGAACGGCTCTGAAAGCTCCTCCTTCACAAAACGCTCGATCTTGGCGAGGCTGGAGGGAGAGGAGTTGAAAGATGAACCATTCATTACGAAACCGAATCTATTGGGTACTTAAGAACAATATGATCAGTAGCTACGATTATATATAATTTTTTTGTTAGGAATTCAAAAATATGAAACAATGATGATTCTCTAAAAAAGTACACTCCACTAACGCCAGTCCCACCTCCAGCGGCAGCTTTGTTCGCAGCAACCTTCATCTTCTTCATCTTTTTTCCGGTCGCCTCAATATCTTCATCAAAAACTAAGTCCATAGGACTAGCAGGAGTCGTAGAAGTAGAACCCGAGGAACTACTCTTGGCGTTCTGCAATGCTTCCAGTATCGCCTTACAGACGGCTAACGGAGTGCCAGCAGAGTGTTCAGATGAATTGTTGAGACAATTCAACAGCTTGCTTTCGACTTCGTCTCTGCGGTAAAGGACGTGTGTCGTAGCCAAGGTCTTGCCTACACCAGGGACGCCGCTGATGTACATGGACTTGCCACTTGGCTTCCTACTGTCCCTGGATGAAGAGGAAAAAGATGCAGATGCAGATACCCCCATGCTGTCATCTTCTGCATCCTCAGCCAGATGCATTTGTCCTTTTGGAGAGCTGTCATCTTCTGCATCCTCAGCCAGATGCATTTTTTGTCCTTTTCTTGGAGAGGAAGTTGCTTTTTGCTTTTTACTTGCCGCTGCACTTGTTTTCGTCTTCATCTTCATGCTGGTAGTTGTTGACTTCCCTCGAGTCCCACTCTTCGAAGAAGTTGCGCTTACGGGACTAGTACTGGGAGGAGTACAACTGCTGCTCTTTGCAGACGCTGCATTTGCCTTCGCTACAGCAGATAGCTTCACCGATGTCGTGATGAAATCATCGATGCGCTGCATCTCCTCCTCCCTGCCTACTATTTGGCCGTGGTTATTCAACCTCAATGTCTCCATGCACCGTTTCAGCAGACGTTTTTCTTGGCCCTGAGGTGGATGAGGAAGAGTTATTTGATAGTGATGGTGATCCCCTTCTTTAGCATTCAAGAATTACTTGCTTCTTTGAATCAAGTCAACGCAGCACATTCAAACGTGGCTCAAAATAAAACTTACTGTTGTACTGATTGAGTTAATCTATCTTCGACAGAAAAATATCATCAGTACAAACAACTCCATTTCGGCTGCTTCATTGTCCTTCGCTACTTCTTCTTTTTCTCTCTCCACTTCTGCACTAGCTGCTGCGACTTCACGCATTAGCTCTGCTTCCAAGTCCGCAGAAAATTCGTGCCTCTTTGTCCTCATCGTCTTTTCGTCTGGCTTTTTCACAGGTCGCGAGAACCCGCCACGAGAGGTAGGGAACTTCATCTTTCGGGTGGTTTTTAGGGTGGAGAAGTTTTTCTATATCTCTTTCTTGGTGATACTGATAGTTAGCGCTAGAGGTAAGTTGTAGTTAGGTATATTAGTTTAAGTAATGCTATCTACGTGAACAATAGCCGAGTAGTGATTGTACTAATCAATAAGGAGCGATTTAGCGGTAACGAATAAATAAATAAGGATATGAATTTCCTACACAGTTCTCTTACAACATGAATCCAAATGCTAGTACTCAACGAAGTTCCTTTTCCTTTGCGTTGCAAAATATAGTTCTTGAATATCAATTACGATTTTTACTTACTAGAAGTAGTTCTCATCGATCTGTTACAATTTCTACTTTGACCAGGGACAATAATCTGGTGACAATACTAGCGAAGATATAATAGTTCAGCGTAAAAAATACGGATTTTTATCACGTGGTGTGCATGATATTGAGGGGAATCGGGGATGATATACTTTAGACGTAGTGAATGAAGCTCATAATAAGTGCAGGTGCGTATAGGGGAATGAGATGAATAGAAAAAGATGCGATCGGTGAGAAGATTGTCGAATAGACACTAAGTCAATGATTGATAGATTTGAAAAAAGGATAAACGTAATCAGAAATCAGAAAAATAGCTACGAGTATAAGCACGAGATATAGATAACAGTGATAAATAGTGACGGAGAAGATATTCTACGTGTACGAGATTGGCAGCGGTATTTCCGCTCTCCGCGAGCTTGTGCTAGTTCAAAAAACCCTAAGAGTTTTGGGATAGGAAGTCAGATTGGTCATGCATGATTAAGTCTTCTGAGGCCTCTTTAATCTATCATTCTTGTTCCTTGTTTCGTGCAAACAAACGATCATTGAGCTCGATGTGCTTCTAGAATTAGTCTATCATGACTGTGTGACATTGACAATGGTGTCGCCCATGATAACGTCGTATATTTGTTTCGAGGATTGTTCTGGCAGTAGAAAAGACAAACAGCTGGAGCACTGCAAAAGCGGTGACACGATCCTTCGACATGCGAACAGAGAAGCCGATGCCCTCAGCACTCAGACTCGATTGTTACTTCACTCACGATGGATGAGGATGAAGGCGAAACTATGTATAATAAATACGTAGTCGGGAACTTCTTAGGACCGTACTCAAATTCCTTGACACGAAAGTCCTGCCAAGCCATCCTGGCGAGCAGTCTTCTATCGGAGGCAAAGTACAACAAACTTTTTGTCACATGATTGGGTCTCGGGTTTCGATAAATATCATGTTCGTCCCATCTGTTATGGGACAAGAGGAGGGTAATGGGGTTCCGTGAGCATTCTGAAAGAGGGTCATGGTGTGCGTGCGTACATGCATGGTTATAGGAATGGGGATCATAGGGGTTCGCACTTGATAACCACGTGATGTCGAGGGGAAGAGATAATAAGCTCAAGGGAGACTGCGGGAAGTCATTCATTCATTCACGCCGCCACTAGCGACTTTTATTTTTGGTGCCTGGCCCTGGGTCTACAATTTCCCGCAATAGCTCCACTCAATTACCCCGCGGGAAGCCTGAAGCACAACGGCCAGGCGCTCCAACTACGCAAACGATACTACTGCTACTGCTGCGACTCTAGCAAATATACGGAACTGGAATAATGATGTCACAACCTTTTACCCTGTCACAACCTTTTACCGAGGAGAATTCTCTGCGTCTGACGAGAGCACAATGACGCGGAAAACTGCTTGTTGCTTGATGTATCACCTCTATCACTGATTGGAGACCGAGCTCGAATCCAAATGAAAACAATAGCAAAGGGAATCTCAAGTCACTCTTTTCTACTTCTAGCTGTTGGCTGGATGGCAATCGAGTTACGTTCTTAGCTTTTCTACAACCTCTATCTAAGAATGAGAGTGTCTATCTCCTTCTGAATCTAAGTAACTTAAGAGGAACGAACAACATGGTACTTCTCTGCATACCCAGAATGGGTATCATGATTGCTAATTTCATTTTATGCGGCAAGCTTCATCTCATGATTATCTTGTGTTACTTGAGAATGATTACTTAGTTACTAGACAAGCACAAGCACGCTCATGCGCAATATGCACTATACATTTTCTATGCACACCTAGTAGTAGAAAGTATGAAAATCAACAAAGAAAAACCTGGTGCATAGGCTTAGGCACCAGAAATTCAAGTTGTCCAAATCAGGATCTCTATTAGATCCTGAATTTTCCCTGACCTGGTCGATTGCTGTCCTTCAACAACCTCATCTCCCGCGGACCCGGGTGCAGCGGCACTCCTGCCGCTGGCGGTTCGTAATGTCCAGTGTCTTCTGGAAGATTAGAGGAGTGCGAACATGAGGAGAACTCACCTTTTCTCTATCAACTACTACTAGAGCATGTTGTAGTCTTCTCTTTCGAATCCAGTACGCTGTACCTGTACAACTAGAGATAACTGAACGTCCCCGCCCGTCAACTAGAATCATTAGTTGACCAGGAAGATAATTAGAATCATATTCCCAGTCATAAGAAACAGCGGCGTCGGCGCAATCTTGTTCCAATGATGATGCTTAGGGTGTCCTGGCATCGTCTTCATCCTAGGTGAGTCGATACGCAACTTGTCGATGTTATTCCTTGGACTCGGTCCGTCCCACTGCGGATCCGTAGACATGTAGCTGCTCGACTCTTCTTCTACCTGCTCTTCTATGTCACGTTTACGGAGAGAGTCGTCGTCTGAAGAGTTGCCAGTGAACATATTCGTGAGCATTCCACCCAAGTTGCTGAACATGCCACCCTTCTTCTCGTCACCGAAATCTTTGAAGGCAGACGGGTCGGGGAGACACCTGAAGAGTCATACAAAGTTGAAAGTTGGTGTTTGCATCTTTTTTTAGGACATACACGAAGCAGAAGGAGCACAAGATAAAGTAGATTCTTCAACATTTCTAGTTCTTCGATGTAAAAGAACGATAGGTGTCTGTCCTGACCCCTGACCCTGAGTGCGGATTGATACGCCGCAAGTATACCGAGGATTGAGTCTATAAATTCTTAAAATCATAATTACCTTGGAAGCACGAATTTGTAGAACAGCCATCCAAAGAGCACAGCCACTATCGCTGCGACGCCACAAGCGATCAAAAACTGCCACCAGTTCAATCCTACAAGTTCCCACTCCGGTTCTGGTGGCGGCGGCGGAGGTGGTGGCAATGTTGTTGTAGTCGGTTTCAACAGCACTGCCACAGACGGAAGGCCAGACCCAGTGGTCGTACTCTTGCGTGCCTCCGTGATTGCGTAGCCAGATAGGGAAGTGTCAGCTGCTACAGCAGTTGTTACGTTGGACAGAAGACTATTCAATTTAGCAGCTGTGTCTAGCTGAAAAGACTGTGCACGCTCTGACGCTGCTGCTGCAGACGCAAAACCCTTCACCTGATACTCAAACTCGACTGGCTTGGGGACGTTGTGGGACAAGGTGCGGACTGTCCTAGAGGTCGTAGGTGTTGTAGAAGGAGAACCATGTAGTACTTTCCTTCTTGTCGTTTCTGCAAATGTCTTTCTTCTATCTGCTTCTTTACTTCGTGTGGCCTCTATTCCTGCTCGTATCGGTATCCTCCTCGATACCAGAGGCTCACTAGTTCCCCCAGCAGCTCCTTCAGCTATCTTTGAACCACGATTTTTGCGTCTACTTTCGGGATCCTGCTCTTGTAACAAGCGTCCACTAGGCGCGCTATCTCGATCTTGCTGCTCTAATGACGCATCTGCCCCATAAGACCTCCCAGTACTAGTATCGTCTCCAACTCCACCTAGTCGTGCTAGTTCTTCTCCTACCTCCCTCCTCAAAGGCGCGCCACCACTTCCAGAACTATCATCATCTGGAAGCTCCTGCAACATCCGACGTCGTGAAGTAGACGATACAAACCTCATCGACAAAATCTCTATCAGTGCAGGTATGACGCCCAGAAAAGCACTAAGACCTTGCTTCAAAGGCCCTCCTAGTTCCGCAAGCATCTTGTCCTCTGTCGTTCCTTGAGGAATCGTCATTATCAATTGTGCACTCGCTTTCACTGCGAAACCTTCGGTTTTTTCTGGGTCAATGGCAGCTAGTTCTTCGTTACTTATGCCGAACAGCAGTGACGTCGTCGTGGTGGTTGTTGTGACATCTGGGTCCATGGTCGTCGTCGTAGTGCTCGTGGTCGTTGTCGTGGTTGACGTCGTTGTAGTGTTCACAACCTCTGCTATCGTCGTTGCCGTTGTGGTAGTGGATGTTTCCGTCGTTGTGCTGGTCGTCGTGGTGGTGGTGGTCGTCGTGGTTGTGGTTGTGGTGTTCACAATGATCGTCTCGTTGCTCGTTACATTACTAGTTGTAGCATTCCTGGTTGCATTACTAGCGTTGGTTACATTCACACCAGTTAAATCGATGTCATCTTCATCCAGCAAGGACATAATACCACTTGCATATGACTGAACACAACCGGTGTAATTCGTCCTGTTGCTGCTGTTGTTTTCCGTGACGTTCGACGTGTTGCTACCTGTCGACCGCCCGCTCGAATCATATCCCTCAGGACAGAGAAACAACGTCGTTGTTGTTGTGGTCGTGGTGGTAATGGTCGTCGACGTTGTAGTCGTTGTAGACGTCGTAGTGGTGGTTGTCGTGGTCGTTGTGGTATTGACATTTGATGGAACTCCTGTAGCTGTTGTCATGTTTGATGTATTTGGAGTCGTATTGCTAGCCGCAGAGGATGTTCCATTGACACTACTCGCGTTCGAAGTGTTGCTACTAGACGTTGCACTACTCGTCGACGAGTCACTACTAGACGACGTCGCTATACTACTCGATGCTGCCGGCAGAACCTCCCCCGACGCCGTCACGCGCTTATCGAATTCGCTTTCTACCGGATGCTGACCCCCAGTCACATGCGGTGACCGCTCGTAGTTGCAAACAATGTCGACAGGCTGACACTCGATACTCCCAGCCAAATTTGTGTTCGAAAAGCCCGAGGATGTCATCGTCGACAACAGATTCGAGTTCGCAACCATCTCTGTAGCTGCTGTCGTCCCCGAGTATCCAGGATAAGAACCAAATTGATCTCCCGAAGTAGAAGAAGCTAATCGACATATTCCGAGTTGCGCAAGTGCCCCACGGTAATTGTCGTTGAAACCGGTCTGTTGTGGCTGTAGGATGTCTGGAGAGATGCCGTAGATCGTGTACTCTGTCGCATTGTAGTCGTTGCTGTTGCAAACGGTGTGGTAGCAGACAGGAATCGCCGTCGTAGAGGAAGGGACCGGAAACGTACCGAAGCCGGCTGTTGAGAATGGGATGTTGATAATGCGTGGATAATGTAGTTACGAAGTCTTCATGCAGCTAGATACTTACAGAGGCCAACTCAATTCTCAGGATTCCAAAGACCGCTTTCGCTACTCTAATTCAAGCACATCTCCTATTAGACCTTGGTTGCGGTATTTAATGCAAGTAGAAGCAAGAAAATTCAAGCACATCTCCTATTAGACCTTGCAGTATTTAATGCAAGTAGAAGCAAGAAAGTTCAGTTCCAAAGATTTATTTTACAGTACAGATATGAACCGCCGCTCTCAGTGAGCTCATGAAGGAGTAGCTCGAATTTCCAGGAAGCTGGTGGTAATAGTTCAAGTAGTAGCTCGTCCCTGACACGCTGCCCGTGGTCGTGAAGTAGAACTTGCTCAGATCCTGACAAAAGCTCCCAGTAATCGTCGTACTCCGGAAAGGACAATAGTCTAACAAACTTGTGTCACCTCCTTGCGCTGTGTTACTTGGAAAATATTGAAACTTCGCTGGCAAAGCACTTCCGTAGACCGACAGGGCACATCGAAGGGTGGAAAGGGCACGAGCGGAAGGTCGGTCTTCATTCGCAGTGTTGCAAAACTCCGGAAAATTCTGTTTGTTTTGTGAGAGTGAGTTTGTTGCTGGTCGTGTGCAGTCATTCTTGGCAAACAAAAGACAAAACAACTTAATCTTCTTCTCCTCAGCTGTTAGAGAGAAATTCAAACCTGCAGGAAGAGAAACATGCTAAGGATCCAGACGAGAAGAACGAGCCAAAAAAACCTTATCCTAGTACCGCCACACCATTATCAGCGCAACGTCCAGTGATGAATGAGCACCCTCTTTGATATCCCCAATGCAAATTCGGTATAAACTTAGTCGCACGGCTGTAGTCAGCCTTATACCACCCGCTATCTTCGGCTAGTGCTAGTGTCATCGGAGCGATCCAGGTGTAATCACACCCTAAACCTCCAGAAGCCACCATCAATTCGCAATGTAGCATCCTCTGTTCCCAGTGGCTCGCTATAGGACTGCAGCTACCCGTGTCACTGTTTTCTAAAGGCATGCCGGCGGGAGTTAGAAGCGGTTTTGGTTGTTCGAGTTCCTTGTCTAGCTCTCTCTCATACAATTGAATTCTCAGGACTAGACAGCAGATTGACAGAACAAAGAAAATCGGAAAACTATCCAGTCATAACAAACTCGAACAGTTGAAAAACTGCCTCGCCGTTTCCCTCGTATTCGGCGTCACAAAGTCGAATAAACACTTCGGATCTGTTTGATACGTAGTCAAGCATGTCGACCAGTCATTCACCGCATATGAACTTGGATTCGTCTTCACCGCATTCGAGGTTGGGCACGTGCATTCGGCTGTCGTGTGTCCGCCATGACCTGACAATTGCAAAGAGCCGTCATCAGAATCAAAGAGGTCGTGGGTCCAAATGCTACCGCCGCTGTTGTCGTTCCAAGTTACTCCGCTAGAAGAGCAGCTGTATCTCGTAGTTGTGACACTGTCGATCGCAAGATTAGAGCTCACGACCACCATCCATCTTTTATCTCATGATCCCCTTTATTTTTGTTTCTCCTTGCAAGCGCGATGCCTTCCCTTGTTTCTACTTGCAAACTCTTCGAAAATGAAGGTGGGCTGAAAAAATGGAACAAAGCTTTCAAGCCTTAACAGAAGCAGCACTAATTCTCAAATTGCCCTGATCGTTGCGGTAATACGCGTAAAAGGAGCTACTGAAGTACATGGCGTGAATGACCTCATGTACAGAGGTTGAGACCACTTCGTCCATGGCTTGCTGCGTCACAACTTGCGTATAACCTCCGTTGTCCTGGTTACTCGAAGTCTGCGTGCAAAAGGTGACCTATGTAGTTTGTTTAATAATTGGTGAAAAGTTGCTAGCTCTGCTTAGGTTTACTTACACGTAAAGTTTTTCGCTTCTATAATACTCCGCACAAAGTAAGTACACAGTCTAGCTATGCTGCGCCAGCTCTTGAGATAAACTTATCGTACCGTCCCAAACATGGGTCTCCCACACTGGTCTTTGACACATGGTCCCGCATAAGCTTGCGTCCCACTCGACGCCGAACAGCCGCTCCCTTGCAGGTCAATGTACACATAGAATTAGAGCTCAATAAAACGTTTCATTTCTTGCCTGCATTTTTTCAGAATCCCAAGAAGGAAACTGCAAGAAATAACTTGTAGAAATGAATTGTTTTGAGCCTTAATAGAAATCCACATCCTCTACAAAGGCGCCAGTGGTTTGTCCCTCATCAAACGTTGCTACACTGGTCAAACAGCTCTGCCGATAGACGTCAGGATAAATCTTATCCCTGGTTGTGAAGCGACGCGTCTGGAACGTAGTCTGTAAGAACGAGAAAGTCTTGTTCAGAACCTCAGGCTCTAAGCGGTTGATAAAGTCGCGCACTCGAGTATCGTAAGCACTAGTGTTGAAGCTCGAAACTTTTGTAGCTGTTCCACCAGATATCGTCACATATTCGTACCTGAGGGTTGAGAGTTGTGATGAAAGTGTTGAAAAAGCACATTCATTCGAACCTTTATAAGTTTAATATTTGCTACTTAGCATCCACCTGGCTACTCAATCATAGGAATTAGGAGAGTAATGTCAGACATAGAAAGTACTCGTGGTGATGAATCGTCCCTACTAGTACCCTATCCTCATCTGTCCCCATCCTGCACTATGCTCTTCATAAAGGTGAGCACAGGTACTGTTGTCGCTTTCTGTGAGCGCTCGTCCGTGCCCGACCCCATGATGACTAGGATCCTCTTCCTCGCCATGGAAATAAGTCGGCAAAGCCTCAAAGTTGAAGATAGGAGCGGGTGACGCCTCTACCAGCAATCTTGACGGAAAAGGAAACAAATCGAGATGCTGGGCCACAAGTAGGAACAGAAATATTGGTTGCAATGAAGCCGCGATTGCTGGCAGTATTAGGGGCAATCTTGATGAGCCTGGAGAGCCTGCTGCTGCCGACCTAGAGGTCTTTCTTCTGGGAGGTGGTATTGTTCCTCGTATTCCGATTCGATGGCAAGAAGATCTTCTTCTTCCCCCAGACAACAATGACGAACTGCTCTCCACCACATCACCATTTGACCCACATCTTCGCGCCAGAGTAACTAGCTCAACAGATGGGTGTCGGAGGAGTTGCGATCGTGGTTGCCCTGGTGGTGGTCCTCGATCGACGTCGAAGTAAGCATCTTCCTCAGTCCAAATCATCTTCCACTTCTTCATACAACATGAAATGAAGCCCTAATATTTTCAGGATGAAAATGTTGAGGAAAACAAAGAAAAACGAATCAACAAATTACATACATAGATCAAGGTTCTGAAAGCGGGTGAAACTTGTCTGCAGAAGCTAGGTAGACTAGAAGATGGGTGGCTCTACTTCGTCTAGCTTGCGCTTGGGGTATTAGTACGTGGGAGAGACTCGTCAACTGAACCGAATCTATCGCTCTCTTCTTTCACAACCGATCCTATGGGCACACCCGACAGTCGAAGAACCGATTGTTTGTAGCTGGTAGGCTGATACCGATCGCAAAGACAGATGATGTCGACACCAGAGTATCGTAACTTGCATCCAGCTTATGATGCCGGAAGCACGATAACTACCGATTTTTATGTACCTTGTCGCTGAACCGACCTCCACCTCGTTCATGCACCATTACACCGAGCTCCTGGGCGATAGATCAAGCTAACACAGTAAGTGACCAAATTCCAAAAGGAACTCAGGAGTGGATGAAGTAGACATGTTCATAGATGATGGATCATACAAATTCAAACGCGTATATAGGTTCGGTTGGGATCTACCATCCAACGTGGCAGACTTCGACGGCTGCTGAAGAGCCTGGCAAAGATAGTAGAGAAAGATGTCGACATCGTCATCAACTCCAACTGCATCACCCAGAGTCTTCTATTCAACCTGTTAGGTTAGGCCAAGTGTGGGCCCACTAGGAAAACTAGCGGACGTAATTGGCCACTGAAGAGCCCACAAACAAGACTACGGCCTAGAGCTGGTAGCGCTACGCTATGTTCTAGTTTGTAAGCTACACTAGACCGGTCACTGCCTCTGACGGACAGTGTACTTCCTTTTTCACCTAGTTCCTGCCTTATTCATTGTTTCATTCGACGTGAGTCAATTACTCATCTTATCCTCGTTACCGTACAAAGTCCGTTATTCGAAGTGATCCTGTACATCTACCACTACAATACCTGTTGTTCGCTGATCAACAAATTTGATACATGGAGGAACATGTTTCAAGTAGAAGACTGCTTTAATTTCATCTCCAAGACTAAGATGCGCGGGGTATACAGGCGCGGGGATAAGCAGACTTTATTCTGGGGGTCATCTTCTTATTGATGCATGATCCGCATATGAAAGTAAGGTGCTTATGATGTAATCATGATTGCTCGAAATAATGCGATAAATTGTTGTAAGGATGTAAGGAAGGTTTGCAACGTAATCGAGATAAGAAAACTTCTACTTCGACATATGACATAAGTAAACTCATAATGATAATCTTGGATTGGAGCACTGATACGTCGGAGCACTGATATTACGTCGTCCTTGGTCTTAAATCGAATTACTACTACCATGAGATTGGTTCGTTCACGTAGATGGATGTTAAACGTTAAATGAAATCACAACTGCACGTCTTGTAACCATTTGGATTATTTCTTTTTTTCAATTTGGATCTCAATTTGTTTCGATTTGTCAAATGAAATGATAACTATACTAGCACTAGCGATGCACGAGAATGAAGAAATATAACGAAGAACTACTACTTCCGACTATTGTTCTATCCAGCTCTCTTTGTTTTTCAGACTTTTAGGATAACTACAAGCGATACGGATACGTTGAGGATCAGCGTTTTTACTTACGAAATTGCAAAACTACTGGTGTAATTGAAAATGAAATACGTCAGAACTACTAACTCGTCTATTTGAAATTGAACTCACTACAACCATCTTTTGTTAATTCTTAGTTCGGTTTTACTTTGTTAATTCTTGTGTCTAGGCAAAATAGTTGAGCTCTACTACTAACTAACGAAACTACAGATAATGGTAATAGTATAAGACCCGTTGTCTTGTCTGTGTAAGTGTAAGCAAGATAAGTCAAAGCAATAAACACAAATGTCGATACTTCTCTAATCTAAATCTATCCTATGACATACTAGAAGCTAATACTGTTGAATAGCTACTCAAACTCAAATTCTAGTCATTCAAGCCAGGACAACGAAGTACCTGATCAACAACATATGCACGCTCTACTACTAACGACATATTCGTTGCATACATAACATGTCTACCGTCTCAATCAGGTGCAGCAAGGTGTCGCAACAACACTGGTCCAAGCGCATTTGGTGTTGTTTCGTGTATCCTTTTGAGTATGTTCTCAAGCGTCTTCGGCATCGAGGGCGCAAAGTTTGCTATCAAGAAGCACCGCAGTCCACCTCGAGTACTAGCATGTAGTTGGGGTTAGAGTTTGATAGTAGTAGTAGTAGTAGGTAGAAAGTATGCACTGACTAATAGTGATGGACCAATTAATGTTGAACTGTAGTCCTCGAAGTAAAAACATTATTGAACTGTAGGAAGGTAGTAGTAGCAAAAAAGATACACATGTCAGAAAACGCCAAGCCATAAAAAGGAAGAAGCGTCGTGCATCCCTGCTCCAGAAACGCTCTGTCTCTTCGACTTAGTGCAGTATAAGCTGAACTCAAGGAGCCTGCTGCAAGTTTTCTAGCTACATCTTCCTCTCCTGACGCAACCACGACTGATGATGTCGTTGAAGAAGCGCTTGCTCGACTCGCTCCAGTACTAGGAAGAACAGTTGCTGCTCCGTTGAAAGCACCTGAAACCATCTCACGTTGCTCAGCATCCTGTTGTTCGTTGGCGTCTTTGCTAATGCTACTAGGAGGTCTAACATTGGCAGATGCTTCTGGCGTTGAAGTACTCTCTGCTATCTTCCCGTTCCCCTGATCCGGAAGACTACTTGGTTGTGGTTCTCCAGCTGGAGTATCCGAGGACAAGTGGTTTGTAGTTGTAGCCTCCTGCCCATCCTGTCTTGATACCAGGTCGCTGCTAGTGGGGTTATTTGTTCCTTCCATTCTTACCTCCGGATGTTCAGAAGAGGCCAGAAACGCTAACAAGCTCTCCGCATGCCTTTCCAGCTCAGCTTCCTCCGCTATCTTCGCAAAATCCTCCCTTGATAACCGCTTCCCTGGTGACAGAGGTGCAGCAGGTGGCCCCTGCCGTTCTTGACTGGCTTTCTCTAAGGCTCTGTGCACTGCGCGTAGAGGCGATGCTATACTGGGTGGAGCACCGGCTTCCGAAGCAGGCATTCCCATGACTTGTCGAAGATCTCTCTCAACAATTGAAGCAGCGTGTAATATAGCAGGTGGACAACTACGACGGCCTATTTTTGTTAGTGCTCTTGCATCAGGTAGTTGTGCCGAATCTACTTCAGTAGAAGAAGAACTGCCTTGCTCCGCCCGGTCATCTACAGGACCTCCTCCTGAACTACCACCACCTACTCCGGGAACCACTTGCTCTATGTCACCACTGTGTACTATCCCTCCGCCTTTCAACGACGTTCGGCCACGAGGAGAAGTGTTGAAATTATCCACAAGTTGCACTAATCGCATCATGGAAGACGTTTCTTTATGCTTGTTGATTACTCGTTCCTTCAGTTCTTTGGTTCCACCCAAAGACGTCCCAGGAGAGTGCGTTGGACGCATTTTTTCCCGCTTCTTCAGAGCGTCGACGAATGTTGGCAGCTCACTCGATAACACCTCACGTACCTCACTCGCATCAAAAGCTGTCTCGGCCGCAAACGACAAAAAGCATGTATGAAGATTGACTCGGGATAAGCCTAGCAAACTCCTTTCGGTCGCGAAACTGACACCACTTCTAGTAATGGTACTACCCGGCGCACTAAGTCGTGATGGATTTGTTGAACTACCCATACTTCCTGTGGAAAAGCGCCGTTCTTGGACAGGTGAAGCAGTGCTACTTGAGGTTGCTGAAGAACCAGCGACAACACCTTGGGAGGTTGTTCCAGCAGTCCTACTTGTGTCAATCTCAGCCAAGACTTCCCTTGCCTTTGACTGCAGCATCAAGGCCAAGAGTCCAGCACTCGTCTTCGATGATTGCGCTTGTTGCTGCTGTCCCTTGATGGGTGCAGCGCCTGCTTCGACTACTACATCCTGTTTCCCGTCAGCTGGCGTAGTAGATTTCACGAGCTCGTGTTGTGTCTTATCACCGACCTCCTTACTAGAAGATGTTGTATCTTCCTTGTCTATTGGACGATCAGCATCAACCCCAGCCGCTACAACTGAAACTTCAGGAACTTGAGTTTGGACACCATCAACATTTTGCGCTATTCTCTTCGCAGCAAGGCAATTCCGCAGGTGTTGCAAAGACCGTACCTCCAAAAAGCCGGGTTCTCTAGTCAAAATGCCTATCCTTTGTCGATCGCTCAAAAACACTCCCTCACCGCGGACGCTCTCTTCAGCTAGCCTCTGCGCTTCCGCAGCCGAGCATCCGCCAGCCCGTTCCAAAAAACGTTCTAGTTCTTGCCGTTCCAAACGATTCAGCTTGCTGCTACCCACACTCTTCCTCATGCTCGAAGCAGAAGGACTCCTCATCGACCCGATTGATGTTCTTTCACGACCTGGAGATACGCCTCGTTGTACTTGTTCTTCTCCAGTGGTCGTTAGGCTAGTTGTAGAGGTCCTCCCTAATGTCGAAGTTGTAGAAGATGCAGCAAATCCTATTTGCTGAGACCCAATTATACTGGAAGGACTGGGAGGACTAGCACCTGTTGTTGTTCTCCGTTTCGGCAAGGCTCCACTAGCACAACTACGACCTCCCTTACTAGTATAGATGCTTCTTCTACGACTACTCAACACCGTGGAGGCTGCTCCTTCTGGCCGTCTTATCGCCGTGCGGAAGCTAACTCGACCACTCGCAGAAGATGCACGAGTCTTCGTGCCTGCTTTTGTACTAAACGCTACTGTGCTCCTACCTAGGCTTTGCCCTCCTCCAGAGTCACCCCCCGACGCACCTGGTCCTTCCCTATTGTCGCTCTCAGAAGAGGTCGAGTCCCGTAATGCGTTTTTGTCGAAGGAAACCTTGCTAGCCCTACTAGCAGCAGAGGGGCTTGTGTTCATTTCTACGGCTCTAGGAGTGGGAGTTTCATTTGCAGATGAAGATTCGCTATTCTTTATCACTTCTTCTCTAATTGAAGTTGACGTGGATTCCAAGGTCGTGGTGGAAGTCCTTGGGTTTTGCTCCACCGCAGACGCTCTCGTCGCTGTCGAGCCTGTGGTGTCACCCGCAACTAACTGCTCGCATTGCAATCGTGCTTCTCGGGCTTGTTCTGCCTCTGGGCGGAACCTAAATAGCACAGATTTTCGCGTCATAGGATTTTCTTCGCTCGACAAACGCTGAAGAATTCCTTTAGAACTTTCTTCTGTAATAAAGGATTTCTGTTCCTCCAGTACTTCTATCTCGTCTGGACCGCGTGATAGGCGTTGAAGGATGCTCATATGGTGTTCTTCAGTGAAAGATCTTCTTCTTCTTCCTTCTGCTTTCTTTTCTTTTTCGCTTCCTTCATCATGATCATCATCCGTTCCGGAATCTTCTGAGCCGTCTTCTTCTCGAGACTGAGAGCCAGATGAACCTTCTACATCTACTGCTTCCCCTTCACCTCTAGATCTAGTACTAGCGTCACCTGCACTAGCTTTTGCCCCCTTTGACTTCGTGGACGACATCTTCGATGAGAAACTCGGTCCTGGAAGAATCTGGAAATTGGACCTCTTCGGCTCTGACCAATCGCGACTGTCCATGAAATCATCGGAAACACTGCGACTTGGCACTGATTGCGCTCTCCCCTCCGACTTCATTGACGCCTTCATTCTCATGAACCCACTCACTTTCGGTTTTTCGGGTTTTGCACAACAAGGAAACCACGCGCTAAAACAACTCGCGTCGCTCGCATCCGCATGCGAGGAAGAAGCAACTCCAAACCCGCTTGTCGTTGTTGTGTTTGTTGTCTTAGAGGTAGAGGAATGGAGGTTATACAATACAATACAGTACAATTGATGGTCTTTCAAAAAAAAATCGCTATAGTCGTTCATCTCTTTTTACGCAAATATGCAGCCGCAACACCAGTACATATAGAAGTAGTAGGTGTGTGCGCATATGCATAAATGCAATTAAAATCTTAATTTTCTAAGATGAATTACACCTACACTATACACCAGCAGTAGCAAAGCCATAATTCTAGTAGTGCTAAGGTTCCTCCTCGGAGTCGATATTTCTTTCTGCTTGAGCGATGAGCTCGAGCTGTAAGATACCTTCTTGGATGAAGAACTTCCGGAATTCTCCCTTTCCTTCGTGGCCGCGGATTGCTTGTCTGTAGACGCCTGTTTCTCTCGAATCTGCGTTAGAGGAAGAAGAAGAGCAGGATCGTCCAGAGTATTAATCTTTACATAGTAGACGAGGCGGAGAAGAGTTCAACGTATTACTTACGCAACTGCTCACTCTCATGAATATTGCTGAATTTCTACAGCAAAACACTACTACTCCGCAGACATGGTAATTACAAAAAGATGTAGGTAGAGAAGAAATAAAGTACGCGTATGAGTTTCCCATTTCTTGTAAAGAAAAGCAACAACTTCTTTCAAGCTCCTTAGCCATAAAAGGTTCAGGATGGACACGTGGGTATCCGCTTCAACAGCAGAGGCGTCTTCAAAGCCATCAGAGACTCTGCTTGCGCGGTCCAACCCACTTGGTAATTGCATCACTTCTGTAGCTGCTGCGCGGTCACGAATACGTATGCTCACTCGAGGCGGGTCAGCAGTGTAATGAGCAGTATAATGTTCATCTTCAGAGTCAGTTGTTCTAGTTCTTTTCGTTTGTTCTATAAAGTCTGTTTCATGCAGTTCATCTTCGTCATGCTGGTCAGCCGAACGGATCACAAGTTTCTTGTTCGATGTTTTCGCACGTTCATCCTTAAAGCTCAGCATTCAATGGTCATCATGACGCGGAACGGAAGAGACTCCCTGCAAAGCTCTCCCCTTTCCTTTCCTTTTCCCCTGTTCTCTAAAGGGGTCGCTTCTTCGATCTCAGTGACCCCAATCTCAATGGTGACCATTGAAAGCTGAGCCTTAACATCATCTGCAGCTTCGCGATCCCCTTCTCGACTGCTTTCCAAAAAACTAGAGTCCTCAGCTTCATCAGATTCGTCCGCTGCATCTGTTAGAGTTCAAAACAATTCACTTCCGAAGCCATTTTTTTGTATCGCGACCGAGTTCCGTGAAGAACCTGCAATCCTAACAAGTAGAAATGTATTGTTCTTGTTCGATGTGGTGTGTTAAGCAGTGGTTTGAATTTTCAACATCATTTTTCCGATCATTATTTTGATGAACCTTAAATCTTCTGATTCGCCTTCATGATGCGGATGCTTTGCTCCCTCTCCCTCGGGTGCAGGAGTCGCAGCTTTTGCCTTCGCTCTGGCTGGAGCCTTTCGACTAATAGATTGAAACATCATTCCTTTTCCTGCACTGACCGTCTCCACCTCTGCTGGCACGTAGTTTTAGAGGCCTTGTTCACCCTTAATATTCATCTTGAAGAGAGACCATCCTGAGAGGACCTTTTTCCCTTTGAAAACATCTCTGGTTCTGGAGATGCTTCTCGTTCTGGAGATGGACTGCTTAGTGAAACAAGCCGTAATAGTTCCACAAGGTCGACGTCTGAAGTTTCTGATTCTCTTCCATCACGAACTTCTGCACAAGCTCTGCAACGTCGTCATTTTCGAGCACTAACTGTTCCAAAGCAGCGAGGTTGGCAGCGACTTCCTGATTTGCTTTTTTAGAGTGAGGAGGTCACGATCGAAATCCAACTAACAAACTTACTCGGGGGAATTGATTCATCTTATTGGAGCTGTTCTTGCTGTCCTTGTCTCCTTATACATTATAGGTGAACAGCTCCTACAACTACAAGATGCTTCTGGAGACGGCCTTGCTTCAGGAGGTGGCGACGTGGATTCGCTTATATATTAAGTAAGCCTTAACCTTCGCCTTTTTCGCTCGTTTCTTCCCGGCTTGGAACATTCCAGCGCCCGTCGCAGCCTGTTCTGTTGTCTCATCCAGATCCGCTCGTGAGTCGAAAGTATCATCTAGACCCAAGTCTTGTTCCTTCATGCCCTTCTTCACTGTTTTACATTAGAGGAAGAACTTCTTCTGCTTATCCACATCATCCATGGAAAATGAAACTTCTCTTGCTTGAGTAACCACATGCAGATCCACATTCAACATCCTGTTCCTGACCAAGCCAGCGCACCTTCTTTGACCTTCTTTACCCCTTGAAAGGACGTAGCAAGGAAGCCTGTCAAAGTCAAAGATGCCTGCCAAAGAAACCGGAGAGAAAGTTAAACTAACATGAATTTACGGTGAAATAAGCCTTAATTGTCTTTCTTCAAGAACTGTTGGAAGGATGCGGCGACTTCCGGTGACTCGAAAACCATCTGTTGTAGCAACTCCAAATCCTGCTGCAAAAATTTTTCCGCATTCCCAGGACTTGTTTTTTTCTCTTTTCGTAGAAAGCCTTCTGTTGCGAGCACCAGCTCCGGATCGCCACTACATTTTACTGCCAGTGTCTCCAGATCCTTGAGGAGATCCTCTTTCTTATCAGACTTACCACCCGCATTTTGCTTCTGCAAAAACTGTTGCACATTTTTCGCGAATTCAGTGTCCTTCTCGAAATTTTCAGAAAAGTCCACCGTCATCTTCTGAATGTCCGCTACTACCGCCTCTTTTCGTTCTTTTGCTGCTTTTTTCGCTTTCTTCATCGGCGAAGCCTTCTCTTTTTTCGTTGCTTTTTCGGTTTGACCGAATTCAGGTGCGACCACGCGAGCCATGAGGGAGAGTTAGACCTCGCAAAAATCCATCTTGCATCTTGCTGAGCATCGTGCGTCCTGTTTTCTCTTTAAACCGGAAAGAAGATACTGGGGAAGATGGATTTTCTCAAGCCTTAAGAGAAGTCTTTGTCTTTGTTGGGACCTATGGCTCGCAATTTCTCCCTCCTAAGAAACGTTTCGACTGTTGTACTCGTTTCAACGCTATTGTCCAAATCTATTTGAAACATGTCTTTCAAAAGCTGCAAGTCTGGTCCACCCAAGTCCTCCTTTTTGATACGTTCTAATTTCAACACCTTCCCAAAGCCACCACCCCCTGCACCAGCAGTCTCGGTTCCACCAAAGCCGTCAAAACCGTCTGCTTCAGCATTAAGGCCAGGCCCGTCACCACCACCTTTTTTGCCTCCTGCGGTTCCACCTTTTTGCATGCCGCCACTAGAATTAGAGGCAAGAAAGTCTCCAAGTCGAAGAAATTGAGTGCATTTTCATTATCAGAATCAACTACATCCAAAAGGACAACAAGTATCCAGTATTTCGAATCACAATCATCAAAGAGACGCCTTAACAGTTGTTGCTTTTTCAGCGCCTCCAAAATCTACCTCTAGATCGGCGCCAAAAATATCTCCAGTCAGGTAAAGATTCTGAGCCATTTTTGGTGCCATTTGTTTCGAGAAACCGGCTCTCATTAGAGCAGGTACGTGCATGGTTTATGGTTTTTTATCAATTTCAACGTCATGTGGTGGAGTCGAGTAAAGGACTGACTAACTCACTGACTGACCGACTGACTAAGACCTTTTCAAGGCTGCAGAAATCAGATACAGAAATGACTGGGATGCGTGAGATAAGTGCCGAGAGCTTACAAGCAGAAGCACGATCTTCTACTACATCTAACGTTCTGCTTCTACAGAATAACATCTAATATTCTATAAATATCTACTACATCGACTACATAGAAATACATCTACTACATCTAATATTCTATAAGCATACTCCCTAACTTCAGAAGCATCGCTTCGGCTTCTCCCAGGGTCCAAATACAACCCGGCGAATCTGTATATAGGTTTTCCGTTAAAAACTTCTGTTTGTTCTGTTTCACATGTGCCCTCTTCCGCTCCCACCCTCTCATGAGACTCGCGTCTTGTCCCGCGCCAAACCCAAACTGTTCTAGAATCTTCAAATCCGCTTCATTCTTAGGCGTCGGAGTAATTTAGAAGAGGTTGTGAAAATTCATCTTGTTTCATTATTTACATCTTAGGCGTCGGAGTAATTTAGAAGAGGTTGTGAGAATTCATCTTGTTTCATTATTTACATCTTAGGCGTCGGAGTAATTTAGAAGCACAACCGTTGTGAGAATTCATCTACTTGTTTCATTAACATCTACAGGTCGCTTTGGTCTCTCATTTTATTTGACGTTTGGGTGTACTTGTAGTTCCCTGTTACGAAAGTAAACTACTGGTCAAAGATTTTTAAGTAGATCTAGATGCTTCCCAGTTGTACAACCAAGATGCATAATTATTATTTGAATCAAGGCAAGTCATAAATAGCATCCTTCTGATTGTTGCTAGTCCCGCCACCTCCTCGCAGTCCGAAGCCTTGGGCGATAGCTGCAGTACCGTCTGCGCCACCGAAATTCGGTTGCCCATCTGTGCCAAGTGCGGCACCTCTTGGACCACCTGCCACCCTTAGAGCTAGCTTTGTTTTCACTCGGATCTCGAGTGAGTGCCTTTCTTTCACCTTGAAGATTTCCACTTCAGGTCCTCAAGGGGGCTCCCACCCAGCATCATGCCATAATCTCACACTGGCTACTACATAGTTAGTGAACAACAACAACAACGATTCATAACACTCCGTCGAAAGCCGGCTGTCCGTCAAGACCTACGGTTCCTTTTCCATATGCTATCCAATTCGGGGTAAAACCTGCACCAAAAACGAGCTGCTCCGCTAATGTCGTCGCATACTCCTCAGTAAAACCAGCGTCCTTCAGGTTAGCTTGAACTCTGTTAGCGTTTTTCCGTTTCCTGGCCACTCTAGTGATTTGTTGATCCAATACCGCGCGAAACTGTTCGATATCTTGGTCGCTGGGCGTCTGAAACCGATCCGCCATTGGCATTCCACACGTTTTCATAGCCTTACGATCGTCCCCAGTAGTGGGTGGTGGCACGGTCGCCTCTTCTTAGAGATTGATCCGCAAACAAAAGAAGTAAGTAGCTTTTTTTGATCATGAAGACCACAATCATCAAAAAATTGTGAAGTTTGATGAAGAGATGTTCAATAAACTTGAAGGATTGAAGAGAGTAAAGTGAAGAGATATTGAACCTTCGCAACCTTACAAACGAAACAAGAATAGCAGGTAGGAGTAGGCGAAAAATTTTTCAGAAGAAAGTCTCTGCGTCAACTCTCTATGAAACCGGATTCGCTCTCAAGTCCGGAGGAAAAGGAGAAGATATATTACAACATTGCTACCCGCGGTTGTGTTGTGAAGATGAAGAACAATAACATCCGATATGATCTTCTTCTACATCTTCTGGAGAACTGATTATATATATGATCTTCTTCTACATCTAGAGTCATAATTTCTGAACAAGGCATCTGCAACTTTTCCAGCATATTCGTTGGTCAGTCCAAACGCGTCTCTCAGGTTGTCTTGAAACTCGTTCTTTGACAGTTCTGGGCCGCCGTCTGCCGCACCCCCTCGCCCACCAGCGCGACCGCCGGGTCTGAAGCCGCCCCCTGGTCCACCATTGTTGAACCCGAGAGTGGGGTTGTTACCTCCGAAGTTGTCACCGCCCCCAGGCGTGGTTCCGCCAGCAAAGTTACTATCATCGCCGGCGCCCGCGCGCCCACCACCTGCGCGACCGCCGGGCGAGAAGCCACCGCCTGGTCCGCCATTATTAAATCCCATCGCGGGGTTATCGCCTCCAGAGAAGTTACCATCGCCTCCAGGGTTGGTTCCGCCAGCAAAGTTACTATCATCGCCGGCGCCCGCGCGCCCACCACCTGCGCGACCGCCGGGCGAGAAGCCACCGCCTGGTCCGCCATTATTAAATCCCATCGCGGGGTTATCGCCTCCAGAGAAGTTACCATCGCCTCCAGGGTTGGTTCCGCCAGCAAAGTTACTATCATCGCCGGCGCCCGCGCGCCCACCACCTGCGCGACCGCCGGGCGAGAAGCCACCGCCTGGTCCGCCATTATTAAATCCCATCGCGGGGTTATCGCCTCCAGAGAAGTTACCACCGCCTCCAGGGTTGGTTCCGCCAGCAAAGTTACTATCATCGCCACCCGCGCGTGTACCACCAGCGCGACCGCTGGGCGAGAAGCCACCGCCTGGTCCGCCATTATTGACCCCCATGGTGGGGTTGTTCCCTAGTAAGTTGTCACCACCTCCAGGGTTGGTTCCACCAGCAAAGTTACTATCATCGCCATCCGCGCGGCCACCACCAGCGCGACCGCCGGGCGAAAAGCCACCGCCTGGTCCGCCGTTCCCTACATTCTCCGTCGCATTGAAGCCTTCACGGTTCGCTCCAGGTCCCCTAGCGCCGGCTCCTATCCCACCAGAAAAATTTGTCCCGTCTCCGGCGTTCCCACCTCTTCCGCCGGCGTTCCCACCAGGTCCAAATCCAATTCCACCCATTTCCTTAGAGGACATGTATCAAAATATAATTTTCTCAGTCTCCTTGGTGATGTAAGTAGGTAGCTAGTCTTATCAATAAGAAAGCCGAGTACTATGCTAGGGAATAACCTCCTCAGAATCAGATACTCGGTTATTGTGTTACTTACTCGCTGATTTTGAGTGTTCGAGTAAATGTCATCTTTGGATTGGATTGGAGTATCAGTATGTACAAGTAGACTTTAAGGAAACATCAAATACGCCTTAATATGTGCGTTCTGTGGATCTCGATCCGTGTCTTCCCAAAAGTCGTCATCATTCAGTGCTCCTAACACTGCTGGCGCCTGCATCCACGCTTTGATGATGGCGCGCGCATTCCCGACATTATCCTCCCTTTCGTCGAGGCCTGCTCGTCGTGCAGCAGCCTGGTCTGCAGGATTGTCTGCGGGGAGGATTAGCGCTACTCTTTCCCACCTATCCTCTCACAGTTACGATGAAATGCCCTGCGAGTTTCCCCCTATCTCACACGACTGGAGAATTACGCACTTCTACATATTTATTGGTCAAATATGTCCGCGAACTTGTAACTGTTTCTTTCCACTTAGTTTCCCTCCCCTTTCAGGGGTCCAAAGTTTCCTTCCCCTTTACGAATAATCACAGAATGGGACCGACCCCGCGTCTACAATTAATCAAGAGGGACAGCCTCCACTCAGCATAGTAGTCTATATCTATCACTAGTAAAAATAAGCCTTAAGAGGAGTTTCGCTTTATCTTTGGATCTGGGATCCCAAATTTGCTGAGCCAGCTTCTTCGCATAGTCTACCGGAACACCCATATTCATCAAAGTGCGCTCCACTTCCGCCTTCGAGAAATCCGTAAGTGTATTTTAGAGATGTTGTCGAAACAAGCTCTGAAAGAAGAGAGATTGAGATGCCAAATAAACAAATTCTCAAGCAGAGAGACAAGTCTTCCTTTGAAGTGCTTGAAAGCGTGTCGAAACTTCAAAGAGAATTCTTCATTTTTGCTCAAACAATTATTCCACCGTTTTCTGATTCTTCACTCCTTCCATTCCATATTTCTTCACTTCCTCGATTCATTTCTTCAGCTTTCATCCAAGAAGGATTTCAGATTTCAGATAGAGGAAGATAACAGACAGACCCTGACCCTTGAAAAATGAAAATGAGAAGTTGCTCTGAGCTAGCTTTGAGCCTTAATTATTGTCCCCGGTACGGCCTTCAGGAGGCTTGGCATCCTTCCAATTCACATGTTGGCTATGCGCCTTCTGCTCTTTGTCTTTCTTATGATCAGAAGCGTCATGAGCACCTTGGTGACCCTCTCCAGCATGCTTTCCCTTTGGATCGTCAGCTGGTGAAGCTGAAGGCTTTTTCTTTTATTAGAAAAAGTACAACTAGCAGGTGGATTATATCCCTATGCCTCTAGTATGACCGTATTAGAAATACAAGAGATTGAGACCAGGATCAAGGTGTACAATAAAGGAAGAGATGTTATTAAATGCACTTATATTTATATATATAATTCGAAGAAGTACTAGCAGGTGGAGAAAGGTACAAAGGTGGAAGAGAATCAAATTTTTAGACGTGCTTTTTAGAAGAACTTGTAGCAGGTGGAAAGTCCTCAGAGATGTAGAAATGGAAGAGAGAGAGAAATTTCAGAAGTTCATTTATCCTTTGTTCTTTGGGTGAAGAAGCTGCACTCTCTCGTCGAGTAGAGATCTCAATCTAACAGACCTGTCTCCTTTTCAGTACTAGTATCCTCTACCTTTTCAGAGTGTTTATCTTTTTTGAGGACACAAGCGGCATACTACTACTTGGACACAAGCGGCATACTACTACTTTACAGCTTTGGCTTTGCTTTTAATTTGAAATTGAGCAGTTCGAGTTGTCGCTCCTCAAAAGCCTTAATCTTTCTTGCTCGCATGTGCTTTATCCATGCTTTTATTGTTAGAGCTGTCCATAAGCTATAGCCATCCTCAGGACCATATGGATATGGTGCCTCGTCGAGCAGAATTATATTCAACACGAATATCGATATCCCTGGTGCATTGGACACACAACATGACACCCTCGTCGAGGAGGGATCCAACCTACCTGGTAAATTATGGAGCTACCTGGGTTAACCATATGGTACTAGCCCCCTACCAACGGTGGACGCTGGGCTAATCATATGTTGGTACTAGCCCTACCAACCATGAAAAAGCTACAATTTACCTTCGATAATTCATCGAGGATGGGTTCTTTCTATTTTTTTACATAATATATATATATTTCAAGTTGTAAACCCAAGTGGTAAGTGATCTTATGCTCTACTTGACCATCACGTTGACCTCCAGAAGAAGTTCCCGATGGTAATAGTAGCCTTAACTTTGCCAGCTGTACCAGTTTCGTCACCCGATCCAAAAGCGAGGTCCTCCAAGATGTGTGCTCCTACCTTCGGCGCACTCATGTGCATGTCTGCTGAGCCCTTATCTGTACTACCACCATGCTGCTTAGAGGATAATCTAAACATGTATAATCATCATCATCATCATACGTCTCTAGTAAGTAGTTTTTCTCATGTATATATAATATGTACCTCTACCTTTTACTATGTACTTATCTATTACTATGTAGAACTATATTTAGAGGTAGACATGTATCTGTTAGATACATATGTATGAAAATCTTCCACGGGGATCTTGAAGAGGTCAATGAATCCTGGTGAGACTGTTTTCCGCCCTTGAAACAAACTTCTCTGGTCTCTCATCCTAGCACGACTTCTACGAAAATGGACCATGCATTTCTTGAATATTCAATTTAAACATGTTGAATTTCAAAAACAAAATGGGAGTCAGTGGGAGATCATCACATTACGCGAAGAAGCCTTAAGCTTACTATCTGATTGGCCATGTTCGAGCGTTTTATCACCACCAGTCCGTCCACTAGGGCCAGCTCCATCGTCATCGTTGGCGTTGCTCGCGTTAAGCGATTTGCCAGCACTCATTTTCATCTCTTTTTTGTCCTTCTTTTTATCCTTTTTTTAGAGGTAATAGAGTTCACGAGGGACACGACGACCCTGATGATTGATACATCTTCTTGAGACAACTAGCCACTTGTGATCCTGGAGTTTATATGCCTAGATTTTTTTCCACTACTTCTACTTGATAGAAGAAGTACAAGGTCCTCTTGTTCAGAATTAAGTATGCTTTGGAAAAAGATGGATTAGCATTAGGGCCCTCGACCTTAATTTTTTCCACTTCCAAGCTCCTTGCCGTCTTTGACAGACATCGAGGCCTTGGCTCCGTCCGGCAGGGCCTTCTCCTTCTCCTTGTCATCCTTCTTCTTCTTTTTGTCATCAGCTTCCTTCTTATCTTCTTTGTCTTTCTTCTCGTCTTTCTTTTTCTTTAGAGCAGTCAGCTTTTATTCATCTTGATCTTGGTGGTCCCCTGCTCATCTCGACGACCCCTTGATGTTCGCCATGGAATTACTAATACAAGTGCAAAAAGGGGTAATGTCGAGATGCTGCCTCGACGACAGAAGATGGATAAAAATCAACGCTGTTGATAGCATAATTTCTCTTTCTTTTCCTCTTTTTTTTTCGGAGGATCGTTCCAGTTGGGATTCACTTTCTTGTCTGCTATATGGGCCTGCTTGACTGCGTTCCGTAAGTTGCTCAGGTTTTTAAAGGCGTCCTTGCTTTTACCTGCGGCCGCCTTATCTTCCGGAGACGATGGTGGTGGTATCTTCCCATGCGGATCGCCTTTCTTAGAGCTCATTCAAGTGAGAAATCTTGACGACATCATCCAATGAGAAACTTTGAAGAAATCATGAAACCATTTGAAATCCATCTTGAAATAGACCATGTTCCTGATACCTCTTCTTGTTTCTCCTTGAATACATGAGAGAACAGCTACTACGCTCTACTTCATGAAGTAGGCCTTAACTTTGTCATCTACGAGAATTTTCGCCAGCTGCTCTGCATACGGCTCACTCACTCCTATACATTAGCGCTTCACTATCGACACTAGTTGAGACATCTGACAACATCACACCCACTATCGACACTAGTCGGAGCACATCTTGACACTAGTCGAAATATATGATGACTTAAAGGAATCAATCGAGGACCACAGTTAGAGACTCCCTCCTGGTAGGTTGAGCTTGGGTTCTTGTTGATCCCCTTTCATTCATCCTTCCCTTAAAATTACTCAACACGATGACTCGTCACGTCGAGACACCAGATCATACATTTAGTTTGAGCTAGTGTCGAGTCAGTGGTAGTGTAGTTCGTGTAATCGCCTTAAAAATTGTGCATCAGCATCTGTTTTGCGCGTTCGTCGGGAGAAAATCCACCTTTTTTCGCACCAGGCCCACCATCCATGGCATCTTGGAAATCTTGACCTGTCGTTTCACTTTTGCCCTCTCTCACCTTCGCTGCTAATTTTTAGACCTTCCAAATCTTCATCCTGCAGCCAGTGCATCCTTGACCTGGTTATGGTTTCCCGTTGAAACTGTGCCAAAGATGCCTTTCAAGATGAATTTCCGGAAGTCTTAAAATTTATCTTCCAGTGTTTGCATCGGCACACGCAGTTTATGCCCGCCAGGCGGTGGTCGACGTCCTGCAGGCGTTGGTGGTTCTGGCATATCTAGCAGGTCACGGAGCTTAATTAGAGCCCAAAACAATTCATCTCTTGCCTATTGTAGTAATCAGAATCTTAGACAGAATTTTTGTAGGAAGTACATTTCTCCCAACCCTTTCCTAATCTACAAGGGAGAATGAAATGACTTGTAGATCATATGAAGGATATTGAGTCTTAACTTGGCTATGTCTTCCGAAGTAGCCTTCCCCATATCCGCAAAAGGATTGTCCGGACTTCCAGGAGGCTTACCACGGCCACCCTTGTCGTCGAAATTCTTGATCTGGTCAAGGAGGTCATCTATTAGAGGTAGTTCTTGCAGAAATATTACATTCCTCAGTCTCAGAACATCCTTGCCCTAGCGGCCCATTTTTCTAGTTGCTTGTAGAAGATCTACTATAGGTCATCAAGGATGTTACTGGAGGATGTAACTTGGAAAACCTTAAATCTAGCACCTTCGGATCGACGTCCCGACATGCGAAGTGGACTTCCTTTCTGTCAGCTTTACCATCTAAAACCTTATTGTCTACTTTTTTCTTTGGTATGTCTGGATTTTTACCGCTTTTTTTGTTGCCCTCGTCGCTTCCCTTCTGATACTGATTAGACCACCTCAAATAGACAATTTCAATTCATTTCTTGCTGCCATTTTCTCACTCTCAGTCACAATCCTGAAGAATGTAGGATTTGACGAGATTGACTAATCTACAACTTACTAGCCCACTTTCTTATAAAGAAAACAGTGAGCAAGGCCTCGTAGAAATGAATCGTATTGAGCCTTAATCTGAAGTGCGTCTAAGACTGGGTCGCCCTTCGCTCCTTTCTTTTTCTTTTTGATATGAAGGAGGTCGTGCGCCTCATCGCTGTAAGACTTGAGCATTCGACAACCACCCCAACCACGTGCTGCAACAAAACCACGCAAAATGCCTACTGTTGTTGCATTGTTCATGTCCAAAGCGTTCAACAGCTTCATGCGTTAGAGAAGGAGAAGGGGTCTATAACTACCTCTCATTATATATAAATCTTTGGCGACATGTGTTTTCCCTACAACAAGAATTACCTCTTAGAAGAAGAAAAAGGCGGCAGTATGCAAATGCAAATCCATCCTTTGATATAAAGCAATGACTCTGACTTTATGCATTCATTTTGAACCACGTAGCAGCTGACAGGGGCTGCCTGGGGTGATGACATTCTTCATGATCGATATAGTTTGTGGTGGAGCTGTCCTCACACACCCTATTAAGTAGGAAAAAAAACGCAAGAAAACCTTTCTTGTTCAAGGTCATGATCCATGTAATAAACAAGCTTTACGTCTTAAAGGTCGCTCCCTTTTGCTGGTGTTATTCTGTCATCGTCGTCTGTATCTGGATGGTTAATCAACCCCGCCATCTGCAAAGAGTACATCTCCGAAAAACCTGGTGTGGGATATGATTTTTAATGGAGATGTTGATATGATTAATGGAGATGATATGATTAATCTTCTACTTGTTGTCGTGGCTGCAGAAAGAAGAACCTCAAAAATAACCATGGGGCAGATTGTAACTAAGGGATTTGCATTTAGTGAAAAAGTGAAATAAAAGTAGATTATGTTCATCTTCCAAAAAAAATCTAGAAAGCACACCTTGCGCCACTAGAATGGCAGCTAAATCAATTGCACTCGGACCATCTTCATCGCCGCCAGTGTCACCCATCTCCACAGCTGCTGCTGCCAAGATCGCTCCAGCGTTCTCACTAAGCGCCCTAACTTAGAGAAGATATCTATGAGGTCAGGAGCATGCGAGTTGAGGTCACTTGTCAGAGAAGATGACCTGTCAGTTGTCAAAGAAGATGACCCGTCAGTTGTCAAAGAAGATGACCCGTCAGTTGTCAGATGAGAAGATGAGTTGTCAATTGTCAGAGAAGATTGAGGAGTGTCCCTAGAAGTGTATGAATTCAGAGTTGACTAGTCTAGTATCCCAAGAATGTGCAGCGGAGAAGTATAACTATTGTTTCAGTTTGTGCGCTCCTGCGTAGATGACGCTAAAAAAAATTCAGGAGTTCTAGTAAAACCGCCATAGTTCTTGGACATCCTGTCATGTCATGGAGCCTCTTATAAATATAGCAGTAGGTATCTATCTGTGAGGCCGATCAGTGTTGTAGTACCTCCTTATTGGAGGTCATTCAAACAATTTAGACGATATACAAGTTGTATAGCCTTAATTGGTATTGACACCGACAGCGTCGCGAATATCTTTCAGCAACAAACGCTGACCAGGAGGCACGCCACACATCTCGGCAAGCACCTTGCGCTCATTTCCTTAGAAGCAAGAATCCGGTAAGTATATTGTATTTTTTTTATCTATCTTCGTTGATGCTCCCCAGAACAAGATGTCCTTACTCGTATCTTCTTCGCTGATGCTCCCCAGAACAAGATGTCCTTGTTAATTATCGTCCTACGATATGCAGCTTATTGAGTAGACGGTAAAATAAAGATCTTCTAGTTGTCCGATGCGTGTCCTCGGGCCAGTTGATTTTGAGAACAGCATTACTTGTAAGTAGAGAGAGCGGTCCTTATTGAGTATCTGTAAGGAGGAGATTACTCTACTACTAGTAGGCGAGGAACAGCAGCAGAAAAATAATCGTGTCAGTGTCAAAGATGGGTCTTCTACTTGAGATGCATTAATCAACGAATCCTTAACTGATGTTCAACTTCTGATCATCAAGCGGCTGAAAAGACTCTTTCTTCTCGTCGCAAACCTGCACCGTCACGGATTGCGCTGCAGCTTTGGAGAAAACGCCAGACTTGTAGGTTAGAAGCAAGAGGAGGATGAAGACTAGCTCCTTCGTCTCAAATAAAAATTCAAAAAAAATACTGGTGGGAGAGGAGGAACGAGAAACAAAAACTTTTGAAAGCATTATCTTAGAAATATGCAAATGTTCCTCGGCTCGGTCGGTTGGGTTAGGTTGGGGTCCGTCCAAGAAAGTGTCGACAGACGTAGTGTCGACAGACTGAAGAACCAGAAGTAAATGCCAAAGTAGTACAACTCCGTGTTATAGTACCTCGCTTCTTGTCTTTCTTGGTTGTGAATGATAGCTCGGAAATGATGCAAATTCGACCCATAACAACATTTCCTTGTAGACTTTCTCCGTTTGCTTCGGGTTTTTCTTCATGGCTTTTTTAAAGAGCTCCTCACTCATGTCCTTACCCTCCATGACCTTGTCTTTATCCTTCTCCTTCTTCCCGCCTGCTCGCACGCTCTTGAGGTCTCCCCCGGGTCCTCGCATGCTCTTCATTTCTCCCCCCTCTCCCTCTGGTCCTAACCGTGCCCGCCGTGAAAGAGATGAACTAGGAAGAAAAAGACTGGAAGAGCCACGCTTTCTCGAAGTACTACTTGAAGGGGCGACAGAGTAGTGTGAGGCTCTTGAAGATGCTGCAATAGTTAAAGGTTGAAACATTTCACTATTTTTAGTAGCAATCTCAAGCGGAGAAGGCTTGCAAAAATGAAATGTTTCAACCCTTAAAATAATATCAGCGGAAGCAGAAAGAACAGAAGTTGATGTGGCACCAGTAGTATAATCCGCAGATGAAAGAACAGAAGTTGTCACATTTTTAGCACCAGTGGTCGTTGTACCTGCTACTCCTTCATCAGAAAGTTCTTGACGTTGCTCACCAAATACTTCTATTTTTGTAGAATCTCCTTCCATGTCGACATCCATGTCCTGCTTCGCACTATCTGGAGGCTCTCCTTGTGCGGGTGATAGAGAGCTTGACGGAGGGACATTCGGACCTACCAACTCCGGGACACTCATATGATTCCTAGTAGACGACCTACGACCCCCAACTCTAGTTAGAGCTCTCCCCTATTCATCCCTGTGGAAATCCCTCAATTGTATTGGGCGTCAGTATCTCCCTTGTATTGGTGCGCATATGTTTGAGGGATCCCTACAGAAGGGGTGGATTAGGGGAAGCCTTAATCTAGCATGAAGATCTTCTGTTGTTGTATCTTCTTCTCCTTCTCCTGCGTCATGATGACTTGCTGGAGGACGCTTCCACCCACTACGTCCACACGCTAGACCTAGATCGGATAGAGGAGGTGGACCACTATCTTTACTACTCATGAAATCTTGGATTTTCATTTTTTTGTCCCCATCCTCGTCAACAGCTCCTCCTTTAGGTCGTTTACTACTAGCGCGACTAGTACCCTCCTGTGCTGGAGGATCAACTACTGTAGTTGAAGACGCACCCTCATCCTCGTCTTCGGAAGAAGATGATCCAAAAGCAAGGCCCTCATCCGGCAACCCTAGCAAATCTCTCCGCCAGAAATTGCTTACGACTGAGTTCCCATGTTCACGTAAACTCCTCCGAGCAGAAATTCCGACTTGGTCTTCTCCTGTTCTCCTGTCAACTCCTGACGCACGGCTAGACCTCCCTGATGTTCTGCTCTGTTGTTGAGCACCTCCACGTGAAGATCTCCTGCTCCTACTGGTTCTGCTCGTCCGGCTAATAGAATCAGTAAAGATCCTCGACGCGGCCCTTGTCCGCCTCCTTCTTCCAAGGTCGGTGTCCTCTGCAGGAATATTGCCATCATCTTCTACGGCTCCGGTTGTGCTGTCAGTGTTCACGGCTCCAGGTAGATCCAAACCGCCGACCGATGGAGAACCAAACTCCGGAGAGGCTGCAACAGGCGATGGACTCGTTGAAGCCAAACTCCCTTTCGACGGAGCTGCGCTTGCTCCGCCTGCCCCCTCTTGTGGGTTACTCACGACAGGTCGTGACACAGCCACTTTCTGCTTCTTCATCGTGTCTTAATTAAATCGTGCTCCTGGAGGTGGTGGTGAAGAGGTGGTCGTCCCTTGTTGTATTCTTCTTCACCACGCAATGATGCGATCATTGCATCACAGCGAAATATCATGCGTTTTATCGGAGAAGAACAATCCACAAGAACTCTCTTCACCGTGCCGGTGCCACAGGTTCACTACAGGATGGCACGAGCCATGCTCGAAAAGTGTATTTCTCATCGTTTCTATCATGATTCAACGAAAATACACGCGAAAGTTGAATAAAATGACAAAAACATTCTACAACTCTTTACAACTACCTAGTTTTCGTAATGCATGTGGTGGTATCAGATGAATTCAAAGCGACGCTTTTCTGTAGTGTGTGATTATCTAGCGAGTTGACAGTTGCTGACGAGGAGTGTCAATTCATACATTCTATTCGTGGCTTGAGTCGGGAGTTGGTGGTGCCCACACCTAATGGTCACGTCTTTTGATAAAGCCGATTTCGTGTTGACGACGAACCGACGACGACGTCCGAGCAAGCCTGACAGATATGTCCCTTGACCGAAGAAGCTATTTTTGAGCAACAGATATCTCACTTCCACGACCGACATCAATCATATAGATACGACTACCTCTAGGCAGTTAAGTACCTGTGCTAACACGAAGGACCTGACTCGACTGAAATATCGCAGGTTGTGTCGTTCCGAAGCCGCTACACGAGCTATGTGATTCCGTTTTTCATCATACGATTAAAATCATTCTTGTGTAATGTGAATGTGTCGTCATTTGTATTGCTTGCGTCGTTGATTTTGCGTCGTTGCTTTTGATGCGCTAAAGAAAAGAAGAAAAAGGTACAGTCTTCTCGAGAAAATAATCATCCGCGTAAACTATATCTGCTTGTTATACAATTGTCCTGTCACACTACCTAACCTGGTCTATCTTTTGTTGATAGTACTACTTTTCCTTACTCATTATACGTAATAAGCCTTGCTATTGTCATGAGGCAGTTCCCCTCTTTCTACTTCCTGATACAACTTGCTTCCATGGTTACCATCCTACCACCTACAACAGATTGCGAAATTATCAATACTAACACACTCTGCAATGCGCGGCACAGAGATTCTGTTGTTTCTACAAACAAGCAAGAAAACCTCAATACTTCTTCTGCCACCACGATCACATAGAAAATAGAGCCACTTGTTAGGAGAAGAATAACCTTGAAATTGGAAAGACTAACTACTGCACAAAAAGCATATCCACAATCTGTACAATCTGAATCCGTTGCGAGGCTCGAAATGTTCGCGCACGCAAAATTGGACAGACAAAATTGACCAATCTCCTCCCGAATTATCGATTTCGAATTTGTAGGATGCATGCATTTTGTGTATCAGACTAAAACTCAGGCTTGTTGCTTGATCAAATACGTAGATGTACATGTACATCTACTTGGCGATCGACGAATTTGCGTCCAAGCAACGATGCGTGTAGATGGCTCTACTTACACGATGGTATTTGTTGGCTGCCGGAAGGTTGGAATCGCAAGGAACGGCAACCGGAAAGAAACTTTTCTTTTGAGGGAAGATCCACCTCTTTGCTGCTCTACTTCAGTAAGAAGGTAAAAAACGATTCTACACGACAACAGCTACAGTTATAGAAAAAAACCAAGAGAGAAAAAGGAGCACATGTTGGAGCATGAAATTGAGGAGGGTTGAAATAGATCCTCTAATTAATCAGAATGTAAGTGAAATAACTGCGATCTCTTTGTTCATTCCATGGAGTTGAAGTATTTCGTATGATGCACGCTCTGCCTTGCCTATCATCTATCTTCTTGTATTCACCTGTGGACAAGAAGAAGGAGCGGCAATTACGCTGGGGATCTTAAACTCGTAAGTAGAGAGCCTGAATTTGTTATAAAAAAATCTTGTCCAGTATGCTACACTGTAGTAGATCCAATACTTTTAACCGGAGAGCCGTTTGCACTGTACATAAGTCGGCGCACCACTCTATCAATATCGTTATACCAACATTCTCAACCCTTGCTTAATTGAATTTGAATTTGCTAATGCTAGTAGAAGTAGTTACTCTTACTTGATTTCCAAATGCATAAGAAAGCAGTCATGACGTCACTTATTTTTCATCAGCACATCACATCATGAAGACAAGTTTATATCTAAGCATACTTGATTATAGCAAAAGTAAAAAATTCTTCACGCTCCTCTCGCTGCTCCTGTCCGTTGCATAGTACCAGCAAAAGCACCTGCCAGCATCGATGAAGGATGCAACATCGGTGACGGAGACCGCAGTTTCGCGCCAACAGTCCCGCGCGGACCCATAATACCCGCACGAGGTGGACCCCCGCAAAAAGTAGAAGGATTTCCACTGTTGCGACCGCTTCCTTGCTGCGAATTGTGTTAGAAGTAGATAAGGCAGATGACTTTACCTACTTGAATCCATCGCCGTGTCGACCTCAATGCGACCTGAAGTAGATCTGGATATCTCAATTTTATCGTAAAATATGTGTCCTGCTTGTCCTCCAGCGAACTTCGCCTTGAAATTCGACGACGATGTGGGCATTGTAACCCGCGACAAACCAGCGCCAAAAGGTGTCGACCTGCCAGGAGGCCCACGAGGGATCGAAGAGGTTCCAGCCATAGAAGTAGTACTAGTAGCAGGTGGTCCCGGAGCCGGCCCACCAGTTCTAGTTGCCATCCTGGTTGAAGCAGAACCTTGTTGTGGTTGGAAAACGACTTGACCAGGAGTAAGCAATGGATCCTGCGGTAGTTGCTGCTGTGGCATTCCTAGACCCGCTCCCGCATTGGTGGGAGGAACCACGAGAGGTCCTGATCCCCCCTGTGGCTGTTGTACTGGGGCGAATTGTTGGTTATTTGCTCCTCTCCCTCCTCCACCCGCTACACCGTTAAGCTGTTGTTGTTCCAGAGCGGTTGTGCTGCTAGAAGATGTAGTTGTGCTGGACTTCTGTTGTTGCGAGATGAAATGTTCAGGTTCAGCTTTCTGTATTGTTAGAGCTCACTACAATCCATCTTTTGCCTCATCTGTGTCAACTTTTCTACTTGAAAGCAGCTCACAGATGAGCCCAAAGATGGATTAAGAAGTGAGGCCATAGCTGTAGTAACACAATCGAATAATTCGCGCCAGCCTCTACATGTTCCTTCAAGGGCACCATGTTGCCCTTATTGATGTTCGCTGCAGCACTAGTAGTAGTATCATTTCTAGAATTTCTAGGTGGCTTGCTAGCCGCGCTAGGGTTTTCCAAAGTACAGTCCATATTGGCATCGCCTTCTGAAACCGTACCACGCATAATCACGAAACGCAAGGGTGGAGAGGGCCCCAGCGGTGCGCCTGCTGGAGCAGTCGTATTTTCCAAAATTTTCCTTGTTGTTTCAAAGGCTTCTGCCTCATTTCTCGCTTGAAGGTCTTCTTGCCACGCCGTGATGAGCCGTAGACACGTATCGTCACTCCATATGACCATGTTGATGTTCTCGCTCGAATGAATCACCTTAGTACCACTTGCATCCTTAATCTCAGGTAGCTTGACATAGACCTCGACTTCTGTGCGTGGACCTGGAGGAGGTGCTGGATGGACTACTGCCGCAGGGTTGGGGTTTTTAGCTTTAGTTGATGCTGAAGGTGGAGGAATAGGCTGCTGTTGTTGCTGTGTAGGTTGATGCAGCTGGACTTGAGGCTGTTGGACTACTTGCGGGACTTGAGGTTGTTGTGACGTATTCGTTGTTGTATTCTTTTTGCTAGGTGGTTGTCTCGGTGCTTCCTGCTGTACTGGTGCTGTACTGGACGGCGCCGCGGCTCCCTTTCCTCCAGGCACTACCGTAGCGCTTACCAACGCCGGCGCAGGCGGCGTAGGTAGGCTACTTCCTGGTAGTAGACTGCTTGTTGCTCCCCCACCTGGTGGACCAAAAACCGGAACAATTGGACTACCGCGTTGAAACGCGAAGCCTTGACGCGGCGCCATCGATCCTCGGTTGTGTGCATTGGCTGCCGGACCTGTGGACACCGACCGTCGACTAGCAATCGACTTTTTACTCGGAGGCGGAGGCGAACTAGGATGTGGCTGATAGAGCACCCCGAGACCTGGAAAGCCTGCGCCACTTAGCCTGGCGTCTAGCAATGGTGATCGTGGCATGTTATGGAGCTGTTGGACTCCGAGGAAAGGGGAACCTCCTGGCCCGCCTATTGTCGGAGAACCGAGCATACCGAAACCTCGAGAAGCTGGTGCAGGAGGACCTGCAAATCCACTTGTAGACGTTGTTGTAGTTGTACTACCTGGTGGCTTGCTCAATGCTCGTGGTTGTGGTCCTGTTGTTCCTCCTCGTCCCACTGAAAGAACTGATCCTGATGTACAACTAGCATTGCCCCCTGCTCGCGCGGCTAGAGCCGCTTGCTCTTTTCCTGATGAAGAGGAACCACTGGAGGTCGAGACTCCATGGGTTCCCGAATCAGCTGCTACTGCTGCACCAGCTGCTATACCTCCACTCTGAAGATCCACACAAGTAGCATTCTGACCTCCTAAGAACATGCTCCCTTGACCTTGAAGTTGCGAAGGTCCTGCGCCGAAATGGAAACTCATTGCCGAACGTGTCCGGTTACCGTGTAGTCCTAAGGAAGAACTGGCAGAAGACACTGCAGTGGGGGCCGGTGACGCTACTACTGCTGCTGAAAGTGCTGGTCCGGAGCTTGGTCCTGGTACTGTAGCACCTATTGGATTTGGAATTGCCTGTTCCTTAGAGTTAGAAGTACCTCCTACAACTAGCGGATTCGGTTGTTGCTCCTGCTGCTGATGTAACGACCCTGGTGCTGGTGGTATGTTGACCGAAACTGATGTCGAACCTGACGTTGTTCCTACAACTGGCTTGACAACGGTACTCGCCTCCCCAATAAAAGCTGGCACTTGCTCTTCCGCTACACTAATATTGCCTACACTCGTCGCTGAACTAGAAGAGGATGCTGGAGGTAGTTGTTGATTATGGTAATGTGCAACTCCTAGTTGATCCTTCGTCATCAGCTGTGTTACGTCCATATTCGAAGCTCCTACGGGTGGAGTCTGAGCCGGCCACATTTTTCGGACTCCTCCTGGTCCTATCCCTAACGACGAGGATGCAGTTGCAGAGGACGTGCCTAAACTAGCACCGCCAAATCCTCCTGCTGCACCCAAGGAGGTGGCGAACATGTTACTCTTACTACGGTTCTGTATTAGAGGTAGGCTTTTGGTGTTCGTTTATCCCGCTTGTTATCGCTATGGCTATCCCCCTTAGGAGAGCCACAACAAACGGTAACAAAAGCACCTTTAACCTACCCTTAACTGTACGAGAGTGGAGAGACCCTGCTGGCTTGCTGAGCTGCCAAGAAAAGGCACACTTCGGAATCCGGAACCCTGAGAAACAGATCCAGACACCACTGCACTCGTGGCGGGTGATGCGCCAACGGCTACGGAAGAAGCGAGAGTTGGACCCCCTGACCCTACAAGTACAGATGATGAAAAAGAAGATGCGGATGCTACTTGGCTACTCGAAGTGGTAGCACTTCCACCTGCCGCAGCAGACGCACTTCCACCCGATGTACCACTACTCGAAGTAGCACTTCCACCTGCTGTGGATGTACGCACAGGCCGACCAAAACTTCCGAAGAAGGATTGTGTGCGCGGTGGGGCTTGTATCCTGGACACGCTAGTGGATCTCGCCTGGGTCTGCTTTAATACAGCTTCTACTTTCTCAGCAATGAAAGTTCCATCCGCGTTGACGCCACTTGCCTTGCTGCTGCTCTGTGCTAGCGCGGCGGCCTCGTGGAGGAGGAAGAGGGGCTGGTTGAAAAACTGTGCATTTCTGATTCTTGTAGACAGAAAACTTACGTAGTTACTGGAAAAGAAAAATATGATCGGTATATATAATTACGTAGTACCACTTTCTCCGGATGTATAAGTTGTGTCTTTCCTATGGACTGGGGCTCGGGCATCGCCTTTTTCATAGGCCTCAACTGCATCGGTGAAATCATTCCTGCAGGTGCTGGTGAGATAGACCTGGTGAGCGTGATAAATATGGGAAGAGTATAAGTACCTAATAGAGGATTACAAAATAGGAATATGATATGTTCGTGCTCCTATTACAGAAGTGTCTATACAACTGGTAAACAACATCGAGATTTCAACATCTCAATTCGTAGCCGAAACAATCAAAATCGGTCTCTACCTCAATGGCGGCGCGAAATTTGTCACGAGCGGCGAACGTGAACGCACGGTACTAGTGAAGCCCCTTCCTCCCAGTGGACTCTGGAATCTCATCTGCGGCGACCGCGCTCGACTGTTGAAGAAGCTTGGACCAGTTGACCTGATTGGAGATTCTTTCAATCATGGATGCCTCTGCTGAGAAAATTTTCTAGTAATCCCAACAGGCTGTTGAGTGAAGGGACTAGCACGACTAGGCGGTCACCGATTAAGATTTTTAGCAGTAGGACTGGTGTAGCAAATGCATGGAAGAGAAACTACTAACCCTAGTAGAGTTCTTGAGGTAAATGAAAATACACTCCCATTGCGATTGGATGGTCTTGATTTCGTATGCGGTCGTACTGAAGTGATTTCCGTTCTGCCGTTTCTAGGTCGGCGGTTGAGAGAGACCGTGGCACAGATTCATCCGCCAACCACTTGTGCTCAAGTGACTCTTTTATTGACATACGCTGCTTCGGAACAATGCGCATAAGCCGCATGATAAAATCCATGCAGGTTGGCTGTGAACGTGAGCGACATTTTTCAGGTATATCTAAAAATTCGAGGACAAACTAATGCGATCGGTGACTTGAAGATTGAAGGAGGCCGGAGGAGTTACTAATCATATTTCTTACTGCTCCTAGTCCTTCCGCTTCATTGAATCTATCAAAATGCAACGACCGAGACCAAATGCATACTAAATACCGACAGCTTCCTGTCAATATCGCTTTTCCGCCGAAAGAGGCCCTCCAGGTCACCTCTGCGAAAGAAATTCCAGTATTCCGCATCCTTCTGATTGCTATCCGCGCTCAAAAACAGCGGCAAAGCAGACAAAAGATAGAAAGTGCTCCACCCCAGGCACCAGCTGTCCACTTTACTCGCAATGTAGGGCTCTAGATATTAAAGGGGGTGTCAATTTGAATCTCCAACATTTTAATCATGAGCTCTATTCCTAGTTGATGTTGAGTGAATATTTACTTATGTGCCATGCAATAATCTCATAAGTAATTGACTCCTACCACAAAACTAGAACTACAGAACAACTCCAACAACTCTTCAAGAATCCTTAGTCATAATTCTGACTAAGTTCTGGAGGCCGAAAACTTTTCCCCACAAGGCCACGGTAAGCCACTGGCTTTTCCTCTCCCGTTTCAGGGTCAATCTCAAATGTCACCGCTTGTCCTGGATCACATATCTTTATCCGGATCACATCTTCGTGTGAGGAAATAGATGACTCGGCAGGACCTGAACCTGACTTCTTTTCATCGTTGGTCTCGGTGGACGCCGTGGGGGCTTCCTTTGATGCATAACTCGAAGCGTTTTCTTTATCGTAGACAAAAATCAGCATATTTTCCAGCGAAACGTCCTGCATAGCCATCTTTCGCTCGTGCAGGGCGGCCAAAGCGCGAGCAGCGTGTCGAATGTAAAAACGAAGAATTAGAAGGAAGATTCTTGTGAACTAATTTCTTCACTAAGCATCTACTTAATACATCTATACAGCTCGGCGGACTGTGCGGAAAAATTTTCCTGTACTTCTAAACAGACAACGATCCGTAAAAATTGACGAAGAATCAGGATCGTTGTCTGTTTAGTACAGGATTGAAAAACGAGTAAGTAGAACAGCATAGGAAAATGAAAGTACTAAACAAGAACGGAGGAGTCGTCTATAGTAAAAAATTAGCAGTAGTCTGACCATTTTGATGCACCAAAAGAAGAAGCGCCAGACTCAGAAAGTGATAATCCATCTTCAACCATCTTATCCTCAAGCAGGAAAGAAAGAGCCGACACGTTGTCACGATTCGATTGACTTACATGAGTCGACATGATGTACTAAACAGACAACGGTCCGTAAAAATGTCTAAGTAATGAACAAACCTGTACTAAAGAGACAACGGTCCGTAAACACTGCTGTTCCGAGAACCCATCCGGTTTGCTTTTCAACGCTTCGAGCAGGTCGCCACGCGCTGCCAATTCAAAAACGATGTAGTGGCAATACTCGTCCTCGAATGCTTCCCGCACCTCAACGATGTGGCGCATATGAAGAAGAGGGACTGGAAAAACCTCCATATTCCTATACTAAGTACAACATGCTATGGATACGCATCTTTGAACTTGAAGGCCAACGCAAGAAATCATCAAAAATTGTCATCATGTTAGTGCTCCTGCTATTATATCATTAGTGACCTAGTTACCTATCATCATATTCATCAACTCCCACTGCGGCCACTGTTCATAATCATGCCCTGTCATTTGCTCCTTGAATCGGATTTCGCTGAGCGGCACCTCGCAGAAGTCCAAGCTTGGTGGCGTTTTGCTCAGTTCCGATTTGTGCAACACTTTCACCGCAACCTTCTCTCCTGTTTTGGACCCCTTCGCCTCGTAGACGCCACCGTAGATTAGAAGAGTCGTTCTTCACATTTATTCCGGGATATTGTTGTTGAAGCGCATGGGTATGCTCCGCCCCGTTTTTCACTTCTTTAATGTGGCAAGAAGAACAGGAAACTCAGCATGGAGATGAACTTCAGTTGATATTAAATGGTAGCCTCCATAAAAACAGTGCCGCTTGCAACGAACGAATCAACTGGTAGTTCTCGAGTTTACCGTAGATGTCCGGACCAACGACCTTCGGCGGTCCTGGAGGTGCCGGTGCGCCAGATAACCTTGGACTTGGAGGAGCCATCATCTTATTGTTCATTCCGGAAGATGATGAAGAGGAGCATGAGCTTCCACCTCCAGAGGAGATAGGAGCCACCCTGCCTTGTCCGGGTCCAGGCATCACTGGCACGCCAACAGATGCGGTCGACGCAGCAGCCGCCGGTTCGTAGATCATCACGCTGCTGGCGGTAGTGCTGCTCATTCTGATAGGGATAGGAGCACAGGTGGAAAGTATGTTCACCTTGAAGAGGGTGCGTGGTACTGGTATTGACTTTTAGACTGATGCGATTGCGATCAATCAGAAATGAGTCAACAAATAGAAGCATTGATATTTTCAAATACTTTGGGAACTGTATGGTAATCCACATGAGCATGAGAAATGCTACAGTTTCTTTTCCATCAACCTCCATTTTTTTTCCTGTTTCTTTTCCATTTTTCTCGACGTCCATGGAGAAGCCCAAGCCCTCCTGGAATAATATTACAGGCAAAAGATTGCAAGTTTTGGAATCTTCACTCATACTTAATAGTGCTTACCGACTTTTATCACCTTCTGCCTATCTACTCTCGCTCTTTTACAACTCACGATCTAAGAAGCTCATCCAACTCATCTCTTAACCGGCACGGCCTCCGCACGGAACAGACTGTGGAACCTGCACTATGGGGGACCACTAGCAGCGCCTGCCGAGGGTGACGCCGTAGCAAGTTTATTCTGTCGATGGCGAAATGAAACAAGGCATACCCCAGAATTTCTTCTCAAGTTCCAACATTGAATTGAGTTGGGTTCTCGCGCATGTCGGTACTCTATCCTCCCCCTCCCGCCTTCTTTTTCTTCCATTCATTCCTGAGGAACTCTTTTCTTTCCGCTTTTATCGTTAAAATCTCCGGATTGGTGCCATCCCAAGGCACTTTTCGTCTTCATATTAGCAAGATTTCGGTTTTCAAGAACAGCCTGAACATATTAAATAATTTGAACATGAAATATTGAAGAGAAACATGAACATATCAACTACCTGCAGCAATCAAGCAAGTAATTTGAAGATGTTGGTTCTAAGCTGCGGGAATTATGAAATGTAGCCGTGGTCGTGACACCGAAGAAATTCTCAACCCGAGGTACTTCTACCAGACCTTGCTGCAAGAACTGCAGTAACTAGTAAGTAGTTTCGATCAGTCAGAATCACGAATCAACCACAACTTCAGCTCACAACTAAGTAGTCACTACCACTCTGTATCCTGTCATGATGCCTTAATATTTTCACAGCTTTTTCTTGGACTGCCTCAAGTTCGGTCTGCCATTCAGAGAGCCACTTCCATCCTCCAGATCTGCACAGTAGATTCTGATTCGACAAAGGACTCTGTATGCGGAAACCACGACCTGGAGGCCGCGCAAAAGAACAAGAGGGGCTTATCCTCAGAAGCTGGCGAGATGCTGATGGAGGCATGGTTGTAATTCTCTGGTTGGTGCAGCTGTTCTTGATACAACTGGTACTGGTTGCAGTGGGGTTTGTGTTCGTCTTGAAGACCACCTGGCGAAGGTTCAAGAACAGGGCTCTATACCACAGAGAGATGAGGCGATCAGTTCTAGTAGTAGCAGCGTATAAATAATCCATATAGCCAAGGAAATAAAAATGGGAGCTTATAAATAATCCATCGGCTGTCCACGAGGCAAGTCACTTTCTACTTCTTTCAAATTTTGCTCATGTTGCTTGCTATGATCACTCTAAACAAGATGAGTTAGTCGTTCTTCGCGCTTCATTCATATCAAACTTGTCACTCAGCTTTCAAAGCAAACAACATCCATCTCTCTTGTCTTCATCGAGCAGCCTCAAGAAGCCTGCGGCGCAGTAGTTAGGTAGGCACCCGTGCCCGTCAACAGCACAAGGCACTTCTAATTTTTCTCAACACATCGGTTGCACTTAGCAATAGACAACCTAAGAACACAACAGGCGGCACTTCTTCTATCAAGATGAACAGTGCCAAAAAGATGAACGGGCAGAGGTGACCCTGGATCACGATGGTCGCCACTGATTAATCTCGTCGCGCAGTGGCGGGTCTCAACTACAGAAAGAGGGGAACGATCCTTCGGAGGAGCCTCGCAATTGATTACAGACTTAGAGGCAGTTTCTCACTATCCCTGGTCGAGTGAGTTGCCCTCTTTCCCCTCTAATTTCCCCTTCAGATCAGGGAGGACGAGTTCACTCAGTATAGTCCACATGGGATAGTGATAAACTGCCCTTAAATTGAGGACCCATGAATTGCATCGGAATACACAACTGCTGCTAAGAGTTGTGTGGGGAAGGAGGTAAAATGTATATCCTCTAGGCGAAAGAATGTTCACTATGTGTAATGATGATATACCCCGATCAAAAAAGATCGGGTGTACCTCTATCGAATAAAGATTCCTTACTTGTTGTTCTGCAATACGTAAAGAAAACGATGGACCTACGCTAGTAGCTAATATAGCCTCGATAGTTTGTGATTTTTTCAGGTTCGTGGTTACTTTCCGAGTCATTCGTCCGCCCATAGAGACCTTGCTCACGTCAAGAAGTAACAGTAAGCAGTCCTGCTAATATTATCAAGATCATAAATATCTTCTATGCTTCACATCATTCAAGAACCAAGCAGTCCTGATAATGATATCATCCACATAAAACATATTCTAAATGTATCTATAGGAGGAAGAACAGCCCAATATCAATTTATTGGTATCGACAATCTCCTCGATCCGGCACATCTTCATCAACATCATAGTATTTGGCGACACGTATGCTCTCCCGAGCGTTAGTCATGGCGCCTCGACTTTCCGCTGCGACCATCATGCTCTTCCAAGTCTTAGTGGCAGCGCTCATCTGGTTTTCGCCTGAATTCGGCAGAACAGATACAGATTAGAGGAGGTCAGCGTCAGCCTCAAGCTCAAGACTAACCACACGGGGATCTGTCACCTACACATTTTATAAACATTGGAGTTTCGATGATTGATTGCTTATAGATTTCGGAGTCCTAGGTGTGCCAGTACCCGTACCTACTACAAGAAACATAAGTCTACTTACAGTTACAGAGTCTCTTCACAATGGATACCAGAAATAACTAAGGATCTCAGATGAAGTACAAGTAATCTGTGATTGAAATAGAAACTGCAGTCAGTCAATGAAAGAATGAGTCAAAATCCAGGAGGGCCTTAAACATGTAGCGAATCTGTCGAGTTCGTGCTTGGCGACGCACTGGAGCTCGCTTTTGCGTCGTGTCCTTGCGGCGAGCTGGATGTCACAGACGAGTGAGTTGCTGCAGCCGGCCTAGCGCTTGCTGAAGATGGTGCTGCTCCTACGTCAAATAAAATCGGCCTGATGGAGTATATTATAATTATTTTTGTTACAAGAAGAACAGTCCTCTGTCACACCGGTGAAAACAGAAATAATGGAGAAAAAAGTATGCATGAAAAACTACTCCCCACTACAACTCATGATCAACCTGATTTTTGAGATTGATGAGATAAAAGCAGTAAAATGGTATATTAGAAACTCATCTACCTTGCCCTCCTGATCACAGGATGCAACAAATGTCAGTCATCAGCATGTTCATTTTGTCACTGTGCGTCCAAATCAACGAACTAATAAATATTACCCTTTCATTGCACCGAATCTGCATCGATCAGGTGGTCCAAACTTTTTTCCTTTCAAAGCGGAACTTCCCTTAGTCGAAGCGGATCTGGAAGCCGTGATACTAGAGGCTTTAATAGCGCCGTTTGTCTCTTCACTATTTAGTGTGGTATCTGTTGGTGTGAAAGTGGATGTGATGCTTGACGTGATGCTGGTCGTGACCGTTGACGTGATAATTGCTGTACCTGTAGTGTTTCTGTTTGCCGAGGAGGTGTTGGTGTTCGAAGTTCTTGTGGCATTTTCCGACTGAGTTTGATTTCTCTGAGAACCAAAGTAGATCTTCTTCTCCTCGTTCCCACCTACTGCTTTCCACTTGTTAGCTGCACAGCTTGTAGGTCTTGATCCTTCTTTTTGTCCACCCTTTCCTCCCAGATCCTTGCCTGTTTTGCCAGTATCCGCAGTCTGCTTTCCCTTTCCTTTCTTGTTGCCAGTTCTACTTGCGTTGTTGTCCTTGTCGTTAAATACGCAGGATTAGAGATGAATGTGCTCGATGATGGTGCACTTGCTCAACATCTTCACATATGTTGAGCATCTTCTAAGTGGTGCTTAGTCGGTGGTGCTTAGTAAATAGGCCATCAAGACGCCACTACTATGTGAACTAGATTGATAGTTGTACAACCAACTGCAGCTTACAACGCCTTAATGTATACGCCGAGACGTCACTACTGAGTGACCTACATTAGATATTGCCTCTGCCTCTAATGGGTGAGTTAGGTACTTAGTTGTACTGCTTCGACAGCCATAATCATAATCCGGCACAAGGGCACGACGTGATCCCTTTTTCGAGGCCTTGTCCCTGCTGGAGCTCAACACAGGGACATCCGACGCTTTCATCCTGTTTAGAACAGGAGCTACAACTACAGATGAACAGATGAAGAGCAGAAGACAAAGCAAAAGGACAAAGAACTAGCGTTTGAGCTACTTGAGGTAACAAGAACAACGTGAACTCAAATAAAAAAATTGACAAAAAAAATATAGTAGACCTCCTTGGATTCATGATCATTCAAAATCGAACTCTAATCATTACTTAGCATGAACAAACGAAATCTGCCTACTTACTTCTCGATGACTACTGTACTCGAGTTTCAGCAGTGACCCGTAAGAACTCACGCATCTCACCCTCCAGGAGCTGCGACCAACCTTGGAGGTTCTCCATCCCGGCTTCGTCTTCCTCCGTAGGTGGATATTGCGGCGGGCCGGGAGTAGATGGATCAGAATGAGCCCAGAAGCCACCATAAGGATTAGATGTACGGTTTTTGTGATAAGTAGCTTCCCCCGTTAGTCATTGTCACGTCCATGATAATGTGAATCTATTCGGCCTAAGATTTCCCCCCATTGTCATGTCTATTCAATCCCCCTTATACCAAATTAAGAAAGGCAAAGCTGTAACGGTATAAGCAACGCCAAAAGTCTAGTGCCCTTAACGGCAGTTGTCAGAGGTGCAGCATCCGCGTGCGCCACATGCGCCACAGCGTTGTAGCTGAGCTGTTCCAGGTGGGGATACGTTGAAGTTGATGACGCTTGTTCTACTCCCTCAACGTTGTTGTAGTTCCAAGATGAAGAGCCCAGTCCCGCCGCGTGCTCCCCGACGTAATTCCAAGAACTATCCGAGCCCGCTCCTGAGGCTTCGGCACCTCCCCCACCAGCATTGCCGCCCCAAGAGCATTGTTGTGATGTTCCTGCCTCGTAGTTGTCGTATGTTGTCGCGTCCCCGGCTACGCCGGGACTCCCCTGATACCCATATCCTAGGAGTTGACTACAGTTGATGTAGAGGTTATCCGGCGATCCAAATTGATGCTGATCATACTCCGCGGATGAGGACTGCTGCTCGTTTACGTTTTGCGCCTCAACTGCTTGCTCGTTGCCATACAATTGAGGCGAGTGAAAGGATTGCTGGTGCTGATCCATGTTCATCGGATAAACGTGCTGTTGCTGGACCACACCTGGAACGAAATACAATCGAGCAACCTGGTAGACCTTGGACACAAAGAACAATGCTAAGTCTTACTTACTATCAATCTCTTTTAAGCACGAAAAAGACATGGAAAGGAAAAATGACAGATCGCTACCTCTAAGTCTAAGCGAACGCGAAAGACAAATAAAAAGCTCATCCTCATGTCACATTATCTTCCCTGTTGAAGAAACAATGCTAAGAAAATTATCGCCCATGACGCCAGGCTTCAAAGATTTTAATTTGTATACTGGATAGACATTGGAATGCCAACTCTACCTGTTTCTGCGTCTCCAAGTATTTCCTTCTGTTGTTCCTTCCGCGACAGTTTTCCCCAGAATCGTTTGCTTTCGCTCGAGCCTCTGCTGCTCAATTCCTCCTCTGCAAAGCCACGGATTAGATGATACTAACTTCTTAGAAGATCATCTAGATGTATTTAGGTCATATTTGTAAGTACTAGTAGAAGAAAGAAGGCGCGTCATCTACTAATATGCCTGTTCTTGCAGTAGAAAACAAATGAGGTCTAGGCCAGATTCAGGTAGAGGCAACTACCACTACATCGGAGGAAGCCATTGAGTGATGAACTAATCTAAGTACTTTGCTATTTCATAGCAGTCGAACCTATTGCTCTAGTCAAAATGAAGATGACTACTATGAAGATGACTACTTAGGCACATGAGTAGTAGTTGTCACAACTTTCTTTATAGCATATTGTTATGTAGTATCTTCTAAGTATCTAACAGTCGCACTAGACTGGCAGCATTTCGGCTTATCAGTGTATGGCTCTGGTATTTGGCAACCTGAATTCGATCACAAGGATTCCCTTCTTGTTTTCCTCATGATCAAAATCAGGTTACCAAATACCAGCACCTGCACCATTCATTCAAGAACCACGTACAGAAAGACTATTACAGGTTGGTAGAGAAACTATACTACAGGTAGAAAGACTACGACAGGTAGAGCGAAAGTGAGAACATATCATCATGGAAGCAAGGAAACTAGGAGAAAAAAACTATGACTATCGAACCGCTGTTAGTTTTTACTTAAATATCATTGAACTGTCCACATAAGAAAATCTGACAGAGTGGCTGCTGCATCAGGCATCCAATCCACAGCTTCGGTGATCCGTGGCTAGCTGACGGGTATCTGCCTTGTTTCTCCTCAAGCCTCTATTAGGAGCTGGTAGCTGGAGGAGATAAAGACAGATCTAGTACTATTTCTAGTTTTAGAATCTACTAGAGGAAATCCAGATTGAGATATCAAGTAACTACGGCTTTACTAGTTGCTCAGGTGTCTAGAACTAAAGTCAACATGCGTCATCGTAAGCAAAAAGAAATTTATTAGCACTAGAGCTAATAAATTTGCGTGTCTTAATCATCATGCTAATGTTATTTGCGTGTCACCTAGGTGTGCTATTGCGTGTCTTAATGATGACAGAGTTTCCGCATCTCGTGCTCTTTCACGACAACCTGCTTGAACTTTGAACGGCTTCGCCGTGTCGTGTAGACGAAGAGAGGCACTTGAGGGGCCCAGGAGCAGAGTTGGTGTGGGTTTCGTTCATTGCGCGCCTTTACGCATTCTTCTTGGAGTCCCTCTAGCAGTTTGCTGGTATTCACTTTTCGGTTGTTGTCCTAGATTAGAAGAGGCAGCTGTTGAGCAGTAAGTCATCTAGAAGTGGTAAGTCATCTAGAAGTATCTACTTCCACCGTCGTGGGTAAGTAGTGGCGAGACGAGAAAGCGCAGACCCCTCAAACTAATAGCAAGCTCAAGTTGTTGAGGTAACAATATGATGAAACTTCCACAAGAACGATCTCCAAGATCTAGATTTGTCACTATTTTCTTAAGACTCGAAGATACAGGCTCAGGATACTGACATCACCCAAAGGCCCTCCCGCGTCCAAAGCTTCAACGCGTGGTATGAAGGACGATGCTTGTTCTCCCCTCTAGCTCTAGTAGAGGCAGACCTATAATATCGAGGCACATCGAGGCCCCCCTTAACCTACGTAACCTATAATAGGAGTGGTGGCGCCAACCTAACTAGGAAAAGACCGAAATAAATCAAAAGAAGGTGAAGATTTAGACTTAACGGGAAAACAAGGCGGCGGCCGCCTAGATCGAGTATATGGTCTGTTATTAGTAATTGACTAAAGTGGGAGAAAAAACATCAGTCATATGTGGGTAGTCTTGATTGGAACTCATTTCCACCAGCAATTTATTAGGGCTGTCAGATACTCATCTCTGTCCTGCATCCCTGAACTGTATCACCATGTGGATACTCAGCCACACGCTTCAGGGATGCCCTCAAAGATGAGTTATCTTCTCTAGCCTTAAACTTACGCAATCCAACGTGGCTGAACTTATTGTCGGACAAATGGAGCTCCTTCAAAGACCGTTTTCCCAAAGTTTTGCCCAATCTCTCTACACCGTTGTCACCTGTCGTGTGCCGTGTGTGAGCGAGAGTGAGAGTGAGAGAGTGCGTGGTGAAAAAAGAAGGACAAGTGTTAGTATTTACTCTCAAGAAAATTTCCAATCAAGTTTATGTTTAATAAAGCACCAGGCAATTTTATTGAATTGCTACAGTGCTACGATCCAAACTAGCATTAGCAGTCGGACATTAGGCGATCTATCGCGAATATCCACGACTTTCCTAGTTGAAAAAGCCGTAGTAGATGTATGCGCATAGCGCGGTCAACCACAACGACAAGGACAACCTCCAACCCCTCACTCATTCATGTGCCGCCACCGCCTCCATTATTTTTTTGTTACCTGGGTCTACAATTTCGCGCACTACGAACATTCAACAATTACCCAGCGGGAGGCCAAGGCCTGAAGCACGACGGCCAGGCACGAAAAATACGCAAACGGTTAAGCACGACGGCAACCGCTATGAACTAACAACCTACAGCGATAAAAAGCAACCATGATGGGCGCTATCAGATGTACCCCGAAGACACAACGCTACACCCTGAGAATCGAACACGTGATGCGCTAGATCAATGGGGAGGCCTCTTCTAACTCTAACTGATCACGCGCATGAAACGCGGGCGAACTCACGGCGCGAAAAGCGGAGCCACTAATTTAAATAGATCCAAACGCTTTAGGGTAAGTCGGCCCACGATGAATCTTTAAGAATTCTCCAGCTATATCATCGGATTGGTGGAGCTACACTAGACTAGGGTCTTCAAACTTCGTGCACCATCCTCAACCGCGTCCGGCTTCCGCAATCGCCAAAAACTAACCAAAAAGAAAAACAGAAACCGGAGGGCTTACGCCAACCAAAGGGGCTACCTTATGCCTGAACCCCACCACTCACTCTGCTAAGAGCTGGCGGGAGATAAAAGGATCGGCGGGGGAGAGCGCTGGGACGCTCTCCCCCTTTTAATTAAGCTGCGAGCAAGATCTGAAACTTTTCTATTCTTCCACCCTTCTTTTTTTGTACAAAAACTCTCTGTAAGTAATCGCCTCGAATCGTCAACGTCAACGACAATTCCCTCTAGTACGAAGAAGAGTATGAGTTGATATAGTTCTTCTGTACCAATCTAGCTGAGTTCTTCTGTATCAATCTAGCTGAGTTCTTCTGTATCAATCTAGCTGAGTGACTGCAGCATCCAAAAAATCAAAATCATGAATACCAATCGCATTCTTGTACAACTTGAGGATGTTAAGATGGACCGGCGTCTTCGTCTTCTTGTCCAAGTAGTTACACAAACAGTTCACCGCCATATCGCCCAAGATTAGAGGAGGTTCCCCTTATGATTTATTCCCCTTCAAAGCACCAGACGACATCAGCCACCCAACAACACACCAAGATTTGTCATGTCATGGCGCCTCTCATGTAGCTACTGCTGTCTACTTGTGAGGCCATCCGTAGCACCTTGATTTATTCCCCTTCAAATCACAAGAGGACGTCAGCCACTCAACAAGACACCAAGAAGTACTCACACCAGGTCCAGGGCCAAAACATACAACTAAATGAGGTGAGGCGGGTACTAAATGAAGAGAAGATACTAAAAAAAGAACTGAGGGCAGTACCAAGCGAACCTCACAACTCGGCACGCCAGAAGCAGAAGTAGATAGCATTTTTTTGGATTTTTTTTTGGATCGTGGGGCCACTAGCTTGGGACGATGTATATTCCTATAATTAATGGGGGAAAAGCAGCCAGCTCCTGATACTCGTGAAAGATGATCACGCACAAGCCTTAACAAATGCTGGCATGAAAAATCGACCTCCTGTAGCAGCATAAACGGTTGGTTGCTTTTCGGCGAAATCAGCATTTTTTTCTGGACTTGGACGCTTCAAATTAGAAATAGAATTCAATTGAGAGTTTTCGGAGTAGGTATTTTTCTTGGAAACTTCAATAAATTCCAACAAAGAGACTACCAACTTAGAGACTCTCTACTGGGAAAGGACTAGAGAGTATGGCGCATTCTAACTCTTGGAAGGGATGAGGAGATTCGGGGATGGAGTACTTTTGGGGAATTTGTTGATGACAAGCGCGTACTTCTTTCTTGATTTCTTGCAAAGACTTTGCATTTAAGTGGCCATCTTTCTTGGATTGTTTTACTACTCTACTATCACCTGGGCAGATTGTTTTTACTACTCTACTTACTAAGATGTCAGGTTGGATTGTTTTACTTCTACTCTACGATCCTTCTTTGCGACGAAGACTTTATTGCATCTATGAAGTTGGGGCCATCTACTTTCTTGAACTTGAAAAACTGTCCATCATAAGAGCTCTTGCTGCACGTAGTCGACAAAGTCTTCGTCCGTGTACCACGTAAATCCCCTTTGCGTACACCGCACGTAGTATCCTTTGCTCTCGCAGTCTTTAATCCGCTTCACTTCAACTAGTGGCGTTTCCTCATCATGACGAGGGGAGGAAGACCTGTAAAACAGTGGATATGTAGAAAGAAGATGAAGCAGATCAGGATGCTTTCTCTTACTCAACTTCTAGATTCTACAAGGTCTTACTCAACTTCTAGATTCTTCCAGGTTCATATTCAACAAGGTTGAAACTTGAAGTTGAAACTCACGCAAGGAGAAAATTGCTTGCTTGCACGTTCTGACCGCTCTAGTCCATTTGTTTCTAATCTATCAACTATCAAAGTCAATCAATAGGATCGTACTTCTTCATATCGGAAGTGCGGCAGCATCATCTATCAAAGTCAATCAATAGGATCGTACTTCTTGGTATCCGAAGTGCGGCAGCTGTTTCCTTGACGACGCTCTTCTTCTTTCAACGCAAGACCACGTAGCGCCTTTTCCTTATGCTGTGGCGTGGACCACTTTGTAGAGTTTTTGATTTTCGAAGCTTCTCCTACTTCCTGGCCATCAGAGTCCTCGTCCTTCCCCTTCTTTCCGACATACTGTTTTTCTCCATCCGTCATGCTCCGGCTCCTCCTGGTCCTGTATCCTGGCGTGAATATGGCACCAGTTGTCGGCGAAGTCCCGCTCATCTTAGATGAAGAACTTCAATGATCCACTTGCTGTTGCTAATCATGCATAGTATTGCATGAAGGGATAAGTCTAAGGGCAGAGGGAAAGCTGACCGGTTGCCTTACTTTTGTGCTTTGAGCGTCACTGGGCCTGAGCCTCATTCTTATATATGACCCTTGGGCCTCTCAGCGTGTTCCTAAGGGACCGCCTGGCCTCTGCTGCCCCTCGCAGGCGGGAGGCCTCCCGGGTCAAAGGCCGCCGGAGGCGGCCACGGTCGCAAGAGCAAGCAAGCCGATGACCAAGGGCCCGCAGGGTACAGGCGGCACGGCTCAGGGGGTCCAGCCCCTCGCCTTTTGCCGCCTTCGGAGGCCTTCCGCTGCCGGCACACTGCTGCGGCGGCGAAGCCTAACGGATGCACTTAGGGCACAGGCAGGCACCTGGGCGGGGGCGCAGGCGGTCCCTTGGGCCCCTTTTGAAGCCTCCCACCACCATCGGAGGCCCCTAGGGAACAGCCAGGCAGCTGGAAGGGAGCGGGGGGGACCCCACTGGGCCCCCTATTGAGGCCTTCCCCCCCGGCACACGCCTGCAAAAAGGGACCAGGGCGCCCGGCCCCCCCCCGCTAGGCAAAAACAACAACAATAGTACTATTACTACCAAGATGAAAGCAGCTCCTGCAGGTGGTAATAATAGAGGACGCGCAGGTCGTGCTGGACCTGGAGGAGAGTATCCTAATACAACAGGTGCTGGAGGAGACGTACAACCAGAGCTACCCGCGCTAGACCGAGAAGCCTTCGTGCCATACCTCTTCCGGATCCACCCTAGCGCCTAGTCTTTACAAAGAACAAGTGAATCTTCGGAAGTTCTAACTGTAAGTATCACTATGCAAAAATGATTGCAGTTACTCTTACTACTCGAGATTAATATAATTTCAATTTGTATTGAGGCGTCGAAAGAGCACGTGAAAAAACTAAAACTTTGGTAGATGCACTCATAAATGCTCCTGTAGACGCAGATGCCGCAGAGCCTTGCTCCTCCTCCATGGTTCTTGCTCTAGTCAGACTTGTTAGAAATAGAACTATAACAAAAATCCATCGCCAGCAGCATCCTGATCCCCGTTTTCAGGGAGGGACTCAAGATTTTCTGGAACAAGCTGAAGATGGATCTATTTTAGCCTACTTAATGTAGACGCTGTATCGATGGTCTGCTTTGGTCTCCAGACAAGCTTCTCAACTATCGGAGGCTTTCCCCAACGCTGCTGCAAGTCCACCCCCACTTCATAGTCCCAAGCAGATCGAATACTCGCCCGATTGCGATTGCGGCCTCGACCTCCCCGAACGCGTCGTTGTCCATCATAGCCGCCTGAGGAACACGAATAAGGCGTTGTATTTACTTTTAGTAAAGGGAGGTGGATCTTGACCTTTCTCTTTTTGCGAACTTCTTCATCGTAGCCGACGCGTCCTGCCCACGCGATGAGCACTACTGATGTAAGGAGAGCCTGCAAATGTTGTGGGCTCTATTGTACGGGAATTTTGGTGAACTGCAACGTGCTACATACAGACATTGTATACGACGCGTCCTGAGCAGAGTAGTAGGTCTAGGTGCATCTTCTTTTTTTAGTACAAATCAGTCGTTCTTGATCTTTCTTTTTTTGAGATCATTATGATTTTTGACATTGCAGCATAGAAGCTGTAGTAAGAGATCATTATGATTTTTTTGACATCTTTTGTCTTGACATACAGGGCAAAAAACATTTGGATCATACAGAAAAGCGATTAGGGCAAACAAAATTTAGACAACTTACTTCTGAGTTTGTCCATTGCAAAGCTCGGGTCCCAAGATGTAGTTGGTGGCATGCTCCTGGTCGACGTAGCGCCTTCTTTCTCTGGCGTCCCTAACTGCACGGTTCCTCTGTCCTGTGCCTCGTCGTTTCCTGTAGACAGAGGAATGTGCCGTCTAGGTCTACAGCATCTTAGAAAACGAAATAAAGTAACGGAGGAATATACATAGATTTTTTCCTAACAACTACAATGATAACCCCCTCCAGCGACGACACGGGTGTCTATCACGAAAGTGGCTGCAAAAGAGATCCCTTCAAACCGAGAGACGCCCTCAAGGTGCCAAATCCAGCAGCCCCATCTTTCCCCCTGGCTATCCTATTCCGCGCGCAGAGATGGTACAAACAGAGATACGGCACCGGCAGGAGCACTGCGTCGGGGCGGGTAAGCAGAAGCGATTGGTACGAAAAGGAGAGACACGTCCAGAAACGACCGTTACACTTGGAAAGGAGAAACACTATTCTATTTCTAACACATTTATATGGAAACCGGTAGGACCGGTAGGACCAAAACCTGGGCAAAACTAGTACGAGTAAACAAGTAGAAATCTCCATATTTTTAAAAACTATAGTAGTTGTAGAACGCGAAGTTACCTACACTAAAGCGGAATCTCCATATTTCTAAAAACTATAGTGGTTGTAGAACGCGAAGTTACCTACACTAAAGCGGAATCTCCATATTTCTAAAAACTATAGTGGTTGTAGAACGCGAAGTTACCTACACTAAAGCGGAATCTCCATATTTCTAAAAACTATAGTGGTTGTAGAACGCGAAGTTACCTACACTAAAGCGGAATAGTTTCTTGCGCAAAACGGCATCGGCCCTGGTAGGACTACTCACCGGAGATTTCCCAGCCCCACCGACTCCTGATCCTTCTGCGCCAATTGTGCCAATTGTGCCAGTGATGTCGTCGTGCTTCGCCGCGCCGTCCGTCACTGTGCCAGTCGTCGCTCTGCAGCTCATGTTCCCAGTTACTTCCTCATCTTGTGATGATGTGGAATCCATCGCCTCGATCGGAGAAGATAATCCTCCAGCATCCTCGTCTAGTAGCGTCCCGTTCCCGCTAGAGTCCTCTACTCTGACGCTGCTGTTTGTCATGGCGTTGCTGTTTGTCATCGTCAAAGCGTCGGCCACGCTTTGGAGCCAGCAGCGCGTGAAAGAACGAGATGAAGAAGGCTCCTGCTTGTCTACTTCATCTGCTTTTTTTTCTTCTACTTTTAGAGCTACCGCGTCGCATCCCTGAGCCCATCCTTGAGCCCCTTGAAAAGGAGGCCAACGATGACATTAAGGATATGCTTCAGCGGTAGCCATAAGAGTAGCACTTGGTCTTTCTCGTTTTCTTCCGACGCATTCTCAACAAATGTAGAACTAGAAGATGAGAATGTACTAGAAAGTGTAGTAGCTTTACCATGATTACCTTCAGGAGCGGGCTCGTCGAGGCAACCACCATATTGACCTTCACCACTAATCTTGTCTTGTTCCCGCAGCAGTTGCTCCCAGGCATTTACTTCTATATTCTCTTCATCCCCAGCATCACAGGAGACGTCCACTAGATCTACATCCTGAGACACTAGACCTACACCCTGAGACACTAGACCTACATCCTGAGACACATCAGCATCGGGTGTCTCAGGATCCTTCTTCACCATCCCATCTTCACCCATAGTTCCGGCAAAACCGTGGTCAGCCGCTTCCTCCATATCCTGCGAGCGCTCCCGCATCTCGCTTTCCCCGACTGCTTGCTCCTGCATCGTGAAGGTTGCCTGCTTACCTTTTTGTTCTAGTACTTCTCCGTCGCGCTCCTGCACCTTCACGACGTCTGGGGTGCGACGAGCATGCAAGACAAGAACGGGGTATGAAAGCGATATCTTTTTCAGGTATGAGACTCTCCTTTACTACCTAAGAGTACTGCTTTTTTCTTCGTCCTTTTACTTCAACTTTTCCTACTTACAAAAAACCACGATCCATTAAAACACATCTTAATTTATACACTATTCCAAAAACTTTTTCATTTTCAAGGTACAGTGGTAAAACTCTTGCTTTCGCCACTCTGTTGGAACTTGATGGTCTCTCCCTGCAAATGGGTTTGGGACCATTGATTATTCGGAAAGGAAGGATAAGTGCAGACATGCAAACACGATAAGGCCAAGCTTTGGGAAATAGCTGCGAACAGCAAACAACTAGGTAGACTGATAATTTGAGTCTATTTTTCGGTAAGGCGCCTAAGTAGAAGTGTGCACATCACTAGAAAAAGTAAAGCTTCACGCGGTCGTTACCTCCTTCTTTCTTCACTGTAGCTTCTACATGCTCCTTTCTACATGCTCCGTTCTTTAGTGTCTCCTTGTACCCTACGAGATCGCCACAGCTGTCCAAGCGAAGAGAGAGTAGTTGCCATTACGATTACAGGGCCTTGGGCCGCCAAGACCCGATGTAATGCTAATTGATACGAAACAGATGAACCTGCAATGAGCCTCGAAGTCGCCCCCTTCAACTGAATAAGAATCAGTAGAGTGGGCGAAGGAGAATAGCAGACGGAGATGGTGCTGGCGAAGGAGAATAGTAGCCGGAAATGGTGCTGGTGGAAAAAAGTGGATACGGTACGATGAAGATCATTCTTTTAGTTTTTCCTTGGAAACGACCCAAATTAATAAATAGGGTATAGCTCCATGCAGGAATGTGAGGTTCATCTTGAGCCACTCATCAAAAGTGCCAACAAGTAATACGATACTTGTTGAGCCACTAAGTATATTAAGGGTCCGGGTACCTCAGTAATACAAAGGACACCAATACTAATCCTCGGCTCCATATAGTACTACCGCTTTGATATTGATTTGGTCGCACTTCGAGTGGTGCGAGCACTGTGAGAGCAGCTACTTACGATCACAAAAAGTTCTTTCACTTTCAACTTTTCCCACTTGAAAATCTTGAAAGTGGAGGAGGATTTCGGTATGGTACGCACTGCTCGTACTCCTACTGCTACTTCTCCATAATCTCCAGCAGTATAATATTTGCAGTCTTCCAGAATGTAATAAATATATTTCCGCCAGTCTTCCCACCATAATGATAATTCATACAATCCATATCGAACAAAGCCGTTGATGTATCTTCCCAGTGCTTGTTTTGTCCGACTCCGAGGAGCAACGCGACGCCTCGCGAGGCTAATCACGGCGGGGGGGAGTATCAACCTAATAATCTAAGGAGTAATAGTCTTCCACTCGCAATCATCAGTTCGCCGGAAAGCCTTCAACGGCACGGACTTTCACAACAGGAGCAGCAGCAGCTTTCGTTTAAATACTGCATGGATTTCATCATTTTGCTGAATGCTGATTTTTCAACATTTCACTTGCAAATTTTTCAAGGTTGAAAGCTTTGGAGAGCGTAAGTTGGAAAAGCGCGAGAGTGAGAAGATCAGGTGGACTCTTTGTTCAGACGAAAGGAATAGATCATTACCTTGTCATTGTGGTTGCGGAGGAGTCAAAGTCCATTTTTTTTGAATTTCTGTCATCAACATTTTGAGTTTTTTCCACGCGCTTTTTCTACGGTACACAGTTACTCAGACCTTAACTTTGCATATTTTGAACACGCTCTTTCTACGGTTGTACCCAGTTACCCATCGGAGGAGGTCATAAGAGTCGTGCCACATACATCACAAACAGAAACATGACAATCATGTTGAAGCACGAATTAAAAGGTGCCCCTCAGGGCTCAGGCCCACAAGAAGGCAAGCATAAAGATAAATACCTCAGCCACTGTGTAGAAAAGGTGCAGAAGACCAGTCCAGTCACCCGAAAAAAATACCACTTCGATTTTCCAACATATTTTCCGGTCCAAGAAGCAGGCCACGCGACGCCCCGCGAGGCTAATCACGGCGGGGGGGAGTATCAACCTAATAATCGACTCGAATTCTAAGATCTTTCAATCATCAATGCGACCACTGGTCGTTACCAGAAGCACACACAGCAATTTTGTTTACAATAGCAGCAGCAGCAGCAGCTTTTCTTTTCATCACGACTGCATGAAATCCATTTGACTGAATGACGATTTTTCAACAAGCTTTCACTTCAGCGCATACACATTTTTCGAAGTTGATGAAACGTCGAGAGAAAGGCTTATTTCATTTCTTCCACCATCGTTTCAACTGGTGTGAATAAACTTCAGCTTCACATAACTACTAGGAACTGCATCCCAGCACCAACACAACTACAGACAACGCATGGAGCACGATTATAAATTCCGTTGGAATCGGGTCACCTCGTTGTCGTTCAGTCAAACTACTTAATACTGCATGGAAGACACCTGTCCCACAAATGGGCAAATACGTTTTTTACGTCCAAATTTCAACCGAGATTCTTGGAAGTATTCATTCACATGCAAATTCAGAGGTTGTTGTCGGTAATGATCAAAATCTTGACACGTTCTACTTTTTGCTTCCCGCAGTAGTCAACATTAAGGACTTCTTCACTACACACATCAACATCAGTTCTGCAAATTTCTTGTCTTTCTCTTTCCCTAAATACAACGCGCAACAGCATCTTCTCACATGAATTCAATCTTGCTCTGTGCCTCTTCTGAGTTCACCTCTTCACGCGGTCCATAAAGCATCAACCTCTGATTCGGAGTAAGGGTGGCATGCCTATGAACGAAATTTTCTGCATCAGTGGCATTTCTAATAGCCTGTGCCAGGTCACCGGTTTGCGGCACGTTCCGTGAAGTGTGATGAGCGTTCGCGAGATGCAGGAGATTAGAAGGGATGGAAGAGTAATAATAAAGTCTGAGACACATCCATGAACAGAGAAGACATAACATTTGCGCGGTGGAAATGCTCCCAAACCTCATCCAGCTTCGATGCGTTCCCACCTATCACGCCGCCCATTGTGAGAGGACTTGTAATTGATACTCGCCCTGCTATCCGCTAATCAAAGCTGTCTGCCTCGTCGCCTCGTCCCACCCGGGCAATGCACTAGATGTTGAAGACCGATCAGGCATTTTTCTGGTTTGAAGGACTTCATGATTTCAACGCTTGTCAGGAGAATGTGCTTTATCAAAAGAATAAGAATCTGTGAATGATTGGCTCGTAGGAGTGGTGTTCATCAACGAGTATACCCGGGAAAGAAACATGAATATCCTTAGTTCCTTGTCTTAGTATTAATCCTTCTATGACTACCGGATGCGACGAATCACGGACAGAGAACTAGTCACTCTCGTATCCTTCTCAAGTGGTCTTTACGATCGCCTTTCTGCTCGACGAAGCACGAAGATAAGTGAGTGAGTGGCTTTCATAATAGCCTCCCGCTCAAGTCGCGGAAGAACTTCCACCACGACTGCACCGCCGATTCGATTCCGACTGCTCGTGAGTTGCCGAACCGAAAGATGCCGAAAAAACGATGGCGACGATCACACGAAGTAATTATCTATAGTGCCGCGACATGAGGAGCCAATAGTAGAACAACTTGTTCTAGTACGTGATTCTGATTGCTTTTCGTCCATAGCTCCATAGAGGACTAGTTGTAATGACCTTCTCTATCTTTGTCAAACTTTTGTTGCATTCCTTACAACTACAACAAGTATTTGAATTTCTAATGTTGATGATTGTGCTACATCTATTTTCTATGATTTGCGTGTTTTTCTACAAACTACTTACTTAGTTCTGTCACTTTAATCATGATGTAGAGGTTCTATATTGTTTATGGTACTTTATTTTGATTGTAATCATATTAACAAACGTTTCTGTTTCTGCTAATTAGGATAATAAAAGTGTTAATGTTAATCATGCTGTCGTTAAGCCTGATCTTGTCTCAAAATCATAGATAAGTGGTCTCGAAAAGAAAGTTCTGAGTACGTTTTTTTCAGTAATTTCCTTGTCTAATGTGCTAGCAACTACGCATATTCAAGTGCAGCATGTTGACAGTTTCTAGAAGTTGATGTTGAAATTTTTCCCAAATACAATTTTGTTTAGCAAGTCCATGTACATATTGTCATACTTTCAGCACAGGAGCTTCTACGTTTTTAAACCCGATTTGATGGTTTTTTCGCCGCCGCGGGTGGTATCGCGCTACCCTCTCTTCTCGCGCCCACTGATGACGCCGGTCGCCCCCCTGTGGAGGTCTTGTGTTTCACCGATCCTCGCACATCATCCCCATTCGCCGCGTTTCCTCCCTTCGCCATGGCCTCTGCGAGCAACTCATTGAGCATTGAAATCTGTTGTTCATGTTGCTCGTATCGTGACTGCATTTCGTCCTGCTCTACCTTCCGAATCGCTTCCAAATCGTCCTTGAACTGCTTGCGCATGTTCGTCTTCTCCTGTTCAAACGCGTGCTTCAAGGCGATCTTGTCGTTTTCTGCATCTCGCAAAACGTTCTTACGTTCAACCTCGAACTTCTTCTTGAACTCATTCAAGCGTTTTTCCAATTCTTCTTTGAGCGCTTCTTTCTCAGCAGTGAAACGATCAAGCATCTTGTATTTTTCATCGATGAATTGCTGTTTCAGCTCTTTCACTTTCTTCTCACCCTTGCCGCTAGTTCCGTCATCGCCAGCACCGGTCTTTTTCAGGTCCTCATTCTCCCTTCGGAGTTTTTCGTTCTCCTGGGTCAAAACATCGATTTCAGCCTTCTTCTGCGCATTTAACTGCACAAGTTGCATCTCGGACATCGTGCCTTGTTGATTCTCCAACTTCTTCAGTTCCAATTGCTGTTTGTTCGCCACAGCAACGGCCTTTTCCATCTTCTGCATCTTCGTCTCCAGTGCTTCTTTATCGTTCTTCAAACTCCTGGCTTCCTTCCGAGTCAAATTCAACAAATCGGTGAACTTCTGGATGTCCTTCATCTTTTCCTCTTCCTTCTCACGCAGCCAGAATTCCATCTCCACGGGTCCAGCCTCGACCCAAGGGTCTTCTTTGAGGTCCACAAAGAAGGAAACGCCAGACATCCAGTTATGATAAATATCTCGCATCATGTCCAAACGACCCAAAAATTTGGTAATAGACCAAACGAACAAAACTTCATGCTCGTCCTCCTCGCGATCGGTAGCGTGAGCGTGCAATTCATCGTATTCTTGGAGGTGGGATGCCTGAAGAAGTATTAAGAGATAGAGGAAATTTGAAGATTTCATGTTCTTCTACCAGCTTCACTACTAGGAGGATTACATGGACCACGCTTAAGTCATTCAAAACTCAAGGTTCCTTCCAAACTTGTCAACCAATCACGACGGTACAAATGCCTGAACCAAGAGGAGGAAGGTATGACCAAACAAAAAAACTCACCTGCAACAATGCTCCTTTTGCGAAGTGAATGCGGTCGCGAATGTTATGCCAACGCTTCTGGGCTGGCGTCAACAACCGAATGACGCGAATCAACAACTGCGGCATATAGTTAGCCGACGGATACCCCGTAAACAAGGCTGGTGCCATAGTGTCCAACTCGAATCGCAGGTTGTCTTGCGGTCGCACAGCGTGCGTGATCTCATTCGCTTCGTCAACCAAGTGCTTGGTCTTCTTGGCTTCATAGAGAAAGCGGTACACGCGAGGTTCTTGGTCGATGGACAGGTTCTTCAAACTAGCTAAGTACACTTTTGCAAGGTAGACCTTGGTCTGATCAGTGGCGCTGTCCTCACCGAGGAGATCCTTGATACATTTTTCAATCGATTCGGAGGTGTTGTACTGGGATCGTCGCTGACGGGGTGTCTGACAACCGTTGGTACCACGCTCATGCAACTTCTTGTCGCCCTCAGCTTCGTCCACGTAACACCGGAAAATGTGCGCGCGTCTGATGTAATGTTGATCAAATGCTGGGTTGGAGAGGCAGAAGTAGTTTGTATCGCCCAGAGACATACACTGTAAAACGAGAAAGAATCAACCAAAATAAGTCCCAGTGAGATGAATAATAAGTAAAACTCGTCCTCTTCGTCAATTAAGATGGAAGAAGTCCTCGTCGCTATCAGCTCTTAGGCTGCATGTGACATCAAAACAATCTTCTTCATATTAAAATTCTCCAAGCAACAAGATGAACAAACATCATGACTCGTTGATGTAGATCTTCAAGTACCCCAAAACCACTTTGTCTCCCTGTTTGCACTCGTGCGGCTCGCCCACTGGCAAAGCCTCATTGTTCAGCATCACCACGCCTTCACCCGAGATTCTGGTGAGCGTCAGCTTCACTTTCCGCTTCGCCGCCTGATCATCTCCCTCCAAGGACTCCAATAAATTGTCGATCTCGGCTTCCTTCCCCTTCTTCTCCTCAGATGTTGCGTCCTTCTTCGAAGGTCGAGCCGTCTCGATGATCTCAGCGTCAAATCGTGCTAGTTTGGGAGAAATACCCAAGCCTCGAACCTGGATGCACTTCGTGGATCCCATGCCGTCGTCATCGTCGTCATCAACGTCTTTGATGCTGCCGTGATGACGACGTCCCCCAGACGCGTTGAGAGACATTTGTTGGGCGTATTTCTCCAGAACGTCCACGTCGCTCCCGAGGAAAAAGCTGCCACCCTTCGCGAAGGAGTAGACAATGCGACCAGTCATGTGCGGATCGGAGCTCTCGTTCGAAATGTACGGCACTGGTTGAATGAATTGCTCGCGCATTTTGGCCAGCTGCTGCTGATACTTCATCTTCTCAAGTCCTAGCTTCTTCAGCATCTTGTTACGCTGTTCCGCGTGTGCCTCAGCTTCAGATCGGGCATCTTGCCAGCTCTTGTTCTTCTCAGCCAGAGCTGCGTGGGTGGCATCCAACTGTTCCTTCAAGTCGCGAACCGCGAACTCATCAACACGACCGGCCACCTTAGGAGCGTTCGCCAACTGGTCGCGGAGGCGCTTCACCTCCGCATCCAATGCAGCGACTTGATCCGTCTTCGAGCCCTCGATTTTCGAGGCTTTCAGCTTGATATTTTTGACCGTGGCAGCGAAGCGTAGCGTGACTTGGTTCTCCTCAAAAGCGGATACGGCTGGAGACAGAGTGCCGATCATATACGTCTTCGAGTTGCCGGATAAAGCCTCAGAGAGCAATAGAGTCAACTTGCTGTTTCGGAAGTTAGCTTGGGAAATATCACGCTGAGTCTGTGCCACTTTGGCGTGGGCGCCGCTTGGTGCGGCTTTCTTCTCCGCTTTTGCGGCGGCAGCTTCCGTCGCAGCACCTAAGGCGTGAATGCAGTTTGCCAAGTGGAACAAACTCTTGTTGATGAAGCTCAACTCCACCAAGCGTTCACCTGTGGCTAAAGTGGTTCGCTCGTTCTCGCGTCCCGCCAGATCGACAATGAACAGTTCGTTGGTCTCGTGTCTCTCCGTGAAGCCCTCCTTCACATCCTTCTCGACCTTCATCGCGAAAATGGTGTGACCACGAGAGGATTGCGCGTTCATCTGCGTCGCGGCGACGGTCTTCATGGTGACACCGTACTCCAGGAGATGGACACAGTCTTCCACGGTCTCAACTGCATTGATGGTCAAATCTGGAACGTAGACGCCCAATTTTGGATGCATACGCACGTCCAGCTTCTTCTGCGCCTTGCCCGGAGTATCTGGTGGAAGTGGAAAATATACTGGGCCGTGAAGATGTTCATGTTGATACGTACACGAGAGATAAACCAGTAGAAAACTGAAAACATGATTGTATCGATTCTTGATCTTCACCTCGTTTAGTCACTATTTAATGCCAGGTGAAGGTTGTGGTAGGCGCAAGCTAGTACAACAAATAGAAAATGACCAGCACAATAAGCTAAAACTACGTACTGCGCACCATATTAAATGCAAGTTAGTACATGTTAAAATAGAATAACTACCATGTGGTCTCAAAAGATCGCTTATTCTTTCGTTGTAGATTTTTAGTACAACCATGTGGTCTCAAAAGATCGCTTATTCTTTCGTTGTAGATTAGTACCATGTGCATGTGGTCTGAGCAAATCGTTTATCCTCTCGTTGTAAATCTCCATCATCCTGACTCGTACGTCGATTGTCCACCCCTCCTTCCTCTTCTGACCCCAGAAGTCGAACAAGTCGTGCAATACTCGCGGCAGAATACCTCGCTCTTCTGGCGGGTTCATCTCACCCATAATCGAGGTCGTCTTTCCGGAACCAGTCTGGCCGTAGGCAAAGAGAGAACAGTTGAAACCATCGCGGACTTCGGTAAGAAGGCGTTTTTTACCCATGTTGACGTAGCAGGTGGCTTGGGATGCGAAGCTGGAACTCGTGGGGTCGCAAGAGGAGTCCCAGATTTCATCCAAAGCGAAGCTCTGCACATTCCCGGTTGCCTTATTCACGAGCTTGATGTCCGTCGACCCGCACTCCAAACAGCTCTCCTCCTTGGCCTTCTTCTCCCGAGGCACAAAAGGCCGCACGCGGATAGCAACGTAGATAGAAGCCATCTTGTCAAGGGGAACGGGATAATACGTGGCAGATGATAAGTAGTAAGTATGGTTTCGGATTGTAGTTGTAAGTAGGTTGATGTCCTATAATGAAAAGTTATTGTGGAAGAAGAGAGAGAAGAGTGAGGGTGGGGATCACTCTACAACTAACACGCGAAAGGGATGCTAACACAAATAGGATTACAAATATAACGATATGAAATCCTGCAAAAGATGGGGAATAAAGGCTGATGATACGGAAAGAGATAGAAACAGACTCGCTCACATGTCAGATTCACGCATGAGCTCTCAGCACAGAGAAGATAGAACACAGCATACTCTCGCGTGTGCAAGAACAGAGGACGCACTCTTAGATAGATCACGTCGCTACATTTTTCGTTTATCCCTTATCACCTTGGCACGCTAGGCATATTTGCCACTAGAACCACAGAGATCTCAACAGTAGGTAGCGCCTCTCGAGACAGAATCACAAGAACTCCACACAGAAAACCAGACACACTAAGAGTAATAGACTCTCTCTCTATCTATCTCTCTCAGACAGATTTTGTGATCTCAGATCTATTTTCGTCTCTTCAGTTTCGAGCTTGATGGAAATCATCATGCATGATCCTGAACATCAATTTTTACAACACAACGCGATAAGTAGAGCTTCACGCTCCATTCTTTTGAAAGTTCAAGAAGCTTCTTGGATCGTACTTTCACTTTTTATTGGTAGCTGTAGCTGGTGGCGCAGCATAAATTTGGTGAAAAACAAAACCTAGCTTGCTAACCGTCTCCGAATCGATCTCTCCGTATCTCGTATAAATTGTGCGTCTACATGGTCACAGGTCAGAGCTACCAAGGGTGGAGGTGGATGCGAAGCACTACTAGTTGTGCCAGTATCTCCTGTTCTACTAACATCTCCACTTCCACTTTGAGCAAGTACAAATAGCCGCTCAAAACCGTTGAGACTTCTCGAATTCGCATCCCGGAGTACTTTCCAGCTTTTTTTTCCCCTCTCGATTTGCTCCAGTGCTGGCGCGAGTGTGGAGGAGAAAGACAAGGCTATTAAGGGCGCTTTCTTCATCACGACAACATCTCTACTTTCATCTGAGTAGCAAGCTGTAGTACTATTTCTAAGCAGAGTTGTAGTAGATGGAAGTGTAGTCCCTGCGTCTTCGTTGACGTCCCCATTTCTTCCTAAGGAGGACACGTCATACCCAGCATCCCCTCCAAAGAGCAACGCCGCTTCCTTTTCTAGAATATAACACTGCCCTGCCAGTCGTCGTCTCAACGGAGCAAAAACGCTTCCTCCTCGATCAGAGAGGAAGTCGGGACATATAAGTCGCGACTTTGTTCTTCTTGAACAAGATGTTCTACTACTACTACTACTACTACTGCGTTTGTTACCAGAGGATGCAGCAGCGAGGTTGAGACCCTCCCGACAAGCGGCTTCGAGATCAGACAGGCCGTCGTCCGACTCCAAACTTGCCATCAGATTCTTGGCATCGTCCTCCACTTCGTCATCGATCAATCCATTGTCTTTAGTGCAGAAGAAGTGTTCGATTTGTTTTCGCATCATTTGACTGCAGATGTCTTTTTCTTTACACGTTGAACCCGATACCAGAATTGTGGTCCTTTTAGGAACAATAATGCATTCCTCTACAAGTGAACGCCACCTAGGACAGACATCTGCTTGCTTTCCACACTGCACCAGATGAGACCAAAGCAGAGGGAGTGCGGCTTTCGAGGGTACCTTCTCAGCATGGTCACGCTGATTTTCTGTGTCCCATTCTTCCAAAATGCTGGGCCAGTCAATTTCGACTCTCAAATTCAAGAACCCGACTGCCGTTGCAACCTTCCTTGCCATCGGTATGTCTTTTGAAAGCGATTTCTCAAGACCACTGGCTTTCTCATCTTTGTCCTGTTCCGTGACGGACCTCTCATTTTCCCCCAGACGAACGTTTTCCAACAACTTTTCTGCCAACTTCCGGAAGTCCAACAACGAAGCCGATCTTGTGAAAATCCGATCCGCTTTTCCATAAGCCTTCTCATTTCGGACATCGTCGGTGTCGCGTGGATTTCTCGAGGATTTCGACATTGCAGATCCTCCCATGGTGCCCTTCTCAGAGAGGTGCTCTTTTTCCTTGAAAGCAACACGAAGCGAATCTGAAAAATTTTCAGATTCGCTAGATATGCCACTGCCGATGCTCCCAGAACTACTGCTCACTGGCATCACAACCAATGTCTGATGCAGCAACACAATGATAGAAAAGGCATAGTGCGGGGGAAGAATTCCGGTCCTCCTATGTATTCCTGATCCCAACATCACGCTACTGCTACTTGTTGATCTAGAATTCGATATGGGCACCACAGCATCCTCCGTGTCCAGGTGCTCGTCATGAGCATCTACTTCTTCAATTGCTCTCGCAACCTCAACGGGAGACCAAGACGCCGACATCGACATAGCAAGATTACGCGCTAGCCTACGCACTATAGACCTCCCCCGAAGCCAATGGGCTGCGCTCGCTACACTCATCAGGTTCAAGAAATGCAATTGCGCAATCTTGTCTGAGTCAGGCGCCACTTTCCTCCCTTTTTTCATAACCACACCCACAGCTCGTTGAAAAAACCGTTGCAACTCTTTGCCTGAGTCGCGAGGCTTGTATTTTGTGCAGGCGAGGATTGGAGGAGGACACGGAAGTTTGTAGTTAAGGCTCGATGCTGAGATAGAGGGGTCCTCGTTCGGGTTTTCTTGTATTGCAACCGCAGTACTCGAGGATAAGATCTCTCCATTTTTTTGCTCCACCGCATTTCCTCCGTCATCTTGAGCGAGAGCCAGAACTTCACTCTTCTTGTGGTCCTTTTGAAGCTTGGTCTCTTGCAGTGAAGTAGCTGGGTTGCTCTGTGAACAGATCAGATTACGACCTTCTGCTCCTCCATCAGTCTCAGTCGTGGATATACCTGAAGTGACTGCTGGATCGGGAACCTTTCCATCTTCACCAACCAGTCGTGGCATTACCTTCTCTGCCTCATCAACCTCACCCAAAAACGGATTCGGTTCGTCACTGGCGTCACGCATCACTCTCCTCCGTCTCTGCCGAAAGGTGAGCTTTGGTGCACGCGAGTCTTCCATCTTCAGGGGCCCTGCACTTGGTAGTTGTAGCTGTTGTCTTGACTCAGCATCATCAGGATCTGCTCTAATACCTGCTGTTATTTCGTTTCTTGGCCCAATCATGTTTTCTTTACGCCGAAGCCTTACACGCGCAGCCTTTGCAAGTCTGCGGCAGCGCTCGCGCTGAGTCCATGATTTACAGTCTTCGAGTCTGAGCATATCGCCGGCTGCATTTAATCGCAACACGCTCCTGCCACGACATTTTTCCTTCTCACTTGCAGAAGTCTGAGGCAAATAAATCTCATCTTGTCCTCCGTGAGTACCACGGCGGGTCAATCCTAACCGCCAACCGGCACGGGAAAACATAGAATGAATCGACAAACCTCGAACCACTCTGCGGTCCTTTTGGGTGGCGGAACCAAGTGTGCTATTTGCTATTGCTGGCCTCACCACCATTTTTCCACCAGATGCGCAGGAACTGGGCACCAGATCCATATTTCCGCTATGGTGCCTCACTATTTCTACTGCACTCGCAACACCAGGGTTGTCCTTCTCATTCTTCGTTTTGACACCGGTTTGTGTAGGAAACAATGCATGCACAGAGCTAGCCAGTCGCAAGACCAGTGCCGGATTAGCTTCTTTTAACAGCCAGTCTTGCGTCTGAGGAGCAAGAACGACTCCGAGTAGTTTTTGCTTATACTTTGAAAACAGCCGCCGTTGTTCCTTCTGTCGCTCGTCAGCATCTGGCTTCTGATGCTGCAGCCGTCGCACTAAAGAAGCCAGTGCCAAAAGCGCGACGGTGGCTTGACTCCCATTCTTCGACTCTTTCAGCATCCGTAAAACGTGCTCTCGATGCCGCTTATCGGGAAAGGCAGGGTTGGCGACCGAGACGTCAGAGATTTCGTCATGTCGAGCCAAAGCACGGAGCGAAGATTGGTACTCAGCGTCCGTATGAGCCCGGTTTGCGCTGACACCTTCTACTGGTATGCTCCTAGACTGAACAGCGAGGCTCGAGAGCTGTCGAAAGGCCGCTTTTGTCAGCGGTGTACTCAGGGCAGTGCTGATTCGGGAGAAGTGCCAACAGGGGCTCATCCTGTGATTCGGAGCTTTCGAAGGCAACATGTTTTTCCTTTTTCTCTCAGGAAATTTGTTAGGCCACGGACGAACAAGAAAAAATGTCAAACATCCTTATGGATTCCTACTCTTGTTTGTATGCTGTACTTGTTGGTCAAAGTATAGTCTAGGCCTACCTCACTGATCGTGATCCAAGTTCCTCTGACAGAAATGGGGTTCAAGAGAAATCCGTCTTTCCTTTTAGTTTTGTAACCCAAATTCGAACTGATTTCAGAAGTAAAGATCATGCAACAAGATGAACACACTGAGTCCACATCATGCAACGACGACCAGGGTCTGCAACCTGAAAAACTCCGACAGTTGCAAACTTCCTCGAACTACTCTCTACAACCCATAGATGGGTATTTTGCGTTGTAGTCTAACGTATCTATAAATACTGTGCAACTTCGAGCGCTGGATGGTCGCCACGCCCACGTCTCCGAAGCAGCACAGACCGAATAATCGCACTATTACCTCGGCGTCCCACTGCAAACTGAGTGGAGAGTCGCTACTAGCTCAGTGTCCCAACCATCTGCAACATGAGTCGCCTCATCCTTTCGTCGATAGCGAACTTCTGCGCCGCTGATCGAATCCGCTTTTCTAGACTTCCTGCCATACTACCTGCAGTCCCTGGAAAGGCCCGTAATAGCCCAGGACTGTCCTCGACGTCTCTCCACTGCTGTGAAGCTGGAATGCCTTTGGAGAAGACTTCTTTGCGTTCATGCTGAAGCTCTAGATGCTTGCGTTCGGCTGCGAGGGCTTGTTCGTGGATCGGATTTGGTGGCGGCGGTGCTTTGCTTTTCGACGAAGATCCGAATAGAAAGCCGAAAATCCCGCTCTTTTTCTTTTCTGTATTAGCTGATTGCTCCAACACTGTTACCGGCATCACACGTTCTGACCGGTCCGGAACGGGTACCTGCGACTGCGGAGTCGCACGAGGACAAGGACCCCCAATCTGCAATGTTGGTAGGTCGCACAAGGCGTCGTTACTCCTGTCGACGAAGACGGTAGACATCCTCGGAGGCCGTCTCGGATTACATGCCCAGAATGGATCCGAATTCCAAGAGTGGTAAGGAAAAGTCTCTCCAGAGTCGGAGAAGAGAGCGGGTGAGCCGATTGTTGACAGCATTTTATTCTTCGGATCCGATATCCTTTGAAACCGGATAATGTTCAGTCTTTCTGGGATTTGAAACCTTCTTCGCCGTCACTCCAATTTTCTTGACAAAATCTCTTCGCCAGAATCATGATGGTTCATTTTGCCTGGAGCGAAGTTTTGGATTAGGTCTATCCTTCGCATAAAATACGGAGATGTTGAAAGTGAGATGGAGGCTGAGGAGGAGAGGGGAGCACCTCAGACGAGACAGACATCCGTGATGGGGCGCCGGAAGTACTTCAGACGAGACGGAACTCCATATTTCACCAGGCGTCAACCGATAGGTTTGAGTCTGCCGATGATACCGACTATCTCCGCAATTCTGACCGAAAAATATCAAACAAGGTATGGTGCCACATCAATAAACCGATCCTGGTCTTCAATGCAAGGCTATCTTCTTATTGAATCCTGGGTTCATTTTTATGGATCTCCAAGCGAATCCAACAGCATCGAGAAATATGTCATGATGGTGTAGTGCCGCACGCTTATCATAACCTGCTCCATCTCTACCTTCCTCTACCTCAACAACGCCGACCAAAGTCAAAAAACTAACAATCACAAGAAATCATAAATCCATGCATAACAGACCAAACAAAACATTTAGTACCGAAAAACGAAGTTCAAGACCCTATTCACTTTACAAAACATGCATACTTCGTGAGGGTGAGGGACAGAAGGATTGACCAAATAATAATGAGAGGATTGACCAAATAATTAATTACTATGAAAATAAAAGGATTAAGATATCAAAAGGTAGTGGATACAGAGATGGCTACAAATAAGGAAGAGCACAAAGCAGGACTATTTCTGAAAACTCGGCTGATGGATCACCATCTAGATCTAAAGATCAAAACCTCTCTCACCGTCAACAAGAACCATATCGTATGTCAAACAAATCATGTGTGTCTGTGCATACTGAAGGACGGGATACCACAACAACTATCTATGCAAGCAACAAGCACAATGATCTACTTACATCCTATGCTAGGCAACCTATAATCTTACTACGATCTTTCTAAATTTTCTAAATTGAAATAGTACAACATTAGAAGTATTAACCAAGAACTCATCACACTCTAAAAACAAGCATTCACCTAGCGACTTGCGATTTCCGGCATCGACATAGTCTCAACCTTAGTCTCTGCTCCGGAGACTTCATCATCGATCTTAGTGACCTCATCACTATCAGCTCCCTTCTTCATATCCGGCCCAGTCTCCGAAGCGCAATACCATCCAGCACTCTCCTTGCACATCAGAAACGAATCACGGGCACTCGGCTCGCCGCGGACTGGACCTGGAAGAACGTCGAAGGGGAAGTGAGACGGAGTGATTGAAAGGGTAAGGGTCTCGTTCAAGCGAAATCTAACCAATACTACTGCGTTGTAGAAAATTTAGATTTTTTAGATTTCCACAGTCATGAAAATAAAGTGAAGAGAACTACTAGACTCATTTACGAAATCTAGAAGTACCAGCTTCCCATTCCGACGCATCCTCCGGGGCCTTTCCCTCGGCACAGTTCCAGTTCCACTCATGGATCGCCTTGATTAGCCTCAGCCTCTAGCCATCCCCTCATATCGACCCCTTTCCATTTGTTGTATTTCATGAGAAAAATACAAGGGGAAAGGGGACACTAAATGTTGCTGAGAAAGATGGACACTGAATACTGATCATAACTTGACTTCTGCCTTCGTCTGAGAATACCCTTCATCCGTCTTCGCATGTCCAGGGCCAACTTCAAAGCTGCTTTCCTTCTTGGCATCAATGCCATATCGGTCTGCTACGTAGCAAGTGTCGCATGTGTGCTTCGCAGCGTAGGTCGAGGAAAAACCCCTGGGAAGGAAGAAGTGGACAAGAAGTAGGGATTGACATTGAGTCGAGGAAAAACCCCTGGGAGTGAAGAAGTGGACAAGAAGTAGGGATTCACATATAGAATGAGACCTTACGAAGTCTGGCGATGTTCGTTGGGGAAGAAAATTCAGACAAAAGAAGATCAAGAGATTGGTTACACTCACATGATGGAAAAAAACAAGTTCTAGAAATACGCGTTCTGCGGAAACGCGTATTTCGTCTTGAAGCACGCACAGCAGGCATCGGCCGCATTCTTGTAAACTTTGCCGGTTGTGATTGGCACTTTGTTCTTGATCAAATTTTTGAGAAACTTCGCGTCCACTCCGAGGCCCGCAACCAGAGCAGTGAATAGCAACTTCATCTTGTCTGTTCTGTCTTGGAGGTGGACGCGCAGGTGCTGCCTAGTGGGAGAAGTTGTGTATGACTATATGCTCTGTCTGAAAAATAAGTTGAAGACAAGAAACTCTGGGGAAAAGAAAAATAGCCGTTATAAGTACTAACCACACTTCAGGGATCTCACGTCGTCAGATCTGGATCAATCACGTGTTGCCTCCAAGTTGCGGATGATCGCAGTATAAGTCCTTCCACATCCACGGAGCCCATTCCGCTCAAGGTCTTTGTTCCTTCATGCATCTTTCTTTAGCACGGCTCAATTCAAATGGGATGGATCTCTTTTTCGTCGTTAGCTATGATAATTGCTGGTCTGTATTCTCAGAGTCAGAAGTGAAAAGTGAAGCAGCGTCGTGAGCGTAAGCGAGTAGTCCTCGTAGATTCTAAACGGTGAAACTGAATGTAAAAAAGGTTACGAGTAAACGGGTTGTACACCCGTTGTAGTTCTTATGCCTTCTCGACCTGATCAAGCAGCTCTCACATGCATTTATTCTTGTTACTCAATACGGAATTGCAACATTTTCTGAATCAAAATAGTTACTAGGAAATTGTATTCCTATGTATGTCAGAGCATGGTTATTCATCACTTAGTGTTTTCACTGGTGTCTAGAATCGTCTCTAACTTTAGCTACCTACTTGTACAGCACTGTAAATTTTCAGATCACGTCAAAAATTGTCAAAAATGAAAATCATAATAAAACCAGAATGTCAAGTCCAGCTAGTGCAATTGCGAATCTTCCTCGCGTGATCACAATCGTAATTTTTCTTCCTAGTAGTTGCCCGCTTGTTCAGGCGTCCTCCCAATCAACAAAACCGCCATACAGAGAGGAGAATGAATACAGTTTTTGTTCGTTCGGAATTTCAGGAAAAGGATCTGCTTCGAATACAGCGATGCAAGTCTCATCGGGATATGCACAAGAACCGCGCTTCGCCTCCCGATCCGTCAAGTAACTCAGGCGGAAGATGTCTTCCTTGTTATCATATACGAATGGTTTCTTTCCACCTCTTTGTACGCCTAGTCCGCTCAAACTTACAACATGAAAAACCACAACTGCACCCGTAACGAAGAGAACAAGCCACTCACAACAACTCAGAGCTTTTTTTATATTCTTCTGTTCGGCGGAGCGCCTCTTGGTTGGATTTTCTCCGTCAGCAAGTTTCTTGTTTCGCTTGTTTCCTGTGATTTTGGTCTCGCCGTACTCGTGTCTTCTTGAAGGACTCAAAATTAAAGGGCGACATTCATTGGTCACTGATGCTGCAAGGAAAGGGCCCCCCCTCTACTTGTTCTCCCTTTGTTTTCCCCCGTTCTCTGCAGAGAGCCCCTCTGCGATCTCAGTGACCAACCTCAATGACCAATGAAAGTTGAGCCTTAATTCCTGTTCCTCGTTCCATATCCATGAACCTTCCTGTTCCTCGTTCCATATCCATGAGTTTGACATTGGAGAGTGCTTGTTCGAATTTTGAAGGGGTAAAAGGTCACTTCCTTTGGCCGATGACCTACTAGAAGCCCCTTCCGATAACGTGCGCAGTCGCCGTCGTTCGACGACACGACCGCCTCCGCCTCCGGTACGACGATTTATTATAGTATTGTTCACCTTCAAGGAAATGATATAGGAGCTGCTGCTATTTGAGGTTGGCAAGGGAGCTGAATAGTTCTTAGCAGAGTTCATTCCGGGAACCGGATGAGGCCCCCCTGGCGGCGCATTTCTCGGTCCTCCAGCTTGTGCTTGTCGGTGGTCGCACAGCATTGTCTTCAGCGCCTCACACGAGACGGAGCGACTAGACACACCTCGCTCCAGGAGCACACTAGGAGGAAGCGCCACGGGTGACGAAGCGCCGCGAGGACACGACGTTAGCATGCTAGGAAGCACTCCGCGAGAACCTTGTGAACCAATAGGTCCCGATACAGGCTGCCGATGACAGGAATTAGCATCAGAAGACACTAGCGATAGAGTCTTCCCTTTCAATATGCTGCTTCTCGAAACCCCTGACGAAGTCTGCGTTACGGTCCTCTGACATTGCTGAAGCAACGTCCCACTGCAACCGCTACTCCTGCTGCGCACGCTATTATTCCCTAGAGACAGAGAGTGTGGCAGCGGTGGAAATGCCCCCGATAGATCGTTGGAATAACCGTTTTGGTTCCCGATAGCAGAAAAGTATTGACTTCTTCTTGCATGCTCACTACCAGAAGCTGATGTGTCACGGGAACCACGACAAAACTCTTCAAGGCACTCGGTGTGGCGGTTTTCGAGAGCACAGCGGAGGAAAATCGGACCCCACCAAAACAAAGGTAGCAAGAGGAATGGGCCGATCCAATCTCGCATTAATCGAAAACTCAGGATGTTGTAGTAGTCCAAAGCACAATAGACCAGCCCACACGGAAGTGCGGCAATCACGGTACGGGAGACTAGAACCGCGATCGTAACACCAATGCCCGTGCATTTTGTGTTACACTGCTCAGAGCCAGGTGCTTTTGTCTCACGGCGGACCGATTGTTGAAGTGGAGAAAGCTGAAAGTTCCTTCCTCGAATAAGCCAGCGCTCCAAATGTCTATTTACTTTTCTCGTCTTGTGCACAAGCATTTCCTGTCTCTGAAGATCCTCTGTTCCTTCGTCTCGACGAGTGACCCCATCTACTTCATCCAGAATTCCAGTGTTGAACGACGCCTCAAGTGACGGATCAGGACTACACGCTTCAGTCGTCGCACCAAGAGTGTCACGATCCCGCATTCTTCCGTTCGACCGTCCTTGGGTAAGATGCGTCCCCTCATCTAGTACAGCACCCGCAGCACCTGCTTGTTCTCTACCTCGAATATCGTGATTGCGATTAAATCCTTGATGGAGTCGACTATTTCTTGAATCATGTCCACCCGCGTGCCTGTCTGTCGTCAACAGTCGCGCTGGAGTTGCGAGGTCGCTCGTGGCGCCGTATTGATCACTACCCCCTCCAAACACATCACTGCCATACACAGAAGCACCGTCATTTTCGTCACTGCTCAACGATATTTCGTCACCGTCCGCACTGTTGATTTGCAAATGAAGACCGTGATGTTGGTCTTGTTCTCCATCACTGGTGTAATTAATGGAGTCAAAGTAGTCATCTCTTGTAGTGGCCCTTCGATGTTGAGCAGAAGACGCCGAAATCGCATTGCAGCCACTTGATGCTGCCCACCTGTTTAACGCAACGTTTTGATCGACGCGTCCAGGCAGAAAACATCCTCCCACAGGATTCGTTGCCTCAACACCACCACTTGAAGAAGGTGACACGGAGTAGTTCGAGATCGTCACATTCGGCGCGTTGTTTCCGAGTCGTCGTCCTTGGTCGTGCCTCGAGTACTCACCTGACCCTTGCTCTTTTCCCTTGTTCTGCTCATCTTCACCTACAGTAGCTCCAGTACCTGTAGAGCACAAAAACAGCAGCCGCAATTCCAAAGCGCGCGAGACAGGGTACAGTAGCAAGGCGTAACACAAGAGCAGCGATGGCAATAACGCAAGGCAGAAGAATGCAGCTGTGTTCGTTAGATCGGCAGAAGTGTTTGTGTTTTGATCGTCGCTCCTAATTCTACTATGCTGTGCACCTCCTCCAAGAACGGGTGCTGCTCCTACAACGACAGTGTTGACGTCGTTAGAATTTACAACTTTCCTTGTTCTTGTTGCGTCTAAACCTAGTACAGGTATTTGACGATCTTTCAGCAGAAGGTCATTGACCTGTACACCCAAACTCGCCGCTTCTTTCGTGGTAAAAGCGATGTGGTGCATTGCTTGAAGCAGGCCATCGTGGTGTCTCAACAAATATCGGCCTCGTGGACTGCTGAAAAATCCCGCAAAACAAAACGCGACCCAAGAATATAGCGCTATCTGCAAGAAGGGGATAAGACAGACACGCATGCCGATCCGATAACTCGGTCGCGAACACGTGTTCTCACTTTTGCTACTCCTAGTACCGTGGCTAACCGTCGCACCGCTCTTCTGCCTTATTGCGTCAGGCATGACCGGAAGATGGATTATGACGAAGCTGAAGGCTGTTGCGTAGACGCTGAAATTTCTCAGTGAGTCACACACGGACGGCATCCAAGATTGCACCAGGGCTGTCAGTGTCACCCACGCGGTCATTCTGTCTCCACCGGAAGATGAACTTTCTCTGCTCCCACTATGCAAAGAACGGGAAATGAGGTCAACACCCCCTGAGCTCACATACTTCCACAAGACAGAAATTTTCTCCCAAACACTCGCTGCTTCTTCCCATTGTGCACCGAACTCATGTCTCCACCAAAATGACTGTGCTTCCGGCCACGACAAAATGAAATCGTTCTTGTACCGCAAAGGCCAACAGCCTAACAATTTTTCCCGAAGTTTCTCCCGCGCTTCTTCGTTTTGTGCCTCTGCTGCTGCCACACTGCCCTCAGGTAGTTCTGGGGGAGGCCTGGAAAAGCCTGTCGACATCACACTAGCTGCCCGAACGAAGGACTCTGACGAATCTGCGCGTGAGGAGCAATCTGTGACACGCGATAACCTACGAAACGCAGCACCAGTCGTTGTAGAGCTCTTCATAGCTCCTGGCGGAGGTATAGTTGTCAATGATAGAGGGAGAGGAAGTGTCGTAGTAGGAGTTTGCTGTTCAGCACCTTGTCGCAGTCCTTCTACCATGACAGTTCCAGCCGGCGAGGCTGGCTTCATACTGGACGTGGGCAGGACTTCATCACGCTCCTCTTGATTGTTTTTGTGTGGTTGATCATGTTGGTGAGCAGGATTGTTGAAAAAGAACGTCAGGGGCCCGGCTCCTAAATGACTACTTGCTGCTTCGTGTGCAGCTGTCCTTGGATATATACCGCGGCGTTGAGTAGCTTCGGCATCGACAGCCTCACCCACTGAGTCAACTAATGGTAATGTAGATGTTTTTCTGTCGGCCATAGGGCTGCTGCTCCGACGAGAATGAGAATCTACAACATGTACAGGTCGTAAAGATGACCTTGTACCAGGTAGCACGTCATTTCGTATCACGGCTAGGTTGACCTTACTTTCTTCTTCTACTCCTAAGAGAGTCAACGACCGAAATTTCCACGCACAAAATGGACCCCCCACAACAAGTGAAATAAGCGTGAGCCATTTCATTGTCATTGCCAGGACTTTTTTGGCAAGGTGCGGCTGTCGCGATGATGGTGCGAAGATAGCAGAAAGGCCTAGTGGCAGGACACAACATAGGACCAAGAGTCCGACGACTTCTGCGTGAGATGAACAATCTCTTGACAGATGATAAGCTGGTCGCCGATTCCGTTCGTGCTTCGCTTGTACCCATTTAATATCTGCTGATACTGTTCGTCCTCTAGTAGTGGCAGGAGACACAAGTTGTGAAGAACCTTTCACATTTGGTGCTTCCCGAAAATCTTCGGCAGCCATATTTACTTGCCCTCCGCGTAACGGTACCTCTACAACTTGTGTCTTGTCAGTAGGTGTGGTCGATGAAGCGTTCGGGTCTCGTCTACTTGATGCACTATTCTTTATGGGCGGAAACGAGCTGCCTTGTTCTTCTGCTAACTTGTCTTTGTGCTTTCCTCTGTTATTTGTGTAAACACCTTTAGGAGATCCTGCTCCTGCACATTCGTGTTCTGCTGCGAGAAAACTACTACTCGCACTTTCCACTTTCGAACCCCGGGTCGCAAGTCCACCATCATATTGCCGTGACTTAGCTCCAAGGGACAATGGTGTCAGTGCCGCCGTGTCTTCAATATCAACGAGCTGGCTGGCTCCACCTAGTCTTGTCGACGCGCTGTTTTCGCCGTGCTCTCCCGCAGAGCCAGATGTACCCTGTTCACGCATAATCACAGCTAGTTTGTGAGCCGCAATCGGTCTTTGGTGACCTTGAGCAGCCTGATGATCATTAGACTGCTGAACACCAGACACGCTTGTCGAACCGTTGTTCAGTCCCCTTGCATCTGGACTCAAGCTGCGTTTCGCACTGGCTCTATGAGAACTCGTTCTGCCACGACTCATCAAGAGTTCTTGATCTTCTTGTGATGATAGGTAGCTGCCTGACACTGCTTGATGTTCCAAATGAGAACCGTCAGAGGACCGCAACGGATGAAGACTCGACGAAAACCCAAGTTTATGCGCTGAGGATGAGCCAGACGTCGTGGACAGCGGCAACGCAACAGCACTACTTGTTGTTGATAGAAAATCTTCATCACCCAGAGAACTAGAAGTGGGAAATGTTGTTCCTCTATGTGCATCAATATCCTTCGTCAAGCTTGTTGAGCCAGCATGTTCAGCAGAGGGTGATGTGTCTGTGTCAGGTATACTAGGTGTCAAGGTTCTCTTCCAGATAGGGTTGATGTAATTGCTAGTGTCTTCTAGTTGTCCTACTTGTTCTCTTCTATCATCTTGTCGATTTCGTCTATCCTCTTCTTTACTAGAAGTACATGTAGTAGTTGTATCCAGTCCAGCATCAATCGCGTTCTTACTCCTACCTGCAGCCGTCGCAGTATCTTCTACTTCAAGAACACACTCCACGTTTTTACTTTTCCTGTTCAATGCGGTACTGGTCGCGCTCGTCATCCTCCCGAGAAACCAGGGCCCAAGCACTCCTCCAGCTCTGAAGCTCAATGTTGCAGCAAAGCGGTCATTGTCCACGTCCTTAGATGAAGCTCCAAACGACTCCAGCTTATCGTAACTCCAAGTGGTCCTGGACGCCGTGGTTGGAGATTCATTTGCGCATCGCGAAAGAGAAGCTTCTTGATTATGGTTATGCTCAGTACTACTTCTAGATATCTGCTCGATACCTTTCCATTCTTCTTTCGGTTTACTTTGATGCAGGTAGTTTTCTGAAGATTCATCTTCTTGTGCTATCTTCAGCAAACTTTTGTGAGAAAGAGAAAGCTCACAATGAAAAACATCGCGCTTCACAGAAGTTGAACATGGCATCTCGTCGGCAGTTGGTGTACCAGGTGATCCATGTTTTGTAGTGAAATCAGTGTCCACTATGTTCCGATTCCCGTAGTTGTTATTTCGCGGAGCTGCTTCTGCAGTTTGCTCTTTGCTGTCCTGCTCATATGCAACTTTACAAGAGGTACTTCCTGGTTTAGTCTTAGTTGGCCATGCTGACACGGAAGCAGAGGCCGATGTTTCCACACCCATTGGCCTCACGTGGCTGAGACCATGATCGTCAGCACTATTTTCAACGAGATACCCATCTTCATCCCGCTCCACCATGTGGACCGGACTAGGCCATTTCCTCGATAGCGGCAAGTGCTCGCGAAAAACATTTCCTGTATCCTCCTTCTGTCGCCCTCTACTGTCTTTCGTTACGCTTCCTGAGCTATTCGCATTTTTCAACCTTGATGTTACTCCGTCATCTAATCGTGGCATTGCCTTTGCAGTTCTGTCAGAAGCTGATGTCGCTGAAGTTTCCTTATCCGATACCGCAGGCGACGAGTGCACAGACTGCTTGCTAGCGAGGACGTGCGCTGCTCTGGGTCGCAGCACGCGTGGACGCCTTTTGCTCGTGACTGTAGTGGTGCCTCTTGCAGGTGGTGCAGGGAATGCGTCCATTGCAGCGCCGTTGTATCGACCCCTAGAACTGAGATGACCACTCCGAGGACCCCCTACTCCTGTTCCTCCGCCTAAAAAGACAGACAGACAATTCACCCAAACAAAGGCTCGAATGCCAGCATATATCTTGCCCACCAAACCGGATTGATGAATCGTCGCAACACAAGCTCGCATGCATCGTGCAACGCAAGCTGCTAAGACTATAAGAAAGAAATGGTGTAACGTTTCAAAAAGTAGGAAAAACCCGTAGCAAAGGTCCTTTGTACAGGAGCGAGGAGAAGAACAAGAAGAAGAAGATGCTGCAGGAGCAACTGCAGTTCCATCTTCAGCGTCATTTTCTCTGCTCAACGGACTCGGAGCAGGTACTATCGCTCCATCACCAGCAGGATCTACAAGAACTCTTCTCTCTGCAGTGGTCTCATGATCCCGACGATCGCTGTCCAACTCGCGACCATCGCTGTCTAACTCCTGCGATCGCTTACTGCATCCAGGCGACGCCGTCTGTGACGTAGATCCTTCCCCACCGCTTTCGCGCAGAACGTGCACTGGTGAGAAAGGCCCTAATGCCTGTGACGTAGTTTTGGTACAACTGCGGTTCTGATGTGGTGATGCTCCTGAAGATAAACATTGATGTCGTCCACTAGCACTAGCTGCATGAGCATCATCTTGTTGCTGTCCATCTCCATGCTCGCGAGCAGTCTGATCGTAGGATAAGAAGAATCGTCCTCCTGGTCGTGATTTCGAGCAGAACTCATCTGCAGTATTGCTGATCCTGCCACTTTTGCGATCCAACAAGATCTCACGATCGCGATCATACGACAGTAACCACGCTGCGCGAATCGCCTCCGGTAAGGAAAAAACGTCTAGTTCAGCAATATCAGCGTCATCCGCATCCCTTGATCGCCTTTGTCGAGTACCCTGCTGCTGCTCTTCCCCGAGTATAACCAAACACCGTCGGAAAGCGTTTGTCACCACCAGGGCACCGATCAATGCTGGCAATAGACCCAGAACCGCACTCAAAAACGAGAACGAGTCTTCATAAAGAATTACTGGTAAAAAGACAATTCCGAGAGGTCCAAAAGCCAACGCCAACATACTTGTTGGATCATGCAGTTAGAAGTTTAGTCTACGGGGTCTCCTACCTCTATCATAACTCGGCTGGTATGCAGCGCTGCTCGGTAATTGTACTTATCCTAATTTCACCTCCATGTGGTAGTGGTCTATCATCTCTCTAAAATCTATCTCTGTCTCGTGCAGGCGTAAACAAGTAGAGTCCTCTTTTCTCCGCTATAAAAACGAAACACAATGTCAGAGGACACCTGACGGTATAATAAGGGGTCTCCAACAACCCTGAAACGATATTAAATCTTGTTCTTGGTTGGCCATGCTGGGACACTTTGTTGGGGAATATAGTGAGCGTGGGGCGTTGAAGTGATGAGTCACCTACTTCAGCGTGTCTGTTTTCGACGCCGGTGTCTATCAGTCGTGTGTTGTAACGGATGTATGCGGATACTCTGTCTAGAACCAAGTGGAGCAATAATATTCGATTTCAACAACTTCAAGCTCAAGTTCTATTCACGGACTGTAACAAGCCTATGCAATCTTGTGGTCTGTGCAATTAATCAAATCACTGAGCTGCTTGCTACAAAACTATGCAATGGCGTCAGGGCTCCAACCACATCCCACACACAACTAACTTATCATCATCATTCTCTTGGAGATTTGATGAAGAACTACATGGAAAACAAGAACCAGTTGAGCCACTGCCTCTAGACTTGTTGGATGAGGATAAAATACCACTGAAACAACCTGTGGCTTCTTGAGCAGACTGATATGAACCTCTAATCCTAGCATCATCTTCTTCTGCTTCCACTATTTCAGTCCACCTCTTGCGAAATCCGCACTTTCTCTCGTAAAATTCGGCAGTCTTGACATCCGTCTCCAAGTATACAGGCACTTTGTCCCTTCGTGCCCACTCAGCCACTTGTTGGAGTAACAACTGCGCTGCGCCTCTACCTCGATGGTGCGGACTAATAGCCAGCAGTGCGACATACCAATGAGGCGGCAAGTTTCGCCGATCGTGATCGTCCTCTAAAACGGTGGAAAGAGCGACGTCACGATTCGTAAGCGTTAGACTCATGCTCTGGACGAATGAATTCGATTTCGTAGTGCCATTAGTGCTAGAGGAGGTAGTTTCAATATTAGAGGGAGTGGAGGTAGAGGCAGAGCTCGCAGGGCCAGAGAGAACGCCTCTCGCAGGGCCAGAGAGAACAACAGTTGTACCTGTTGCTGTACTACTCGAACTGGATGATGATGCAGTCGCCGACGAAGTCCCTTCCGCACCCTTTGCTGCTGCTGCCAAGGCATGAAAGTACTCGATACTGCCTGTATGAGGAACCACACCTGGAGGCAGAGCAAATAGTAGACCGGCTAGTTCTTCCTCCTCCGATTCTTCTTGTGTTGTAGTTGTTGCATCTTTTATTCGAGCTGTCTCCAAGGCAGAAAATAACTGTTTCAAGTCTTTCTTCAAATGTTTCTGAGTGTTTTTGCTTTTGTCCTTGTTGGCAGGATGAACTTGTGCGGAGGAGGTACTTTGACTTTTGTTCGCAAGAAAAGTCATGTCTTGTTCCTTCTGTTTCAAGGCTTTGTACTTCTCCATCCGTCGCTGGTGAAGAGCTGTCATGTCGTTCTGATGCTTTTCTTCCAGATTTGTTAAGATGTCCGTCATCCTTATCTTCGCCTTCTTGTCATTCTCCCGAAGGTCCAAAGCGGCAGTTTCACCTTCAGGACGGATTCTAAGTCGTTGTGCTGTCCCATCATTTCCATCTTGCTCGTCCACGTGTTGCGTAAGTACGTCGACTTGCACTTTCACCTGAGGAGCTGTTAAAATGCTTGAAGAACCTCCCATGTCATCCGTCGTAGTCCTTTCCTTGCGAGCAGGCAAGTATATTTGTAAAAGCTTCCCGAATTCCATACTTGTATAATAATTGAGAATGAAGTTGAACCGTGCGGACTCCAAAAAATTCCTCACTATCTTCCCCTTATCAACATCTTCCCCACATCGCACTGACCACTCCATCATCGGATTCCAGGCAGGCAACGGGTTCCGTCCAGGATGAGCTCCTGTCTCTGCTTCTGCTACCAGGGGTGAAGGATATGAAGATACAACAGCAGCTTCAGTTAACAAGAACCCGTTACTCACAGTACCAGGACAAAAAGCTTCCAGAATAAAGTCTGCCGCGATTGTTGCACTCATACTAGACTGCGCCGTGGAATCTCCGTCTTTCGTCGTCGTGGTATTCCAAGTTATACGATAAGATCCTCGATATATTTTTCTACCTTTCTCTTCATGGACGTTTCCTTGCTTGTGCTCACGGCGCATCTCCTTTTCGTTCTCGCAATTCTGCTGCATATCGAGACGACAAGAGGCTTCAACATCGCAATGCTTGTTTTGAGAAATTCCCCTCTTTTGCTTTTCAGCCAGTATCAACCTCGCATCCGTCTTTCTCCTAGCCAATTTGACCAGCCGCTCCGAGCCTACCGCTGCCATTCGGTCAACCAAAATCCTCGCATCTGTCACATTCGCAGACGCAGCTAGTCTAAGGAAGCTCGCACGCGGTAAGTCCAGCACAAAGCATGCGTCATCTATCGAAGCGACAGCAAAACGACGCGCGATCTCCACCTCGTCTTCTGCCAGCAAAGGTGGCTCTGCTGGAATCCTCAAATCTCTTGCGAATACGTGGAACAAGTAGATGCCCAAAACTCCGCACGCAACAGCAGGAAAGGCATAACTGTAAACGATTATCGCATGCTGTTGTTGCTCGGTCCCTTGTTGCTGATGATCATCGAGAACTACTGCCCGAGTCGTTGTAGTCCCCACTTCTTGTCCATTTCCTGTGCTCCCAGCAGTCCCCAACACCTCCGGCATAAGCCCACCTACCAACCCGTAGGAATACAACAGCGTCGCTGGCACACCCAGCAACCCAAAAGTAGCGGTCAAAACACCGCTGATTGTACCCACACGATTCGCCGGCGTAAAATAGATGACGTACCAAAGGATCAGAGTATTGCAACCCACCTGCAAAGCGTTAGCGGCAGTCACTGCTAAAGCTTGAGCGGTCCAGTCAGCTATCATGCAATTGGCACACAGCACAGCGACACAACCGAGGCTAACCCAGGTAAGCAATTTTACACCCAGGTGATCATTAGCAGCGTTACCACGGAACGATAGACGTGGAGGGACGGGTATGTCCCTTTCTGTTTCTCTAGAAGTTCTTGGAGTAGAGGTAGTGCTGGCGGCAGTGTTCATAGCAGTGTTGTAAGTGTTCTTGTTCCCATCTTCATCTGTATGATGTGGAAAAATTTGGTATCCTTCTTCTTGGAGTGATCTTATATCCCTGCTCGCTCGAAGCACATGCACAACCGTTTTATGAGCAGCCCTGGCGCTCCTCCGAAGCCTTTTCACACTCCGTTTGATCCATTCCGCATTTTCGCTCCCTGCATAGTGCTCCAACGGTTTTACATCAATTATGAAGCCGGACGCTGGGCCAAAGATGAGCCCCACATAGCCCAAATTCGCTGCCACAAGCTGTCCCAGCTGGTCGCCAGCAGCTGTGTCACCACCAAAGAGGGCTGTGGCGTAAGGCTGCGGCGTTGCGCTGTACATAAAGGAGGCAACATTCGCAAAGATCATCGCAAATACCATAGTGGCATGCTGGCGCGGATAGTCGATTAGGTCCTCTACAGCATTATCATCTTTGTCCTCGAGTCGTCCAACAGCGTCGTCCTGCGACATCGACGCTTGATCCATGATTGCTTCTAGACCTCCACGTAGCCTCCTAGCGCTATCCACCTTAATGTCATCTTTCTTTCCACCTCCTTTCAAACACAATGTTCTGCAACTCATCACTACATTCAATCGAATCTGACGCCAGCTAATTTTCGGAACCGGTACTGGAATCCCCAAAGCTTTCTGAGCCGCTCGTCGATACTCTTTCGCTGACGGGACGCAGACGAATAGTACCACCATCGACATAAAGACGGGAATCGCGTAGATCAACAAAGCCGTTTCGAAAGGTGCTCCAAACTGGTCCATAATGGTCGATTGCAGCAACAATGGCAGAAAAGCACTGACATAATACGCTGAAGCGCTCAGTGCAAATAAAAGTCCATTCCATCCTGGTAAGTGCCACAAAAAGCCTAAAATCGAGATCGAGTTAATCATGGAGCCGACGTCTGTCAACAGCAAGCCAGTTACGAAAAGAAATCGCTGCGAGACAATGGAAGTGGCTTGGATCGCACCAATGAGAAACACTAATCCGACAAGGAGCAAAGCGGCACCGCCGACGGCCGCGGCGCGACCCCCCAAGGCATCGAAGATGATGCCAGCTGGTAAGTAACCAGCAATGGCAAAAGCGGACAGTGTCGTAAAAATATTCGCGAGAAACACAAACTGAGCAGTGCAAGTTTCCGGTTTGCTCGGAACAAGTGTGGATGTTGAAAGTCTAATAGTTTCCGACGAGGAAAAAGAATTCAATGTTTCTGGCTGGGGAAATGTAGCCATTGGACTTGCTCCTGGTCCTGGCCTTAGGAACCACCTCTGCTGGCCATTGATATAGTAGCCATTGTTCCTCGGTATTAGCTCCAGCAACTCCTGTTGGTCCATCTTCGTATTCGCAGAATCATTCGTACACAGATCTGACATCACACCAGCCTCTGCGAAAAATTGTGTGAATAACGCTTGTCCCGGGATCAAGCCTGCGCAAACAACGGAACCCATAAACGTCAGAATGACGCGAAGCCATGTGGTCACAGAGATTTTCTGATTCTGAGGGTAGGCGTCCTGGTTCTGTAGTTGCAGCTCCTGTCGTGGTCCAGATGAAGGTCCTCCAGATGAACCATCATTTAGAAGTTGTGATTGTGTACCAACAACATGCACGTGATGAGTCGTTCTAGTGCTTGTGAGCAGAGGGACAGCGAGATCTCGCAACGCTGTCCGCGTAAGACGATCTCTTCTAGACGCCGACATCTTTTCTTCCTTATGACGTTTGTTGACTTCGTGGGAACAACAAAGGATGAAGGACTTAATACTAGTACCGAAATAGAAGAATCAAAGGAAGCCGAAGAAACAAGAATAACTAATAAAAATAAATTGGGGCTCGCTAACGAATTTGTCTCACTAAAAACGATGTTTCAACAAGCATGAAGACATGATTCCCAGAATCGTTCATCAGGAAATCGAAATTTCAATTTGATTAAAACCTCATCTATCTGCGAGAGAGACACGCGTCACGGCGCACGGGGGGGACAAGGGGGGGTAGGGGTTACCCACTATGAAGAATTTCTGAATAAGTAAGTAAGAAGCTTGAAGACAATGTTTTCTGGTCCTGGTTAAGCAGATATGTAGGTGTAGCAGATAGCAACACTTCATGATCAGTCAAACTCGAACAGAGACTTAGCTCTGAAACTGAATAAGAGTACCGATACTAATAAAGCACGAACGGGTGGCCTCTAGCCTTTTCTGTGAAAGAAAGAATCAGACTCTCTTTGCAGACTGAACAACGGAACGTGGACCCACTCTCGTCTTTTCCCACAGATCAAAAATGTGTCTTACAGATGCTGAACTGGTCGGTGCCTTTTATAATGAAGATAGTCATGATGGAGTTAAGGACAGCCTCGTCATTTTGCCTCTCGTGTTGTCGAACACTTTCTTCAACATTGATTTTTACGATTTCTTATTGAGCACCGCCAACAGAGTGAAACTCTATTGATGGGAAAATGAAATACATTATGTTGGTCAAGGTCATAATCCTAATGGACTCACAAAGATCACAAGGATAAAGATCAGCAAAATGACCAAGATCGCCAGGCAAAAGGTTACCGGAGCACTATCCAAACGCCCGACGGGTTTACCGTCGCGCGGGTGTCTCTGGCTTCTCCTCTCTCTCTCGTTTGTGGCTCAAGCCTCCCAATACAGTCAAGGACAAAACAGCACCGGAATGATCTCAAAGATAACCTACAGACCTAAATGCATATAGTTCCAAAATCAGTGATCATCAGGCAAAGGACCTTCAACGTATTCAGATAGAAGAAATGATGAATGTTTCATAGCTGTAATCAGGTTCATAACGTACTGTCAGTTCTGATCAATGATGAGAATCAACATAGGATGATCGTATGAATCAATGATGATAGCATAAGCGTTTCCATATGAAAGTTTCCCCATGCAACATGATATCCCAATGATGAAGCTGAGACTTCCTCCATGTAACCCCAATGAACATCCACAGGGATCAAAGCAGCCAGAGATCATTAGTCTCAGGCTGTGAGTGCAAATTGTGCAAACAGTATCACTCTCAAGTGTTTCTCACCGAGAAACTAGACGCGACTTAACAGTCTGTGTTCGAATGTATCCAACACTACTTTGACCCTTGAGCTAAGTATAGAGTAGAAATCCATCTAGAAACAACTTTTCAAAATGTCCTGCGATGCGAAAGAAATTTCGAAGAAACTCGGACAGAAGTCCGACTGGCGAGCATGGCAACTTGCCATACGTCAGGAAGCTAGCCGTCTCGGCCTGCTTCAAAACTACACGAATGTAGTCGGCATTCCGGCAGCTCCTCATGGTATTCCTAACGGAGTTACCAATCGGGAGGAAACAATTCGGCAGAAGTGGCGCAACCTGAAAGATGCGATTATTCGTAGTCTGAAAGGTGCCGCTGCGTCGTTCATCAACAACCAGAACGATAATGGGCAGGTGGATGCGATGGATGCAGGTGAGGTTGTTGTGCTCCTTCGTGATGTAGGACACTTCGATCAAAACAACCGTCAGGAACAACGGATGAAAGTAAAACCGCTTACGGATGGCGTGTTGAAGTTCCACAACGCGGATCAACCTGCAGATGTCACAGGATTCTTGTCGAAAGTCCGAGACATCATGAACCAGTCGCCCACCGTGTACCCGCCGGAAGCAGGAGTGCCAGAAAGTGACCAACAAAATGGTGCACTGCTACAGAAGTTGCCAGAGCTGTTCTGCAAGAACTTCAAGGCAACGATCGAACGCATGCAGGAAGAAGATGGTCTGACATTTGACCAGATTGGTGACCGACTTGAAAAGCGTCTTGCGACGTTGATCGAGGAGGGAACCTACAAAGTTGAGAACGATTCCTTCGGGAAGGCGTTCCCGGTCAATGTTCAGGAGACCTCGAATAAGCGTTCTCGTGAAGAGGAAGATGACGAGGAAAAGGCCAATGAAGGTGGTAAGATCTTTCTGTCTAAAAGTGCTCTCAAGCGCTTCAAGGCAAACACAAAGAAGAAGATCGCCGCCGAGGTCTATGCCTCCAATTCGAACGGCAAAGGAAAGCCGCAGAACAAAAATAATAAAGGTTCTGGAAAACAAGATACCCGTCCAGTCTGTTGGATCTGCAACAAACCGGGTCACAAATCCGCGTCTTGTTGGAAGAATCCACAGAACCAGGCAAACTGGAACTGGAACACCAATTCCCAATCTAGTAGTGCTATGGGTAAAGGTGGAAAGGGTAATGGCATGGTTCACATGTCCCAAGTTGCGGAGCTGTGGCAAGCTCTCAACGGCGGAAAGCAGAGCTGAGTTGCGGAACCGGTGGAAAGCGGATTTTGCTCGCTGAACTTGGATGAAGATGAGGGTGAAGAAATAAACGTAAATAATACAGGGGAGGTAAAACTTGTGGGACATAGTCTTTCAACTAGTTCCATTACTGCAAGAGAAGAAGTTAGTCTGGTTGATAGCTGTGCAAACAAATACCTTTCAAGACACAAGGATGACTTTAGTGAAATAACTATGAGAACTTGTAGGATTACTGGTAGCGCTGGAAGTAAAGACGGAAGAGTAGGAAAACTAAAGTCAAACATCTTAGGGCTCCAGTATGGTGTTTATTATGATTCACTACCAAAGGACTTAGATCGTATTATACCTTGGTTAGGTGAAGGGAACTGCTCGCAATTAGGATGGGAATTCAACTTCAAAGGCGCAGGTGGTTGTCTCGTACATACGGACACCGGCCAGGCCATACCCATAAGAAGTCATCCACGCTTGCAGCTTCCCATACTTGCATGCAACTTATTTAAAGAAGAGACTGATAGTGGTTATATTTGTTCAACAGTAGAAGAAGGAGTCAGTAGTTGTTACCTTACAAGACTCGAACTTCATAGAAGATGTGGGCACTTTCATATAGATGGCCTCCAGGTAAATTGCCCTGAGTGTGATCTACATAAAGGCCAACGCGCACCACATGCAAAAGCTAGAGATACTTCGAACTACAAACCTGAACCATTGAAGTTACTAGCAATCGACTTTGCTGTTGGAATCAAACCCGTATCAGTCAGGTCAAAGAGATGTGTATTAGTGATCATCTGTGATGTAATTAAGAAGGTGTTCTGTCGACCGCTTAAGCTGAAAAGTGACTGTGTGGAGGAAATAGAAGAAGTTATCAAAGGCATTCGCCAGGACTACTCCTTATCACTTGATGACAAGGTAGTGTGGTTCCTCCGGAGGGATGGAGAACCTGTCCTGAGCAGTGATGACATGACCAAAGTTATGCAATCGCTGCGAGTCTCAGACAGTCCGGCTGTTCCTTATAATCCGGAGATGAATGGGACCTGCGAACGTTTTATGCGGACTTTGTTCGGCAGTGTACGCACAATGCTGACTAAAGTTGATAAACGCCTCTGGTGTTACTGCGTCGAGTACGCTGGTGACTGCTGGGATCGTTTACCGCATAACTATGCAAAAATGCCTCAACATGATGGAAAGAGTCCAATTGAAATCTTAGAAGAAAGGACTGGTAGAAACTCATCGAAGAGTTCAATCGGCATGCTCCGCCGATTTGGTTGTCTAGTTTACTTTCGTGAACAAATTCAAGCCAACACTCCTGAACCCAAGCTCTCGGCCAAGTACCGCCGTGGCGTCTTCCTTGGACTCTGTCCGAAGTCGTCTGGTTGGTTGGTTGGAACTTTCGCTCATGACGATCGTTGCAAGCTTGGACATCGATGGGCGGAATACTCTACCCTAGATGTAAAGTTCAGAGAGGACTATCTAATTAAAAATATCGATTGGCTTTTGCCAGATCAGAAGGGCATCTACATTGAGTATGACGAACTGGAAAATCTGCAGAGTGGCGCGTCGTCGCTGGGCTCCCCCTTGCTTGGACAGTCAGTGCAAAGGCTGGATCATCAATCGGGGTTCTCTGGCACGGAGCACATTCCAGGTGGACCGACCGCGATTTCCGACGAATTATTTATTGAGACACTGGATAAAGTAGAGGAATCCAACGCAGCTGACTCTCCAAAAGGTGTTTCACTTGAGGAGGGGAATGCTGAAGCGAAGGATCGCGAGACATCTGCTCCGCTAAGTCCGTCTAAGTCGAAAGCGCCTTCTCCAGCACGTGTTGTGGCAGGCGAACGCCGTACACACGTCAAGAAGCGTGGCCGACCAAAAGGAGCGAAGGACAAAGCAGGCAGCAGGGTTCGAAGAACAAAGAAACAGTTAGAAGAACTGAGAAAGAATGTGGCGCTGTTCGCTAGTGCAGTAGGTGGCACGTGTGAATTAGACGAAGATGAGGAATTCGTCGAATCATATGTGATTTTGTCCGTTGCTCAAGCACTCAAGTCTCCTGATGCCGACAAATGGCGGGAGGTTATTGACAAAGAGCATGCGAGACTGCTAGCCTTTGAGACGTGGAAAGAAGCTTCTGACGAGGAGCTTGCGACCGCGCGACAGGCTCTACCAATTGCCATAATTCTAACTATTAAAAGATGTGGAAGATACAAGGCTCGCGCTTGTGTCCTCGGTAATCTAGATCGTTCAGGAGAGCTAAACACCTTTGCTCCCGTAGTTTCACACGCCGCTAATAGGCTGCTCCTGACATCTGCTGCGTCAGAACAGGACTATGTGATCCCGTTCGATTTAGATTCTGCGTTCCTCAATGCTGAACTCGATCGCGATGTCTTCTGCCGTCTCCCACCCATCTGGGCAGAGAAGCATGGACGCGAGATCGTGAAGCTCAAGAAGGCCTTATACGGCTTGAAGGACGCACCACGAGCATGGTTCAAGAAATATCACGACATACTAGCCAGTATTGGCTGGGAGCCGTGTGATTCTGCGCCAGGCTTATGGAGAAAGCCGAGTGCGAAGGTACCTGGGAAGTTCCTCAAGATGTCAGTCTATGTTGATGACAATCTTGCAACGGGTCCTGATCTTGATGAGCTCAAGACCGAACTAGAACTCATCTTCTCGCGTGCCCCTGGCCGTGCGATTGATGTGGAGTCCGTTCCAACCCCTTGGGGTCAAACGTGGCTCAGGTTCGACTTCTTAGGTGCCATCGTGTACTACTGCCGTGAAGCTCGAACATTTCGGCTCAATATGGAGGAGTACATTGATAAAATCGCAAAGAAATTCGAAATTGATGTCGGAAAACCGGTTTACTCGCCCAATTTTGACGAGTCGGCTTTTCTTGAGGAGGGGATCAAGATAGTCGAAGGGTATCCCTTTCGTGAGGTAGTTGGTGCCTTGCTATGGGTAGCTGTAACCGCGCGCCCGGACATTTCTGTACCGGTGGCAGCATTGGCTAGACATGTCAGCAAACCCGCGTCAACAAGAATGGTTAAAGCAGCCAGAAAAGTGCTAAAGTATCTGGTGACAACGAGAGACCAAGGACTGGAATACTCACCAGAACAAGAAGAAGAATTCAATAGAATCTATTCAAAGTTACTACCTGAAGGCAGAGATATGCCAGAGGTGAATATCTTTAGTGATGCAGGTTTCGCCAACTGCGCAAAGACTATGAGAAGTACAAGTGGATCGATCATGTATTTCAAAGGCGTTCCAATTGCTTGGAGAAGTAACCGACAAACTGTCCGTGCCTACTCTACGGCTGAAAGTGAATATATTGCAGCTTCTGACACTATCGTGCTTAGTGAACTGCATGACTTTACAGACTTCTATAGGCCTCTACCAACTCAGTTGGTACACACACAGAACGGCTTGTCTCCCTCTTTAGACAATGCTGTGCTCTGGATCGACAACCAATCCGCGATCACAACAGCCAAAGCAACTGACACACGCCCGAAGAGTCGCCATTATGCACTTCGCTACTTGCGTGTGCGTGATGCGGCCAGTAAGATAGTTTTCTGTCCAACTAACTTAATGAAGGCTGATGGCTTAACTAAGTTAGAATGTAGTTCGTCTCAACGTAGACTACTACTTCACCATATAGATAACCCGATAACTAAAGTTGAGTATGATGATTGTGATTCCTCAGACGATGAAACGAATGGGGATGATTTAGCTTACTATAGTGTAGTATATTCGGTTTACTTTGGTTTCTAGCCGAGTATACCGTAGCCATAGAAGAGTAGTTAGGAGATATGACTTCCGTGGTAGTCCAGAAGACTAGGGACTTCGACACGCAACGATTGAGGAGGGGTGTTGGTCAAGGTCATAATCCTAATGGATTCACAAAGATCACAAGGATAAAGATCAGCAAAATGACCAAGATCGCCAGGCAAAAGGTTACCGGAGCACCATCCAAACGCCCGACGGGTTTACCGTCGCGCGGGTGTCTCTGGCTTCTCCTCTCTCTCTCGTTTGTGGCTCAAGCCTCCCAATACAGTCAAGGACAAAACAGCACCGGAATGATCTCAAAGATAACCTACAGACCTAAATGCATATAGTTCCAAAATCAGTGATCATCAGGCAAAGGACCTTCAACGTATTCAGATAGCAGGAATGGTGAATGTTTCATAGCTGTAATCAGGTCCATAACGTCTTGTCAAGTTCTGATCAATGATGGGAATCAATGTAGGATGATCGTATGAATCAATGATGATAGCATAAGCGTTTCCGTATGAAGCATATGAGAGCTTCCCCATGCTACATGATATCCCAATGATGAAGCTGAGACTTCCTCCTTGCAACCCCAATGAATATCCACAGGGATCAAAGCAGCCAGAGATCATTAGTCTCAGGCTGTGAGTGCGAATTGTGCAAACAAGTAACACTCTCAAGTGTTTCTCACCGAGAAACTAGACGCGACTTAACAGTCTGTGTTCGAATGTATCCAACACATTAAGAAATGTAGAATGCGTCAAATAAAGAATATATTCTGATCTGATCGAATAATTTTGCTTTTTTCATGATCTACAAGTACGATGTACAGAATCTAGTTTTCTGCGATATCAAAAGGGAAAGAGGCTACTCTGGCCAAGGAAATGTCATGTTGTCCTTGTCGTGTTTCCTTCTTATCTGGCCTATTTACGCAGCGAAATGCTGAAGGAGGAAAAAATTTCGATCAGAATCTTAATCATCTTCTTAGACTTAGACACAACATGTAATTAAATAATACGGTACGCAACATCAACAGTTGTAATATGCGTCTATAAAAATTTAGACCCCATTTACTCTAACCAGCCTCTGCGCACGCATCACCTCAAAGGGAAAGTTGATTCGGCGCAGACGCGTTCCAGCGAAGATCATACCTTGTGTGCTATCCTCAACAGCCCACTCAGAACCACGCCATTCGATATCTTTCTGAAGCAGAAACCGCACCACAGCCGCTTCCATCAAGTACCCACTTGCTTCAGGAGGGATTAGAGGGACAGGTTATTATTTGAACAGCTTTTGCTTCTCTCGTTTACGTTTTCCATGAACGAAAATAATTCGCTTTATTTTTGATTCACTTACACTTGAGTAGTTATTTAGTAGAGTTCAAGTTCTTGTACGTACTTAAATAAGCAGAACACCCACCTCAACATAAATACGGTGGGTATGCCGGTAACCCCGCAGTGTCTTGCACGAAGCGGCAATTTTCCCAATGTCTTTGGCTAAGCCCAACCAAAAAATCTTCCTCCAGTGATCCGCAAAAAACTTTGTTCCCAAACAATATTCGGCCGAAGGTTAGAGACATAGACAGATTGAAGGAGGAAGAAGTAGAGTAATAACAGAAGATTAGAAGAAAATTAGACAGATTGAAGGAGAAAGAAGAACAGAAAACACCAAAAATACGCTTGAAAAGATAGAGATAGGTTCGGTTAGGTCGTGGATCCTGCACAGTGAGCCCCCCCCCGGACACCTGACTCACCTCGGAGAAAGAGAGCGCAACTACTTGAGGACACTGTAGATGATAGAGATCGAGTGGGATCGTACATCTATGCACTCCTGATACTGATTTTCAATTCCAACTCTTCATAAAAAGAGAAAAGGTTGTCGTTTGCGCTCGTGTTGTGCGCGTTCGTCGCTGGTATAAGAAATCTTGTCCCGCAGTCTGTAGTGTACCAGATGAATCCTTGCCCTTGCTTGTGCATTCACTCCCAGGGTGCCTCCTGGATTCCTGATGGCGTCAGCCGCTGGTGAAGTAGGCTTGTTGCGCAAAGTCTGGAGATACTCGGATTCGTCTTCAGATATCTTTTTCGCAGAGGCTTTGTCATATGATGCTGCGGCCATCCCCTGCTCTTTTTGCTCCTCATTCGTGTGGAACTCATTCTCTTCCTCGGGTATTGTTCCAGCTTTTTGTTTTTGGCCTTCATAAGCAATGCTGGTTATTCTTTCCTCTTCAGTACTAGCTAATTCTCCCAGCTTCCCGGCCGCAACCTCGGGAAAACCCCAAGGAACCCAGGGATTTACATTGTGTTGTTCAACATGTAGAGAGGTTTGCCCATGATCTCCACCTTCGGTTAGGTACGCGGGAGAGGCACCTGCAGAAGTGCGGTTTTCCGCTCGTGATCCACCCTTTGCCAGTACATAGACATCCTTTTTCCAATCTAGAACGTCGTTTGACCAAAACTGATCGAGTTCATCGCCCATCCGCGAATCTAGAACTAATTGTCCTACGTTGTTTCGTCGTGCAGGTAGACGAGGCGGTAAGGCGACGACGCGCTCGCAATGGATCCCTTAGATGATAGATACTAGAGTGAGAAGTGAATAGTACAGAGCGTGTTACTTTACCTGTTAGTGTTAGGTATCACTATGAATTACTAGAGGCTTAAGCTCATGCAAGAGCATACTCAAGAAATTTGTGCAACTACGATTGTTGATTTGGCAAAATTCTCTGAATACAGAATCAAAATTTTCCATGTATATGCTTCTAATTGAATCAATGGTCGTTTTTCAATTGTATGAGCCTTGTTCTTAAGAAAACGTGAAGCAATGGCTATTCCCTGTTCCCGGTTCCCCTTCCCCCCACTCGAACCACCTACAACGCGGGTTCCTCTGACACATGGTGCTGCATTGCAAGAACGTGCTATTCCAATGTTAGACCAAATGCTGTTCCAAATGCTTGCGAAGCATCCTGAGATTTCGTTCCCTACTTTACAAAACGTTCTTGAAATCATGTATCCTAGAAGAAGCTTCTACTTCCTCTAGACCTTATATTCCCTCTGCAAGAACGTGTATCCTAGAAGAAAAACCGTTTATTTCCACTCCTGCAAAACGTTCTCAAGATGATGCTTCCGAAGGTCAATTTGTGAAGGCCTTAACAATGAGGCGCATACGTCCGGAATCTGTCCAGAACCTCATCCCCCTGGTAATCGCAGAAGTGATCTGACAACGTCTCCCATTCTTGGCCAGCCTGTTGTTGGTGGGAGAGGAGAAAATCATCAATCACCCTGCTTCAACATCAATCAAATGATATGTACTGAGTACAACTAGTGTGTCACCTTCATTTTTTTTTCCGCCTACAATAACACGTAGTCATCTTCTAGTTCTAGGTGGTCTGCTATGTAATAGTTGGCAGATTGTTCAAGGTAGTCAGTCTGTACCTCAACAGTTGGTAGAAAGTTTAGAATGGTCTGTACCTCAACAGTTGGTAGAAAGTTTAGAATGGTCTGTACCTCAACAGTTGGTAGAAAGTTTAGAATGGTCTGTACCTCAACAGTTGGTAGAAAGTTTAGAATGGTCTGTACCTCAACAGTTGGTAGAAAGTTTAGAATGGTCTGCAGATCCATGGCGTTATCCACATCCGCTCGAACAAAATATCGCACACTGGGATGCATCTGCAAGGCTTTTCGGAGATTAGAAAAATTCAGAAATACAGCGCTACACACGTCGCAGCTACAACTACTACTGTCCATTTTTATCATCAATGGGCTAGAATTCCCCCATCAAAGTAACTTTAAATCCAAAGAGTGTAAGGCATTGATTTAACGAGCTTGTTGATGAGGTTGCTTTCGGCTATCAGCTTTTCCTTGAGCCAAAATGGCTACGGTAACAAACTAGAGACAAGACACGCATCAAAGTGATTAGAGAAAAGACTAGACGAGGACCTGAACGAGGAGAAGGTTAGCCCTAATGAATGCTGCTGTCATTTTCTCCGCCAAGTGCTTGTAACCATGAGGCACATCGACTACTAAGACATCCGCCAAATGTTTGCCTTCTTCGTCGTCAATCAACAACGACTTGAAATCTGGGTCATCGCGACACACCACGAAGTAGTGCCACTTGGTCGCAACGCGAGTCTTCTTCAAGAAGGAATTAGATGAAGAAGAGATGACTGGTCGTAAGTGGATTTGCAAAAAAGAATTTGTCGACTTCATCTTCGATGTACTTCTATTATAAGCTTGTGTGCTGAGCGGGTGTTTAGTACTTCTATAAGTATTTGTTCCTAATTACAAAAATACAAGTACAAGAACGTTATCTTTCCATCCACTACAAGGACTGCATTAATCAGTATCAATGAATTATAAGCGAGCGTGTAAGTCCGTAATGTAAGTTCCATGTGCCGAAAGCAGCTGTGTGCCTGTGGATGCGTCGGTGACGGCAAAAGCTGCCTTTTGGATGGCACGCGATGCCACAGTTATGGAGAAATCCTTACCACTCGGTGGATAGTGCTTAAGCAATCTTTCCGTTTTGGCGAGGCGCTCCAAAGCTTTGTCGTTTTTCTCATAGAAGGCTCGGACAGCACGAGCACGAATCACGTCTCTTTCGTGGTACTTGTCTGCAGTCTCTATTCCTTCTCCGCCTTCCTCATTTCTCGCAAGAATGGACTCTCCATTTTTCAGGATGTTCGCAGCCGTCTCCTCACTATCGGGCATGAGCTTTGGTCCTTCTAGGTCTAGGACATGCTGAATCTCGGAGAAGTATTAGAGTTACCGCGTCGCTTCCTTGAGCCCACCCCTGCCCCCGTTTTCCCCTTGAAAAACAAGGCAAGGATGGTGTTGCGGATGCTTCAGCTCTAGCCTTACAAGTAGAGTGTTTTCTTCAAATACGTCGTTCGCGCGAGGTTCATCAAGGCGTGTTGTTTGGCACAGACCGGAATCATGATTAGGATGTCCAATCTGTCGTCTAACAGGAAATCTAAGGGGTCCTGGTACAACGTCACGGAGGCAGGAGACGATGCCTTGCCTGTACTTGCAGAAGTTTCCATACTAGAAGAGGTTCTTGTGGCCGAAGATAATAGTGAAGAAGATGGCAGTCCGTCTACTTGACTGGCGTAAGATTAGAGAAGTTCTCGTCAGACACACACGTGCACACAGATACAGTCTGTCGATTGGTTCAGAAGTGTCATTGTATAGCAACACATATATTTTCGTTATTTTTGTCAAGTATCAAGTAGTCTGAATCTACTATGTATAAATATGTATTGAAATGATGCAAGAGTGAATCATAACCACTGCCAGTCGACGACATTCCCGCGTGCTGTTGTTGCTCCCCACCTGTCGGTGTCACACCTGCAGATACATGCTCACTCGATCCCTGTAGACCTTTTGGCACAATCCGGTGGAAAACTGCATAGTCTGGCGATACTTGAGCGGGTAGCATTTTCTTGGGATCTACAGGTGCAGCGGCATTTTCGTTCCCACCACTTCTCCTTGTCCTGTCTTCTATTAGAGCTTAAAGCAATCCATTTCCATTTCTTCAGCTGCTCATTTCTTTAGAATCTAACTCATCTTCAGCTCATTAGGGAGGCCGAGAAAAATAGAAGATGACCTATCATAATCATAAGAATGATGAGATAGACCGAGGAAGACCAAAGTTAAGATATTCTTCTTACAACGGATAAAAAACAAACGATTAGAATTAGCATTACATTGAGCCTTTGCCGTAAAAATTCCAGTCCATCTCCTGTAAGTAACCCTTTTAAGATGGCTGTTTGTCCCGTGTCGTACCACCAATTCATCAACGCACATTCCCTTCCTCGGTCTTCCCCGTCTTCCGTTTGGTGATGTACGCCTACTGAGACGCCAACAGTATAGGAAAACGACGGTGCGCGACATTCAGCTATCCCGGGACCGTTGTACACCCAGGATGATGAAGTTGTTGGTTTTCCTCTTGTTGCTTTTCCTCCTGCACGAGGACCTCTAGTACTTCTAGTAGAACTTGTACCAGAAGAACATTCTATCCTCGTAGCGACACATCCTGGGACTCTTTCTCCGTCCAAGGCCAAAGATAGGCGCAGCCGACCGCTCGCATCCGACCAAGGCAACATGGCGGTAGTGAACCAAGGACGAAGAAACGTTTTTGCGTAGGAAGTAGGAAGCTTCTCAGTTATTCTCCGCGTGCTAGAAGAGGAACTTGGGGGATCAAAAAGCAAAACAGTCCGCGTCTCATGGAACATGTCAGCTAATAGCTCCCTTCCCTGATCACCGACGAGTTGCGCTCCAAACTGCTTCTTCAAGAGTTCCTTGCGGTCGTAAAAAAGCTCGCTTAGCGTCCGGGGGTTCCATAGCAGTAGAGGAACCGATAACTGAAACCTGGGATTGAACGTAGCTGGAGTGCGCTCTTGCAATGGAAAGAAACGCAGTGCGAGAGTCAAAATGCGTCTCCAGTAGCAATCCACGGCGGCCGTTGTCAGCCGTGTTTTCGCCAAAAACCGAGCCTCGTCTGCAATATCTGCATAAACAGACACGTCAGAGCTGTGCATGGCTGCGTCTAAGGTATTGAAAAACGGATCCACGTACACGTAGTGCTTCTCAGGCTGGACGAGCGAGTAAAACCACTGGTATAACATCGGACCCGAAGACAACATCACGCTGTTGCAAAGTTAAAGGTTGTGAAACATATTTATAAACATTTCGTTTTCAGACTATGAGAGCAATGGTAAGAACGGAGGAAAGACGAGGAACAGCCATTAGTTCTTTTGCTTATTTTGGAACTCAACTTGAACCTTTAACTAGCTGTAGAAATGAAATGTTTCAACCCTCCATAACAGAAGAGTCTGTATTTGAACGACAGAGGCATCGAAACTCCTGGTATATTGGCCAGAAACTGGTACCCGCACCAGTCCGATACTCGTACACACTGTCCACTCGGCACTGACTGTCCGCCTACGTTTTTTCGCAGTTCGAGCTGACCGCCACCAGACAAGTCTGCCTCTTCCGAATGCTCAAAAAGGTCCTTCAGGAGATGTAGGGAAAGAGCAAGTCTTAGACGTAAACCCATGCATGACTTATTTTTGAAGAACTGAGTCCTTGAAGAACGGGTAAGCGTGAGGAAAGAGCCGGGAATTACGAGCATGAATCTACAATCAAACAATACTTGTGGTCACAGATGTTTTCCAAGTTGAAGATGAATTATCAGTGGATAGCCTTAGGAGTCTGTCCTCGAATCGGTTGCTTTCCTCTTCACCGGATGAACCGCCATCACCGATAATGCCAAAAATATTGTTCGTCCCACGATGGGCTTCACTATCAGCACGAACAGCGTCCAGCTCCACATCGGAAAGATAGATGAAAGAAAAAATTTACTTGACTATTTGGAGAAAGAGAGTCTTGACAAGCAGTAAGCTAGAGTCGTAGTGAAAATTGAAGTAAGATGAATAGAAAGCAAACGCGCCATTTAATTATGATGGCGCTTTTTATGCCATTAAAGTGACTATACATAGCTAGGTACTTATCGTCCAAAAAACAGGTCGAATCTCACGTCATAACAGCAGCAGAATTTTTTTGCGTCGCTGCCCGATTCCATTTCATCCACTCGACGTCGATCTTCTGTGATCCTAACCCGCTAAAATCACGATCCAGGTCACCTCTTATTCTATGAATGTTCTGCACAACCTGCCGGCGTATCGGACTAGTGTCAGCTCCCCTCCAGAAAAGTTTCGGAATCTTCTGTTCAAATTCCAACTGATAATCAGGAGGCCTACTTTGAAGACCTTCTACACTGCTATAGCCCGTTCCATCAGCATGTTCTCCATGATGTTCACTTCCATCATCCTCTTCATCCTGATACGCATGCGCATCCCCCTGCTCCCCTACTCCTTCTTGCAGCAAGTCTTTTACAACTCTGTCCCAGTTGTGGCTTCCGCGTGCATCGCCCTCAGGACATTCAGCTTCAGGCCATGAGTGAAAGGAAAAATCAGGATATAAGATTCCCGCCCCATGCGGAAGCCGCTTTGCGATCATAAAAGTGAGACCAGCAAACACCCTACAATCCACATCGCTGCATGCCGGAGTGTTATATCCATCGGACGTATCAATCACGATCTCAAGGTCGAACTTTTTCCGTTTTTTAAGATATTGAACATCTCTAGTTGTACTGGTAAACTTTCCACCTCGAGGACGTCTTTCAGAATCAGGCGAAGAGGAACTATCCTGCTCCGCTCTGTCCCCATCGTCTCCATCTTCGTCCTCCCTGTTGTGAGCAAGAAGATGAGTATTCCTTGTTTCTTCTGGCCCCGCGTCGATTTCTATATTCTGCCAGTACTTCTCCACGACCCTCTGGATCATAGTCCACGTTATCTGGTGCCGGCTCTGGAAGCTCCCCTTACTTTCGATTATATGCGGCACGCCGTCCACAATCCTTAAGACAAAGCACTGCTCTTTGCAGTACTCGCGAGACCTCTCTAGATGCCCAGTCCGTAGTCGCAAAGCTGGGTTACCATTGATCTGCAGATTATTCCGCAGAACTCTTGGAGATGGGGGCAATGGTGGTGCTGCGCGAGGGCCACTCGATTTTGACCGCGGCCCATTGCCATCATCTGAGGTACCAACTAGAAGACCCTCCATGCTTTCGCTTTCTTGACCATCACCACTCACTTTTTGCACTTCTTCACCAGAAATACTGTATTCATCGTCCAAGACAAATGTTTTCGGATCCCTCCCAAGTCGGACAGCTGCGTCATGAAACAGGTATGAGAAGTCGACGTAGGCCTGGTGATACAGGGATTTCTCGCCAAGATTTTCGTACACTTCACAGACGTCTCCGACCGCATAGGCTGTCGGGATTCCACCCACAATATCGTGTTCCGGTGCTCGTAGTAACTTGCGGCAAGTCGGGACAAGCACACACTTGTTCCGCGAAGATGATGTGGCTCCAGTTGTTTCATCTTCTGGGAAGGGAGGTGGAGGCGTTCTTGGATGTCCTCGTCTTCTTCCCTCTCCACGCTCATCTTCGTAGAATAGCAATATTCCGTGTCCATGTTAGAACTCACGACCACTCTAATCCATCTTTATTTCTTCCCTCTTCATCCGTCTATTCTATAAGGAACAACCAGTAATAAGTTAATAGTAACAGTGAGGTAAAAGTTAATTTTTCTACCCGAAAACAGCTTAATACAGATGCGGTAAAAGATGGATCAAGTCTGTGAGGCCTTAGCCATGCCCCTTCTCGACGAAATAGGCTGCGCATTGCTTCGGTGTGAAGAACATATCTTCAAGCTGGATCACGGAATGCATATCCGCTTCCGCACATGTCCGACCATCCCTCACATCCCATAGTTTCGTCAACTGCACACCGCCAACCCCGACAACCCCCATACCAATAAGGGGTAGAAATATTATGCTCATAAGGTTCTTCATCTTGTTCTTGGCCGTGACTGGGGAGGATAGGATAGGAATTGATCCGCCGTCCGCAGTTTTACCTGCATTCTCGAGCGGACGTGCGTAGGACTACCAATGTGTACTTATCATCAACTACATACTGTTTCAAGATTCTATCACGTTATGCTCGCGGATGCTGCAGTCTTCATTTGACAACTCCCCATTAGGCTACAGCACTTCATTAGGTGGCCACAGTCGATTTCAGCCTGAGCACCTACAAACGATCCACCTCCGAATCGAAAAAGCTGCAAAACCGAGCCAAGTCTTGGCCTATTCCAACCATGAGATCTCCTATAATTCCTTGTGATTGTGCTGCTGATGCACCACCTCCAGTACCAGGCGAGCCAATTGTATCATCATATTTCGTTCCATGTTAGTCTTAGTTCAGCTTCAGGTAGTTTGTTATAGAAAAAAGTTACATCTTAGTTTGCCCATGTTAAAAAATTCATAAAAAAGTTTGACGGATCATGAACCGTATTTTGACTTCACAATATCTACATTAGAGGGTACTTCAAATATACTAGAAGGATCATGATTGATCATAGATCGACCTCGCGGATCAAAATTAATCATACAGCGTATTCATAACCGTCTCTCACATGATCAACCTCTCTCGTCGTTTGCGGGGAAAAATAGAGCACTCTTACATGCTGCAAAAATGGTGACAGCGAATTGAAAGTAAACAAGCAAGGTCCAAAATAGAAGCAAACTCCCGCGTCAGCGCTACCAGGCAACGGGCGCAATACCAACTCAAGATCTGCAAGGACAAGTCCGTCGCCGTGTTCGAAGCTTTTCATCACTTAATCTGAAAAGCAGCACCACTTTTTCATTGAATGTGTTTGTTCCCGAGTATCACAAAGACCCCTCAAAAAATATGCCAAATATATTTATAAGTATTATATGTTTCTGTAACGCGCCATACTCGTTTTTTGGTCCCTCTAATCGTGACTACAGTGTCAATAATCTGGCTGTAGTGGTTCAATCTTATTACTAAGTCATCTATCCGTGTTGCAGTTCTGGTTCCACTTCCAAGTACGATATGATACGGTACGAATAACATAAATATGACCTCTTTCTTTATCTAGGATGACAACGATTAACAGGACTCCTTCTCTATCTAGACTCTTCCCTGCCAAGCCAGAGTAGAAACCCAACAGCATAGAGAAAACCCAGCAGCGACACTAAGCGCAGATCAGCTAGATATCTTGGCCATTCAACCGCAGGCAGGTCGTTCCGAAAGCCAGCACGTCCCGCTGAGTTAGGGGTTGCAAGTTGACCCCCCCTCTCTAGTATGTCGCATATCTACGACTTTTTGCCTGCACTAGTTGACAAGGTGACAAGAAAGCCAAAGCCATAGATACTTATGCTCATTATACATAGAGAGGCTGTCAACTTCCAACCCTTAATTGAGGGGGCAAATATTCTGGCACCTCCAGCAGCACCACCCAGAGTACCAATCTGATTCGGATTTTCAGCTGACTCTTTTATCAGGATAGACGGCTCATCATTATTTCGCGACGTAGCACTTCTAGAGGTACCAGTGTCGCTAAGATGTTGATGTTGACCTCTCGAAGTAGTAGAAGTAGTTGTAGAGCCACCTCTTCCTCTTGCAAAGCCTGCTGCAGTAGATGAGTGTCCGTATCCGTTACCCTCTGACGATCTGCCTCCAATTAAAAGCGCCAGATAACGTAATATAGCCAGCAAAGTCGCATTTTCGAAACTTCCTACAGGTTTCCCCCATTGATTTCCACGGTAGACGACATGCTCATGACCTCTATTGTATCCCTTTCTTAGACCTTCCAAATATTCACCCTGAAGCGCAAGCTTGACTTGTTTTCCCTTGAAAATCTGCCAAAGATGCCTTTCAAGATGAATTTGTGGAAGCCTTAATTTTCTGCGCGTAGCAGGTTGCAGCATGTGCATATTACCCGCATCCCCACCTAGCATTTCCATCGTCATACCTCCACCTCTAGAAGTAGCATGATCGAAATTGCGTACGAAGTTGTGTTCTTCTCTCGACAAGTCACCGCCGTTATCGAGAATTAGAGCCCACCCAAGTTATCTCCTATAAATATTGAAGGACACGTCTTAGATCTGTTTTGTGTTTTCCCTTATCAATCCATGCTGGGACAGTTCCTCCAAAAGCATGCTTCAATTACCAAGAAGAGCAGCTTCATGATCTACAGCGGCGATCTTACATCTCTCTACTACTCACCATTCCTTAATAGAATCTTTTGTGCTAGCTGTCTTCGTATGACAAGTTCCGACTCCCGGTAAAATTCTGGAGGATAATAACCGCCATGACCTGAACCAACCTCGGCAAGACCAGTAAAATCCAACTTCGGAAGGTCACGGTCTAATGCACTGTTCGTACTATGCCTGTTGTATCCATGCGGACCTTTTCCCATGGACGACGAGAAGCCGCCACCGTTTTTTAGAGATTTCCCTATATATTTTGCGTTTTCATTCAACATCTTCGTTGAAAGTAGCTCTAATAAATATGATGAAAGGACTAGACGGTGATTGATAGTTCAGATCTAAAACTAACTTTTTTAATATTAACTATAACAGAAACACCTCAAACCCACTGCTCTTAAGTTTTGATCCAGGTGTGCTGTATCAATCGTGATTGATGGCACAGGACCTCCAATGCCTCCAGCTGTACGATCATCGTACACTGTACTCCAACCGCGAACAGAATTGTTGTATCCTGGAACGCCTAGTTTAGCGCTAGGTAATCACTATCCACAGCCTCTTACAGAGACCCCTTGTAGTTGTTCTCCTATTTATCTATATCTTTATTTTCCGCTTGAAACAAATCAATGCTAACTTCATTTCCCTTTAAATCAATGGGAACTTCAGGCTCGGTTATGACGTATCATGATACCTCGTGCTACGTCCTCTTGACTAACGTTATAGAGGCAGTTCAGCAACCCGAAACCTTCTTAATAGACACCACATAGTGACTGCCTAGCCTTAACAAGTGGAGGAAATCTTCGATTGCCTGCCTCTTCTGCGACACGCGCAAAATGACTGTCGTTGGGGCTCTCAGCGAATTTACCAGCCGTGTCCTCTAGAATCTGTGACGCAGTGCGATCCCGTGGGGAGTTAGAGGAGGAGTCAATAAGCATTGTTTGGAGGGACTAACGTAACCTAGGATGAAGAAAATGAGAGGAGCTACTAGTATTACAGAATTTTTACAACTAATACGGTATAATTAAGCATTAAGTCTACTTGCAGCTGGTATGTATGTACTTATCTACCCCTGAAGATACTAGTGGACAAGATAAAAAGAAGCCCTCCCACGTAGATACAAGTCTAGAACAGCTCAATATCTAACTCTGATACGGTTGATCAGAACAAATGACGTTGAACTGTAATAATCTCATAGGCCTTAGAATTTAAGATTAAGAGACGACTCATAAAATAACTGGTAAGCGAGAGATAAGAGCCGCGAAATACAGGCAATGTTAGCCATTAACAATTACCTAGACCTAGTATGGTCACTTTGTGCTAACTTCTGGCTTCATAAAACAAATACAAAAGGTATTCATGTTGAACTGTAATAATTTATTTGCCTTATTAACTTGATCACTCGCTCCAAAAGCTGCCCGCTCAATGTCCGCCCCACAGCTCTGCAGCACCCGTCGTCGTCGCTCAGTGAGAAGAAATCGCTCTGCCACCGACAAAGAGTTAGAAGAGGTAGTGTTTGTTGAGTGGTGTTTGTTGTGTTTCTTCACCCCGTTTGTTATGCCTGTCCCCCTTCGGAGAGCCATAACAAACGGTAACAAGAACACCTTTAACCTACTCATAAAAGAGCGCTCGTCAGCTTCACTTTGGGCCAATGCACTGTACTTCCTCTGCGTGCGCTGGCTCGGACTATCGGGGTCTCGCAGGATGCTTCTACTCTGTCCGTCAAGCTGCGCAAGACTTGTTGCACTTCCTGAAGGCAGTAGGGCATTACTTGCATTCCCATTCAAAAGGGCGAGCTGCAGACTCTCACTCCCATTTGCGGCTTCGGATAAAAGCTCTGGGGGTTGAAAGAGTCCTATCCAGGATGGTGTATCATGGCGGAGGCGATGCTTGAGTCGGGGAAAGATGTTGTAGAGCTTGGCCGGTACCAAATGCAAATTGCGCAGATGCTGGTCAGGTCCTCCGTGTTTGGCAGGACTTAGAGGTCGTAGAAGAAGTTTTTACAGCTAGTTTCTTTGAAAGGATAGTACAGGGAAGAAGTTGCTACAGCTAGCTTCTTTGAAAGGATAGTACAGGAGGTGTGAAAGAGTTAGTTCCGCGTCTCAAGCGCCTGTACATCCTTTAAAACTAAAAGTACAGGCGTGACTAAGGTGTAGCAAAATTTGAATTAGTTTTATGTTGTTCTCACGTCAGTAAGAATAATCTAATAAATCTCTATGTATAATTATAGGGTCATGCCTCAACCTCTGTCTTCAAGTCAACTGCAATAGTTAGTCTTACTACCTGAAAATCAAACCACAACTTTGAAGAAGATGACGCCCCATTCCCTGGACTCTTGCTGCCTGGGTGTGACGATGCAGAGCCACCAGCCGTATCGTTTTGCACTGAATTCTTTTTGCTTTCGCTAGAACTACGAGGACTCTTTCCGGATTGGGTTTCTATTGTTGTACTTGATGCCATCATGGCGCCAGTGGTCGAACCTGGAGATCTAGATGAAGGTGGTGTAGTTGCTGCTCCACTTATAGTACTGGTACTGGTTCTCTCTCTTCCACGATCTTGTGTTGATGAGGACGCTGAGCCGTTGCTGCTTCCAAAGAATGCACCATACACACGACTTAAGAAACCTGATGAAGTTCCAGCTGCTGGTCCTGAGCCTTCCCTGTCTGCGTCGCTTCTTTCTCTAGGACCAAGCAGTCTATCAAAGCCAGATCCTACAACTGCATGAACTGGTCTCGTTTGTGTCATGGCTGCCGGTCTTAATGGGTCCGACATTTCATGTTCGGAAAACACGGAGCCGGGTGTACGTACCGAAGGAGAGACCACACTGCCTAAGGGAGACCATGCCCTACCTACACCACCAACGCCACCCATACCAGAGACAGTAGATAAGTTAGAGCGATCGCGTTCGCATCTCGATCTCCTTGCTTGAGTAGGGTCATAAATATACTTAATATCCTTTGGATGGCGCTTCTTTTTCAAGTAGAAAAAGAGCCAAGGACGATGCCGAGGATGCTTTAGTGGTAGCCTTAAATAAGACGGGCCCTCCAGCACCGCTCATATCAACACTAGGAGTTCCAGCATGTAGTCGTGGGCTCCGTGCTCTTGACTGAAGTGGGGAAGTAATTGTGCCGGAACCTCCACGTCGCCGTGTTCCGAGACTAGAAGATGGGCCACCGCTCAGAGATGTGGGTGTCGCAGCGTTACTTAGAGCGCAAAACGCTTTTATTTTTGTAGCTTCTTTCTCAAGATCCTAAGAGAAAGAAGAATGACCCTCAAAAAAAACAAATATCTTGAGCCTTAAGTTCCCACTACTGCTAAGAGTATGAAACCCTGCTGCCCCAGCCATATTCCCTGCCGCTGCGGTCTGCTGGACAGCTGTAGTCGCGTTTCCAAAAACAGAACACTGCTGGTAGTTATTCCGTGTCGGACTTCTCATCACAGAAGTGCTGGAAGATGCTTTCATCATACTAAATTGATTCGCAGGACTTCCGGTTTTCTGCCTAGCAGCATTCCTAGCTTCAACGTGCATACTTTTGTCGATCGCCCGAAACGCAACTCCTCCTGTGGAAGTTGCCGCCACTCCATCAAGAACGCCATTACGTGGCTGCACGACCACTAGAGGTTCGAAACCAAAGACGGAATCGACCATGTTCACGATTTTTCGCGCATTTCCTATCACTTCCGCCACAAATTCTCCACTAGTTTCGTCGAACAAGAGTCCTGCACGCATTACGCGCTGCGCACCTGCCATGGACACTACGCCTGCCGTTGGAGCCTGTGAAGATGTCGTGTGGTGTAATTGATTCTAATATATATATATATGTTCCAGGGCGCAGGGCTGGAGGCCCCCCCCCGATCTAACTTTTTGAAGGGGGGGGGGGCCTGCCAGCCCCGGCCCCTCTTTTCGAGGGGCTGCCGGGCGGGAAGGCCTCAAAGCGCCCACTTCTGACCCCTTCCCGCCTTGTTGCCTGTACCCTACAGACCTGGCAAAGGCAGCGGGGCCCTGCCTTTGCCCCCTTTGCCA